CGCGCTGGTTAGATTTTCGCGCACGCATTTGGTTACCAGATCAGGCTGTTGACACTGCCACTGGCCTGTAGTTGTGCATAGAAAGACAAAGATCTATACCATTACCAATGGGCCATAAGTAAGCACACATTAGCACTGACTTCTGTTCAATTTGATCAAGTGCTTCAAAGGGGTTAAACTGTTTGTACATATTCATATTTTAATAGCAGGGCAGCTGCAGCAAGTGCATTTGCAGAATTACATGTTACATTTTTTGTTTTACTGTGACACATCATCGTACATAGACATCCAAAGAAGTTGAAGTGGCGAGCGCTGTTGACTATTCAACGCAACAAATAATTTCAGTTTGTTTTCACCTGAGTCGCTAGCTGATGAAAGGGAAAAGTAGAGGACGACGTCGGTGGGTTTCTTTCTTTCTTTCCGCGCCCGGGCACGGCATCAAATGTTCAAGGCGCTCAATGTCGGTGGGTTGACTTCGTATCATGATGCGCAATCGATACCATAACATTATCTATGATTATGATCCAACTAGAAATACTAGAGTCTTCAGTTCTTGTGCACGAAAGTGCATTGCGCGTGCCCATTGATTTGCATTTGTTTCGACACGCTTTATTTGACGTCTAAGTGGAAGCATCATGATTCTCATTGTTCGTGCTCATTGCTCCACCGGCACTCCAGCGGTTTTTGGACCACCGCGGGACGCATGTTTTTGCTGCATCTGCGATTCTATGCGACCTCCGTTCCCCGTCGTGGTAGCCGCAGCCGCATGCGCCGCTTTCCCGTGTTCACCCGCCGACGCAGTGGCCTTCTTCGCCTCCGCTTTTTTCTTTTCCGCCTTGTTGGTCGTCGCCTCCTTCTTGTTCACCTCCTGCTTGACCACCACCTTGTTTTTCACCGTGTCAACCTTGTTGCTGTGTCCTGAACAAAACTACCATCGCCCTAGATTGGTCACGCATGAAATTACGTCGCATGTTTTGTTTTTTACATCAAATGAACTTGAACATGTTGATATCGAACTCGATCTCCTCTGTTCAACAGAACTCGATCATGTTCTAATGCAAGAATACAAATACCGCGTCCAGCAACAGAGTCTGTTGGACGCGGTATTGCATTACAAATTTAGGGCAATGGTGCTTTTATCATGTACGATATGCTCGTCACCGTGTCCATCTCCATCAGGTTCACCGCCTCCGGCACCTCGTCGGTAAACTCTTCATGCGTCCCATCCAAGCAAAAATTTGTAATCAAGTAGATCATCTTTGTCTTGTCAGTACAAATCTTGGTTGTAAATCAAATTTCTGTAAGATTGCGACAAGCTGATGCGACCTACCCCAGTCCACCGGGTAGGAAGCGTAAAATCAACATAGACATACTGAAGACGTGAGTTATGCTTGAAAAATGAAACCTTTATTCGACATCGACGCTCACTATTGCGTGAACATGCAACTTCCAAAGTAAGGCGTCACTTGATTAAAGAAAGTTGCATGGATAGGCATCATCTTCAAACTCGGCATCGATGCCCTGGCGGTTTCCAGCATTCTGCAGAGCAGAGGCACCAAACTATGCTGTGGAAAACTACCGCGTTCATCATGTTGAGGTTTGTTCCCCATCCTCATTCTTTCTGGTATGCGATAGGATACGAGGGTGCGTTTGCGTAATCAGCATTACAAATACAAATTGAAATACATTTCGATTTCTGCTGCTGGTTCAAGTAGTTTTCCACGGCATAGCAGGGTGAAGAAGACGCAGACCAGCTTCTGCAAGAAAAAGCGCAGCTGCCACATGATGCCTGGTTTTTAGATTTGTTTTCGTTGTTTTGTCATGATGCAGCAGGGATATCACTATGAATGTGGTGGATGAGATAGAGATGAGGGTGCACATCTGTACCGTGAAGTCTTCTTTATTATTTCGACGTTCCGACTTCATCATGCAACATGATGGTAAGACTCAGTATAATCAGTTGCATCGTTCAGCACACTAAACTACCTTTCCGGTCTCGTCGCCTTTGCGGGATGACGCCACTACGTGTAGTCCGCGATACGTACCCTGGCTGGATAATTCTTCGCACGACTCCAAGAAATACCTCGAATGGACAATAGTGTGAATGATATACAACCCGTGAACCTGATGCTGTAACGCTTTAATGGTCAGTATCAGCAGCTTCTGGATCATTTCAGCTTTCGTAGCTCAATTTCACATGACAACAATCCTTCTAGAGCCTCAAAATGTAGTTTTGTACCTTCAATCGAACAGTGGCAGAAGAAGCGATCCGGGCCCTCAATTGAGCTGTCCACGGCAAGAACCACTTCTAAGATGTACCGGCAAGAAGACTTCTTGGAACAAAAGTGTACAACTACCACACAGGAGCTAGATTTTTGAAGTTGAAACTCTGAATAATCAACAAGTTACACTCATCATGACACGACGGAATTCATGAAATTGAAGGAAAGTGAAACGCCTTCATAAAGCACCTCTAACGACAGTCACTACATCGAACTTGTCCACGATTTTTCTGTTTCTTGCAACTCTTCGTTTCACGACGACGATCGACGTAACACATGCTTCTATCTTGATTTTTTGAAATCAGGGCCCACCTATGACTGCTTTTTGCAACGATTCCCGTTCATTCTCAAACGACAACGACTTTTTCGACGAACGACCCACAATTTGCCTTGCCATGAACAAGAAGAGTTTGCTTACAGCAGCTTGACTTTTTGTTTTTACATTCAACCGACTGCCGCTATGATATCCTCCCACAACGAATACACGAGTAAGTTTCAGTAGTATTTTCGAGCTGGAGCAACAGCAACTAGATGGAAAATTTATGTTTGTGTAACACCGACATCAGCTTCTCTGGAGTGGATGCTTAACACTTTGCACGAACAACACCAAGCTGTATCTGCCCGGCGCGATAGAGAAAAACGCTGCTCATCTTTCCATGCGGAATCTAAAGAAGACCTCTATTTGTGTCTGACATGTTGAATGAAAGTAAAGTGAAGACTTCAGGCTCTATGCATACGGGCACTATGCATACGGGCACTACACAGACGGCAACGAAATTGATTTCAAAATGGTCAATTCATCCTTGGTCAAAACTAGTGTATGGTCCTCACAATGGCTGAAAAACTGCAGCGGGCTTGAAGAACAAGAAAGATATACATATATTTACAAATTAAGTTCCTCGTCGTGAATTTGCCACGCAGAAAGAGAACAACTTTTTGCACTTCGTCCTTGGAAGCACAGCATTGCTGCACCCTCGTGGCACTGAAACAACACTCATCACAACTACCAAACTCGCCTTCTATTTTTCATCTACACTTCTACTTCTTCTTCGTCTCAACATATTCTGCTGCCCACGACATCGTAAGTGCAACCCATAATATCTTCAAAGATCAAGATTAGCATCCAATGGGTCGCGCTCCTATTTTGGTGTTACGTTCGCCGTGCTCCAAGTAATCAAATTGTGCTCAGCAGTCGGTATTTTAGTGTAGTTCTGGTCCTTGCTGGGGGTTAGCATGGTCGTCTTTGTTTACTTAAAAAAATGCATGAGGTCCGTGGTCGGTAACGATATTTACTTATTGTTTAGGTAGTATTTCGATTTTTTCATAAGAGTGCTGTACGAGATTGAGAATGTTCTTTGAGTGATAGTTCTTGGGGTTACTGCTCGACTAAATCTGAATCTGAGAGTGGGCGACATTACTGCTGACTGAGACGAAGACTTTTAGGCTCCACTGGCAAGAACTCTGCGCCGACACGTGGCCATCGAGCTGCTCGGTGCGTAGACGTAATCTAGTGAGCAAGTACTTAGTTAGTAATCCAGTGCTGCTGGTGGCAAGTGTCAACGTATAAACGCAAGGAGTGACCTTCTTAACCCTACTTGATTACAATTAGCCTGGTCGTGGCAGAGGATATTGCAAAAGTGGCGCGCGTTCACTCTTTTACAACGGGAACGGAGGGAAAGCAAAAGCATGCAAGCATATACGCATAAACGGCGCTGGATAAAGATAGTCACAGTTCTATTTTCCTAATATGCTAATGCTATTGCTATTCCTCGAAAATTGTCCACGATCATGCGACCGCAGTTTCCTTCAGTGGAGCTGGCAACACTGCGCGCCTACACTAGAGGGGGGTACCCAAAAGACAGGCTCATGCGCAGCGCCGCTCCGTTCGTCGCGTCCGACGTGTAGTCCATCGTCATGCCCTACTACAACAGGCATGGCTGAATGAATGGAAGAAAGCAGCTGCCTTCCCTTTCGCAGCTGCAAAATTCAAATCATAGCCGTCAAGAAGTAAAAATACGTGCGCCCTCAAACAATCCAGGTGAACAAACTTTGGTGGAGCTACAATACTTGTTTAGAAAAGAAATTTAGTTTGTGCGTCGGAATGCCTTCGATATAATTTATTTTAAAACGCTGATATTACCGATACTTTGAAAAATTATATTTCTATCATTTTGGGTGCTGAGTAGATTGCAAAGGCATATAATACCAAACGAACAGCAAGGCATGTAACAAAACAGAGAAGGTGGGAAAGTGAAATAAAAGCCCCGCCTGTCGTGCATTCGTTGCGCGCCTTGTCTACCAGTTTACAGATACACGGCGCGCAAAGGCAAATGTGCAAATCTTGGCCCTGATTGTTTTACACTCAAGGCCGCCTGCTCCCCGCACCATCCAACGGAGGACGGCGACTCTCCAACGCCGCGGAGCTTTCATCGGGCAGGAGGGTGTACGAGTCCCGTTCCGGTTCCAAGCCAAGGCGGATGTGCTGCGCAATAAGCCGAACCCATCCTCGGGGGACCGGTTCGAAACTTCGGCCGAACTTTCCTGGGACCTGTTTTAAGGATAACGGACCAGCACCCTGCGACACAGCGCGAAAATGGTTCTCGACCTCTTTCGCATGGTTATCGAGCTCTGCCCGCGTGAAAACGCTGTCCGCGGCGTATCGGGAGAAAAGCACAGAAAGCGCTGGCCATATGGCCTTCAGTTTTTTTGTTTCGGGCTCTCCTGCGTCTGCGTAATCAAGGAAGTAGGCGCGTAACATACAGGCCGGCCCCCCCCCCCCCCCCCTCTATGCCTGCGCTAGCCGTCCAGGTGGGGGGTGCGTGGGGCAGCTCAGTTGGCCCGGCCTAGCTAGCGCCCACCGAGATATGACGGCACACGACTCCGCGCACCGGGGCCCCCGCATGGCATGCCAGCCCTCCCCTCGCCGCCGGCCGGCCCTTAGAGCCAGGCCAGGGCAGTCAATCGAACCTCGGGCCGCGGCCGGTGCCCGGACCGGCTTGTGGGCGTAAAGGTCGGCATCTGCATCCATGGCGCCGACGCTGGTTCAGCAGCACTGCGCGGCTTTACAAGTTCCTGCCCCGGAGTTTTTGGAGAATCATGCCAAGTTTTTTCATCTCTCTTGTCGAGGACGGTTGGAACTGAGGCGCAAAAAATGTGCCAAACATCTGCCGGCGCCCGACAAAGAAACCGCAGACGACCGCGAGGGCGCGATCGTCTGACGCTGCCGAGGGCCTGCTACATACCACCTGTGGGAATGGCCACAAAAATCACAAAGAAACGCCCCCCCGCCCTAGCTACTGGCCAACGCACTATAATGATAATCAATTTAGCTGCCCCGATCGCGTACCCCCGGGCCCGCCCCTGTTCTTCCCCTGGCGGAAAATAGATCGCGGCGCCCACGCTGCCTAGATAAGGCGTTCGCGGTTTTTTCGGGCTTGCCGCTTTTGCTCTTCCAACGCCGGGGGCCTTTTCCGCGGGTTTTTCCTTCCAATACCCCAAAAAAACCGCGGACGCCCTGCCTGCCTAGCTACTTCGACAGAGTTCTATGGCCCATTTTTCCTAACCCTTCCAAGCCACCCGCCCATCCCGGGGCCGGTGGCTGCGACGCGTTGGCAGGCGGATTTTGTCACCAGTAACCGACCGCCTGTGCCCCCGCCAACCGCCTTACGAACTTCATGCCCCTGGAGCCCGGGCAGGGCACTTCATTCCCTACCTACCTAGCTACCCCCCGACGGCCTTGCGCTGCGAGAAGGAAAAAGAAGGGCCGTCGCCACACACCACAAAGGCATTCGCCCAAAACAGGAAAACAAAACTTGAAGCCAGAAGGCCAACGCTTTTTATTCTTGTAATACCGCGGACGGGCAATGTAAAAAAAGCCAAGCGCGGGCGGTGTCTAGCCCCGCATCGCCCGAGAAGCGGGAGGCCACCGGGCGCGGAGTCGGTCCTCGTAGCTGTTCCACAATGGTCAGGCTGAGGGCAAAGAGATCAGACTTGGGGCTGTACCGCGAGGGGAATGCTGTGAATGGCTGCCCGGCGCGCCAGAATACGGCAGCACGTTGCCGGCAATCTTCTTCGGCGAGCGCGGGGCTTTGGTACAGGCCGACCGCAGGAAGCTTGTCGAAGTCGAGGCACTGGGAACCACCACTCGGGCCGACGGACGAGAGCAGCTGTAGTGGCGCCACACAATCTTCCCTCGATTTGAACACGGGGAGCCCAAGCAACACCGCACCCACTTCTCCAGCCTGGCCGGAGTGGTCGCGCGCGTTAACAATGGACGCTGCGTCGAAGTTAATAAGAAATCTCGGCTTGGAATTGGATTTGAAGTCAGAGCCCGAGTCAGAGCCTTCCCCACCCTCTGTTTGTGTTTCTGCTTCGAGTCCCACACTCGATGGGCTCACATCGTTCAAGACAATTCCACCAGCAGCAAAATGCTCGAAACACCCATGCGCCCTCTGGACATAGCCGGCCACATCGCTCAAATGGTGTCGCCACCAAATCCCATCTCCATCTTCTGCACCGGCCGGCCCTTCGTTGCCCAGCTTTGGCGAAATAATCTCGACCCGCTCCACGAAAAATAGAAAGCGAGCAATCGGGTCCGGCGATGAAGACACAAAGACCCGCGGGACCCGGGCAACACAGTCTTGCACGTCGGTTCGCCCATGGCTGAGCAACAAGTTTAGCAAAATTTCGCTTTCCGCCACTTTTTTTACGCAAGCCGCGTCGCTGTCTCGGCACTCGACGACCTTCAGCACCTGTTCGTACTTGTCATCGCCGAACACCTTATTCTTGATATTGGTGCTGCTGAGCGATAGCGAAGAAGTTGTAAAGGCGGTGGACACAGAAGTCTTGTGTGACAAAAACTCCGTCCAAACCTTGCCATTCAATCCACGTCCCCCGGGCGCGCCCTGGTAGGATATGGTGTACCCCGCCTGGTCTTTATCGGGCCTGCCCTCTTGGCGGCCCATGGCAGCAACAGCTTCGCTCGAAAGATGCACGGTATGACGATTATTTCCTTCACTGACGGCCCCCGTGTCCTCAGACGTCGCAGGGATAACAAAGTTTTCGACCCATAGTTCGAACTGAACTTTTTCGCTTTCGCATGGTGGGGGTCCGTTCACGAGCAAGTTGCCCATGGTCTGCGGAGCTTCTTCACAAGCAGCCCGCAATTTGTCCACAACGAAATTTGCCACCATTCGGCGTAAGCCTGTGCTGGGTTCAGCCGAGACACGGGATTCCAAGCTCGTGTGAGAGTCCAGCTCCGGTTTCAAACCAAGGCGGATGTGCTGCGCAACTAGCATCTTCGACTCGTCACGCAAATGCAACCCGTCCTCCTCACCTTGATCTTTTAAAAAAGAGAAGACCTCCTGCGCGCGGTCATGAAGTTCTTCTTCCGTAAATACCCCGCCTTTCATTTCTTTTGCTTTGAAACAAATTTCCGGAATTTTTTCGCCGCGAGCATCAAGCTCATTCACGGGCAGGTGGTTTCCCGCTAAAGTGCGGCCCGGAGAAACCAGGCTTAGAAGGGGGCCGCCAGGACCGCGCGCCGGCTGCAGATGCTGCATAATAGTTTGACTGGCGGCAAAAAGATCCGACTTCGGGGTGTAGCGCGCGGGCGGTTGTGTGAGCGCCGGCTTTCTGGAAAGGCGACGGACCGAGTCAAGCCGTTTGCACTTTTCATCGCTTCGCGCCGGGCTTAAAAAGCCGGGGGTTGAGTCAAAATTTACGGAGCACTGACCTTCGCGAAGAAGCTGATCGCTGCCCGGCGTTTCACATTCGGTTTTGCTATTCGGTCCGGATACAACAGGATTCCCCAACACCACTACCATTGCCGCATTATTACGGCGGGCATCGGCGTCCATGTTGACAATGGACGCAAGATCAAAATCAAATTGCCTGGGTTGGTGAGGTTTCCACGCAGGCGAAGCCGTCTGGCCCTCGGGTTGATGGCCCTCTGCCTCGTTCTTCGTCTTTTGAATTATTTCAAAGCCCATGTTGCGGGGCTTTAGGTCGTTCAAAATAATGCCTGCTGCAGCGAAGCGCTCCAGACAAAAGTGTAGCTGGCTGACGTAGTGGTCCGCATTTTTCCGGAGGTGCTCACTGTCTTGCTGCGTTGTGCCCTCAAATCCTGGCGCGAGAACAACTTTCACCCGCTCCACGAAAAAAAGAAAACGGAGCCGGCCCGGCTCAGCAAAATCTAGCTCGTCCTCGTCGGTGCGGGCAAAGACGTAAGACACAAAGACTCGCGGGACCCGGGCAACACAATCTTGCACGTCGGTGCGTCCGTGGCTCAGCAACAAGTTAAGCAAAATTTCTGTCCACGCCACTTCTTTCATGCACTTCACGTCATTCTCTGCGCACTCAACCACCTTCAGCACTTGTTCGTACTCATCATCACCGAACACCTTATTATTCAGCAAATTACTAGTGAGGGCACTGCCCGCTTCTTCCGCAGCCCTTTTTGTCGAGTGAAACTCCGTCCACACCTCGCCAACCGTTCCTTTCCCCCCGGGTTCGCCCTCGTAGAGTATGAGGCTCTCTTTGTCGCCTTCGTCTGCACTGCCCTCGGTGCGGCCCATGGCAGCAACATCAACATTGCTCCAAAGGGGACGTACGGTATGATGATTATTTTCTTCAGCGCGGCTCCCGGCGTCCTCAGACAATGCTGGGTGCACAAATTTTCCGACCCATTCTCTCGCAGAGATTTCGCCATCGCATGGTGAGCACGATCCCGCTGTTGCAGCTCCTCTTTTCTGGGGGCGATTATGCATTGCAAATGCGTCTATGTCATGTCTGGAAGATTGCAAGATCTGTCTCGAAGGTTTCGCATGCCCAGAAGGTGAAGGTCTGGGCTGGAATGCGAGCTGGTGTAGCCGTACAAGCTTTGAGAAGGTCAATGCGCGATGCCTATTAATTCATTATCCTGAACAAGAAGAAGGCAACATCATCGGGCGCCCAAAATTGGGCCGCTTTTTCATCATGTGCTCAAGCAATACAGATTCATTCGTGCGTCCTCGCCCAGACCTAGAAGGACAGACTCGGGCTATTCCAGGCCCACAGAACATATTTGCAATGCACAGCCACCTCGAAGTTCTTGTTCATCTGCTGGTGAATGTAAATCGCACGAGAGATGATCATGAGCACCAACATGAGCGTTCTCGAGCAGGTAGCGCATAGTCTCGGGAGCAACCTGGCAAGCAATCCACAATTCTTGCGTAACGCGATATACCACCTGTGCGTGCCACAATTTGGTCTTAGCAACCGGGTCACTTTTTTCATCCTGGGATGATTTTGACGCGTGTTGAAGAAAGCTCAGCTCAGTACTGTTTGCGAGAAGCCTGCTCGTCAAGTCCGAGTTGCTAAGCAGTTCAGGATGCTGCCCTCTAGCAGGTGCGTCTCTGACTTCTGAAATCGCAGTTGCAGTGGATGCAGGTGTGATGGAACCTCCAGGGCCACGCCGGCGGGCTTGTTCCGCTGTGGGAAAAAAGTTGTGGTAGCGTTGTTGTACAAAACTCATTTCCTGCTTAGTATCCCGACGAAAAAAAAACTGCTTACACTTACACACTTGCTGTAGCTTCAACAGCAGCACAACGCGTTTTATTTATATCCGCATGACACAGAAAACTTGCAGTGTTAGATATCATACACAAGAAATGGAAAAACACGTATGGCTACATCACGACTAGGCTCCTGAGTACAATGTAATCCGGCATGAGAGAACCTGATGTCTGTCTTGTAATATGGTCTGCAGCACTTCAAAAATGTGTAACGGTAACACTTTTTTCGTTGCATAATGCTCTGCGTTCTTGCGTGATTGTGATGCCTCGTTCCTCGAACTGTTCGTGACCGAAATCGGCAGCAGTGCGGGCGACAAAGCGTCAGAAGCAGTTTGAGCCCCGCCGGGAAGCTGTTTTTGCTGAGCCGGGGCGGACGGCTGTGAAAAAGAAAGGCTTGGCTGGACTTGGGTTTTCTCGGTACTAGTGGGAGAAGACGCTTTTTCTTTCAGCCGCCCGTCCGACTGGTGCCCGACTGTCGCATGATTCGCCACCAGCAGGGAGGTGGATGAGGACTCCTGATCTTCGTTCCCAGAAGTGCCCTGCTGCTGGTTATGTTCCATCCGTACACGCGCAAACGAAGCGGGCTCCCACCGAGTGGTAGGATTTGTTGTTTGCTCTGGAGGATGAATGCTCGATGAGGCGCTCTGTTTAGCAGCTCTTGCTTCCTTTGGTCGCCCCATGATGTCGTCTACCGCAGCGGTAATTCGCGTTTCGTTGGAAGGCTTAGTATATGCACTGCAAACATGCCGGCGCCGGGGTCTGGGTAACAAGGCTTGTGATGCTAATACAAACTCGGAGTATCACGAGCAGGACGTCTCAAAATATTGCCAGCCCTCTGCCGAATGACATTATAGCTTTCGGGCTTCTTACGTGCTGCCTATGGATTCATCTGCGCTTCAAACTGCGTTTTTGTATGACAGAAAAACGGGCCTTTTGGGTACCAACGTGCATGACGGACTCGAAAGTCTGTCCCTGTGTCTGTCGTGCCGGCCGAGCACTACAAAAGCCTGTCCCTGCATTCTTCCAGACCCAGACACTCTTGATTTGATACTATCGTGGCGGTCGCGGCGGCGCCAGGAACGTCTTGTCCCTGTGGCTTTTTTATTTGGTCCTCTTCCTTTTTCGGGGTCGCGTAGCCCAACAAGGACCAGGGAAAAGAGAAGCCGGGTTCTGCCGGAAAAAGGTTCTTGCCAAGCCAGGAGTGGCTCGGCTGGTGGTCATCCACTTCTCCACCGGGAACCGCCGCATGCGTGCACGCCGGTGTTCCATAATTTTCGCTTCCTTCAGCACAGTCCGCGGCGGTCGCCACTGGCTGTTCCTCTGCCGCACGGCGTGCAGCTGTTCCGCGAAGATTGCCGTATTTGACGCGATATGAAATGCAAAAATGTCTGGGTCTGGAAGAAAAATGCATGATTTGTCATGCATATTTCTCATGACCCATGATGCCTGTAATGCTCGACCTAGCATCGCAGACTTTTAGAGGGCTTCCTGATGCACCCTCCGCATGACAAATGGCCCGTCCGTGTAGCAAAAACTGCACCCCTCTTGCTGGTCATGCAATACAAATCTTTTTAGAGTCCAAAAACAGCACGACAAGTTGCAACGTTCCAGACCCAGACATTTTTACATTTGATACGCGACGCTTGGCTGCAGGCTGAGACGGAGCAACTACGGGCCCAGCTGTCGGTCCGCTTGTTTCCGGTCGGTTCTCGAGCGCGCTGGTGGGCACTCGTCCTTCTTTTTCCACCGCCCGACCCGACCCGTGAGAAAGTCCTCCATCCTCCCCTGGACCCCTGCCCAAATCGGGTTCCACGTCGTTCACCTCCCCTGCCCTCCTGACTCGCATTGCATGCGCGTTCTGCGGTGCTAAGCTGAAGTAGAAACACCCCGGCACGACCGCGGAGAGAGGGAACAGAAACCCGGGCAGAAGTAGGCGCCCAGATTTTGCTTTGTTCATTGTCTTCATTTTGGATTTGCTGCTCAGCAAGCTCATAAAAAACTAAATCAAAAGGCGACTTTTCCTTTTACTTGTCTTCCTGCTGCTTCAGCTTCTACCTCGTGTTCGTCAAAAAAAAGGGGAAAAAATACGAAAAAAAAAACGTGAAAAAAAAATGTGAAAAAAAAGTTGAGAGTTGTGTCCGCGTTAAATTCAAAATTCATACGTAAAGTTCGCGATTTATCGTAAAAGCTTGACAAGATTTCTTTATTCTTAGTCCCCGGAGTAGCAGACTTCTTTATTTCGTCTTGTTTGTGTGTGCTTGGAACAAGTTTCAGACTACAATTGAAAATTTTTTTTTGTACTACAGAATAAAAAAGTTCTTGGGAGTCGGAGTCGTGGTCTTTAGGCTTGCTTGTCGTTGAAGAAGTTCACAAACTCCCGTACCCGGTCAAATGTTACAAAGCGCGTGACTCTGCACAGAGGACAGGCACAAGCGATGTTGAGCTACTGTGCTTGCAAAGGTCGGGGTACGATCTTCACAAAACACAGCTTGTTCGTTGGATTCGTTAACGTTACTTAGCAGAGAGGGATACTTAATTTGCGGTTTTGTTTTTTTATTCCGCACCTGTCATTAGAATAGCAGCACAGGTACAGGAGCAATATCATTTCATCGCCAAGAAGACAAGAAGATGCTTCTCGCCTTTTGAGCGCACCATGGTCAGCATCTAGAACAAGAAGCCACCGACCACGAGCACTAGTACTATTCTATTACTAACTTAAGTTTAACTTTTCACGAGTAATAAATCCAACGAGGCAGAAGTCACTTGACCTTTGGGACGATGAAGCTGCGAACGATATGGTAGAAGAGGCACGAAGATAGTACCGACGTTGCCGTACGATTGTTCTTGTGCTTCTTCGACGCCAGTATATTCACTTTCATTCTTTATGGTCACGACGAGATTTCGGCTTTAATACCGGATGAGAAAACCGAGACGAGACCAGGAGATTGCTTCATGGGCCGTGATGATGGTGCACGAAACTCAATACGAAAATTCAACCGATAGAACTACTAAGGACAGAACTACTAACGACAATAATGTTCCTGCTTTTGTTGAATTCAGTCAATACGACAACGACCGAGGAGAAACCGCGGTACGGCGAAAGCGAAACCGAACTCATCTCACAACGATTTTCTTTCACGAACCGCCCAGTTTTGGGCCCGACGTTAGTATGACATTCTCTGAACCGACGAAAGAGGGATGATTTTGCCGTTTTTACACTGTCACTGCCTAAACTTGCGCCGGAGGAGCAGGTAATAAAGGTTGCAAAGCTCGAAGATAGATTTTTCACTATTTTACCGATATCACCCCTACTGACACTTCTTGCCGAGTTGATGTTTTGACATGTTGTACGAACAACACCAAGAGCCTGCCTGGTGCGATGGAAAGGAACGCGGCTGACCAATCTTCCAATACGGAAATAAACGAAGATTTTTATGCTGCTTCTAAACATGAATGGCCATGAAATGAAGAAAATGTCTGTTACTTCTAAACAAGCCGAGTTGTACTTCTATGCAGACGGCAACGAAATCGATTTCAAAATGGTCAATTCATCCTTCGTCAAAACTAGTGTATGGTCCACACAATGACTGAAAAACTGCCCCAGAGCCGGCTTGAAGAAAAGCGTTTTGTTTTTCGTCGAATCTTCTTCCTCATTGTTGTCATGCTGAAAGAGATGTTGAGAGTTGTGCTGCACGTCGCCCTTCCCTCCTGTAGCTGCAATTATGTCCTGTTGGCCTTGTCTCTGCACAATAGCCTGTTTCATCATTTTCGGTTCAATTTCGATTCTTCGTTTCTTCACCTCAGGTGACGGTGGTTTCTGGTGCTGGTGGGCAGGAGCAATCTGCTGTACTTCATCCTCTCCACGGCGCTGATCGCTTTCCACCACGAACGGATCCGCCCCAGAAGCAACCGGAGCGGGTTCGTTAAACTGTATTTTGTTGAGTGCAGCCACAGCCTGGCTCAGTATTTGTTCCTCCTCCTCCTCCTCGTCGTCAAACAAATCGCTGTCAAACACCTGGTCCATCAAACTGTTCATCTTCGCCAATTCCACCGCCTCTTTTTCCTGCTTGTTCGTCGGCTTAAAACGGATAAAATCGGCTTTGCTTGTAGTCGTCCCGGAAGATTTGGCGCCGTCCACCAGTGATGCTGCTCCAGCATCACAAGTTCCTCCGGAAGATGATGAATCCATACTAGAAGTGGCACCCCCACCATGCATCCGATACCCCCGCCAGAGCGTATCGTCTCCATAGGGCAAGACAAAGCTCCTCGTTAGGTGGTTCACGAGGATATATCAACTGTAAAAGTGTCTGGGTCTGGAAGATTCTGACACTTGTCATGCACGTTTTGTATGAGCCATGATGTCTGTGATGCATACCCGCCTAGCAATGCAGATTTTTTGAGGGCTTCTTGATGCCTATTCCGCATGACAAACGCCTTCTCAGCCGCGTAGTACTGCATTCCCTTTGGTACTCATGCAATACAGATTTTTTTGGAATCCAAATGCAGCATCACAAGTTGCATTCTTCCAGGCCCACACATTTTTGCACTTGGTAGGATACTCGTTTTCGCAACTTGCCGGATTTTTTGCATGGTTTTGAAAATTTTTTTGTTCAGGTTCAAACGGTCGGCGATTTGTGATTGCTTGTTGTCGTGAAATATCCTGTGCAGAAGTATCGCACTCGTATTGCAATCATGCATTTACAATTTTTTTTCTTAAGGTGAATCCGCATTACAAATTTTATTTCTCATGCTGAGGAAATTTGTAATGCATTTATACGACTACGATACTTTTGCACTGTATATGAAATCCGGTAGTTTTCGTTGGGTCGATTGCACTCCGGATCAGAAACGCGATGGAGTCGACGATGAGAAGGTCAAATTTGTTCGATTTTATTGTATGATCGGTTTGATTTTTGACGCATTGTTCGGTAATTTTCCCGTCCAAGAATTTGGAAAATTCCTCTAGATCGTAGACTCGTTCGAATTCGAACTCAAAAGGCGCAGCGGAAATTGTGATGGCGCAACCTGTCGTCCTGCCGGGGAAGAATTCCGTCCCGGAGGCCGAAAGGTGTTCTTGGAAAACGTCCTGCAATTCCAATGGATATCTCCCCTCCGGATCCAACATCCTACCGCCCTGCGTGTCCACGTAGCAGATGCGGAAAGTGGGACGTCGACGAGGATTTCTGAGTTCTTTGTCATGCTGTTTTCCAAGAGCCAGAGCAGCGACCGAGTGGTCTTCAGCTTCACAGCGTGCCAGCAAGTTCCCGCGGACGACGTTGTGCAACAAAAACTCGGAGATTTTCACGTTCGGCAGCCCGACGAGTTGCCAAATACCGGGGGTGAAGCCTTGGTTGTCCAAGTAGGCGTCGATGGCCGGGACGCCGGAGGTTATGAAGGATAAGGAATCCGAGCCTTCCTTGATGTGCTGGAAGGGGGCGGAGTAAGAAGAAGAAGATGCGGAGGACGGTTGTCCACCTTCTGAACCGTAATTGGTTTGCTGGTGCTGCGAAATCTTCTTGTCGTTCCACGTTTCATTGGAGCTTTCGCCGTCCGAAACATCTTCAGCAGCAGACGGAATGGAACTTAGAAAGGCGTCCATCTTGATGTTATCTTGATCTTCCCTTTCGTGCTCTCAAACACTTGCAGATGAGTTAACTCATGCACACAATCTTTATCTTGCTGTTGCTGCACATGATGTCAAATTCAATTCTATCCAGTAGTTGCACTCGAAGCAAAGACGCACTCGCAACAGTAGCAGCAAAAATCAGAAGCACACGAGGAGCGCCAGTATTCGCATGAGAACAGCAGTTACTTGCACTCATACGGCAGTGTGCTGTTTCCTTTTCAGCATCAGCGGTCTCTCCTGCTCATTGCTTCCCAAAGTTTTTTCTCCTTACATTTTGGCTGTCCTACTTAGCCCTAATCGTTGGTCCTGAAAGCTCGGTGACAATAGCGTCTGCCCGGCACCATCGCAGTCATTGTAACTTCAAAATTTGCATTCGTCAGAACGAAATCAACCGCAACAGCATCTTCCTGTCTTCTTCCTCCGTCGGCGGCGAATAAGCCTTCCTTTGCAACATCTTTCCCTTCGGCTTATTACCAGCAGTGGACGAAGAAATTGTCGATGACACAAGGTCGAAAATGCGGTTTGAGGTGCCTGCATTCGCAGTCGCGTTGGCCGACGTCGGAGTTGAGTTGTAGCTGGTTTCGTATTGCTGCTTTTTCTGCTGCTCGTCAGACACGGTTCCATCGGTTTGGTCTTTCGATCCGCCATCAGTACCACCAGCACCACCTGCTCCCGTGGGGCTCTTGTTTCCGTTCGTCTTTTTGAAAATCCTTTCGTAAAAGGAAGAAATTTTCGCGGAAGAAACTGCAGCAGCGGTGGCGGAGGCTGCTGTGGAGATTTCTGCATTAGCATTATCTCCTTGAGCAGCTGCAGTAGCTCCACCAGTTGCAGCTGTTTTGCTGCCCTGCGCGCCGGTACTGTCCTCCAAAAGACTGTCGAGAGACACATTCACAATTCGCGAAGCCGGCTCGAACTTCAAGTCAGACACATTCAGCGCGGGGGCCGCGGGGGGAGGGGGTGGTGGAGTACTCCCTTTTGACGGTATTACTGCTGCATCCGTGCTCTTCGGCGATGTTGTAGTGGTCGCGTTCCCGTTTAGTAGAGCTTCGACGATATTACCAGCACTTCCACTTTTCTGTTCCGCGGACACTGCAGCGTCAACTACCGGAGCGCCGCCACTAGACCCAGGGGCAACACCAGCTGCTTCCTTGCTCGTGGTCTTGCTACCCGGACCAGGACCGATGCCACCCGGGACGAGGTTGTTCTGGACTCCACTAGCAGTGCCTGCTCCTGCAGTGGTAGTCGCAATAGTATTCGCCACGCCGGCAAGAAAACCGCCGACAGACTCGTAAACATCGGTGACTTTGAGTTTCGCTGCACCGGCCATTTTCTCCTCGCCCTCCGAACTCGCTGTGGTGCTGCTGGCAGCTGCGGGCGGAGGAGGCTTGTGCGGTGACAACATTTGGCTGAAGAGACCACCCGAGGAACCTGTGCTGCCACTTTTAGGTGAAGATGTAGATGTAGATCCAGAACCACCAGAACCTCCAGGTCCTGTCAACCCAGGAGAACTCGTCAGCAAACTTTCACTCAGCACTTTCTGCTGGTGTTATCAAATGCAAAAGTGTCTGGGTCTGGAAGAGTGCGCGACTTGTCATGCTGCTTTTCCATGACCCATGAGGTCTGGAATGCAGGACCTAGCATGAAAGATTCTGCGGAACATTTCTCATGCCTATCCTGCATGAGAAACTCCCTCCCGACTTGGTCAAAACTGGACGACTTTTGGAAATCATGCAACACAAATTTTGCATGCTGCAGATTTAGCATGACAAGTTCCAATCTTCCAGACCCACACACTTTTACATTTGCTAGGTGCTTCCGCAACGCAATCCTGGTCAATTCCCCGGTCAACGGGTCGAAGATCTCCGCCGGCAGAGGGTCGCCCGCGATGAAAAATTCTGTTTCGGACGTGAGATACCCCTGGTCCAGACGCTCGCGCATGACAGATTTAGTACTGAACTGGTGGGCTTTGTCAGAAGAATTCTGTTGTTGTGTGGAAGTTGAAGTCCCACCGCTGCTTTCCATATTGACGCACACGTACTCGATCACGTTATTTTCTTGTGTTGCTTCATCTTCCGCAATAGACCTTTCTCCAGTCGGGAAAAGGGTAGTTGAAATAAACCTGTGACCGAATCTCACCACCTGTTGCTCTTCCCGACATTTTTTCAAAGCGGGAGCGATAGAAGGAAGCCGCTCATTAATTGGCACGTTCACATCGATGGGCAGGAGCTGAATTCTCCCAATGTTCTGCATACTTGGCGGTGGAGGTGCTGGGGCTGGCACAGTGGTGGAACCTGTAGTTTTCTCTCCGTTTACAAAATCAAGCACTGTAGTCGCAACACCAGAAGTTGCGGCTGCTACTCCAACTCCTCCGGTACTAGTTGTACCTGTTGTAGTGGCAATTGCTGTAGTACTGCCAACTATAACATCATCGTTACCACCACCACTCCTCGCCGCAACCGTCGTGGAAACTGTAGTTATCACGTTCGTGCCCGTTTGCTTCAAAAAATTTCCGACGAAGGAGACGTTGGTGTTCATGGTTTCAAATTGTTTCAGCATCTTGTTCTTGATCGTCTTTTGCTGCTCCTCCTCCTGTTCTTTCAGCTTCTTCTCCTCAATAATCATCTCCGACCGCGCCCGCCACTCCGCGTACGATTGAGGAACGTTTACGTTGGTGTCGGCTGTGGACGATGTGGTGTCTCCTGCTTGCTCTTTCATTTCGGATGCTGTACCTCCTGTGGCAGCCGAAAAAAGGTCGGCTTGAAGACCGACAGCACCGCCGGTGGCTACAGCCGGTGGCGCAGCTGTACTAGTCAACGGTTCTGTTTGCCTCTGCGCTGTTGACGGCACCGGCACTGCAGCCCCTACCACTGCCGCGAACCCTGACGTGACAGAAGTTTGGTCCAACAGCGAATCGAGTAACAGTGCCGTCGGACTTTCGGCTTCGAGAAGATCTTTATTACGACTACCCGCTGCAGGAGTAGTTGTACTTGTAGCTTGGTGTGGAGGTGGCGAAGTAGAGGTACCTCCTGTCGTTGTAGTGCTGGAAGTTGCTGCACCTTCGTCAGCACCAGCACCCGCAGCCAGCAAATTCAACAAGTCAATACTCGCCCGGCGGTTCTCTTCGGTAGATGTAGTGCTGGTTCCGGCGCTTGAAAAAGATTGGTTTTGCGCATTAGTTGGCTCATTCGACACTACAGCTCCTGCAGCCCCCGCTGTAGAATTCCCCGCACTCGAGACTTATGAATTGCACAAGTGTCCTCTGGGTCTGGAAGATTCCAACTTGTCATGGTAAAAAATCTGAAGCATGCGAAAATCTGTGTTGCATGAGTGCCAAGAGCTGTACACTTTTGACCAAGTTAGTAGTTGGAGGGGAGTTTCTCATACCAGGAGAGGCATGATAGGGATCTCACAGAATGTCTGTCATGCTAAGTCCCGCATTCCAGACCTCATGGGTCATGGAAAATCTACATGACAAGTCTACACTTTTCCAGACCCAGACATTTTTACATTTGATAGGACTGGGGGAGTTGGGCTGTCGAAGAGAGACAGTAGGTCAACAGAGTTAGAAGAACCAGGTGCACCTCCACCTATCGTGGCCGGATTGCCGGGCGTATTGAGATAATTGACCGGAGATGAAGTTGTGGCCCCCTTAGAAGCACAAGCATCAATTTTCTCCCGAAACTGGGTATACAGCACCCCGAGCTCCGTCATCTCATCCAGGCCTTTTTTCCCTTTGTTGGCCCGGATCAAGTCTTCCAGCATCCCAACCCAAGCTTGCTCAAAGCCGGAGAATGACTCGTTATGAATTGCAAAAGCATCGTACTAGTATGAATTCTTGCATTACAGATTTCCTCAGCATGATAGATGGAACGCTTGCATTACAGATTTCCTCAGCATGTAATGCATGACTGCGATAATTGCTACGAGTACGATACTTTTGCAATGCATACATGTTATTGTTTTGCAATTCCAAACCGTAATACACAAGCACTTTCTCGATTCGCAAGTCGGACCGGCACCAGGACCGCAGCTGGGGTAAATCTGCGTTTTGGAGTTGCGTCTCATCGCAACAGAGAATTTCCGTGGAGAGCTCTTCAACGTCCATTTTTATTTGGGGCAGGAGGTAGGATTTTGGGTTTATTTTGAGAAATGGAAAGAGATAGAGAAGCAGTTGATGTGTCAGAACTTCTTCTTGTTCAGTTGGACGATATGAAGATCGCGCCCGGAGGGCGATATTGGTAACCAAATGCGTGCGCGAAAATCTAACCAGCGCGAAAGCCAAACCAGCCGCGCGGCTGCCACCACCATTTCTTTTTTTTAATTAGAATCCCACTTCTTCTTCTTGAACCGCGGGCCGCAGTTTGCGGTCGCGGCCCCGTTCTCCTTGATTCGCGGGCCGCGACATGCGGTCGCGGCCCTAAAGGGCCGCGGACAACTACTGTCGCCCGCGGCGGCCCGCAGGCTCCTGCGATAAGCATTGCAGGCGAAATTCGGTCTGCTATTTCGCAGCGGGGCATCCTTTCCAGCCCCCTGCATGACAAACTGGCCCCCTGGCCAGGAAGGTATGTGCCCGGGGGGGCGAGCCCCCCCCGGACCCCCCCCCATCCACCTTCGCCGCGGGGCATCCTTTCTAGCCCCCTGCATGACAAACTGGCCCCCTCGCCAGGAAGGTATGTGAAAAACCGCAAAGCAAAGAACCCGGGCTGGGCCACCAAAGTCGGCCATTTCAGACCCGGGGAAGATGCCGAATTTCTGCCCACAACCCAGGGCAAGTGCGGACTTTGTGACATACCCCCGCCCGCTTCTAGTGCGGTTTTCTTTTCCCAATCGCGATGGTACGGCGCAGGCGCGCGCCCGCCGGACCGCCCTTGGTGGCCAGTTTCTAAGCCTGCCGAGGGTTCTCGACTTTTGCTAATTCTTCCTTATTTTTCAAGCTTTTAGGTGGCCGAAGGGCTCTGCACATTTTCACCGCCCGCATCTAACTGGCAGTTTTGAAGCCTGCGGAGGGATTGCGCTTTTGCGCAATTTCTCATCTTTTTTCATTTTCCAAGTGGCCCGGGTGATCTGCACAAAATCCGACGATTGCTTCCGCCCACGTTATGAAGCAACTTTTTGCCATTTTTTTCCAACTTTTTCCAGTTACGAAGCGGCCCAAGGCTTCCGAACAGGTCGCGGGCCTGCTTCTCCAACGCAGCTGGCCAGCGGGCGGAGCAAATAGCAGTCCGTCTCTTTTTCAGATATCAAGTGGGCCAAACCGCAAAAATGCTCTTTTTTCACCTTCTCCCGCTTGGTTTCTGCCGTTTTTGCGACATTTTTGACCTCCTGGCCATTTTCCCATCTGCTCCGCTTTTTTTCCCTTCTCCCGCTTCATTTCTGGCCATTTCCCTGACCTTCACGCCTCCCGGCGGTTGCCCTATATGGTAACGGCAACTGCCTTCGCGCTGCGTTTGCTAAGCAATATCGCAAGCGCGCAGAGCGCGCGCGCACGCATTTGGTTACCAGATTACAGAAGAACCACTGCTCGCCAACTTCCAAACCAGCAAGCTGCAGCTAGATCATGTTCTTCATCTTCATGTGCTAATGCTAAGTGTTCATGTTGCGGTTGCGAATCAACTTTACACGGAAGACCAAAGTTGTAGAGAATGTAGAGGCCGCGGAGGAGCTATCCCGTCCCTAGTTGTACCAAGATCATCGTCTGTGTTTGTACAGCCAAAGGCGATCAGTACGCAAGATGAGCGAGATTTTTCGTACGTTTTTCATTTGACAAGACACTTGCTCTGTTACTGTTCATGCTGTTTTATGCCAAACAGCATTACAAATCGAGCGGGTCTTTCGGGCAAGAGCAGGAAGGACGCGGAAATGATCAATCTTGCTGCGCTTGATGCGTGTGCGTGCCTTCTACATACAAGAACAATTGCAGTACAACACAACAAACTGATATCTTTGCTGTGCGAAGCTTCGGCAGCAACATTGCGCCATCGCAAGTGGCGAGTGAACAGATTGTGTGTAAAATGTGCGCAGACGAGAAGATTCCTCACGATTTCCATGAGTCATGTTCTTTCATCATGAACAGATTGAAATACTGGCACTTTTGATTTTTCGTTAATGCTGAGATTGTCAAATGGCACAATAATCTACGGTCGACGTTGATAATCATCTTGCTCAAACAAGTTCAAGTTGGGTATTGGTACTGCAAAAATGAAATATATCTTCTAGTACTACTCTGGGTTGTGGGTATAGGATTTAGGAAAAAAATGTTTATCTTCTTGGCCGCGGGAAAGAGAAATAGTTCGTGCTTCTTATCTGCCAGAAGGTTCAAAAAATGGGGCCGACATAATGCCCGTCCTCAATCAATGGAGTAAATGAAGGCTCTACTCCTGTCTCGAGGACCTGCGCTTTGTTTATTTCTTCCCCCCGCTGGTACCACCGCTAGGCCGCTCCTTCGAAAAACCAGCAGGATCGTCACCTCCACCAGCGGCGACTTCGTCCTTACTAATTTGCCGCAGCTGCGCCGCCGCTGCCAGGACGACGCCCGAATAATGAGTGGACGAGGCAGATCGAGCTGAGGCTGCCCCTGAGAACCGCGTTGCGGTGCCTATGCCTCCTGGGTGATCCTGCTGAAGATGAGAACCGTGTTGATGGTGGTGATGCACTTCAGCCACCGAGCCGCCGGCGTAGGTAGAGCTGCTGCCGAACTCGATGTCGTGCGTATTCGGCCCCCCAACAGCCGCACTGCCGAGAGGCTTAGTCCTCGGTTTGTTCTCTTTTTTCTGGGTCGAAGAAGGCAATAGAAACTCGCTAGACCCCCGTCGCTGCGAGCTTCTCCTTTCCGTGCGTGGCGTCACAGCGGGGCTGCGTTTTTTCGTCGGCGTAGTTCCGATGGTTGGGCTATCCACTGCAAAAGTATCGCACTCGTATGAATTGCAGGTATGTATGACAAATCTGGTTTCCTACCCAAATCTGCATTACAAATTCCAATTTTCTACCACCTGATAAAATTTGTCATGCGATTTATACTAGTACAATGCTTTTGCAATGCATATGGACTGCCCCCCGGCGGGCTCCCCCCGCCAGGACTGCCTCTATTCATTTTCCGCGGAGTGTTATTTCCGCCCGTTATGCATTGCAAATATGTCTGGGTCTGGAAAATTGGAACTTGTAATGCGGGTCTTGCATTCCTGTGAGATCTGTATTGCATGACCCACAAAACTCGTAGCCTCTGTTGTCATACAAAAACGCAGTTTCTCATGCGGAGCGCGTATGAGGAAGCGTTCTGCAAACTTGTAATGCTTTCCTGCATGAGGGAGCGCTTTCGTCATGCGCATTTTAGCATCACAAATTTCCAGACCCAGACATTTTTGCAATTGATACCCGTCCCCGTTGGGCTACTTCCGGTCGGGCTGCTTCCGCTTCCCGAACTAGCCTTTATGGCGCTCTCAAGCGTTACATTCTCAACTGTTCTTACATGAATTTGTCATGCAAAAGCACCTTAAGGCGGCAGATGATCGAGCTGCTTCGCATGACAAATTTCGGGAGGGCTAGACAGCTTCTAAATCTGCGCCAAACTTGTAATGCAAAAGGCGCAATCTTCCTCCTTCCAATTTTGCCAGTCTTGCATTACAAATCCATGTAACAGTTGAGAATGTAACATTTGAGAACTCCATAGCCTTATTCGCCGGGGTGTTGCCTCCAGTCGGACTCCCAGTTGGGCTGCCACCCCCTGGGCTGCCCTTGTTCCTGGGTGTGTTCCCTCCCGTGGGACTCCCAGTTGGGCTACCACTGCCCTTCGGACTTCCCTTAGCTTTTGGAGTGTTGCCTCCCGTCGGACTACCAGTTGGGCTACCACTGCCGGCTGGACTTCCCTTAGCTTTTGGAGTGTTGCCTCCCGTGGGACTACCGGTAGTTGGGCTACCACTGCCCTTCGGACTTCCCTTCTGTTTCACAGGAGTGTTCCCCCCCGTCGGACTGCCGCTTGGGCTGGCTTTCTTCACCGGAGCGTCCGTGTCCTTCCGAGGAGAGCCCCGGGCTGCACTCTGCATGCTGCTTCCACCAGCAGCAGCAGTCCCGCTACTTGCCGTCTTGTTCTTCCCGACTAAAGAACTTCCGTGTAGCTGATGATCAGCGCTTGCATGCTGCAGCTGGTGCGGCACTGAAAACCGGTCGTCTGTCTTCAAAACGGCTCGCTCTGTGTTGCTACCGGCAGTACTTCCTGCAGCCGCGCCGACGTGCAACTTGCTCAGGTAGCTGTCCAATTTGTGGCTGTACCTGCCGAACGACTGCATTTGCGAAAAATCCACCAGCGCTGCGCCGTCACTGCTTGTCTTGCTCGCCACAGTGGTGCCGGTGCCGTTTCTAAAAGTAGCATTTGGATTTTCAGTGCCTTTGGTCGTGCTCATATTACCACCATCTTTGCTTGATGTTCCGGTGCCGACCAGCGGGGGCAACATCAGCGTCGAGTTAGTATTCGACATTTGCTGCCTGTCACTGCTCTTCAGCCCGTTCGAATCATCCGAACTCCGCTTAGACTGAAGGAATTCCCCCGTTCTGGGCTGATTCAACAGAAGATCATCAGAGCCCTGGCTTCTCCCGTTCTTGGTGCTGGCAGCGCCGGGAAAGCCTCCGGGAGCAAGTTGCTGTCGCTGCTTGTACTCTTCGTGCTCGAAAACGTTGGTAAAACTCCGCTGCTGCAGATGGTGGTCCCGAGCCGCGGCGACGCCACCTCGGGATGAAGGTGCCCCGTCTGCTGCATCCTCTGCACTGTCACGAAGATACGAGGCCCAACTGTTCGGATCCGGCGCTGCGCAGTAAACCAAGACCAGCACCGTGTTGAGACCGAGTAAGATGGCGAGGAGGACGACGGCGATACAGCAACAATTCTGAAATTTCTCTTCATCAGAAGAGGTCGTCGTGGGGTATGCAAGTGACAAAAATATTCTGACTAGGGTGGTCCTCAATTGGGGCTGCAAAAATCAAAATCCCGGATGTCTAAGCTCAGTTCTGGGAATAAATCACATAAGCAACAGTAGCAGCCAGCACGAGACGGGCATGATTTCCACTTCCCTTTCTTTATATGATTCGTGACGCGAAGACGACCTCGAACCTACACAGCCAGCTTCGTCAAGTATCTCACGAAATGGTCCAGATGATAAATGCAACAGCTTATGAGTTCTTCAAATGTAGGGCATAGGGATTGATGCGGTTTGGAGGACGGTATTAACGTAACATACTTGCAACTTGCATAATTTCATCTCCGTTGACGCCGTCTTTTCTGCCACAACACCCTTGGTCACGTTCCTTGAAGAGTACAGTCTTCCGTAGAATTCTCCTTCCCCGCCTAGGTCCTCGAAAGGGCCTGCTCCTGCGTCCTCAGCCTTATCTCGCGCAGAAGCACGCAACCCGAGCCATCGCGAGTGGAGTCCGGGATAAACAGTGTCTGGCGTGGGGGTCGTTATTGATGCAGCTGAAAGAGGACTTTTCTCGTGTTCCACCGAGGACGTAGTTGGTGCGGGGCACAGTGGCAAATCCTGTAGGCACATCCCACTCAGCGTGAGGTAGACGAAGGGGTGCTCGTACGTCACGTCTGAGATGTTGAAGTGGTCCGGTTTGATGTTGGGCGATAGTATGTTGCCAGATGTTGTGCCAGTAGAGTCAGCACCACCTTCGGGCGTCAGAGAGGTAGAGGACGGTCCGCCCTGCTGGTCATGATTTATGCTTCCCTCTTGCTCGTGCTGGTCCTCCTCAACAACAACTCCGTCGTCTTGTTCGTCGCGCAGAAGTCCAAGCGAAGGCCTGGGTGTCTCCTCCTCCACCTCTGGTGGTCTACTACTTTGCGTGTAATCATTAGCATTCCCCCGACCCAGGCCCTTGCTGATGACAACGTTCTTCTGTAAGGAAGGTGATGGTGCAACTGCCGGTCGTGTTGACCCATTTTCTTTTTCGTTTTGGAGCTCCACGTCGCTTACGCTTGTTTGTTGAAGAGCCGATGAGCTGGGCACTATTTCCAGAAGTTCTTGTGCTGTTACAGTCGCAGGCGGCTTATTTGTTCTGTGCGAAGATATTACGCCGTCGGCGGGAGGTGGACGGCCACGAGGCGTCTCAAAAAATGCTGACGCCAAAGGGGAACGACCAGCACCCGAAAATAAAATAACTCGCTTCGTTTCGAATTCCGCCACAGCCTCGCAGCTTCTCGCAGCACGAGAAGCTGGAGAACTTCCAACTACTGCAGGTCTACTCACCTTCATCTTCACCCGCTGCCGGATGTTGTGATGCTGGATTTTTACCACGTGGGAGCTCTTCTGGTTGCCTCTGGTGGTCGATTCATCTTGAGGTATATGTGATACCTTTGATGTATCAGCTGCAAGGACGCCAGCTTCTCGACTTTTTGCATCATCATCAAGTCCTCCTCCACCCAGCATCTTCCACGGCACGCATTCCGCCGAGCACTCCTATGCTGTGCAAAAGTATCGTACTAGTATAAACCAGCCATGCTCCGGCTGCCGCCGGAGCGCAAGGCTGTTGGGCCGGGGCAAGATAGTTTGCCGATCGGACCACAACGCCACGGGCCTGTGCACAACGAAGCATGCTGGAGTTTGCGCCGCGCCAACCCGCCGGACCACTTGCGCGCCTCCCGCGCCTGTGGGCGCTCTGCGCAGGGAGCAGCTGCAAAGAACACCGGGGGCGAACAGAAGCCGCCCGGCGCGAGAGGGTGGCGCGGGAGGGTGGCGCGAGAGGGTCGCGCGAGCGGGTGGCGCGAGAGGGTGCGCGAGAGGGTGGCGGGGACAGGCGCCGAACAAAACAACTCCGCGAAGAGCCTGCAACGCTAAATGTGGGGACTCCCATGCGGATTCGCGCCCGCTACTCTGTGTTTTTACCCTCTCGCAGACCTCTCGCAGACCCTCTTTTTTCCCTCTTTTGGGGGTCCCCGCTAATAGTCCGGCTATACTCGAGGGTAGAGGTCGACAGAGGTGGCCCAGAGGTGGCCGACAGGGTGCGCGAGAGGTTGGCCCTTATTCGCGCCACCTCTCTCGACCTCTGTCGACCTCCCGCGCCCCCTCTTTTTGACCTCTCTGCACCCTCTGAGGCACTTAGGCGCCGCCTTAAGGTGGGTCCTTCGGCGGGCTATACTCGCGCACCCTCTCGCCGACCCTCTCGAAAGGGGTCCCGCGCCACCTCTCCACCTCTGTCGACCTCTTTTTTACCTCTTTTGCCCTCTTTTTGACCTCTCGGCCACCTCTTGTTTACCCTCTGTCTACCTCTTTTTTCGCATGAATATAATATATAGTAATTGCATTACAAATTAGCCCAGCATTACAAATTAAATTTGTAATGCTGATTTACTTTAAGAAAGAGATTTGTCATGCATGAACGCAATTAGTACGAGTACGATACTTTTGCACAGGATAACTCCCCCGCCGGGGCGAATTTCTCCCAGGCTCTCCCATCCGCTATAGAAGTGCACAACTCCCCCTCCCCCTCATTTGTATGGCATGAACAGCAATACAAGCACCAGCGCTCACGGCGCCTATGCATGACAAATCTATGTGCCTAATGTAGTACTCTTTTGGCCTACTTCCGGAATTTGTCATGCAAACAGTGCCACAAGGCAGCGACTGGATTTGGGATTTTGCACGACAAATGAGGGCGAGGGGGAGTTGTGCACTGTAATATCCGCCATGAACTCTTCATACAACCCACAGTCCCGCTCGCAGGTGGGAAGCAGATCTGCGTCCGCACAGGAATCATATTTCTCCAAAGCCGTGCCACTACACGCTTCCACCCCAACAACGACTTTCACTTCCCCAGTCCCCCCAGATAACTTCGGATCCGTGAACGCGGTGGCTGTTTTCGCAATTAACCGTTGCTTTTCGTCCGCGAGTTCTCTCGTGTACTTTTGGAGGCCACAGGGGACTATTTTCCTTTTTGAAGGAGAAGAGGTAGGTAATCCTTTGTTCTGAACAACAAATAACTCCATCTTCGCCTCTTGGGGGCAGCAGCTGACCGAGCACGTTCCTTCCACGGGCACCCACTCTGTCACGGGGCAGTCGCAGGTCGGCATGTTTTGACAAGTCGTTTTCCATATCAAATGCAAAAATGTCTGGGTCTGGGAGATTGCGAGATTCGTCATGCTAGTCTGGCATGACTCTAAACTCTGTATTGCGTGCCCGCGAAGAGGTCCTCTTGTCTGTCATGCAAAAACGCAGTTTCTCATGCGGAGTACGCAACTCTGAACCACGGAAAAACTTGTCATGGTGGGGAGCGCATTACAGTGTGCTTAATATTCCCTTCCTTGCATCACAAGTTTCCAGACCCAGACACTTTTGCATTTGATATTCCACACCCGGGCTCCGGCCTTTTCCGCCTCCCAACGGAGCCGCGGTTGTTTTAGAATGGAACTGATTTGGTCCACGTATCGGGTGATATTTCCTTGTCCGCAGAGGTTGTAGTTCTCGTTTTGCTTTATTGCGGTGAGGAAATGGTGATCAGAGTTGTTGTTATCTGGTTTTAGGACTTCTATCTCACCTAGAACGTTCAACCGTTTCTCCATGACTCCGCAGGAAGTAGGGACAACTACCGGCGGTGTAGTAGTTCCACTTGAGACCACGTCGACTTCATCATCCTCGACCGAATTTTTAACTGGGCAGCAGGACAGATCGCAGGGAGCTAGATCCAGCCAGGGGTTTACGTCGTCGATGATACACTCGTCTACTACTATTTTTTCACGTCGTGGTCCCTGATGTCCGCTCTTCTCCCCGTCCCGGTCTTTTTCAAGTATGTTGCCGGATGAAGATGTAGGCTCATCTCTTGCTGTACTAGTTTTCTTGTGATTTTTCTTTTCCTGCTCGACAGACAGGAGGGAGAGGCGGGGCCTCCCTGCGAGGACCTTGTTGTGTCGCTGGAGCAGTGGTTTTACGACCTGGTTGCTCGAAAAAGAGGGTCTTGCATCTGGTCGTGTAGAAGATGTTGGCGGCGATGCTAAAGTGGTTCGGGAGTGCTGAACGGTGACCTCAGACTGGTCATCTACTTCACGTTCCCCTTGATCTTCTTCATCTATGCCAGCTGCTGGCGCACCACCTCTACTTCGCGTGCTCCCGGCGGGGTTCCTCGCAATTTGACCACGTTGTACTTCTGTTTTCCTTGTACGGAGGCCGGACGTCGTCGTCCTCGACGTTCTCAGCCGCGTGGCGCTGACGCAGGAACAAATGACGCTTCTTGATGTAAAAGTACTGTTCAAAAGCTGCACCAAGAGGACGGCCCGACAAAGCATCGTGGATGAAGATGCCGCCACGATGTCAGCCCCTTTGGGAGCAGGAAAGAAACAAGACGACATTATCTATCAATCAGGGGGTGATATCTGGTTTTACTTAAATAATAGGCTGCTATGATGTTGTAGGACTAGGAGAGATGGGCGCAATAATAGGTCATCAGGGAAATCACGGAAAAATAAATGGTCTTTCACATGGTGCGATCAGTCGAGCACCAAGAAGAACTACTCCGGGGGATTACTAGTAGATGCATCTATCGTAGTACTGAGAAGTAGGATTGCGAAACACAAACACGTTTCGAGATTTATAAAATCACGTGTTTGAATGATGAACTAGACTTTATCGACCTTCATCTGGACGACGAGAAAAGAATGAGCGCGCGACGAGAAGACGATGTAAAATGCAACTTCTTTGCACGATGTTGCGTGTAATTACGAGGACACGAACGGCTGAAGCTGATACGAAGCGGAATGACAAACCATGTCATTTTTGAACGATAATGGAAACACGAAATCAAAGCAGCAGCACAACGCGTTTTTTACATGTTTCAGTTTATTTCGTACGATTGCGTTACACGAGAGACTGGTGCTGGACAACCGTGGTGAACAATAAATCGCACTAGATGTGCTGCAGTCACAGTAGTTCCTATTTCTGTCGGCATCAAGTTTCTTGCAGGCCTCGCAACATCATCGAACTCGAGCCACCAGCCTCCTCATCAACTGAGGAAAAACTTCACCCCGCTTGGCATCTTCTCGTAGTTATCTGGATCACTATTTTCGGCAGTGGTTATTCCCTCCTCGCCTCCGATCTGGTCGTCCAAAGAGAACAGCTCCACCTTCCCTTCCTTTTCCAGAAGTCGCAATCCGGACACAAGCATCGGCTTACTGATCCTCAGAGAGCCACGGCTTGGCACAACCGTCGTGCCGTTGTCTGTCGTGCCTTTTCCTAGTGGTTGGTCATGATTCCCGCCGAAAATCCGCAAAGAGTTTCTCTCCGTACTCATCTCTTCGAACAAATTTTCCACCGTTTCGACAGAGTTGTGCGCCTTTTTGTCCTTCAGAAACAGAAAAATCTTGTCCGCAAAGTCCCGCTTTCCGTTTGGGAACGGATACACCCGGAGGCCGATCGTTTGTCTACTTGATGGCGCAGATGTTTTGCGGCCTGGTTCGACGCGACCACCGCTTCGATCCTTGCTCCTGCCTCCTGCGGAAGAAGATGAAGGAGCTGAGGCGACTTTATTTTCTGGTGATACTGTGGCAAAAATCCTCTCCGCTTTGCAAGTTGCATTTGGCGAGTACGACGAGGGCGGAGTGGACGGTCTCAGCTTGCCTCTCTCGCTATTTGTGTCGGTTCTTGTGTCGCTTCGTCTTTGCCCACCACGATCGTCGCACATGTAGTCTGCAATCGCTTCAAAAAGTTCAGGCGCTACTTTCCTGTTGATCGAGGGGTTGTGAAAAAGTTTTTCTGTAGTTGCGCCCTGTAGTTGCCCACTTGATGTCTGACTACCTCCCGCGGTTGTGAAGGTGGTCATGCTAGTAGTAGTACCACCTCCCGATGCGAACAAAACTTCGCATGTAGAAGACGTACTCGAGGACACGCTAGCCGATTTTAATATCCCCGCAGGTGGAGATGCTTGTCTCCAACAAGAGTCCACGATCCGCTCCGCCCAGAGTTCTAACTGTCTTTGCTGCGTCTGCAAATTCGGTTGCAGGGTGAAAAACGGCGGGAAATCAAACCAAGACGTGATTTTTTTCTTGCCGGGAGGGGGTGGTGGAGGAGCAGCAGGTCCTACGGTGGAGGAGGATGGTTGCGATGGCGCAGTTCTAGTACAACTCGGGGTTGCTACTTTGTCCGCTGAATCGTGATCCGGCCTGGGAACAACCTCCACTGCGGGTTCTTGATCGGAGGACTCATTCATGGGTCGTTCTGCGAGGGCTGTCATCATTCCGGTCTTGTTCCGAATATTTTTTTCTTTGTTGAAGGAGCTGGAGCGGAGGCTCAATAACTTGTTTTTTTATCACGACTTCCTACTTGTTCTTCTAGAGAAATGCCGATTGAGATGATGTCAAGAGCCAACGAAGAACGCGGCCATGCGGGCTATGCTCAAGCAAAGCCGCAGAACATGTAAAGTGGAGTACCCATAAATAGGTGGTCAAACGGCTGTCAAAGGACAAAGCCATGGTCAGCATCAGGCTCGGGATCTGGATCAAGAATCACCGCCACCAAAAAAACTGTCTTATGTTGAGCTTGATCTTCCTTTTCTCACCTGCGAGTGGTTTCATCATCGTGGGTGGATCTTCGTGATCGTGGTCTTCGTGCTGGAGCATGATAAAAGTCATCTTCAGCGATAACTTTGGTTCACAATGATCACAAAAAACAGGCCACTGCTCTTTGATGCCCGCATTAAAGCGAGGACAACTGCAACAGCTGCACGAGGACAGACAGAGAACATCTTTAACACGCCGCGATAGAAAACTACCACGACAGTTTTACTGTATGTCGGTCAGTAGCAGTACTGCTCCGGTGCACTACTACACGCTGAAAAACCCTTCTTGGGCCGCCAGGTCGAATAAAAAGCTGCTTATTTATTTTTCTTCGTTTCCTTCCAGAAGTACAACTGTTGAAACTTGGTATTGTACAAGGTTTGAGCAAGTTCTTTCGAAAAATACGGAGCGGGGTAACAAATTCTGCCGAGTTGTGGCCGTCCCACTTTTCACCCGCCCGGCCGGGTGGGTGACTAGTGGGACGGAACCAGGAGCCTGACCACCTGGCCGAATCTTGCTTTTCGCCGTTCTCGTGGTCAGGGTCCTGGTTCCGTCCCACTAGTCACCCACCCGGCCGGGCGGGTGAGAAGTGGGACGGCCACAACTCGTCCGAATTTGTTACCCCGCTCTAGCTTACAGTTGCATTAATATTGCCTGGTATTGTCATTGACACTGTCTTGATGAAGTAGACGCCTATCCCTTGTTCTACCAACTTTTTCGTTCCCCGCTTCCTCGACTCGCCATCTTCATCCGCATCTCAGATTCCAAAGACAGATAGATACCACGATCGATTTTACACAAGTGCGAGAAGTAGTTCTAACGCAACTAAAAACTGATACGTTCTTGAAGCTGGTGCGGGTCTTCAACTTCTCCACTGCGCTTTTTGTGAATAGAGTTTCAATTTCATTCAGATTCGTACCGTAATTAGTACTTGTTGTTCTTGATCTTGAACTTGTTTGGATAAGATTCACTTTGAAGGTTTAATTTGGGTGACATATATAGACATTGATAGTAGTTCGTCGTCGAGTCTTTCAATACTACCCGCCTCTCGGGCAGTGGCAGGTGCGACCAAACTAATTTTGGGCTGTAGCGACGTCCCATGGCCCTGCTGCCCGCCGACTTTTGTTAATCGCTAAAAATAAACTCAAGCTCTTGATGAACCGACGAAGCCTTTTGGTATTGAAATCTTGAAAATAAGTGCCTGCAACGCTACACGACTTCCACGAAAACGCATCGCACTATATAATGCGGTGTAGAAATTAAAATTATCGTGTTTGTGTAGCTCGTTTGCTATTTCAGTATAAAATCGTTGTAAAGTTCTCTTCTCGTTTTACTTGTTGAATTAGTTTGATGATATTGACAATCGAATAGGAATAATAGAGTTCTGTATTCTCGGTGATAGTGAACTTCTTGTTCTCCTTCCATTAATTTTTGCTACGTTTTGTCCCAAGCACGACAGCACACCACCTTCCCTACACCGGTACCGATGTCGCGTGGTGTCCGCTGCCCATACTAGTGCCTCCCATAGGCATCGGCGGCGGACTATCAAAAGGAAAAATCCCCCCTCCCCATATCGAAAACGAAATTTGTGATGCTGTATTTGAGTACACAAGTCGACTTGTAATGCTAGAAGGCCAAGAGACGCAGCTGTGGCCTCGTTTGCAGGCAATTTGTCATGCTGTTTCCCACTTCCAGCTGCCCCCTGTCATGCTGAAGATGCAAGTCTTTCCCACGCCAACCACCACTACAGTCCGCATCCTTTCCCTTCTAGCATGACAAACCTGATTTGTGGCCACAAATCTGCATCACAAATTTCTAGTTTGAGTATGGGGTGGGGGGATTTTTCATTTTGATACGGACTGCTTTTCGCGGCCATGCTCACATTCATCTTCGGCATAATCCCTCCTGGCGGCGTATGGATGTGTCAGGTTTGAAATCGTCAAAGTTGAAATAGTTTGCCATGCATAAAACGGATACCAGTTAGACCTACAGTTTGTAGTCGGTGCATGACAAATCTTCCCGGTCCTGGAAGCGAGTCTGTGATGCGGTTTAGGGTAAAAGAGCTGTCTTCTGGCATGCTAGTCAGCAGTCCAACTTTTGACCCTTGCCAGGACTATAATCTGCCTCCCGTGCGTCCTCTGCAGTAGAGTCACTTTTTGTATCGCATTTTATGCATGACAAATCATTTCAACTTTGACGATTTCAATCCTGACACATCCATACGGCGCCGGACCACCGCTTCCCATCTGCACTTTCGTCATGTTCAGGGGTTGGATGCCCATTTTTTGGATCACGGTTTTGTGGTTATGCTGCACGGCGTGGGGTTGATTCGCCGGCTGTATGCTCTTCTGATGTTGACCGTTAGCTCCTGGTTGATGACCACCAGCGGCCGCTGCTAGATACCCCCGCCCTGCTCCGGAAGTAGCGCTGCTCCTGGCGCTACTCTATCACAAGAAAAAGTGTTAACGTTAACAGTTTTATACAGATTGCAGCCATGCATCACAAATGTAGCTCAATATGCATGCTATGCATTACAAATTTTAGAATGTTTTGCGATGCATTGCTGCATAACAAATTCCGTTAACGTTAACACTTTTTGCTGTGATATACTCCGTGCGGAAATCATGTCGGGTTGTTTGTTTCGGGCCGATATGCATTGCAAAAGTATCGCACAACTCGTATAAATTGCATTACAAATTGACTTCGCATTACAAATTAAATCTGTAATGCGGATTTGCCTAAAAAAAAAAGATTTGTAATGCATAAATGCAATTAATACGTCGAGTACGTTACTTTTGCACTGCATAGCCGATGATGCGGCACTACTTCTCGACGACTGCACGACCACCGTGCGTTTTGGCGGGTTATGGGGCTCTCAAGCGTTACATTCTCAACTGGTACATGATTTGTCATGCAAAACTAGCATCACTATCCACACGATCTAGCTGCTTCGCATGACAAATTTCCAAAGGGCTAAACAGCAACGAATAATCTGTGCGGAGTTTGTAATGCTACAGGTGCAGCCTTCCCCCTTTGACTTTTGCTACTCTTGCATTAGAAATTCGTGTACGTAACTGTTGAGAAGGTAACGTTTGAGAACACCATACGGGTAAGAACTTGACTGTAGTGTGGGTTGTTGCCCTGCGGTTTCTTGCTGTGCAGCGGGTGCTGGCGAGGGCTGGTAGTCTTGCTGCGCCGCGGGGACAAATTCTGCGGAGGCTGTCGCACCTAGATACCAGGATTCAAGTTGAAAGTTGGGATTTATTGTAGCGAGAATAAAGGAGCATGAAGATGAAACATCCAACATAATGGCTAAGTCTACTTCAGGAGGGGGAGAAGAGATGTTGGTCAAAACTTGATGAAACTTGAACTACCACCATCCTAGATTCCGAGAACATCAAACTCAAAACTTTACCCTGACTACTTTCCGCGACGTGCGCCGGAGCTACTTCGACTACCCTTGTGTATCCTGTGCAAAAGTATCGCCTTCGTAGTAATCTAAGGATCGCAGTCATGCAGCATTACAAATATGAATAAGTATCCATCCCAAGGCAAAACAGCATTACAAATTACCTTAACCTTTGTCATGCTGAGCTAATTTGTATTGCAATTTACACTAGTACGATGCTTTTGCAATTCATATTGTGTCTATCGTTCCAATCTTCGACCTTTGCCACGGACCCGGGGGCTATCAAATGCAAAAGTGTCTGGGTCTGGAAGATTCTGAGACTTGTCATGCACGGTTTGCATGAGCCATGATGTCCGTGATGCATGCCCTAGCATCACAGGTTTTTTGAGGGATTCGTGACGCCTATTCCGCATGACAAATGTCCTCTCCGCGTAGCAAAAATTAGATTCCTTTTGCTGCTCATGCAACACAAATTTTTTTGACATCCAAATGCAGCGTCACAAGTTCCAACCTTCCAGACCCAGACACTTTTGCATTTGATAGGGGCTCGTGCGAGTAGGGGAGATACAGTGGCTTTGCGTTCCGGCCCTTGTGGTGCTGATAGGAATGATTCAGTTTTAATAGATCGATTGTCATGTTTGTTGCGTATGGCAAACTGACAAAGTGTTCTAACATTTGCATGACAAACAGAAGACAAACAAAAAACACATTCGTCTACTTAAGTACCTCGTTCGTGACAATGTCGAATCCGCGCTTCACTGGCTCTTTGAATCTGTCGATCGCGACCTTATTCATCCTCCTCTCCTCCGTAATCTGGTCGTGCCTGATGTCCTGCACGTGCTTGTTATGGTAGTCGATATAGCGGTATGCATTGCAGAAGTATCGCACTCCTCGTAGTATTTTGCAATACAAATTAGCTCGGCATGACAAATGGAATTTCTCATGCTGATTTAGCTTGAAGAAGAAATTTGTCTTGCTTGACTGCGATCAGTACGAGTACGATACTGTTGCACAGGATAGGCGGTTTTTGTACCGCTCCTTCGTTTCGTCTTCCGCCAAATCTAACCACTTCACCATGTCCACATTGTGCACCTCATCCGGACTATGCAATACAAATCTACCGCACACGACGCTGACGCACAAACTGCATCACAAATTTCGACCACATGATGAAAGTAGCAATCGTTTGTCATGCTGAGTTTGGTAGAACAAAACTCGTATCATGCAGAAGTGCCATTGAAAAATGTGCGGCAAATTTTTTACTATGGATACGGATTAATCACGCTGTAGAAAGCGCTCGGCCGGTTCTTTATCGTGGGTGGCACCTGCGCAAGCGCTATCAAATGTAAAAGTGTCTGGGTCTGGAAACTTGTGATGCTGGGTGGCGTATCATGAGGAGGCCACAAGTGCTGTCTCAGCAAGGCAAGTTTCTGAGCTTTAAGGTGTTGCCTATTCTGCATGACAAACTGCGTTTCTGCATGACAGAAAAGTGGCGCTCTTGGGTAACGTGCATGACAGCTTTGAGAGTCATGCCAGACAAGCATGACAAACATACACTCTTCCAGACCCAGACACTTTTACACTTGATAAGCGCTCGGTGGACCTGTTCCACCTCGTGGGCCTCCTGAAATTGCGCAATGCGCTCCTCTTCCGCCGGGTCGAGAAACCTTTTTTGTAGTGTGTTATATGCATGACAGATCCGTGGTTCTCATGCGCATGCCAAATCAAGTGCATAGCAAATGCAAAATCTACACAAAAAGACGACTTAATACTGTTGCGTCAGAGGGTTCATGCGGTTCCTGGTTCGGTGCTTCGCGGTCGCTTCCAACAAGTATGCGAGTGCACAACTCACCCTCTCCTGCATTTGTATAATGGCATGAACAGCAACACAAGCAACAGCAGAAAAGGGGTCTTCGCATGACAAATCTGCATGCGGATTGTAGTACTTACTATTTGAGGTTCCAAAATTTGTAATGCTAACAGTGCTTACGAGCAAGGTGTAGTGACTTTGGAATTTTGCATTACAAATGAAGAGGGGGAGGGGGAGTTCGAGTTGTGCACTCTCATAACAAGTTCAACTCGTAATCCCGCTTCGTCTTCTCCGAGTGGCTATCCTGTACAAAAGTATCGTACCCGTACTAGTCGCCGTCTTGCATGACAAATCCACCAAGTAAGGTAAACCAGCATTACAAATTGCATTTTTTCTCTTGAAAAAACTTGTCATGCAATTTATACTAGTACGATGCTTTTGCATTGCATAGTGGCTTGCTAGATACCGGTTGGTCACCACATTGAAGTCTTTCTGGAGAAAAGTTGGCACCATCCGCTGCTTCGGTAGCTTCTGGGCGGGTAAAGGCCGGGCTTCGGGCCGGTCGGGATGGTGGATCGATATGGCGTTCTCAAACGTTACATTCTCAACTGTTACATGGATTTGTAATGCAAGAACAGCAACAGTGAAAGTGGCAACGTTGCAGCTTTCGCATCACAGATTTTCCACAGAGTATCATGCTGTTGAGCCCTTCGAAAATTTGTCATGCTAAGCACCTTGATCAAGTGGAGGGTAGTGGCAATTTTGCATGACAAATCCGTGTAACAGTTGAGAATGTAACAGTTGAGAACGCCATAATCGAGACCGGAAGGTTTGACATGATATTGTAGTCGTAGAACCTTGAGATTTGAATTTGGTATCCTGAGTAGTTGTATCCGTGTCGTGGCATGACCAAGCCGTTATTTCTTCATGATCCTGCGCGAGCGCGAGAATCCGAAATGGACATGCTGTTGTTCGTTGCACCTTAACAAGATCTTCAAGGGTGTTGTGGAGGACCAAAACAGGCGAGTTTGTTGTACTTAGTTATACTTATATCTATATGTAATTGTACTAGAAGAGAAGTAACATTGATTTTTTTGGCACAGCGAACTGATTAGATTTCCAAAAAAAATGTAAAATTTATACGAGTCAGGAAATTTCCGTTTCCCCACTTTGCTTGGTTTCAGGCTCTTGTCTGCTATGTCTTCGCCCAGACCCGAGAGTTTTGAGGCGTTATTGATGATGTCGAAGCTGAGACGAGTTTTTTTTTGTGGTCCGAGCATCAGGAGTAAGATCTGTCAGGCGCATTGTGCATCACAAGTCGACCTGACAATTACCATGCTGGCGCACCACAATCATTCCTCATGCGCGTTGTGCATCACAAGTTCATCTTTAGTACTTGTTCTCCCGTAGTAGCTGGATATCCTTTGCTCGATTTAGATGCTGGACCCGACACCGCTCTTCTATTACTCGCTGGCCCTTTTCCTGTGATAGCGGTTTTTCCTTGATAAAGTCATGAATTGTCCGCCTGCTTTTTCATTCTAGTAGAAATGCGTGGTTGTGCATGATAGATCCTGGTGATCAATGTTGTTTTCAAAAGTTTGTGATGCAAAAATCCCTACTTATACCTTGTCATTGTCCCTGAATTTCTGTAGTAATGGGTCGTAAACTCGCTCCTGTTCCTTCATCATGCCCAGCCTGATATTGATTTCCGGCCCCTTCAGCGTGTCTATCCAGGAAAAGACACCCATCCCCATCAATTTTTTGCATGACAAATAGCGGATTTTATGGCTGTTTTGCATGACAAATCGGATGGGGATGGGTGTTTTTTCCTGGATAGTGTCCGGGTGTATCACATGCCGCTTGCCGTACTCGTATTGCCTGGATGGTTTTGATTTCGACAGTGGTACTTCTAAGCAACATCTTCCACAAGCACAACTTCAAGGGACTGCATCAACAGCAGCACGCATGAAAAATGTATGCCATGCCGTCCTGTCTTTCACGCATGACAAACATCAAAAGATTAATTCTTACCGCATCGAGTCGCCCCAGGTTGCCGCGTTGTTGCTTTGTAATTTCTGTATGTCGATGGGCGGCTCCCTTTTTGTTGACGAGCTCGACTTTCCCACCTCCGCTGGCGTCAGCATCCGGTCTGACACGGCTTTGTTCGAAGGTTTTCTCGTCTCCACTGCTGCCCCGGAAGGCTCAGGCATGGGCAGGTCCATGCGGCTTGCCGTACGCCCGGCTGCCGGCGGGCCGTCGGCCATGTTTGTTGAAATAACTGCCAGAAGGGGATAGTACAATGCGAATGCCCTCTTGCAGCTTATTTTCCGCTAGGTTCAACACACGCACGAATTTTATTGTCGTGTCTTTTTAAAAATTGAAATATTGTGCTTGTTTCAACGAGGAAATGACTCGAGGATATGAATATGATCACATCTCGAGAACTAAAATTATTTTTACTTCTCGAGATGTGAAGATACGAATAGAACGGTGCTCCTGCTGCTGCTGCTGAAAAGCTACGACAAATTTCCAGCAACAAGCGACGCGAGCGCTCTCGTGCTCTACTCCAGCAAGCTTCTCTTCAAAAATACGTCACTCTACGTCTACACGAACCACTCGCACTCGTCAAGCAGTCCTAGAACTAAATATGACTGATGTCGACCACGAAAAAATATCTGGAGCTGCACGCTCCACGAACGAATTTCTAGAAGACCACGACAACAAGCAGGAGGGGCGAACCAATCAAAAGAGTTTTAGGTTTTATTGTTGTTCCTCGTGCACCAAAAGCGAGGAGTTGGTAGGAACTTCGGTTCAACTTTTTTCGAAACGCACAACATTATCGTATATCATTTACAAGATTATAGACCACTACAACATACAACTGCAACCGGGTTTCTTTCTTCTGCTGTATTCTCGGGTATTTTTTTTGTCTTTCTAGGAAACGAATTTCTCAAGTTTATTCTGTTGCGAGCTTGTATGGAAGCGTCAGGTTTGAAATCGTCAAAGTTGAAATAATTTGTAATGCATAAAATGCATGACCCGAGGCACGTATGTTGCAGAGCAGGGAAGTGAGGCCGATTGTAAGCCTGTTTCTTTGGGGTTACAGCTCGAGCTGCTAAAGTAGCATGAGAAAATCGCTCTTCTTTGCCTAAAAAGCATGACAAACTGGATTTTGGGACCAACGAAATTTGTCTTGCGCCGCTTGGAAACTGGGTTCCAACTCAACTGGCATCCATTTTATGCATGACAAATTATTTCAACTTTGTCGATTTCAACTCTGACACATCCATAGCTTGTTGGTAAGCACGTGCTACTTCTACTTCTACTGGGAGCTAAAAATCTTGATTACAAACTACTTGAGGCAGTGGGGACATCAAACCAATTATTGCGTAGCGGTTGGTGGAAGGCGAGCAAGGCATATGTACAAATTCTAGCACTCGTTTATTTTTTGCACCTGTATTCTCGAGTATGTTTCATCGTCCGCTGTAGTCAGCGCTACCGCGTCGGTATAACTTTTCGGCCTTCATCTCAGTTCCGCTGGCCGAATAGATGGAGCAAGTGGAGAAAGAGTTGGATGATGTCCATGTAGAGGGTCAATATCAACTGCAAATATGTTGTCTGGGTCTGGGCGGATGAAACTTGTGATGCTAGTACCCTTGAACTCTACATAAAACCTCTATTGCGTCGTGAACACTAAAAAGAGGTCCCGTTTTTGCCACGCGAAGAGGGCATTTCTCATGCGGTATGAGCATCAGAATCAGAAAGCTTTGGCAGAATCTATGATGCTGGGGCATGCATCACAGACATCATGGCCATGTAAAATATGCATGACAAACTTGGCACTTTTCCAGACCCAGACATACACATATTTGCAATGCATAGTCAACGCCGCGAAACAGTAGTCATCCATCGAAAATTGGAAGCGGCGGTGCTTTCCCCCCACAATCATTTGCACGTCGTATACCAGATAAAAGCTGAACAGCAACGCTGCTAGCCCGGAGTATATCGCACGAAAAAACTGTTTCACTGTAAGGATTTTGCAAGTTTTGCATTACAAGTTTGTTACACATGACACTGAAAGTCTGTCATGCGCACTTCCCAAGGAAATACACGCTTCAAAATCCAATGCGTTGCAGGTGTAGCAAGACAAATAGTTCTGTGTTTCATTTTCTGCATCACAGGTTCACAGTGAAACAGTTTTTTCTTGCGATAAAGTAGACCACCTCGACAATGCGCGACGCGGGGAGGAACCTTGGAGGTTTGATGTCGTGATATGCAATACAAATTTCCCGTACATGTACAAGATGCATCACAAATTCTACCAATTTGAAGCGTGAAACTTGTCATGCTAAACTAGAATCGAAGGCAAGTTTTGTCATGCGGAGACCGCATTTGTACGTGTACGGGAAATTTTTTACTGTGGATACTTGATGCGCGAATCCTATTTCGAAAGTCTTCATGTCATGCAGGAGAACATCAGTAACTAGGAGCACCGCGAGTACTACAGTTGCAAATTATGAAAAAAAAAAAAACCTTGAAATTAAAATTATTATTCCCAAAAACTATACATGAAAAACAGTCCCATCAGGCTGAGGCACATGACCCCCGCGAAGAGATACGGGCCGGCGCCGGTGAAATCGTAGGTCGTCTGACACGCGAACAGGGTTATGACAGTGCACAACTCCCCCTCATTTGTCATGCAAAAACCCAAATCCAGCTGCTACCTTGTGGCACCGCGCGCATGACAAATTCCGGAAAAAATCCAAACAGTACTACAAACACTTGGCGCATGAAGAACTTGATGTCATGCACAGGGTCCACCTATACTGGTGTTTGTAATGCTGTCGATGCCATACAAATGAGGGGGAAGGGCGGGAACAGTGCACTCTCATAAGCATCAAGCCGAGCACGATGACCGCCGTCATCCCGGCAACGCCCAGCACCGTCCAGGTTGTGAATCTCGCGCACGCAATCCCGCAGATCAGCCCAAAGGCCAGCGTAAACACGAACAGAAAGATGTAATTTTTGGGGTACACGCGCGTCACCGTGGGGTCGCAGAAGCTGTAGCACAGCATGGCGCAGGGGAGAAACGTGGCGAAATATGAACTGCAAAAGTATCGCACTCGTATAAATGCATTGCAAATTTCCTCAGCATGAGAAATAAAATTTGTAATGCGGATTTACCTTAAGAGCAAGATTTGTAATGCATGTTTGCAATTACTACGAGTGCGATACTTTTGCACAGGATACGAACACGACCAATGCCATGTTGTTCTGGATAAACCGCCATCCCTTGCAAATATGTCTGGGTCTGGAAGATTGCCAGATTGGTCATGCATTTTTTGCATGACCCGTGGAGCCTGTAACGCATGACCTAGCATCACAGATTTTTGGATGGCTTCCTAATGCCTATTCCGCATGAGAAACGCTCTCTCCACGTAGCACAAACTGGACTCCGACGTTTGCTGGTCATGCAATACAGATTTGTTTAGAATCCAAAGACAGCATCACAGGTTGGATCCTCGCAGACCCAGATGACATATTTGCACTTGATAACTGCCGCGCTTGGAGCTGGTACAAGACGAACGGAGCCGCGATCGCGGCCGTGATCAGCAGCTGGCATCCGGTGAGCAGGAAAACTTTGCGAACGAAGCCGTGGCGGGCGTTGATTTCCAGGTTCTCGATGTAGTGATCCCGGGAATCCTCATTCGGATCATCGAGGTTGTTTTGCTCGATGCGACGGTTGGGGTCAACGGAGCCATAGTTCATACCGACTCCGCCACCATACCCGCCGGCAGCGACGGGGCCGCGCATTTTGGATTTAGATTTTGGATTCCTCAGTAGTCCTCACGCTAAGAAAAGAACAATGCAATTTTTTCTGCTTGTTGTCTACATCACACCAAACTACTCGATGGACCGTTCACCCGACTGCCGGAGTCTACTCTCCGAGCACGACTAAGTACAATTTTCCGTATCACCTTCGACGAAAATAACGACAACCAGAAGGAAGCGCTCTCTCCATCTCGAATACTTCGACTTTGACACGACTTCTCAACAGACCTTCAGAATAAAGACGGTTTATCATCCGGAGCGACGATCGCCGAACAGAAAAGGCTGAAGGGTTTTTTCGTAGTTTTCATCTCCAGCTCCGTCGTAAGCCGGGCGGTACGACGAGGACGACGGACCTGGCTGAAAGGCACGCTGATCATGATCAGGTGTCCAAGTTTCGTGATTTCTTAGGTGGAAACCTTATAAACTTTCTCTTGCGCAAAACAAAGCTACCAACACTAGTTCAACGTCACAACATGAAGAAAGCCACAAAAGTGGACGAGAAGTACCCTCGGGAGAAAAGGGCTTTCCTCGTCAGTTCAATTCATGATTTTCAATCGCAGCAGAATTATGATTTCTCAAAATCTATCATCTGTGGACGTTCTGGCTGGTCGTGTCCCTTTCATCGAAAGTAGGTTGAGGTTATTTGTCCCACCTGCTGAATCAAATTTTCATCCTCGGATCAATTTTGTACACTTTAGTTTGACGGCGCAGTTCAAGATTTAATTTCGATGATGCGTGACCACGGCAATGCCTGGCCGAGGACGAGCTTGTCGGAACTACATCAAAGTGGCTTGTACTTGTTGTAATAAACGGCGTTCTTGTACGATAGAGTTAGAGGTAGTAGTAGCTCAAGGGAACAATTAAACCAAAAAGTTCTTCGTTTGTAGTTGAAAACCGCGACTGGTGCGCACGCGCAGGCATTCGTCTGACCGTGGTCGCCATCTACTTGATGTTAGAGTATAGTCGGCAGAAGTAGATCGACGTGCAGCTGATACTGATAGTTCTTACCCGCATTATTTCTTGCGCCGTCGGCTACTTCTCGTATTTGTTGATTTCAAGCTCAGAAGCTTGTTGAGGTGGGGGTAGATTGGTATAGTCGAATCGTATTCGTAGGTATTGATGGAGTGGCGTTATTGCGGCCGTTCGTTGTATTGCTTGTGGTTCTTTTAGTTGAGTTTCTACTACTCCTGAGAGGGCGGGAAGATGGAAAGCGCACTTGTACTAGTTCTTGAGCGTTCAACATCTTCAAGTAGTTGTGAATTGTTGCTGCGTAGTGGTCCTGCTCCGTATTACTGTTGATCTGTTTACCGTCGCTCCCCCATGATGCGCAAGATGTGCAGCATATCAAGCAAAAAAGTGCCAACGTTAACGGTTTTCACAGAATGCAGCCACGCATGACAATTTTTGCCTCGTGAGCATGCTACGCATGATAAATTTGGGGGGCACCTTTTGTGGTGCATTACTGCATGACAAATTTCGTTAACGTTAATAACACTTTTCCCTGTGATACAGGAAGAGGTTGATAATGTCCATGTACAGATTCAGGGCGGCGAAGCAGTATTCGTCCACAGCAAAGCGGTGGCGGTGGTGCTTCCCTCCCACAATCATCTGCGTGTCGAACACGATGTAGAAGGAAAACAGCAACGCAGACAAACCCGAGTAGACGATCTCGACCGGCCGGGAGTACGGGACGAACATCAGGATGAAACTGGTCAGGCACAGGCACATCAAGGCGCAGAACTGGAGAGTTGTATAGGGGTTTTTGCTTGTGGAAATATTTTTCATGTAGTTTTAGATGGCAATAATTTATTGCATGACAGAATCCCTTCCTCATTACAGACTTCGCATCACAAGTTGTACCAGGAACAGGTAAACCTAAACTATACCAAGTAGGGCCCGAACCCGGTGAAGTCATACGTCGTCTGGCACGCGAAGCCGATCAGACTCAAGGTGATGCACGCCGTGATCCCTGCCGCGGCCAACACGGAAGCGGTTGTGTACATCGAGCACGTGACGCCAACGATGAGGCCGAACGCGAGCGTGATCATGAGCAGAAAGAAGTAGTTTTTCGGGTATTCACGCGTGACGGACGGGTCGCAGAAGCTGATTTTTTTGTGTATTAGAAATTTCGATCCTTGTGTCTGTTTTTTCCCTGGCAAGAATTAAAATTGTCGGCGATTCGAAGATTCACTTCTCAGAGTCATGTGTATTGCACTATACCAATCCAATAGGAGAGCATGTGCATGTTCTTGAGGATGGCTGTTAGTGATGATGTGTAAATGCACAAGCACATCATTCCATTAGTTCTTGTACCTGTAGCAAATCAGAATGATGGGGATCAGCATAGCGATCGTCAGAAGGGCCTGGTTTTGCTGGATAAATATCTTCGCGGATTCGTGGTAGGCCACGAAGGGGAAGGCGATTGCGCTCGTGATTAGCAGCTGGACGCCCACGATACTGAACACCTTCCGGACGAAACCGTGCCGGACCGCCGTGTCCATTTTATCTGTCAGAACGTCGGCGGAACCTGTTTTGATGGGTTTTTGTTATGCTTCGAGAAGTTCCACTTTCTCATTAGTTTCAATCCATGCTGTTACAATTGGAATTGCAAATGCAAATGCAATTCCAATTCTGCATGACAAAATGAAAAACAGCACTGGAGTTTAGTAGTACCGGCAATGGGCTCGTTCTCGTACTGCGGGTTAGATTCCATCATCTTGTCTTTACTGGTGTTTTTACTTTGGCCTCAAATTTCCACTGCAAGAGCGTCTACAACTTCACTTCCCAGTAAGTAGGTGTACTTTATTGCGTCTTCTATCTCGTTCTCGGTCTACTCTAGTACTTCCAGTTCCAAATATATAATAAAGCAGCGTTCACTACTACGGTGCGAGTAGAGCCTCCTCAACTACAGGCTATAGATGCACGAACAAAGGTGATGGAGTGTTGTTGGGCTGGAGGAGGTGGAGGACTAGAACAAACATGAGACAACATTACGACTTCAACAACGACAGAAAACAAGAGGTAAAAGTAGGTCTTAGTGCCCACCAAAATTTCGCGTGGAAGTGGTCACGAAGAAAAATACAAAGAGAAAGACAATAAGTGGGTACAATTTCAAGGGTAGTTGTACATTCAGTGCTGCGGGTCGTGGTGGCAAATAAGTACATTAAAAAGCAGACTCAAACATCAGGAGTTTCGAACATCGAGGCACCTCCTGCGTCCATAGCTGCACAACCGCCGATTTCGACGGAAGCTTCTTGCTTTTTTGCAAAATATCGTGCCGACGCAAAGTACCACATGCCGATCCACCGATGCAGTTGCTGTTTTTCGGATGTTGAAACTGCTCTCTTCAAAAAGTTCTTCTACTCGCGTCAACCGACTACGCGACAACAACAATCTCAAGACCGATGCGATTTAGCGTTTTTTCAATTTCATCTCATCAACTCTTTGTCTCCTCTCAATAGCTCCTCCTCAGTCTATCTGAGCTCGGAGAGAAAGAACACGAAAAATATTCGTTTGATTGAAAATATTCATTTGAATAGGGGAGGACGGAGAGATGACGAAGATAAGGAGAAATACAAAGGAAAAGAAGAGAAAAGAAAAAAGAAATAAAAGAATAAGAAAAAGAGAAACCAAAAGCATAAAAAAGGCAAAGAATTGGCGAAAATATTGCGAAAATATTCGTTTGAAAAAAATATATCTTTGAAAAGATATATCCTTTTGGTTGACTGGTCTGGCCTCGGCATCCTTCTTGGCCTCAGAAGGCCTCAGAAGGCCACGGCGGCCTCAGTCAGAAGGCGAAGGAGGGCCAGGGCGGCCTCGGAAGGGCCGAGAAACCCTCAATATGCAGTTATCTATCTACTTCGGGCAGAAGGGAGCCTAAGACGTTGCTTCTTCGGGAAGAGTGAAACAAAGACTCTGACTCGCAGAAAGGTGCTTGCAGGCGCGACCTGAGCGATTGCCAGACCGCGACGGCCTGCACGACTGCACCCGCAGCCGCGAGCGTGCCTCCTCATTCCCGAAGCCCACACGCATCCCCACAGCCTCTGTTTCTCCCGATTCCTCGACTTACGTTGCTACCTACGCCCTTCGCTAGTCTCCCTCCCGCCCTTGCGTGCCCCATGGCTTCCTCGGGTTTCCAGGATTCCCCACACGAAGCGCAAGCGCGCTGGCGAAACAGAGACTCGAGCAACAGGCGCAGTGGTTTTTCTCTCAGAAAAAGACGGCCAGCAACAGTAGACGTATTTTTTTGGCGGGCTATTTCTTGAAGTGACTTTTACCCGGGCGGGCATGCGGCTTTCGCAGCTCCCAGCCTTGGAGACAGGGCGGGAATGCGTGGGGCCTTTAGAGGAGCATGCCCGCCACGCTGCGCGGGGAGCACGAAAAACCTAGCTACGCTGAATGGCACGGCCAGCGCCCGGGCGTTTCGTTGATAACACCCGCCGGAAAATCCCCGGGCGCGAACAATGCGCGAAGTGAGATTAATAGAGAAAAACCAGGGCGGCGCCCGGTCGACGGACAAGAGAAAAACGCTCCGCGCCCTCAGTCGTCGCCCCACACTCTCACGCCAAGGCCCCTGCGCGCGCCTAGCGGGCGAAGAGCTTCCCTATCCGATCAACCCCCAACTGTCTGCTTGACGAGAAGAAGGCGCGCGGCGCCTGCAGCCAGGCTAAGGCGTCTGTGCGCGCGCAGCGCAACGGCAATTTTTTTCCAAGGCAGGCCACCATTGTCGAAAGCGAGAAAACAACTCCGCGCGCCTGCTTCGCGCGCGACGCAGTTTCTCCCTCCCAGTTACCGGCTGGCGGGCGCGAAAAAATTTTCCGATCGCGCTCTCCTGCAAAGGCGCCCGCCAAAGGGCGCGCGCAATACAGGAAAACTTTTTTCAGGCAAGCCCCCACCTGCCGATCGCGAAAAAATTTTTCGTGCTATCAGATCGAAGCGCCTGCGCTTGCGCCCGCAGCGTGTGCGCGCACTTTTTTTCCGTAAAAACCCCGGCTACAGAATAAGAGTAGAGCTCCGCCCTGCGCGCGCTCTCAGGCCGCGGCGCCTGCCCGCAACGCCCGACAACTTTCTTCCCTCCAGTTTCTGTTGCCGGGCGCGAAAAAATTTCCTGCGCGCGACCTCAGACCAAGGCGGCAACGAGCGCGCGCGGTGAAAACTTTTTACAATCAGGCCTCCGCGTGCCGGTCGCAAAAAAAAGCTCCACCCTTTGGGGCCGAGACGCCTACGCGCGCGCAGCGCGCGAGTTTTTTTTTCAAACAGAGCACCCCTTCCCCCGACGGGCTGCCGGCCGTGAGCAAAGCTGTCCGCGTTCTCAGGCGCGCGCGCGCAAAATTGTCGCCCGGCCAAGCTGCGACTGCCGGGCGCGAAAAAAATTTGCGACCAAGCCCGCCGGCCAATCAATCCGGCTAGCCCCCCCAGGAAAGCTTGACGCCCCTATGGCAAGGCGTCTGCGCGCGCGCAGCGCGCGAAGAATTTTTCTCCGGCAAGCCACCCGCTTCCGCACGCGACAGAAACTTTGCGCGCTCTCAGTCCAAGGCGTCTGCGCGCACGCAACGCGCGCGCGAGAACTAATTTTTTCCCCGACAGGTCACCGGCTGCCGGACGCGAGTAGAGCTCTCCGCGCCCCCAGGACGCGCGAGAGCCTACGGAGGTGCCTGCGCGCGGTGCTTAGGTGTCTGCGCGCGCGCAGCGCGCGAAAATTTTTTTTCCTGCTAGCCCCCGACTACCGGGAGCGCTGCAAAAAATTTTCGCCGCACCCAGGCCGAGGCGCCTGCGCGCACGCAGCGCGCGAGCGCTTTTTCATTCGTCGGCCAGACCCCGGCTGCTGGCGGGCGTGAAGCAGCATTTTTGTCGCGCCCCCACAAGGTCGGAGCGCCTGCGCGCGCGCAGCGCGCGAAGAAAATTTTTCGGCCAACCCCTAACTACCGAAGCAAGTCAGGGCGCCTGCGCGTGCGCAGCACGCCACGTCTTTTTTCTCGGCCGGCCGCTGCCCCTGATTGCCAAACGCGACAAGGGCATCGCAAGCAACTACCAAAACCACGGCGCCTGTGCGCGCGCAGCGCGCCGATTTTTTTTTTCCCGCCGTAAGAGCACAAAACACCACGCGCACACCATCACCAGTACCAATGATGGCGCCGAAATAGGCGCGCGCAATAAGCAAAAGGCTTTTTCCTGGCCCCGAGCGCAGGCTGGCAGAACACGAAAAGGCGCTCGCGCTCTTCCAAACAAAGCAAAAAGCCGAAGCGGGCTCTGCTTGCGCAAAACATTTTCGCGACCGGCCGCCGACCGCTCGGCTCGCATAGCACTACACATCTTCCCAACGTGCGCAACTAGAAATAAGTAAACCGACCCACTTGCGACAATTGCGCCGCATTCTGCCCAAAGGGGCCAGGAAACGGATGCAAGCTTCTCGGTAGCGGAAACACGTGCGCAACTGCAACAAGGAACGGCAACTGCAGCAAAGCTATGTGTTCAAGATAGAAGGGATCGCAGCGCGACTCCTCTGTCCTAGATCGCCCGCAGGTCACAAACGCCGCACGGTGTCCAATGTCGTTCGCGACGCCGTTCAATGCGTTACCAAACGAATATTTTTTATCAGAAGTATATTTTTGGCGCGAAAAATATTCGCTTGATTAAAAATTGGCTTGTGTTCTTTTTTTTCTAAGCCTCCAACCACTCTTGCTCTTGAAAGAACACGATTTATTTTTACGATCATGCGAACGCGAAGGTCACAAGGCAACAAAACTACATGGATGAAAGGAGAACTACTTACGAGGCTCCCGAGAAAAGGAAAAGAACTTGATGGCGCATCACGAGCATGATGGCAAATAAGGTTCACTGTTTTTTTACTCGTGGAGGTCCTGCAAGATGAACATCACTGCGTCGACGTGCGACACACTCCTACTTTCCTCCTAGCAAAAAATAAGTAACCACATCTGGCAAAGAACAATCCACTACGTCCACCTTCCTCCCGCTCCCGTCAAATGCACCGGTGGAATGTTCTATGAACGCGAAAAACCAGCTGCAAGATAAGGCCATTTTCGTTGTTCATGCAGCACATGGACATGCATCCGTTCTTTATCATCTCGCTCTCGCATATAATTTAGACTTCGAGGTAAAGAAAAATAAGATCCAGATCGCGGTACACAGGAGTGCAGGAATGCAAGAAACCGCCTGTGGTCTTGTCCCAGATGAAGACGAAGATCGGCCATATAAACACAGAAGTTCTACTTATTTGTGTAGTACCCAAAACGGTACTAGGGGTAGAAGGGCTTGTGATTATGCCGCATCAGCACTTCCTGATCTTCATATTCGACCTCGATGAAGCTATCAACAAGGTTTTTCGCTTTCGTATTCCCATAGGCGGGGGTGGGGGCACGAAGTTTGGCGAATTTGGATCCTTGGAGACCCGTTTTCCGTGGAAATTCACGTTCTTCGCCTTGATCTTCTTGTAATACTGGGAAGATGCTGCAGTAGAAGTAGAATTCTTCTTCATCCCGCCCCTAGTGTTGTATCTCGGCGGAGTTCTTGACAGCTTGTACGGCGATAGCAAATCCCCGCCGTCGTCCGAGGAAAGGCTCGCCTGCGATAAGCGTCGCCGCCTGTCTGGGTCCCCCAGGCCTAACCCACGCATATCCCCATTTAAATCAAGTACCAACGTCTCGTTCCTGAAAGTAAATCTGTCATGTATGTTGTCCGCACGATCATCGTATCCTCTCATATTTGTGTGTTCTTGCATCACGACAAACTGTCTTTTGTAAGGGCGAAGACCGTGGTGATTTCATTCTGTAGGATACCGTATCGGCGAGATCGAGGCAGCGGCGCCGAGCCGGGTCGGGGGAAGTGGGAGAGGTAGGCGGGGAAGGGGAAGATTGTTGTGAGATATGAGAGTGCACAAAACCCCCTCAGCCTTATTTCTATGGCATGAACAGCAATACAGGCATCAGCAACAATGCAGGTTTTGCATGACAAATTTGCAGCAGAGTGTAGTGCTATTTGGGGTGCCATAACTTGTCATGCAAACAGTGCCAAGAGGGGGCAAGGTGTGGATTTGGTATTTTGCATGACAAATGAGGGCGGGGAGTTGTGCACTCTCATATGAGGGTGAGATGCTGCAGTGGAGTTGATGTTACTGCTGCTTCGCTCACGACCGCCGCTTCTTCCTGTAATGCTATTCAGAAAACCGCCGCGCGAAGCGCTATAGGATCTGCTTTTGGAGGATAGTTTCCCGCGTCCGGGTAGCCCACCTGTCATGCCGCTTTGCTCGAGCAACACATGGTGGTACAGCTCCGGGTATCGCACGAAAAAGTGTTTTAAAACGGTTACAACTGTCGAGGAAATTTTGCATGCAGTAAGAACGCATGAGAGAAGTTGTTTGTTCTTCCTGCATAGCATGCATAAAAAGAGAGAAGATCTGTCATGCGTGACTGCAGTTCCTCAAAACTGTTGATGCCTACACGACTCTATAATTTCTGGTTGATATCGGATCTTGCTCGTACAGAGTGGAATACAGCTATCCAAAAAAAAAAAGAGCCATCCCCCTGCCTTCCCCATCCATCTCTTGTATGACATGTAGCGAGATCTTGTGCGTGTTTTGCATGGCAAATTGGCTGAGAATGTTATTTTTTTTTGTGCATAACAGCTTCCGAATCGATCTTTCCCGTTTTGATGTCGTGCTCCGGTGGTCGTGCTTCGTCGATGTGTATTTGGCCTGCTGATCGTGGTTTGCAAAAACACCACCACCCCCGGTACTGACAATCGCCGCCTCGGGGTCGGGAACAAACAAATCCGGGTCAAATTTCTTCCGGAAACAGCAGTAGTGGAGCACCGTGTAAAACCCGGTCGCGAAACAGCTATGCATTGCAAAATTTTTATCGCACTGGTACTACTAATTGCAGTTATGCATGAAGGTTGTAGTTAGGATGAATCAGCATGACAAATTCCATCTGTAATGCGGGTCCAGCTACTTCTAATGCAATGTCTCCTTAAAAGTACGATGTTTTTGGTTTTGCATGGCATAACAGCAGATGATTAGCAACCCGATGAAAATCACAATTGGGTTCTTTTCCTTATGGGATTCTCAATTGTTACACTCTCAGCTGTTACATGAATTTGTGATGCAAAATGACCATGAGGCGCCAGACGATCAAGCTGCTTCGCATGACGAATTATCGAAGGGCTAAACAGCATGTAGATCTGCGCGAAACTTGTGATGCAAGACTTGCCACCTTGCCCCTTTCCCTCTTGCTGTTTTTGCATCACAAATTCGTGTAACAGTTCAGAATGTAACATTTGAGAACTCCATATTCTTTCAAAATCTCCACTTCGTAGATGTTGACCAGCAGATCGTGGAAGGATTTATTGTCTAAAAATTAACCATCCCCATCCAATTTGTCATGCAATACATGTAGTAAAGTCAGTGTTTGTCATGCAAAAAGTGCATGGGGATGGTGAATTTTCAGGAGATAGGACTCCGGGTGGTCGAACGACAGCTTCTCGGTTTGCAATCCGTTTTTATCCTTCAACGCACCGTAGCTGTCGTCATCGCAAACGAATTCGTAACGGGAGCCGTCTTTGCACCGCAACTTGGCCGAGGAACAGCCGTTGTTGCAGTAGGTTGTGAAGACTCGTTTTTCCTCCTCTCCGATCCGGAACATGGGCAGTATCCAGAGTAAGAGCCTTGCCGTAGAAGTACTACTTCTCGCGGGGCTGACCACATGTAGTATCATTGTTGCATCACAATAATTTCATGTACGCTAGTTGTACCGTCCTTTTCAGCACGACAAGTATCAAGTTCGTTTGCTTTCAAGAATTGACTGCTTCCCAGTTGTGAATTCAACTTTGTGAAGATGCACTTGGTGCACCGCTTACGAGTCCGCCTCCCTCGTGTAGCTGTACGGCGGCAAGACATAAATTTCTCTTGCATAGGCGCGTAGCTGATCAGACAGGTGCTGCTCACCAGTTTCAGGTCCGAATCCGCCTGCTCCTCGGTGCAAGTGCAGCCGTTCTGCACACCGTTCAGGAGGGGTCGAAACAGTTCTCCAGATTTGCAGATGCAGTTCGAGTATCAACTGCAAAAATGTCTGGGTCTGGAAGAATGCATGTTTGTCATGCTTGTCTGGCATGACCCTTAATTAAATCTGTCATGCACATTACCCAAGAGCCCCATCTTTCTGTGATGCAGAAACGCAGTTTGTCATGCAGAATAAGCAACACCTAGAAGCTCAGAAACTTGTCATGCTGATCCAGCATTTGTGGCCTCATCATGAGACGCCACCGAGCATCACAAGTTTCCAGACACAGACATTTTTACATTTGATATCGAGGGAAACACGTTGTTGTCCGCTGCGGTACATTGCGGAATCGAGTGGGGCTCGTTGACAGCGCGGCTATCATGATTTTTTATGAAAATGCAGAACTCAACTCCCCCTGCCCTCATTCTATGTCATGCAAAGTTATCAACTCAACGCATGGTCGTGCCGTGTTCTAGGTGGTGTAGCTTTGAAAGCGTGTTGACATCAAGCAGCTTCAGAAGCTGACGCTGCAATACAACACTGGTCCGCTTGTAGGTGTAGCTTGTTGAGCTTAATCGTGCGAAACGAAACCCTCCAGTGTACTTACTGGTGTTCGTTTGGTTTATTATCACCGCCCTTCAATACCAAAAGAGGGCATCAACAGGGAGCTCTTCTTGTGCACTTTCGTACTTTCGGAAGATGCTGCACTACTGCTGGCCGAGGAGGACGAGGCGGAGACTACAGCGACCGTGCTACAGGAAAACAAAACGCAAAGCAGCACTGTCCGCGAAGCGCGACGAGAAAGCATGGAGAAAGAACGACGTGAAAACAGCACCATCTTGTCCTCGTTACGAATCTTCATAGGGATCAAGATGATCAAAATGAAGGTCGTACGTCAACGTCGAGAAGAGCAATTCAAGTACTTATTATCCTCGATACAGGCACTGCATTTTCCTTGGTCGTGATCACGAACTTGTGATACAACAGACAGCTGTTGGTCAATATTTTCTACTCATCTCTCATTCACTTCAACTCTTCTACTTTCTGTTTGCCACCCTCGTCCGCTGTCTTAACCGTATGCTTTTTTCTTCATCTAGAACAATACTCTGCCCGCTCTGGAACGAAACTACTCTTCGTCGTTACAACACAGGTTACAGAACAGCCTGAATACCCAGACAATCCCTTTCACAATAAACGGAAACGCTACGAAATAAGCCAGGAAAAATGTCGCGGTCGTTGTTGTCCCAATTTCTTTGGTGCGACCACAGCTGCCATGTTGTTGTACAAAAGGTAAGCAAACCACGCCTGGTGTTTCCGCTGTGACAATACAAACCCGTAAAACGACAGATCACTACTTTGAGATATGGAGATCAGCGGCAAGAAAAAAAAATGAACTTTTTCAGTAATAGCGTAAATGCTGCGAGCCGAGTAGCAGCTCCGTGCAACTTTCATCAGTAAAGGAAAACTATACTGTAGTAATCGTAAAATGTAAATGAATGCTAAAAATTACAAAGATTCAAAATAATGGAAAACGAAGAAGCAAGACATAGCTTCGATGTGAGAAGATGAAGATGCGCCATGTACCTTCGATGGCGCGTTCTGCTTGTCATACAACATCACCTCCATCTCACGTGTTCACTGCCCAATAAAACCAAAGAAAAAGACGACTGCTCGTCCAACATTTTACATCCCCTTTCCTTCTTCACTCCGCTGCCGACACCACGGCTTCATCCGAGTTGTACGAGTATTCCGAAGAGGATCCAGAGAGCACGGTGTAGGCGTCCGCGTGGCCCTATCCAGGAAAAAAAACTGTGTAAGTGTAACTTTGTAGGAAGAGCAGCATCACAAATTCGCTTTGCATTACAGGGAAAACCTGTCATGCGTAGCTAGTACGTGGAAACGCGTATGATAGTAGCCTATGACGCACTTCCAGCATGACAAGTATAATTGTTTTGCATTTTCTGCATCACACATTTACACTTACACAGTTTTTTTCTTGCTTAGGCCCTCGCCCCGCCTTCTGCGCTGGTCCCTCGAACGATCTGCGGACCGGGGGCTGGAGTTTGCTAGTATCGTAGGGAACAAAAATGAACTGCCCCTACTTGTACTCGCCCTGCTTGCTCATTATGTAAAAGTAGTTCTTTTTTTTCTCATGCAAAAACCCCATCTACGTTACTACGAACTGCAGCTCGAAAAGCAGAAACTGCATCATGATCATCTTCTTGCTTAATATCCTTGTGCTTAAATACGGAGTATTGTGATGGGCATAGGGAAAAACAAGCAACGGGGCAGCAGCTGTCCTCAGACTTTGGATACTTTTCGAAGAATGAAATGTGGACGATGTCGCAGACGAAGAGCTGCTGCTTTTCTTCTTCTTGTATCACACAGAAAGAAGCAGGTAGGTCAGATCATTTGTAACGCAAAAATACACAAAAAAATCAAATCTGTATGGCATATCCTAAACAGCAGGCTATGAGACCGCCCATGACAGACGTTTCTGTGTATTTACTTTTGCATGAGAAAAAATATCTATGACCTGCCTGCTTTTTTCTGTGGAATATCTTGCAGCACGGGCACATTTGCGCGCAACACCCACCCTTGTCCCGACGTGAAGATTCGTGCGCTGAGCTGCCAGGGTATGCAGTGCAAAATTCGTTTCATCTTCTCTTCCCGGACAGGCACAGCACGTGCACAAAATGCATGACAAAATTGACTAGCAACTTCCAAGAAGAGGTGGACACTTCTCTTGCCAAATACAATCAATAGTACGAAGTAGTACGCCCACCACCAGAACATTTGAACTGTCAAGCAAGAGTACGTACTACGGTAGTTTGTTATGCGTGTCCGTGAATTATGAAATTTCATCCTTTGGATACAGCGCCAATCCCGCGGTTTGTTTCCCGGCAGCAGCACACGGCGCACATGCAGTCCTTGAAGCAACGGCAGGTGCCACAGAAGCAGCAGCAGATGATCCAGAGAAGAAGCAGCGCCAGCACAACAGCGCCCGCAATCACGCCCCAGGTGATCCACTTTTTCCGCGTGTCATCATCTCCGTCCTGGAGGAAGTTGGAAGGTGGCTGAACTACAACTGCTGCTGCAATTTGTTCCTCGACAGTGGTCATCTTCTGCAGCTCGGAAGCTGCAGAGATCTCCATCTCGACGTGGGTATGCATTGTGATTGATTTCTTCTTTGGTTTTGGTCTTGATTTTAAACAGTTTGGTACCTTCACAACTGCGAAAAGCGAAAGACGAGGATATAATAATCAGCTACCGTTTTTCATTTTGTAATTTCGAGAGCTTTCTGTTTTTACTGTACTTTGATAAACAATAAGCAGCAACCAATCGGGCGCCTGGAATAATATTTTCAAAGTCGACGTGACAAGAAAGTAAGTTCGATAACTTAGTCCTAGCAAAAAGTTTGGTATCCATGCAGCGGTTGTAGTCCTAGCGCAAAAAACATGCGGAAGCTCTTTGCTGAGCACATGTGGTAATTCGAGAAACTAGATTAAGCAGAGAACCGATCACTTCACCACGCTGAAGAGAAACCGATGAAGAGAACGAAAAATGCGTCTCCGTGCGTGAAACCGAAGGAATGGGATACAACTTGCAAGCGAGGAACCGAATTAAACCGAGGAGCGCCCGCGTGGGCGTGGCCAACTGAGGTGGCAAAGTAAATAAACAAAAGAAACCGAGCAAATCCAAATTGATGTCGCACCACCGAAAATATATGTATCACAATCACTATCATCATGGCAAACCGAAAACCTGTTGCACAATATCAGAGCGTGACCGATCATAAGGCGCCGTCTGACCGAGAAGGCGCCGTCGACGAGAAATCTCCGCATGACGACGAAGGACTTCATCAGATGCAACCAGTGTCGTGCACCACTACAGATCTCCACTTAGCGGCGTTTTTTTTTACTTAATTCGCAGAAGTTTGATGTTAGAGATCAGAAACAACCTTTAGTCGTAGAAATGCGCTGCAGTAAGTTTCAAGTCCAAGTCGTAGTTTTTTCTTGTCGAATCCAGCAGCTTCACCGCGGGGGCCTGAGTACTTCTCCGGAAGGAGCAGTTGCAACAGTAGCCCGATTTTTTAGTCCTGGTAACGTCGATAGCAAATTTTCACGTTCACGCTGCTGGAAACGACGGCAATTCTACTTTCACAGCTCTCTAGATAGTAGTTTGTTCGGCAGATGAAGTACAAGTACTCTTGAATTTTTTCTACATTATCCTCTCTACTAGTCGTTATTCTTCGTTCTTCTCTTGAATTTATTTTCTGTATTTCAACGGTTAGTGAACTATGTCAGGACAATGTGATTGGTAATGCATAGAAGTCAAAAAATAAAAAATAGTGCGTGCGAGATGACGGGAATAAAGTTTAGCATAAGCATGTGTAAGTTGTTGTAACAGGAGATGAAAGTAAAAGGCTAAGTGTAGTGGTCATGTGAGATTATAATTTATGTAAAATATTTAAGAAGTAAATGAGGTTACAAAAACAAAACGTAAAAACAAAAGGAGCTTGTTGAAAACAAAATTTTCGAAAGCTAGAGGAAAAGCTAGCCGCCTGGCACGATTAGAAAATTCGCGTCAAGCAACTAGACCTGTACAGATAGTCGACTACTGCTCGTTGACGATGACGGCTTTGGCACATCTACCTCTCAGGGGAATTGAAGGCCCGACACTCTACTTCGAGCCCAACATGTAGACACGGCAAGCCAGCGCTACTTTCTGGTGCGTCGTAAAATTTCTCTTACCCGCCTCACTTTCGTGTCTACTGCGCGATACGATAAATGTAAGTAGTCGTGCTCCTCCTGCTAGTAGTAAATCTAGAGCTAGTCGATATCAAGTACATCCAGAATATCCCATCACAATTTGCAGCTGAAAAGCCATGTAGCGTGCATCCGGTTCCTGTGTAAAAACTAGTAGCGAAATGCGAGCTCCTGGCACCACAGTCACAATTGATTGTGATTCGTTCGCTTCAATTCCGCGAGCGGATTTATCCGCCATTTTTAGCTGGGACTGCGACTGGCTGCGGATAAGAAGTTCGGAAAAATGGTCCCGACGATGTAGTCTTGGAAGGCGAATAAATGAGACGGAAAAATGGTGGTCTTGGAAAGCTCTTCACTCTTGTTCTCTTGTGCGAAATCGAAGCAACTCCTCGCCCCTCAAGGCCGTGAAGCTGAGAATTATATCGAGAAACGCCTTTTTGAGTTCGTCTTCGTTCTTCTCCCTGTTTTTTCTTTCAGTTCGCATTCTTGGACTTGCGCAGGTATTGCGCCACTGACATCACCGTTTCTTCGTCGCTCGCGTTCGAGTCTTCTTCGTCCGACCCCGTTTCCGAACTGCCCACAGCCTGTCCCATCACCACGGGCGCGCCACTTTCCCCCTCCGGGGAGGCGGGGATTTGTTCTTTCCCCGCTTTGTTCTTTCCCTTGTTCATTTTTCCACCCTTCTTGCCCTTGCCCTTTTTTCCGCCCTTCGCGGACATGGAGTGTTTGGACAGCGGCTTCGTATGAAATGCAAATATGTCTGGGTCTGGAAGGTTCCGAGATTTGTCATGCAGTTTTTCCAAGCTCCGCCAACAAGTCTGAAATGCAGGGCCCAGCATCACAGGTTCTGCAGCTCCTTAGTGATGCCTGTTCCGCATGAGAAGTGCCCTCTCAGTTTGGCCAGAAATAGGCACCTTTTGGTGCAAGCCATGCAAGACAGATTTTTGCAGGATGCGCAACACGCATCACAAGTTCGCAGCCTTCCAGACCCAGGCATATTTGCAATGCATACTTCGTTTCATCGTCGTAAAGGCCCGCGATCGGCGATTCTTCGTCCTATGCAGTGCAAAAGTATCGCACTAACGTAAATGCATTACAGATTTCCTGAGCATGAGAAATAAAATTTGTAATGCTGATTTACCTTAAGAAAAAGATTTGTAATGCATGATCGCAATACAACGAATACGATACTTTTCCCCTCCATACGTCCCCTTCATCGACCAGCTGATTTTCCACGTCCGCCTGGCCTTCGCCGTAGCGGGAGCGGCCCGAAAACCGCGCCGGGCCGGTCACCAGCCCGCCCTGCCAGTAGTCACCTCCGCCACCATACCCGCCATCATTGTAGCCGCCGCCACCGTAACCGCCGCCGCCTCCGTAGCCACCGTAGTCATCGTAGCCGCCACCGCCGCCGTAGGCTCCGCCGCCGCCCCAGTACCAGTCGTCTTCGCCCCACTCGTCCCAGTCCCCATCGCCACCGGCAGCTGCGTATGCATTGCAAAAGTATCGCACTCGATGTACTGATCGCATTTATGCATTACAAATTTCTATATGTCAAGATGAATCCGCATGACAAACAAGGCCCACCCGAGCGTGGGGACAGGGTCCCCACGCTGGGGCCTTGTGCTCGTCCCTAGTGGCGCTAGTGGGGGAAGGGTGTTCGGCATCGGGGCGGACAGCGTCCGCCCCTCGCCTCACACCAGGCGCGCGCGTAGTGGCTTAGTGCGCGAAACGCTAGTGGGGGAAGGGTGTTCGGCTTCGGGACGGACAGCGTCCGCCCCTCGCCTCACACCAGGCGCGCGCGTAGTGGATCAGTGCGCGAAGCGCTAGTGGAAAAAGGGCGAATTAGGCGCCCTGCATTTTGCAAGAAAAAAGAAAAATAGAAGCAAAGTAAATATCTCTGTGTGGCTTCTGCAAAAAAGTTCTCTAACATTGAAGCGCAACGCCTTTCCGATTCCACAGAGCAAAGTAAGCAGCTGTCTCCTGGCCGTGCATTGCAGAGATAGCCGCTTACTTATTTTTCCATGGCACCGCAAAGGCTTCTTTGCTTATGGAGGCAGTTTGTGTTACGGCATTAATCTTTTTCATTTTTTGCGTCGCGTTTCTTTTTTTTTGGCGCTTTTAATTTATTTTTCACGTCAAGAGCGGCATTTGGCGTGAAAAATAAATATTTGCGCCCAGGCGCTGGCCTCGCCTTTGCTTTATCCTCTCGCTTCGCCTGTCGCGGCCAACTGTCCAGGTCACCTGTCAAGGTCACCTGTCAAGGTCACCTGTCAAGGTCGCCTGTCAATGTCACCTGTCGCGGTTACCTGCCAAGGTCACCTGTCGCCGGGGGGTAGGCGGGACCAGAACCCGGAAGTCAAGCAATGTAAATATTAATCTCATTTCTCATGCTGAGGAAATTATTTGTCATGCGCATTATACTAGATCTAGAACTAGTACGCTACTTTTGCAGTGCATACTGCGTCCTTGTCCTTGTCCTTCTTTTTGCAACAACAGCAAAACTTCTTCCCACACCAGGTACGCGTATGACAGTGCACAAGAGCTCCCACTCCCCTCCTTTGTATTGCATGAACAGCATTACAAGCACCAGTGCATGTGAACCCTGTGCATGACAAGTTCATGCGCCGAGTGTAGAAGTACTGTTTGGATTTCCGGAATTTGTCATGCATGCGGAGGTGCCACAAGGTAGCAACTGTATTTGGGTTTTTGCATGACAAATGAGGGGGATGGGGTGCTCCTGTTGTGCACTCTCATAACGCGCCCGGCCGATGCACGACGCGCCGCGGCAGCAACAACACATCGCGCCCAGAATGAGGGCGAACACGGCGACGCCACCGAGCACATACCACACAATGGGATCACCGGTCGTGTCCGTTACTGCCTGCGTCACGGCCTCCGCGCCGCGTAAACGGACCATTTTCTACTTGTTCAAGAAGAAGGCCCGCTTCTGATAAAAGAGGAGTTTGTTTCGTGTTTAGAAATTTAGGAAATCATAATTCTGGGGGGATAATAAAAAAATGAAGATATATTATTGCACGAACAGAATAGAAATGTTGAATACTGTAAAAGATGGAGGGGGTACAGCAATTAGAAATTCAAATAAGTTATCGGGGGTCGCGAATTAGAGAACGTGTCGGGCAAACAAGTGAATGATTACCCACCTGAGAAGATGATATTTGGTCGTCGTGGTAACAAGCTTCTGTAGAAGTTCTCGTTTTCTTCACTTCTAATCGTACCAGCCGACCAGTCAATGAGGACGACTTCAAAATTATTGTTTCCAAACAGCATCACGACGAGCAATAGTTGTGGACAAACACACGATACCGAGACTGACAGCCATCCAACAGAGAAGATAAGTACAACCTCCACATCAAACCGAAAAATATCCGCAGAAGCAAACGACGGCTCAAACCGATATTTTACGGGTACAAAGTGTGTTTTTGTCACTTTCATCTCTCAACCGATGGAGTCTTCTTCACGCCTGTGTTTCTGTAGTGCACTGCAGAGGCGTATGTAAACGAAGTCAGTCAGCTAACCTCACGAAAGCATGTAAAATTCTTCTTGAACGAGGAACGAAGGCAAGACCGACATATGGCATTTTCTTCTTCACGTACCTCTTGGAAACCGACATTTTGAGAAGTGCATGGCGCAAATAAAATCGACGCTTCTTTCACGTGGCGTGCGCTGCATCGCTGCGCCGGATAAAGCTACACAGTTGAAAAGTATCTATCTGACAAACCACAACGACGACCACATCAAGTCGTCTTTACGATCATACACGCATCATGTCAGGGGTCCTCGCTGAGCAAATTAACTATCTGGACATTTCGATTTTCAACTTCTTCTAGGAATCTATGTCTATCGTGGTTGTACTTCGTTCTAGGAGGGTGCTCATTTTCATACACTTTTATTTTCTTTTTCACCTTCATCGACGTCTCATTGCAATACGGCTGAGCTTCAACATCTACGTAAAAATCATGAAACTTTTGCAGCGTTGCAGTACCGCTACGTAATCTTGTTCTGTGTCAAAAAGAAACGAAGCCTCGTTAAATCGAGATTTTCTACAGCTCTTTCTTGTTTTTACTGCAGGACCGCCATCTTCATGTTCAGTTGCTCTCCTTGTAGTCAGACGGCAGAGCCCGCTGCCGGTTAGTCGCATCTCTAAACTTTCGCAGCATGATCTCGTGTTCGCGTCTGGTGCCATCCCGTTCCCTGCACGACCACGAACTTCGTCATCCTGTCCGAGCAACAGCTTCCTAATTTTCTCCAAAGCAAAGTCCGCCCGGTGTTCCTTCACCTGCATCAACAGCTTGAGCAAAGTCTCCTGTGCGGAAGCTTGCTGGGCAGAAGTGGAGGTTGATGTTCCAGAGTTACTGTTCCCGCGACGCGCAAGCAGTTGCTCACTATTCCTTGACGTCACTGATGTAGCTTGCTGGAGGTGGTGCAGCTGCAGCACATCTCGAGTGCTTGCGGCTGTAGAAGCACTCTGACTCCAGGTAGTGGTGACATCATTCCCCTTCCCTGTTTCGACGCCGCCCACATTTATGCTGGGCCCGCTCATATGCAGGCCTCCGACAACTCCATGAGTTGCCGCTATTAATGACGCGTCGTCTACAATTCCAGTGCTAGTCGTTGTCCTCGTCGAAATCTTCATTCGCCCGTCGTGTAACTGCGTCAAGACCATGCTCCGATGCGTCAAGGGGAAGACCAGATGGAGCTCGGAATTTTCGATGCGCAAAACCACCCTCTCTCGGGTTGCGTTCAGCGAAGAAATCGTCACCCGGCAGCAGACACCGTACTCGGAAGAGACGACGAGGCGGGATCTGGGATGAACAAGAGGATGGCGATGGAGGCGGTCGTGCAGCTGGTGCAGATGATCACGGCCTCCTCCTCGTGGTACATCAGTTCCTTCCTGATGTTGCTCCTGCATTTGAACTGCCATTGTCGAGTCCTCGTCAATTTGCGGCAGGTGCGGTTTTCTGTTCCAGTCTACTGCCTGATTGTTCATGACCCCGAGGGAAGATGCGCGCAGCTGCACGCTCGTTGTATCATCTACATGAAGACCAAGAGCGTCTTCTCGTGTTGCATCCTCTCGCTGTTCACCTCCCGCAGCGTCTCTCACCAGATCGAGGAAGGCGTTCAGAAAAATTTCCAAAATTTCCATCCGGTTGTCCGCAAACTCGCGTAGGTCCGCTGTTCTGACGGCTGGAACGACGAAAATGGAGAGAGCAAGAAGGAGAGCTGATGCAGCGAGGAATCCTTGGAAGTAGGCGGAAGTAGTGCTAGTTGTGGTTGAAAGACGAGGGTTGACGATATGAGCCTCGAAGAGGATGAAGAAAACGACCACCAACACAAGGACGAAGATGCTAGCCAAACCGGTTTTTCCTTTCCAGCACACCGGCGTGTAGTTACATGCTGGCAGCCGTGTTCTAGCCGCCATCAAATTGGTGTAGTCATCATCGTCCCCCCCGTTCAGCGGCAAGAGCAAAAGTCTCTGCTCCCGCAGCGGTGCAATTTCATCACGTGCTGGTTGCCATGGGCGGGATTGGAACAACTCATCCTCGTAGTGCTGATCAAATACTTCTAGTCCTGCCTCGTCATGATCCTCTTCGTCGCCAATGTCCAAGTCTTTTGTCCTACTTTTGAAACCACGATCAGAGGCAGAGGAAGGGCCGTTTTTCTGCGTCAGCAAGGTTTGCACAAAGGTGGAAATGTACATGTGTTGAGCAGTAGACGATGTAGCCAACGTCGATGGTCCTGCTGAAAAATCTTGCTTGTGTTGCGCCGACGGCTCAACAACAATGTCAAGCTGCTGTCTGCGATGAAATTCGCTGGCATCCCCAAAGCGAGAAGCTCCGGCTCCTGAAGATTTCGTTCTCGCGCTGTTCGTCTTCCTAGTCTTGATACTACTTTCCAAAACCCGCAGCGACACCACATCGCAGACACTCGCGGTTTCCTGCAACCAATAGAACGCTCGCCATTGCTGGAGCAACACCGTGGACGCTGCGATTATGAGGAGCAGGCAGGAAAATCGCACGGAGAATTTCGCAGAGAGCTGTCGTTGCTCGAATTCACTGTCGCCGTAATTATCAACCAGGACATCGAGGAAAAGAAACCCAACAGCACCGAAAATCGCAATCGAAAATCCAACCACCCCGGCCTTCCCGTACCAACGGACTGGCTTTGCAACGGTTTGTGCGTAGATTCCGAAGAACTCGCGTAAAACCTGCTGTGGTGAATGATCTGCACCATTGCCGCTTGTTTTCTGGTACTGGTGTTGCTGCAGCGTTGTAGTTGTTCCAAGCCGTGGAAGTTCGATAGCGAAGGGTGACAGCTGCTTTTCCAGAATTCTCTCGCGCTGCTGCTGAAAAGAATTGGTCTTTGATGCCGAAGCGGAATCGACATGAGCAGCTTCTACTTGTTCTCTCCCAGTCAATTTTTGCTCTCGAAGACGTTGAAGTAGCTGGTCTTCTGGTCCTACTTGTAGTTGTGCGTGCCGCCGCAGCGCACCCTCTTCATCTTCCAGCGCCAAAAAATCATCTCCCTCAGCCACCGAACGAATCTGGTCTGCTTTCGCAGCAATGACCTCTTTCATTCGCAGGAGATTGGCCGAAGTGGTGAACCGCACGTCAGACTCGTGAATGCTAGGCGGGACCACGACGTGATCGACGGAGGGTGCTGCAGTATAATCCCGTCCCTCTACAACTGCAGGAGCCAAAGGAACCGAAGATGGAACTTGCGGTTGCTGTGATGTTCTGGTCGACGCAGCCTTGTTCCGCGTTAGTTGTTTCTCCGGCGACGACGTCGACGCGCCAGCTGCGTCGGACTTCGTGTTGCGGGCTGCGTCATTCGACTTCACTTTTTTCCTGTCGTTCCCCATACTTCCTTCACGTTCACCACGATGTGCTGTGCGATTTAGCAGGTTGCCGCGTGGTGCAGGTTCTTGTTTTCCCGCGCCCTGTTGCAGCAATTCCGCATACATCAACTTCCGCCTTGCGTAGTACTCCTCTCTCGACATGCCCCGCAACGAATACGTACTGGAAGCCGCGGAGGATTTGCTGCCGGCTAATATTCCGCCAGGACCACCAGGAGGTGGCACGCTTGCAGTTCTCCTGCTCTTGCCTTCGCGGAGGACAGATGAAAAGTCTTCACTTGCAGCGAGATGAGGCTCTAGTAGTACTCTTTGGTCTCGTGATGTTAGGCCCATGGGTCTTGATCTTTTCTTCATCTTCATACCGTCGTGGTCGTGACGTGCAGCCTGCTCTACAACCTGCAGCACAGATTCCTGATGATCCTGCTCGTACTCACTTCTCCTCTGCCGCGACGCCTTCGTTCTCCCACCATGAAGATCTGCGGACGATGTGCTCCTCGTGGATCTCTCAGTTTTAGCATGAGCTGCTGCTGCAAATGTACTGCTAGTGATCCTCCTGTTCGATCTTTCAAAGCGTGGATCTAGTTTAAACGTCCTGCGAGTTGCGGCGGCCTGCTGAAACTGGTCTTGATTTTGTTCGGGCCCCCGCAGCTTTTCGTCCCGTTGGTCCTCGTCAAATATGCGTCTGGCTCTGGTAGTTTTGTTCTGCCGTTCTATTAGTGGGGGCATGTTGGTGTCAGTTTCGCGGGCGCGAGGACTTACATCCACTCTGATCCTGCTGTTACGGCTCCGATCAACATGCTGTCGACGTGTCACTGCACCATCTGCGCTGTGAGTCGAAGGCACTGAAGAAGACACGTGAAAGCGCCGCTCTTGCCATTTAGTCGCTCTTCCTTCGCGCGACTTCTTTGTAGGGGACCAGCTGCGAGGGCTTCTGGTGTGCACTCTAGCACTCGTTGTAGCACCTCGGCGTCGCTGACGCTGTTGATTGAATCCTGCAACGCTGTTTTTCAGAGAGGAAGCGGAAGCACTAGCTGCTACCGCTCGATTTTTTTTTCCTTTCGCCCCGTCAGAACCAGAAGTCGGACGGAAGTTGTAGGTCAAAGGTGGAGCTCGGTCTTCAGGCGGACTTCGTAGCAGGCTAGCATCCACAGTAGATGATCTCGTCCCGAGTTCATCTTGCCGGCTGCTACTCAGTGTCGTTCTGTTTTCTGCCGCGTCGATATCCTGGTCAAAATCATCTCCAGCTGTTTCTACGAACGAGTTTTCAAAGTAGTCCGACTGCTGCTGCGAAGCCAAGTCTACTCGCCGGAAAAAACTATTCGAGTGTTGTTTTTGATTCAGTAGTTGTCTTTTCTTCATTTGTGCTGTAGTATAAGATGGCTTTCGTTGCGGTTGTCTGAAAAATTCCGCTTCACCGTTCCTAGCGGACGCGGAGGTGCTGGGTAAAGCGCTAATATCTTCTTCCAGAGATGAGTGCGGCTTTGCAACAAGAGCCACAGACGTCGCCGTCATTTTTGCAGGGGGTGGTGGGATTGGAGCACCGCTGATCTTCGAAAAATTCAGTTGAAGAACTTGAGCCCCTAGAGAAGACGCGCTCGAAGAGAACGCTGACGAAGAACTACTTCCAGTCCTCTGATGTTCCTTCTGCTCGTTCTCTGGATAAAAGCTGAAGGGCAGTGGAAAAAACGCTGGCACATGGCGGTCACGGGGAGGCTCTTCTTGCTGTTCTGCACCTACACTTAGCACAACAGGCTGCATCATCTTCGGGCCGGAGTGCTCCCCGGCGTCACTCGTAGTTCTGGGTCGTTTGATCAAAGGCGACACGTTGGTGCTCGGACTGCGGATTCGCAGCACCGTCGCAAGAGAAGCAGTTTCTTGCCCATTATTCTCATGCAGCGCAGCAACAGAGATTCGATTCCCACGACTAGATTCCGGGGGCGGTTCTAATTCGTCTCCTGGAAATAAAGCTCCTCCGTCTACTTCGTTCCTTCGGAGGTGAGAGACGTCTTCTGGTCGTGTAGCCGCTGATGCGGTGGCGAGAGTTTCAGATTTCTTTGCCTCATTTTCCGTCGGAGGTGCACCCTGCAACGGTGGCGCGGAAAGTAGAAATTTTTGCTTCATCCCCTCCACGCCCGGTGTTGTTTGTTTCGGAAGATGATCCGCACTCCTTGCAGCGTTGGGTTGCGGCTTCGGTCCTGGCGTTTCCTCATCTTCACTATCGTTCTCCAGCATATCTAGCAAGACTTGCGCCGGGCGGCGGGATGAAGAAGAATTTGATGCTGCAGGAGCAGCTGCAGTTTCTGACTCAACTTGCTCCTGGCGTTGTATAGTTTCTTTCGAAGCAGAGTAAGTTCTTGCTCCACCGCCCAGACTATCTCCACCCGCTTTTGGCACCCGCTGCAGCATGCTCAGCGACGACTGCTCCAACAAGGCTGCGACGCGGGCTTTCCGCTCTTGCTCTGATAAAGTTGCCAAGGACTTCGAAAAAGGTTCCTGCACGACACCGGCTGCAGCTGCACGGGTCGAGATTGTATGTGTATCTCGTTCCTCGGCAGCGCTTGTAACTCCCGGTGGTGTAGCATTTCCTCTAGCTACTGTCGCTGCTGGAAGGTAATCTTTCAGTTGCAGCTCTCGTTGATTTGCGGATTGCGCAGCGACGGCGATAGGAGGACTACTCGCGTTTCCGACCGAATCTGTCGTCGATTGCACCGGGAGCTGCAGCCCTGGAACCTCTACTTTCTGCTCCTTCACAAGATCGGCCATCGTCTTGCTCATCCCCTGCTCAACTACATCGGATACAGCAGGAAGCGGCTGCCTTCCCCCGGTGGTGGTGGAAGACTCTTCGTTCACCTTCGCATTCTCGCCTGAGAAGATCCTCGGAGTCACCGCGCTAGCCGACGCCGCGTTCAGAAGATTGCGCGTGAAGTTGAGAAGGGGAGGCGACTTTTTATTCGGCAGGACCGCAGTCGACGACGTCTCAGCACTCGTATTAGGCGCTGATGCGGATGACGAGAGTCCTTGACCTCCAGGCGGTACGACGAAGTTCATGTTACTTTTCCCCACGGAGGCGCTGGCGTCGATTTCGCTGTTGTTATTTCTGCCGTCGAGTTGTACTCCATCACTTTTCGGACGAGCACCAGCGACTTGTGCCTGCTGTAAATGCCAATCTCCAGTCGACGATAAACTCTTCTCGTACTCAAACTTCAGTGCCCAGATATCAACCGGGTCTTCCTCCAACGAAGTTGTAGACGCAGATGAAGTCTTCTTTTGCTCGTGAGGATGTTGCGCCGCACTCGGAGTTGCAGCAGCAGCTCCTCCTCGCGCGCTAGAAGTGCGAATGCGTTTTTCGTTCTTATTTGTTTCATCTTCCACACTGCTGGCGCCAAACTTTTCCAGCTCCGAGTCTACTTCTTCTTCATCAATTGCATCTTCAAAAACCAAGTCTGGGATCTTTTCGAAGGTTTTCCTACTAGAACAATCGACGATGTTCTTGGAGATCGAGATGGTGTTCGTCGTCTTCAAGTCGGAAGTCGCACTAGGCGAGGACCAAGCTTGTTTTCCTTCGTTTTTCTTCTTGGAACTCCCGTACAGAAAGTCCTCATACGGGTTTTCCCAGTTCGAAGCGTCTTCTTCAGAGACCTCCTCTAGTTGTCGTTCGGAACGAGTTATTCGATCTGAATCTTCATCTGCATGATCTGGCTGTTGTTGTGGTATCGCGGTACCGTCGGTGGTGCTTTTTCGATTGGTTTTCTGATCTTGATCATTTGCTGCAAATGCAGTTTCTTCGTAGTTGTAAAAATCTTCTTCCTGGTAGTAGTTCGAGTTGTCGTAATCCTGATTCTCCCAATCGTAATCCTCGTTCTTCCAATCGTCTTCAGCCCAATCGTGACCTTCAGTGGCTGGCGGCCAATCTTCGCTCCAGCCAACGTCTTCCTCAACGTCGATGATGTGATCCTGATTTTTGGAATGTCCATTTTCATCTTCCGCCTCGTCTACCACATCGTCTCTACTTCCACCCCAGAATTCCTCTTCCTCGCCTTCAAATCCGCTACAGTTCAACTTTTCCCACGGATTCGCGTAAATCCCGCTCGGACTGGCATCGAATGTCGTATCAGCAGGAGCGAACAAATCGTGGCTGTTACTCTGCGCTGCTGTATTCTTAGTTGTTCCCGTCCTGCCAGCACTAGGAGGAACTGACACCGAATCTGGTCCTGCTCCATTGTCCGCAGGACGCGCTGATCCTCTTTTACCCTCTCCTCCTGACGTTTCCCTTCTTCCACCGAAGCTTTTCTTCTGCTTCGACAAATGATCCCTGTAATTCGCAGGAAGTCCGGTGAAAATGAAGTTCACGTCCTTCTTTGGCACATCTACAAGCTCATGTCCAACCTGGTCTGCTTGCTGCTCTTTGTCTTTAGTCGCATCAGATATACCACCCCGCCTGTCGTGTGCTGACGAAGAACTACTACTGGATGATGTGGCAGAAGACGCGGAAGATGAACTAGACGAACTTGATGTCTTCGAAGACGCAGGTATGGTGAACGTCACGCGCTTTGTCGTGTTCTGTTGGGAAGAGTAAGGCTGCAAAGTGCTGGAGCGACCAGGTTGCTGTGGTGAGTGATGAAATTTTGCGTCGTGGTGCGATTCGTCGTGCTGCTTATCTTTCTTTTTTCCCAGCACTTCTGGGCGGAGAAGAAAACCGGAGTTCGAGTTGCTGCTGTTCACATGATCATGCTCGAAATTCACATGATTTCGCTTCGGTATGTCGTCCCAGGATTCAACGTCGTCAGGAAGTGGGTCGTCAGCACGTGGTCGTGCGTGTGGCCGCTCCGTCGTGGAAGTTTCAGAAGCGGGCTTCAGCAGAGAAAACCCTCGCCGGCGCGTCTCGGAGCCGTAGGCAGGAGGCGCGAAGGCGGAGGAGGACGAGGTAGGCATTGTACTTAAGGTTGAAAGCAGGATACTTCTAGAACGTGCATCAACTCCATCGATTCATGGTGTCAACGACATGATCGACAGTGTTTTGTTACTGTAATCAGATAATGCATTCTTTCCTTGCTGAGAAGACATCACACGACTCCTAGTGCAAGTCTCGATATAGAAGTGTTAATTATGGCAAGTACGTGCTACTACTAAAGCATTCTATTCATTCTACTGATACCTCCAAGGGCGATCGTCTTACGAGCAGCATAACATATGAGTTTAAAAATCTTCGAATCCTTACCACCCCCTCAATCACCATCGCCAAGAACTTCGACATGAATCTTCAACGAACGATAACGATAACGATTGGTCGAGACTACACGATCTGAAAACGATAGCGATTGACTCTCCACCGCTGGTGAAGATGATGCAGAAGCGGGCCGTCGACCTCCACTAACGATCATCACGATAATACCCAAGACAAGGAGGCCAACGAGTACGGCACAAAATTAGAACAGGAAGAGGCCTCGCCCTACTTCGAGTAGAAGCTATTTTGACAATGTGTGCGATAAATCCGAGGAGATGCAGACAGCCACAACGATGGATAACAGGAAAAAGAAGCAGCAACTGCAGGCCGACATGCAGCCAGGCGACACAAGAAGCGCCGCTTCAGGTGGCCTGGCGACGGGGACGAGAAGAGAAACGCTCACCACAATGCCCTGATGAGGACCGGACAAGCGCAAAATCACAACCATCCCACAACCAAACGCAGAATGAACAGACAATGCCTTTTCGGAGGCAATAGGACTGCGCGCGCACGGCTTCCGAACGGAACTGTTCCATCCAGGAGGCGGCGGCGGCCAAGGCGCCAACAATACAGAGAGCGAAGCACCGCGAGGGGAAACACGGGACCCGGGGGCGCGACGCCCCATGCAAACACACGAACGCACGATCGAGCACGACCGGCAGTAGCCTCACTTCGACGCCGGGGGGGCCCCCCGGCCGCCAAAAGGTGGGCGGCGCGGAGAAAATGCGCACAATTTTGCAGCAGGGCATCGAGAAACAGGCTGCGCGGCAACTCGGTCGGGGGCACCACGGAGGCGGGCCGATGGCCCCCCTATAAATTTTTCAACCGGGCCGCCCCCCCCGGCAGCAGCCAAGCGGCCCACGCAGGCACCGCGCGGGGGCCCGGCCGAAGCAAAATTAACACACGACCCACCCGACAAACGCGGCCGGCGGCGCGGGGGGGGGCGTGCTGAGGCGTGGCTGGGTGCCCCTCGCTCTGTCTGCGTGCCGGCCGGCCGGCCGCCCGGCGGGCCAGCCTACTGCCGGGCCGGCAGGGCAAACACAGGGCAGACGCCAAGGAAGGGGGGCGCCCCAGGCAGGATGGCCCGGGCAGGCGGGGCCTGCTCGGGTCGGTCGGGCGGGCGGGCGGCCTTTCCTCGGCCGGCCCGCAAGGAGTTGGCGAGCGGCGCGGGCACTCCCGGCGACCACGCGCGCCCTTCTTCAGCTGCGTCAGCGCAGGAGCGAGGTTGCGCCGGCCGCGGCTCGCCCTCAAGGCTTTTTCGTACGCAGGTGCGGAGACAGAGCGTTGGAGCGCTCGTAGCTGTACCGCGACAGTTTACCGCGGCACCCCTGGACTCCTCTGATAAATCGGGTGAAAGCCGACACGTCAGGGGCCAAGAGATTGCGCATGGGTACCGGCGAACCCGACACGAAGAACGCCTCGAGTAATTCCGAATGGACCCTGGGCCATGGCTGCAGGCGCGCCCCCCCCCCGCTGCGGCGCGGAGCCGGTGGAAAGATTTGCGCAGCCGGGGCCGGGCCGGCGGGCGGGGCCGGCGCGCCACACCTCCGGCGGGGGCCGTCGCACGCCGCCCGCCTGCCTTCGGAGTCGGCGGAACCAGCCGGGTCAGGCGCGAAGCGGAAAGCGGTACCCGCTTCATCTTCCTCGGCCAAACCGAAGCGAGCACCTCAGAACACAGCGGGCGGGCCGCGACCGTTTTGGCGCGGCTCCGCGGGGAGGGTGCCCCGCCCGCAGCCAGCCCAGGCAGGGAGGGGGGGCCGGCCATCGGCGGCCATCCACAAGCGCCGCGCATTCCCTCCGCCTGTGCCTCTTCGCCTTGCCCCTCAGGAAGACCGACGCGGCCCGCCATTTTCTTCCCCTTTGCTTGTTTACCTGAGAAGCGCGCCGGGCTCGCGGCTTCCCTGGGCGCCGCGCCGTGCCGCGCCTGACGTCTGCAGGCTGGCACGGGGGGGGCGCCCCCCTTCGCGCTGACTGCAACACTTCGGAAGGTTCGCGCTCCGGAGCTGGTCGCACCGGTCCAAAACAAGAAGAACAGAACGGCATCTGATATTTCTAGAAGCTGCAAAACTAACACACAAAAGCGAACAAGAATGAGAATGCGGCAGCTCCCTTCTATATTCTTCATTTACTTGCACTCTATTGTGCCTCAGTGCAATCATCGCATTCGCTGTCAGGAGCAAACAACTCCATAACCATATACATTTCTTGATGCCCTGTCAACGTGTAATAGTTGTACCACGTCCTGTGATATCGAAAAAGAGAAAGACTTGAGGATGACGTCTGCTCTGTGCGGCCATCCTTTCCGATCATGTACATATTCGTGCAGCTGCGACTCCTCGCCCACAGCTGCGTCATGCTCATGTTGCATATTTACGGTCGAGCAGCGACAGTATAGAAAATATACTAGAACAACAAGAAAGCAAAAGTAGTAAGGGCTCCTCCTGTGTGTGTATCATACAAGTCGTAGGTAAGTAAGTACTAGTACTAGAGTTAGAGTAAAATAGAGTTAGAGAGGTAGAGGTAGTGCGTCAGTTGGTATTGGTGAGCCGTGTCGGCCATCTTCCTAGCTGTAAACTTTACCTGGTCCTGGCCATTCTTCGGGCCGCAAGGTTTTCTCAATAGCTTTTTAATACGAGAAAAAATGTTGGAGACGAGCTGCACTTTATCGTAACTTTCGCGGACGTAAGACCTATGAAATTTGTATATTGAAAAGTAAAATCCCAAAGGGAAGTCTGAAAATAAGCAGTGTAGCATAGCGAGCTGTAGCATAGCGAACTATGAAATTTGTATAAATCTAATTGATTCTTCACCGCGTGACATCTTTCACTTCCCACCACTTCGTCTTTCTTTTTTTCCAGATCATCTTCAAGTGCAACTACTAGCATTGGACTGAGAAAGATCCCGAAACGAAGAGCACCGCTCGTTCTATTCTCTAAAAGCTAACTTTCAATAGCATCAATCTCAAATAATTTCTACTGTCAGAAGTGTCCAGTACAAACGTGAAGTTCAATTCTAATTCATATCAAAGTCTCTGTCTCATCGTGAAGTAGAACGTCTCGAATTCATCAGAATCTCCAAATAACCGCCTGCTCCGAATCTGATCAAGGTAGGTGAAAACCATCTCCCTGAAACGGCAGGCGAGGGCCCCGCTCAACACCTTGGTGCCGGCCAGCTTGCCGTGAAGTTGTTGTTCTTCGGAGCCCTCGAGTAGCCCTTGACGTTGTAGTTTCCATATCTCTTTCTTCTGTTGGTGCTAGTACTACATCTTGGTCGACGTGGTCTGCAGCGCCACGACCACTGCGCTGCTCATCAATATCATCTCCTGCGTCCCTGGCGTCTAGGCTTAGCAGTCCCATCCCCTGCGCCAAGCTCCGGTCCTGATCTAGTAGGTGGTCTTCCGCTACTTGCTCTTGCCCGGGCGGGACTACGCCAACTTCTAGGAGTACTCCTTCTGCTGAAGATGAAGCAGCAACAATACCATGATTACCACGACGCTCCTCCGCTCGTTCCTCTTCTCCGCGAGGACCGGAGGCCCTCATTTCATCCATTATTTGTTGCTGCGGCGGTCGACGTTCTTGCTGTACTTCTAACGCGGTCGTGCTAGCCCGCCGTGCCCGCAGGGTTTCCACTATTCCCAGTGCATCCATCAGGAGTTCGCTGTCCGGGTCCTCTGTTCCAACAAACATAATATTGCCGAGGCGGTTGATATGGAAGCGGGTCAGGATCGAAATCGACAAAGTCGAATGAATCTGCAATGCACACAAAATAAATGCGACGCAAAATAAAGCGACTCTATTGCAGAGGATGCGAGGAAGGCGGATTATAGTCCTGGTAAGGGTCAAGAGCAGTTGGGCTGCTGACTAGCATAACAGACAGGAGCCCTTTTGTTGCCCTAAACCGCGCGACAGACTCGGTTCCAGGACGGGGAAGATTTGTCGCGCTGCGACTACACACTGTTGGTCTAAGAACTTTAACTGGCATCGATTTTGCGCATCACAAATTTTTCGATCTTGTCGAAGATTTCGATCCTGACGCTTTCATAGTTGATCTCCGCACGAGCCTCGTGGCGGTGCCGTTGGGTAACAGTAAGCTCCGAGACCATCTCCTCCCAAACTCCGCGCGTCAATTCGTTTCCAAACACCACTTGTCTTCTTTCCACTCTTTTCTTCAAAAATCCGCGTCGCAGCAGGATGTCGTTCAAGAGGTACGTATAAGCGACGTCTTTGACGCACCCGGCGAAGAGACAGGCCACGCAGTTGGTGTTTAGTGCGGGTTCTGCCACGATTTTGTCACAGGTAAGGTCCAAGCGGCATACCTCTGCTGCTTCGCACCCAAATCGCCAATTCTCCTTGCAATGCGAGGTACCAAGACCGTAGGAGTAACAGGCGGGATGGTTATGGAATGGAAATTTCTATTGCCGTAGCTAGCCTAACAACGCAGACAAAATGGCAATGCAAATTCTGTCATTCTGTTTAGTACAAGCATGCTGTGGTTGAGACTTGTCATGCTGAGTGTTCTTTGGAATAGACCCAAAAGCGTCATGATATTTTTTATCAGTATTTACGTACGTCTGATGTCCTTGCTGTACGGTAAAAAATCTTCCTGCGGATAAGCGTGATTCCGCGCACAGCAGAGACTGCTGCAAGCACAATTGATGTTATCGCAGCAGGCAGAAGTGCACGGGCCGTGAGTGAGTTTCCTGCTTCCACAACCTTCGACTTCCTCGGAACAGTAGTGTCTGCAATTTGGGACGCGGGAGCCGCAACACCTGCTGCTCTGTTCTGCTCTTTCAATAGCTTCGCTTTCTAACTCCGAGAGTGTTTTTTCAAAGTTAGCGTCTTGACCTGCTTGATGTCCTTGCTCCCCGACCTCCTTTGATGATGCGTCGTATCTTACACCGCTCAAACTTTCCGGCACGCAACAGAGCTTCTCAAAAATCTTCTTGTTTCCGCACGACAAACTCTCCGCACAACCTGTCACATCGTCCCCCAAGAACCGAAACCGGAAGCTGTTCGCGGTCAATTGGAAGGTGAGCAGTGCCTCTAGTTCCTCGGTTAGCGCGAGCAATGCTGGCTGGAGCTGGTCGATTTGACGGTTTGTTAAAAGCCTACGCCCGTTTTGATGGTCGTGAGCCGGAGCTGTTCTTGTCGTGGCGTGGTCGTGGCTCTCTTGGTACTGTCGCTCGTCCCCTTGATGCGCGGCAGAAGATGCTGGTGGAGCAACAGTAGAAATACTAGCAGTAGGAGCAGATGACCACGCATCTGGGTCTTGTAATATTCTTGAAGCCTGCTCCGGCGTTGGCCATAAATCGAGAGCTTCTGTTGTGCTATCTGTTGATGGAGGCATTTCCTGACTTGAAGATGCGCGACCCCGAGGACCTCCTCCTGCTTCTGTCGAAGGAGGTGGTCTTGCTCTTCTTCCTCCACGACGAGATGCTCTTGAAAAACCTCTTCGTCTTCCAGCCAAGCTCCGCAACGATTCGTCCACATTTCCAGTCTGCCGGGAAGCAACATCCCGAATTAACACTTGTTCTCGTTCTCTCTCATCCACATATGCATTGCAAAAGCGTCTGGGTCTGGAAAGGTCGAACCTGTATTGCGTGTCTCGCATGTCTGAAAAATTTGTATTGCATAAGCAGCAAATCAAGCGCCGCACTTTCGTCATGCAGAAGCGCAGTTTGTAATGCGTTCTGCGCATGAGAAAGTGTTTGAAAAATTTGTCATGCTGCGCTGCACTTAAAAGCACAGTCAATCATGACCATTCAGCATTACAAGTTTCCAGACCCAGGCATATTTGCATTTGATACCACATGCGGGTACACGACTTTTCCCATCTCCAAGGTGTTCATTCTAGACACAACAGCCTTGTTCCCAAGATTCGGAGAACTGCAACAAGAACTGCTGCATCTTCCCTGTCCTTCGTTTTCTAAACAGTACAAATCCCTTCTTTCAATGTACTTCCAGTGATTGAGCCAGGAAAACGTATTTTCACCGTTCGAAGACGTGTATTTCCCCGGCTCGAAGAGCGGCGTCACGCACGCACAGAGGCAGCAAGCAAGTGGGCAGTCAGTGGACGAACACCACGAGTCCTCGCCGTTAACCGGATGGTCGTTGCAAGGCGCTAGACACTGTTGCCGCAGGGAAATTTGCGGATCACTCTCCGTCGGCATCTCCGCGAAACCCGCGGCCGCCGCGTGGGCGTCATCAACGGCAGTCGAGGGCTTTAAAATAATTCCCGGGCAGCAGCTGGGACCGCTACAAACGCGGTCGCACCAGTTGTCTGGTAAGGCGGGTAGATGGTTCTCGACAGTAATCCGCTTTCGGGATTTCTCGCATTCATCTTTTTCCCTTTGGGTTAGAGATCTCGAGGTCCTGAACCGCTGCTCGCGCCGGCCCCGCTCCTCGTCATGGAGATGGCGAAAGTGGAGGCTTGTTATGGAACATTGCAAATATGTCCGGATCTTCATCTGGAAGATGAGTGCAGGAGGGTGTAGTTTCGGCCACACAGATGCTGAATGCCCCACCAGGACTGCTGGAATGCAGACTATCATGTTGGCATCACAGGTTTCATACATTCGCAGAACTTTGCGATGCATATGTCGAATGAGACATACCGATCTTGCAGCAGGGCCAAAAAAAAGAGACATGTTGTGCTACCCGCGCAAGACAAATTTTTGTGCGTTCTAGTACAGGACGCATGACAAGTTGTAACCTTGCTTCGTGATGTTGACCCAGACATATTTGCAAAAATCCGTGGATACCCATGCCATCTGTGCTGTCGCAGGGAAACATGTGGCCGAACCCGGATTCGCGGTTAGACGAATGGTTTTGAAAAAGACGACGGCTTCGCCCTTGGCTGGCTTGGGAACCGAAGGAGAGGAGGTTAGTATCGGCTTGCTGGGAAGATGATGATAATCCTCTTCTTGTTGACCTCCGAGAAGATGATCTTGCTGAGGACTCCTCCCGTCGCCCAGTCTCGACCTGCTCACCACGACGAGAACCTTCAGAGTCGCTAAGAGTCCTGCTGCTTTGATGTTCCCCTTCTCGTTGCTCACCGTCACCCTGAAGACTGCGACGGCCTGGTCTTGCTCCGTTGCGCGAGGAGCTACTTCGCCGACGACGCGTACTAGTACTATGCGAAGATCTACTCCCGTGGTCTGCTGTTCGGCGACGGTCGTCAGCACCAGCAGCACTCTCATCTGTAGGGCGTCCTACCACTGTACTTCTTGGCATCATTTCTACCTGCGCAGGAGCGGCTTCGACAGGTTCTTGTCGTGATGTTTCATCAGGAGTTTGTTGTCCAGAGCCCCCTGCTCTATTTTGTTGCGACAAAATTCGAAAACCTCCGTTATCTATCATCTCTTTCACCGCAGGCACCACACCGCAGCCGGTTTTTGCCATGTCGGCGATTTTCGCCACAACGTCGTCATTTTTCACCGTCAACCACAGTGCTTCCTGCAAGGACGGGCAGTCGAGGAGACCAGATCCCCGGACGGACGGCATTTTGGCGACGTCGGAAAGGCATGAACTGCAAGAGTATCGCACTCGTAGTAATCGCAGTCATGCATGACAGATCTCCATCCCAAGGTAAAACAGCATGACAGATCTCACTTGTCATGGTGGGCTAATTTGTCATGCGATTTCTACTAGTACGATACTTTTGCAGGTCGTAAAAGGAAAGCGCGGTCCTCGTCGTGGTGGTTGACGACGTGCTGTGTCCTTTGGGTGGAAAAAGCCCCTTCATCACGACCCTGCTGCTGTCCAACGGCCGGACCTGCAGCTTCGTCTTCTACTGGGCCTGCGCCTGCGGCCGACGATGCTACAACACGTACATCACTCCCCTCCAACTGCACCGCCAGCAGCTTTTTGATCAGTTGAACCCGTCTTAACAAGCGGACTAAGAATCTTTGCGAGTTCGCGAAATTCATCTCTTTCAGTGTGAATTTGGTGTGCTTTTTCACGTGTGGGTTCCTGTGTGGAGCAGAAGATGTTGTTGACCCGATTGTGTCCATGGTCTGTTGTGATGGCGCAGCGACTTCTACGCCGGCGGCTCTCGAGGACGATGGTCGTTGAGCAGGGTAGTTGCCGGTGCTAGAGTAGCTTGCCTCGTCGTACTCTTGTTCCCGGTCGGTCATGCCAACATCTTGTAGTAATGGACTGACGCTGCTAACGTGCTCCGACGAGGCAATCGAAGCTGAGCTGCGGTCAGTAGAAGCTCCTGCTGAGGACCTTGTATAATTTCCAGGAGGTTGTGTCTGATGCTGCTGTTGACCTCTCACCAAACTTTCTTCCTCACAACTGACGTGGTCCTCCCGCGGCGTACCAGCCGTTCGCTTCCTCGTCTCCCGAAAATCGTCGTGGGTGACTGGATGTTGAAACAGCTCCAACACCCTACTCCGAAGATGTTGAGCTTCGCGTTGTTTGTCGTTGTCTGCATCCTGTTCTTCTAGCTCGTTTGTTGCAGCACGAGATGTACCTCTACGAGTCTCAACACCAGAAGCTCGCTGTGCAGCCTGTGCCACCCGCCCGGGGACCTCTGCCAAACCAGCACCTGCGACAGTAGAATGAAAGTGTGCTGCTCCCGTAATTTGAATTTCGTCACTTGACGCAGTAAAACTGGCCAGCATCTGCAGCATGGTCGAATACGCGTTTGTGTTGACCCAGTTCATCGGCTATCAAATGCAAATATGTCTGGGTCTGGAAGAATGCAAGTTTGTCATGCTTGTCTGGCATGACTCGAGTGTCTGTGTTGCATAGGCACGAAAAGGGACTCTTACCTGTCATGCAAGAACGCAGTTTGCCGTGCGGGACACGTAACACATGACAGCCAGAAAATTTGTCATGCATAGCTGCGCATTGCAGTGCGTCTAGCATCCCTTTTTAGCATTACAAGTTTCCAGACCCAGACATATTTGCAGTGCATACTGGTGTGCTTACCAGCTCGTTCTTATGCACATCCTCCGTGTTCACCACATTGGCCGTCCGCGGCCCGCTCGAGCAAGGGGCCCAGTAGGCACGGTTTGTTCCGCAGAAAAAGTCCGAGGAAGCTTGCATGCAGGACTGCGTAGATGCACAACAAAAGGATCCGTCGTCTCCTGTATTGCTAGATCTCCTTCTAGAAGATGATCCTCCTCTTCTTCTCGGGAGATCATCATTACTCGAGACCACGTTGGGCTCGTCGCTCGATGGTGAACCTGAAGGGCCACGAGATGCAGCTCCTGCACTTCTGCTCCTACTTCTACGTGCTGATGACCCAACACGACTCTGCGGCTCCGAGGATCCAACACGACTCTGGCTTGTTCCCCCAGCCTGTACTTGCGTTTGTTCCCTTATTTGTGGTCTTCTCTGTCCCCGCGACCGCCGTTGTTCCCGCCTTTGCTGCCTCGCTAGAGATCTCTGTCTCTCTTGCTCTTCTCGCATCCACTGTCTTGTTTCGTGCCTCAGCCGCAATCGCTCCTGCGGGTCCGGGCCGTGCATTTCGAAGACTTTGTCCGCTTCGGCTGTTTTCACCACCAGCATGACCTCCCACATCAGGGTCGCTAGTTCCTGTCTTAAGTGGTTCAATCGCTGTTTATTCATCTTCTCTTTACCGTCAACATCTCGGCCTTGTGTAGTTTGCTGGGCCGCTGCTGCTCCTGCCAATCTCGCACCCTCAACCGCGTGCTGGATCCGAACTGTGGCCGCTGGCGCAGTTTCGTTATGACTATCCTGCTCCGGGAGCAGGCGTTGCCATCCCTGGTGCCCACGACTGGGGAATGGCACGGGAAGCCGTTCGCCACTGATCAAGTACGAGGAGGCAGGAGGAGCAGCCTGTGTGCCGCAGATGTTGAGGGAGAGTTGTGTGGAAAAAATGATGTAGTTGAAAGTCGTGAGTAGCGCCAGGGTGGTGGTAGAGTAGTAGTTGCAGCTGCTCCGTCGCGGCCGCTGCCGACTGGGCGGCCCACGAGAGTGATTATTGCGCCGTACCAGCATCTTTTTCTGGCTTGCTTTTATTTGAATTTATATTTGTGTGACGATCTTCAAGATTGAGCCTCGCAGCGCTGTTCAGTTGTAAATTATCACAAGTTCTTGTGTTTGGTATCTACCTTTTACAGGCCGTTGTTTCCTAGAATGGTGGTAGTAAACTTGTGCAGATCTTTGATGTCTTTCAGGTTTTACTTTTTTTGCTACGCTAACTTAAACTTATGTGAGAATGAAATTGCCGTAAGAAATGCAGAGCCTGGAAATTGCCGAATCAAGGGAAAAATCCTACTTTGGAAAATGCAGTTAGAAGCACTTCTTCATGCGTAGTTTTATTGTTTTTGTTTTTGTAATTTGCTCGATGACCATCGCACCATTATCCTCTTAATTTTTTTTTTTTCTTCACGACCTGAATTTCCTCGATCACCAACACACTAAAGAGCGAAGATTTTTAGCTGTCTGAACCTGATCCAAATTCATTTATCCGGACGATCATTTGTTTGGTGATCGCAAGCGACAAAATCAGAACCAAGAAGACCGAGAGCTTGCTTCAAATTTTCATCGCAAAAATGTGAAACAAGAACCATGAAGATGTTGATGCGCTTTCTCAACACATTTTTTCCGAATTTACAAGCAGAGCCACGATGAGGACTAATCCCTGGATGCCGATTTATTAAACGCTAGTGTCTATTGGCACCGGGAGTGGTTTGGATCCAGATGAGAACTTTGCTGCGCGTCAATACACGTGGTCTATAAAAACATGAGTACACGACACGTCGCACGGTCAGTCACGGGCTGTCTCTTTGTCCTTTTCATGACCCCAACCGCATAAACATCTGCAAAAAGCAGGAAGTTGGTCTATTTTCTTCCTCATATCTTCTTCAATCGAACTTCAAGGAGCTCAACAACTTTGCATTTCTTTATTCTTTGCTTACATTCCTTCGCTATCGACGTCCTCACGATTGGTTGTATAATAACTTGGTCGAATTACATTCTTGTAATACGCTAAAATTATAATATGAAGTTACTCTTAATTAAACAACATCCTTGGGGGCGGAGGTGCTACTGTTCTTCTCTTCAATGTGCTGCTTCTCGATTTCGATTTCCTGTGGGTCAGGAAAGATCCCACGCTCAATTTCTTCTTCCAGCACCTCAAATTCGATCTTTTTCTTCGTGGCCCGGTCAAAAAAGCTGGCAAAGGATTTCCATTCCTGCCCTTTGGGAACCTCTCCTTGGGCATAGGGACTGCGGTAGGCGTGCTCTTCGGTCGCGCCATACATGAAATCCCGCCGCACAAGCTTGTGTCTGTTCTCCTTGTGCCAACCCTCGGCTCGGCCCCAGGCAATTATGCATTGCAAAAGCATCGCACTCGTTCTCGTAGTAATTGCAGTCACGCATTACAAATCTCGTCTCCCAGGCAAATCAGCATGACAAATTCCATTAAGTCTCATGCTGAGCGAATTTGTATTGCAGTTACTTCTAGAAGTACTAGTACTCTTGCAAAGCATAGCGATGGACTGCTGCCAACTTGCGGAACTGGATTCACCGACGCTGTCAGGTGAGCGACTCGTCCGCGTCTCTCCCGACGGCCCTCGGTGGACGGTCGTCTTTGTGACATCTCGAAAAAAATTGCGCAGCTCGGCCCTTGCCCCGCGGAACGGCGCGACTGTGTTCATCCCCGACTGTGCGACGTCGTCTTCGACTTTCTTTTATGAATTGCAAAAATGTCTGGGTCTGGAAAAATGCCAGGTTTGTCATGCATATTGTCCATGACCCAGGATGTCTGTGATGCACGACCTAGCGTCACAGATTTTTAGAGGGGTTCCTGATGCGTATTCCGCTTAAATGCCCTCTCCGCGTAACACAAAGCGGACTTCTCTTGCGGGTCATGCAAGACAGATTTTTTTAGACTCCAGAGACAGCATGACAAGTTGCAACCTTCCAGACCCAGACAAATTTGCACTTGATATCTTTTCCCCGCGGGGACCTCGAGATCCGAACTCTTCCACAATTCTGTCCACCTCCACCGGGCCGCCGCGGCGCACCGCATTAGAACGTATGCAAGAAAAAAAACTGTGTAAGTGTAAATTTGTGTTGCAGAACAACACGCAGCAGAGTTATACCTGTCATGCCAGACAGCCATGAAGCCCTCTTTTCATGTGTGTTTTGCCTTGCAAGCCACGCATGACAGGTTTTCTCTGTCATGCAGAGCAAATTTGTGATGCTGTTCCTGAAAGAAAGTTACACTTACACACTTTTTTTTCTGGATAGAACGGGGGCCACCACCACCACCACCACCGCCACGCTTGCTCTCACCCGGGGGAACAGAAGGGGTAATATCGCGTTCGCCACTGTGCAGATGGAAATCTGCGGGAATGTAAGTCACGGAACTGAAGTCCAGTGCCGCGACATTGTAATATGGAAGATGCTATGAACTGCAAAAGTATCGTACTCCTATAACATGCATTACAAATTCCCTCAGCATGAGAAATGAAATTTGTAATGCGGATTTACCTTAAGAATGAGATTTGTAATGCATGATTGCAATACGAGTACGATACTTTTGCACAGGATAGATGCTCGTGAGGAGCAGCTGCACCACCAGCTTCCTCGCTTGTTCTTGTGATAACTTGCAGGTTGCCGGCGTGGCTATGGGAGTGTCAGGATCGAAATCGTCAAAGTTGAAATAGTTTGTCATGCATAAAATGCAACGCAGAGATTGCCTCTATTGCAGAGGACGCAAGGGAGGCAGATTGTAGTGCTGTTAAGGGTCGAGCATTGCCCGGCTGATTAGCATGACAGAGGGGAACCTCTTTTCCCTAAACAGCATGACAAAGTGGCTTCCGGCACGGACAAAATTTGTCATGCGCCGACTAGAAACTGTGGGCCAAATTGGTATCGATTTTATGCATTACAAGTTATTTCAACTTTGACGATTTCAATCCTGACACTTCCATAGTGGCAGCCGGGAAAGTACAAGCCATTGCGATGCATCACGCGAAAGTGCCTCACAGAGTCCTTGTAGAGCCGTTATCCAAGAAAAAAACATTGTAGGTGTAACTTTTTTGGAGGAACAGCATTACAAATTTGCCTGGCATGACAGCAAAAACCTGTCATGCGCAGATAGCACGTGAAAACGCCCTTTAAATAATGGACCCTACGATGCATGCCAAGCATGACAGACGCAATCATCTTGCATGTTGCGCATCACAAATTTACACTAACAACGTTTTTTTCTTGCGATAGCCGTTTCATGAGGTCTACTAGCCCTTCGTCTGTGCTGTGCTCGTGCGCAAACTGCCACAACGGCTGGTGGTTGATCTGCGGAACCGCGGGCGCGAGCTCGAGTCTGCAGGACCATTGTTCATCTGAGACGTGCACAAGCGACGTTCCCAAAAGCGACACCGCTACAGGTGCCAAGTTCGGCTGGTAGAGGTCTTGGAAAAATTCGGCGTGTGTGTGCTGTGCCTCCGTCGCACGTGGTGCCGTCGCTGGCGTGTCGAGGTGCTCCTGGTTGGTAAGGGCCCGCGTGACAGCTGCAAATCCGAAGTACGACGTCTTGGCGATGGCGGTGACCTGTGCCGGAAACTCGCTCTCTGATGTTGGATCGCAAGGGCATTTACCTTCACAGACCAAGTTGTACCAACAGTCTATGTTGTTGTCTCCGGTCGTGCCGTAAAGACCTTGCTCAAGGCCGATCTTTACGAAGACCGGCTCGCCGTCGTCTTGCTCCGTCGGGCCGCTCTGCCCTCGGGAGACCCGCTTCATACGTGCGCGTTGATGTGTCCACCCATACTGCTCGCTCGGGGCCGACGCCCCGTTCACGTGAAAGCCCGGGCGACCTTCCTTGTTGCGAACCCGAAAGTCTGGCGGCCCGGTGAGCACCACGTGATAGTCCGTTGCGGGCGGGTAAAAGTCACTAGGTACCCCCGGAAACTCCCGCGGCCCCGCCTGCGCTTGGAAAATGACCTTCAGCTTGTGGTCCGACGGCCAATTCAGCATGTCTTCTGGTGCCTTGTTGCTCCTGATCACGGTTGTTCCGGGCGCAGCCGCAGCATCTTCAAAACCCGGGGTGTCCAGCCATGTGTGCGGGCTGCACAGGTCCAACTTCCATCGGTCCTGGCAGTCGTGAACGCACGAAGACGAAGTAGTTGCATCGTACTGCCCGGTATCCTGTGCAAAAGTATCGTACTAGTAGAAATCGCAATACAAAAAATTGGCTTAGCATTTCAAATGGAATTTGTAATGCTGATTTGCCTTAACAACTAGATTTGTAATGCCAATGCGTAACTGCAATTAGGACGAGTACGATACTTTTGCAATGCATACCCGGTACCCGGCATCCCCTGAGCACCGACGTACTGTGCGAGCAGGCCCGCCTGGTCTTCCCGCGCCTTGATTGTAACAGTTTTCGTTGACGTCTCGTCGGAAGATTTTTGTAGTTCTACTTCTTGTCGCGCGTAGCTGATTTTCTTGTTTCTCTTCGTGGAAGTCCTGGTCCTCTCGGACACGGCGAGGAAGGAGGTCGTGAAGGGGTCGTGCACAAGGGAATGAGAAGTGGAAGTACTTCTAGAAGACCTGGTTGCCATTCTTGCCATCCTGCTCCGCGTATTATTCATCTTCGTCAAATTAAGAAAATCGTAGTCACCGCCTCCGAAGTCACTCGCGAGATGAGCATCTTCTTCATTTTTCATCCGGAAGGCAAATAAGTCATGAGAGGTTGGAAACATAATTTCATCACCTCCTCCTCCGTGCAACAAGGACAACTTCTCGCCACACCATGACCACACGACCCCGGCCAACATTTTTGTCCCTAACAACGAGCCACCGGCGCCAAGGACTTCATCTAGGTAAAACCAGAGGACCCACACGGCGAGGAGTAGAGTTAGAAACGACACTACGAGGCGGGCCCGTCTTGTGGATCCTTCCACTGGTGCAGCAGCTTCTGCAACTCCGGGTACAGCCTTCAAGAGAAACATATAGTTGGTCTTCTTGGTATTATAATCAGGCGAAGGTGCTGCAGGACCTCCGACTTGCACTCGGTCCTCCTCGCGAAATTCTTTTATTCTTGGGGAATTCATCGCTACGGCTACTCTTGCTTGTGAGATCCTTATACAACTTACTTAGCAGTTATAACTTGGAGGGGAACAAGTCGTTGTTTTTCTCGGGGATCATGGGACGATAAAGGGGTTTTTCATACATAGGTTGATGCCACCTGCCGAGACGTTTACGATTTCACATGTGAGCAAGCTGGCGAGACGCAGGTCAAGAAACAAGAACCGAAACCGATGAAGATGTTGAACGCATTAATCACTAACAATGCGAGTAAAACAGCACCAACAACTACTTCACCATCACCGCCTCACGAAACCGACAACAGAGGTACTATTATTGAAAAGTAAAATGCCAAAAAGAAGTTTGAATAGAGCACAACTGTACGGTTTGAATATACCACTCACGTGAACCGACACAAACATCTGAAGGTGATGAAGAAAGAATACCGAGAGGAGCATGACGACCACGAGAGGTTCTAGCACGATCAAATGCATGAACCAACACGTTAACTCAACCGAATTATAAATCTATTTTCACACACGAAACGGAAGACGTCGAACGGACCGAATTGTGAACCTTCACACACATCACGATAGCGTGGTCCCCTGAAGACGTCGAAAGGACCGAACTGTGAACCTTCATGCACTTGATGAGGACCGAAGTAACTCTACCATTTTGTACTTGTTGTAGTGGCTCGCTGTAATTATACAAAAACTCGTTTTGTAATGGAGGACGCACGACGCTCATGCGGCGCGTCTTCACGGAAGACCAAGGAAATCTGAACAGATAAGTACTTACTTCTTACACAAAGTGCGGCGACGGACTCTGTAGTTGTTTCTGCAGCGGCTATGTCTGACTGTCACACGATTCGCATCAACACGACATCGATCTTGAACATACTCTTCTCTCCTGAGCAACGAGCTTCAGCTTTCCGTCACACGAAATCCGCTATAATGCATGCGGTCGATGCGCAGCCACCAGTAGCAGGCGCGCCCTGTTGTAGAAATCATCGGGCGAGGACTCACAGAAGTCGCGTAGCGTACCTACGAACATTGGCTCATCGCAAGCGTCCACCGATAAAAACACTCACTACAGGACTTTAGCTACAAACCGCCGTAGAGTTGACACCACCAGCAGGGGCGTCCTGGTGAGAGGATTGCGCATTCGCCTCTCTAGTTAGGGTTAGTCTACTGATGAATTTACTCTGTTCGACATTATCGCCTTAGAATTCCCTTTTTCGACCCCTCAGTATCATGATCGCCTGGACTGGGAGACTTTCAACATTGCTGATGAAGGAAGATCTATCTATCTATCGCGCGAGGAGACTTTTAGAACTTTAGGTGGTGCGCCCCGCCCTTCGCAGCTCGCACTTCTGATGGTGAGACGCGCGGGTTACGCAGCCTATGTTGCTGTTTCGCAGGCCAGAAATTACAATATAATGTAAAAAGACAGAAGGAGAGGGTAAAAAAATAAAAGGAAAGAAAAGGATCTAAAACGCTAATTGTTCATTTTCTTGTCTTTGCTTGCTTTCCTCGATGTAGAAGAAGTAGAGGCTGTTTGTCTTGCTGTGCCGTACCCGTAGCTGGCCTCGGTTACTATTTGTCGCGCGACTTGCATCAATAGCTTATGGTCAGGCTTAACCGGAATTTTCGTGTCCGGGGGTTTTACATCCTTATACGTGGTTGTACAAGCTAGGCCCAACACACTGCTCCAGCTCTCCAAGCAAGTCGTCGTTGTATCTCCCTCCTTCCTTTCGCGCAACTCACAGCGCGCCGGCTCTCCTCCCTTTTGTCCCGGAATGCACTTACACGGCCCCGCTGAAAGGATTCCCGGAGCCCAACACTTGTGGGGAGCGAAGGCGTCCGCCGGGGGCTGCTTCTGTGTAAACGCGCTCGCCGTCTTGTCGGCTTCGTTGTCACCCATCGGAGTGGAGCCGTCAGCGGATTGAGACCCGCGCCAGCTGCCGGCCTTGGCGTCCCCGTTCGCCAGGGTGTCCACCTCCGTGGTGCCCGCCACGCTGGACGGGTTAATCGCCTTCACCAAGGCGATCGGCCCCCCCCCCGCCACAAACAAGCTGGCCTTCTTCATCATCTGCGTCATTTTGGAACGCGAAGGACAATAGGAGCTTGGTACTTACACAAGAAAGCGGCTACTTCTTAGCAGTTATAACTTGGAGGGGAAGTTGTTGCTTTTCTCGGGGGGAAGTTGTTGCTTTTCTCGGGGATTTGGCACGAAAAGGTTTTTCATACATAGGTTTGCCTCCCGAGGCATTTAAGATCTCACATGTGTTCATCAAAAAACAAGAACCAAAACCGATGAATGCATCAAAAATGCAGCGAGTAAAACACCAAAAACAACTTCACCGCCGCACGAAACCGACAGCAGAGGTCGTACTATATTGAAAAGTAAATAAATCCCAAAGTGAAGTTTGCATATAGCACTGCACAGTTTGAGTATACCACTCTCACTCACATGAACCGACACAAGAACCATCTGAAGGTGAAAGAATACCGAGAGGAGCACCACCACGTCGAGAGGTTCTTTCAGCATCAAATGCATGAACCAACACGTTATTCTTATTATTAACTCGACCGAATTATAAATCTATCTTTACACACGATACGGAGTAGCGTGGTCCCCTGAGGACGTCGAAAGGACCGAATTGTGAACCTTCATGCAATTTAATAAGTTTTTGATGAGGACCGACGAGAATAACTCTACCATGCTGTACTTGTAGCGGCTGTAATTCTACAAAAACTCGTCGTGTAATGGAGGACGCAAGAAGCTCACGCGGCGCGTCTCCACAGGAAGCCACGGAATTATGAACAGATAAGTACTTACACAAAGTCAAAGTGCGGCGACTGACTTGGCAGTTGTTTCTGCAGCTGCTACGTCTGACTGTCGCACGACTCGCATCAACACGACGTCGATCTTGGATGTGAATAGCTGCAAATAAAAATCAAGCAAGTGCAAGACAATAAGCAATTCGCTTTTCTTGATCATTCCAAGTTGATGCTACGTCACTCCTTCTTCTTGTTCACCTTCATGCCAGTGTTGGCAAAAGAACTAATTATGCTAGCTGCATGTCAGATTGTCAGGAACGCCCTGATCTCAGTAAAAAAATGATTCGAACGTATTGCTAGCATGTCAGATTGTCAGGAGCGCCCTGATCTCAGTAAAAAATGATTTGAACGTCTATAGGTCGTAACTGCTTTTGATGTCCTCGTTGCATTAACAAACACGATGATGTTGATTTTTTTGGTTTTGTCCATATTCTGGTGTTGTCCATATTTTGGTCTTGTCCAGATTTTGTTGTTCTTGTTCAGGTCGTTAACATGAAATAATGACGCGGTATATGTTGCGTAGTTCATCCTTGAGGTCCTACAGGAGCGCTTTGTTCTTCTCAAGAAGGAACCACGTCCAGGTGGTCCAAAACGAAAAACAAAACTTCCGAAAAACAATAGACAAGCTGCTGACAATCTCCTAAAAATGCTTGTTTGACACCTGGGTGGTCATGTTGACAAAAAAGACCGTACATCTTCAATAGCGCCTCGTTGCGCTTGATTCGTATACGTATCTCATTTTCTCCTTGTCCTTCCGCTTTCAAAGTATAATGCTTTGATAATCAAACACATTCGTGCTCCTGCGCTCTACGTCTACAATTGGTGTTTTTAGTTTTACGTTCACTATGATAAATAAAAACGAGTTGATATTTGTGATTTTCTTCAAAAGACAACTTTAAAAAAGAGTTTTTTCGGCCGTGCCGGAATAAAGCCACATATTGATATTCCTAAAAACGACCGACCCCAGCGCTCGCCAGCACGATGCTCGGTTTATTCCGAAGCATCCGTCAGGTTGTACGGTCGACAAGCACCTGCAGCTCCCGCAAGTGGGGCCGGCCGTCTAGCTGCATGGCAAAGTGCAGCACTCGTATGAGTATCGGTTCTCCATGAAGCAGGTTCGGTCGCGTTGCAAGAGCATTCAAATTGGTAAGTCCTATTGGCCACACAATTACGGACGGCACGCCGTGGTCGCCGTCGCCACAACTACAAGCGTAGGGGCTTATCATAGTACAACCCTCGACGCACCAGTAGCCGTTCTTACTTAAGGTTAACTACAACATTTCTGCCCCTACTCCCTGCACCATCCCGGCTAATTCTTCCATCAGCTGGTACTCTCTTTGCGACAGACGTCCCCCATCTATCAGAAGGAAAAATCCCCCCACCCCATATCGAAGTGGAAATCTGTGACGCGGGACTTGTGTACACAAATCGGCTCTGTATTGCAGGAAGGCAACGCGGCTAGATCCCCAGGCTATGCAGGGGCGTATCGGGCTAGTTGCTCAGCATGGCAAACGGCCCCGCTTTAGGCCCAACAGCATGACCAATCACCTCCATAATGGGGGCGAAGCTTTTGCCCTTGTCTTCTAGCAAGACAGACGTGATTTGTGACCTCAAATCAGCAACACAAATTTTCGGAAACATGCCTTTTCGATATGGAGAGGGGGGATTTTTCCTCTCAATATTTACATTTCTGCCCCCACTCCCTGCACCATCCCGGCTAATTCTTCCATCAGCTGGTGCTCTCTTTGCGACAGACGTCCCCCATCTGCCCCAAATTCTGTCCACCGCCTGGTGCGATCATAAAACCTTAACCACTCCCAGATCAGGCTGCGAAAGTGAGAGCGGTCCGGAGCAACCGGCGGAAGACGGCGTCCGTGGGGCGCACCGGGATCCACCTCCCCGTTAGCAATGTCCATTTCCGATGGCGGTAATATGCACGACAAAAACATGGAAGATCTTCTGCCGGGAAGAGGAGGTCCTCTGAGTTTGTCTTTCGATAGTTGACGCGAGGTTACAACATGATACAACATGGACGACCAGCATGCGGGCACATCATAGAAGACATGATGGGCGGCTCCTGCGTTAACAATGTCACATGCAGCAAAAAAGCTGCGGGGGCGTCAAGACAGCTCGTCTTTCTCATGCAATTATACACAGCGCGCAGAAGTGTTGTAGCCTTAGAGAGGACAAGCCTGCAATGCACGGCTCATGTCGTTCTCGTTGTATTCGTAAGTACAAGAGGCCGAAACTTTGTCAGGACGCTTTATACAAAAAGAAGTAGACACAGCAATAGTACATCAACAGTACAACCGAAAATTATGATTTATTTTCATCTCGTGCTGCTCTCTTCAATATCTTTGTCTTTCAGAGAACCCCCCAGGACGAGCTGCGGCCACATTTCTTCAAACGCATAAGCAGTATCAAGTGTAAAAGTGTCTGGGTCTGGAAGAATGCAACTTGTGATGCTGCATTTGGATTCCAAAAAAATCTGTATTGCATGAGTACCGAAGGAAATGCAGTTTTTGCTAGGCTGAGAAGGCATTTGTCATGCGGAATACGCATCAAGAAGCCCTCAAAAAATCTGTATTGCTAGGGTATGCATCACAGACATCATGGCTCATGCAAAACGTGCATGACAAGTGTCAGCATCTTCCAGACCCAGACACTTTTACAGTTGATAAGCAGAACGCTCCTGCCAATTTCGCCATTCCGCGCCTGGTATCGCTGAAGATCTTGCAGAGTTGGGTACAACAGCCATTGCAACGCAGCGTATGCTGGTTTCGATGATGAGCGCGGATCGGCATCGGTGGTTGAAGTACTTGGTCCTGAAGACGAAGAAGAAGGTCGTGATGGAGCGACGAGATGTTCTTGACCACCACGCGGCGCAGAATGACGAGCAGCTCCTTCGCCATCGCCGCTGGGCAGTGGTGCAACTTGATGCTGAGCTGCACTATCAAAACTCTCCATCACCTTCCGCAAAACGTCCCGCATGCGTTGCTGCCTCACCCCAATTTTCGAAATCAGCCGGGGCCCGAGGACGTCGATAAACAGGCCGTGCGCGCAACAGTCTTTCAACATACAGACCCCACACCGGGTTACACAACCTGCGGGGTCACACAAGGTGCCAAGGCCACCGTGCAGTACAGCGCAGGGAACCAAATAGCAGCTGCAATTTCGCCGGGACAGAAAAGTCTGAAACAGGCAGGTGTTTGCCAGGTCGGTGGTACAGGCGTGGAGATCATTTTTGGAACAGCAGCCACCGTTAATATTTCGCAGACAATTCTTCTTCGGTAGTTGACCATTCGTATTTTCGACCGGGGTTCCACTTTTCGGCTTTTCTTTTTCCAAAGATTCTTGCTCCGATTTATTTTTCCCAGCACTTCTAGCTGCGCAATACTTTCCACAGCTCGCCGCCTCTACACACCCCGGAACTGAGTCGCCGATAAAGCGCGAGAAAACCGCTCGCGCGGCCAGCTGGTACAGGATGATTGCCTATGAATGTGCACAACTCCCCCTCCGCCTCATTTGTCATGCAAAATGCCCAATCCAGGCCGTGCCTCTTAGCACTGTTCGCACGACAAGTTCTGGCAGCCCGAATAGCACTACAATCCTGTGCAAGAAATCTCGCATGCAAAACCTGCATTCTGGCAGGCACTTGTATTGCCGTTCATGCTACACAAGTAAGGGGGAGGGGGACGAGTTGTGCACTGTCATATTGCCTTCAGCTCGTCCAGAAACGCGGTAAGGACAGGGGCCAGAACGATAATTTCCTCCTTTGTGAGATGAAGCTGCCGATCTTCACGATCTTGCCCTCCACCTTCGTGCCGAGTTTGCTCTCCAGCTCCATCAGGAGCAGGAGCTGCTGTTGCTGCAGCTCCCACCCCGCCTTGCACTTGTTCCCGCAGTCCGTCGCCCCGAGCAGAGTCTCCTTGTTGCGGTCTTTCGTCTCGTCCAGGTCGAGGTCGTCGCCTTTCACCAACATCATCCCCAACCCGATACCGCCAGCGATTTAATCCCTGCAACACCTGGGCACTGTAGTTTGCGTTCTCGTCTGGGCGAAAGCACAAATGCGTCGGGCTGCATAACCTCCCCTCGCCCTCCGAATGACCATACAGCAGCTCACTCTGCGTGCCCCCGCAACACGGGGGGCTGAACACCGTCAAGAAACAGCAGTTATGCACCGGGTTTAAGCAACAGTGGCGGGCTACCGACTCGGCAGTTTCGTAGGTCTCCGGGACGCAGGCCGTTGGGGTTCCATCCAGGCCGGATGTGCGGCTGCGCGCCGGCGGCGTGCAGCCACATATTGTCGGTTCCATTTTGTAGTTCCAGACCCCCGCCAACCCTCCCCCATTCCGTTTTGACAAACAGAGCATTTCGCAGCAGGTAGTATGCTCCTCAAAAGCCTTGAAGGAGTTTGGTTCTCTCCGCTGCACTTCTTCGAACTGCTCTCGTCGCGCAGTCTCTTCTTTGGTTTGGAATTTTCGCTTGTGTAGAGAAAACCTTTGGGGGCCGTTAATCGGCCCTACTTTTCGAATCGCTTGGACTGAGAAAAGACCACCGACGTATGCAATGCAAAAGTATCGTAGTAGTAGTAATTGCAATAGATACAAGTTAGCTGAGCATGACAAATGGAATTTGTCATGGTCTTTTGCCTTGGGATGATAATGCAAGACTTGCATTTATACGAATACGATACTTTTGCACAGGATAAAACAGTGTTCTCCACGATCCTTCCGCCGAACGGGTTGTCATCGAAAGTTTTTTGTCTCTGTGTGTCAAACCGAAGCATGCGACGCGCGTGTTTCTTTGCCGTTGCCATCATGCTGTCAGAAGTACCACTCGAGGAGAGAAGGTGGGACGTCGAGAACTCCTGGCGATGTTCCTGATCTCCTGCTTCGCTCATGGAAATCATCTCGACGTCGTCCGAAGGTCGCAGCTGCGAAGCTTCTGTTCTTGCAGTGGTATGACGTGCACCAGCAACTACCCGCTGTGTACTAGAGCCACCTGCTCTACTGGTCGTCTCCATTCTGTGCTGCTGCGGAGCTGGTTCTCTCACTTGGGCAGTTGCAGCAGCTCGCGCGGTAGTAGAAGTACTGCGACGACGAAACGACGCACCAATTGGAAAAGTGTCGTCTTGCATTCCATCTTGCGAAGATCTCCGATCTACCGGAGCTCGTCGTTGCCTAGTAGAAGGACCTGCTGCCGCGGCCGGGGGTGCGGCTTTTGGTGTAGAAAGAGAAAGTGCAGACAAATCCGAGGATAAGGCATCAGCTTCTGCTCCCCCTCCTCCGTGGGCCGCTTCATGAATCAGCAGCACTTCATCATCTTGGTGCGGAGAAGTAGTAGCTTGCCTGCGTCCTCTTCGCGCGGCTCCCCCCGAGCTCCTGCGGCGAGATGACCCGCGCGAAGATGTTCTTCTGGGCTGCAGTTGTTCATCTTCTGGTCCCCCCAGCCGCATCAAGCGGTCGGCTTCTCCGGTGGGGTTTTCTATGTCGTCTTCAAGCAGGAACGGGCCTCGCGTTCCGAATTTCTTCTCCTTAGCTCGGCGAGACCGCGAGGAAGACGAGGATCTTATGAAAGTGCACAACTCCCCCTCCCCCTCATTTGTGATGCAAAGTGCCTAACTTACGCCTTGCCTCTGGGCACTGTTAGCATGACAAGTTCTGGCAGCCCAAATAGCACTACACTCCTGTCAAAATTTGTCTTGCAAAACCTGTATTCTTGCTGACGCTTGTATTGCTGTTCATGCAATACAAATGAGGGGGAGGGGGAGTTGTGCATTCTCATAGATCTGCTGCGGGGCCGCGAGGATGAGGAAGAGGAGGATCTGCTCCTACTTCTGCTCGAAGAGGTAGAAGTTCTTGATGATTTAGAGCCTGGTGAGGTGGCCATTGTAGGACCTCCAGTGCTGGACACCATCGCAGGAGTACTAGAGGCTCCTTGTTCTGAAACGCCGCCGCCGTCGCCACGACCGAAGGGGCACCAAGAAGAGGCACTAAATAAGAGCTCCTTCAGCATCTTCTTCAGATCACTCACTCTCTCGCTTTCAATCACGGCCGTTGCCAGCTCCTTCTGTATATCAAATGCAAACATGTCTGGGTCTGGAAGAATGCAAGATTTGTAATGCTGAACTCGCATACTCCCAAACTCTGTAATGCGTGTTGCGGAATAGCGGCGCAGGTGCTTCTGTGTCATGCAAAAACGCAGTTTCTCATGCGTGTTTACACATCACAGGACCGTTAAAAAATCTGTCATGCTCCTCGGCTGCACACTCTAGTAATTTTTTCATTCGTGTATTAGCATGACAAGTTTCCAGAACCAGACATATTTGCATTTGATACTGTAATTTCGGACAGTCGAGGAAGCCGGAACCGTTGACAGATGATACAAAAGCGGCGGCATTTTGACTTTGACCACTCGGTGGCCGCTGCTGCCCAGCACGACTTGTTGCTTTAGCTTTTTCCTCGTCCCCTACGTCTAGGAGCTGCTGCTTCATCCACTCGACTTTCAAAAGCATCCGCAGAAACAACCGCTGCTGTTCCGCGGAGGTGAGCTCCTTCACAGCACGCGCGGCAGGCAGGTCCTCGCGCGCCGGCGCAGCTCCTGGAAGATGATGCCGTAGTTCTTGCATCTCGTGCTGTTCTGGCACATCTTGTTTCTCAACATCTACCCCGGTTTTTACAACGGTTCTTCTCCCCCCGCCCGGCATAAAAGTAATCTCTTCCAAAAACCCCACCGTCCCCGCCAACACCTGTAACACCCCTTGGTAGGCATCGCCCCCCGCTATCGGGTCGGTCTTGTGCGGCCACGGGCAGTATCAAGTGCAAAAATGTCTGGGTCTGGAAGATTACTAGCAGGCTTCTCATGCATATTTCGCATAACCCATGATGCCCGTAATGCATGACCTAGCATCACAGATTTTCAAAGGGACTTCCGATGCGTATTCCGCATGAGAAACGCCCGCTCCGCGTAGCACAAACTGAACTCCTCTTGCTGGTCATGCAATACAGATTTTTTTTTCTTTCCAAAGACAGCATCACAAGGTGCAACCTTCCAGACCCAGACGTTTTTGCATTTGATAGGCAGAAATACTCGAAATCGCTTGCCGCACACATCCCGCACCCGGTGCATGGACTTCCACCAACTGCTGTGCGGATATGGATGTGTCAGGATCGAAATCGACAAAGTCGAAAAATTTGTGATGCATAAAATCGATACCAGTTGGAAGCCCAATTTCTAAGCGGTGCATGACAAATTTCGGCATCGCCTAAATCCAGTTTGTCATGCTGCTTAGGGAAAGAGGGCGCCTTTTGTCATGCTACTTTAGCATCTCTATCGCAGAGGACCCCAAACAGGCTGACAGTCGGCCTCGCTTGCCGTCCCTGCAAGCGAGGCACTTCATGCCTTGCAGTTTATGCATGGCAAACTATTTCAACTTTGACGATTTCAATCCTGACACTTTCCATAGCTGGCACAGCCCAGATACGGCCGGTCGGGGTCCTCGTCCTTCATTTTGCGCAGATAATTCCGGTACTCGTCGCTCTTTTTATCAAGTGCGAATATGTCCTCTGGGTCTGGAAGAGTGTAGTAAACTTGTCATGCAGGTTTTTCCATGACGATGACCCATGAGGTCTGGAATTATGCGGGACCTAGCATGACAGAGTCTACTGTGAGGTCTCTGCCATCATGCCTATCCTGCATGAGAAACTCAGTCCAAACTTGGTCGAAAGTGGCGACGAGCTTTTGGCACCCATACAACACAGATTTCTGCATGATTCGGATTTAGCATAACAAGTTTCATCAATCTTCCAGACCCAAACATTTTTGCGAATCCATACTTTTTCGCCTTTTCCAAGTCAAATTGCGCGTCGTTGAGGAGGGGTAACTCTATCGCAAGAAAAAACTGCTTCACTGTGAACTTGTGATGCAGAAAATGCATCACTGAAGTGCTTGTCTTGCTACATGATATCCAAGACAAGTTATTTTTAGCGGTGTTTTCCCTTAGGATCCTTGCATGGCAAGTCTTCTTTGTAATGTGTAGCGAACTTGTAATGCAAAACTTGCAAAGTCCTTAAAGTGAAACAGTTTTTTCTATACGATAAACTCATCTCGATCTTTATAGGCCGAATAGATTTCGTGGGCGGTCCGAAGCTCCTTTCTCTGCTTTCTGAGGTATCTAACCTCATTGTAGCTCAGCCTCCTGTGTTCATCTTCCCCGTCATCCGGCGGAGGCGGGGTGTTGCTAATTCTCTCACGTTCGTGAAACGTGAATCTGGGGTCTGTAGTCTCCTGAGTAAAAACGTCCCCACACCAGAGTCAGGATGGGGATTTTGCACCACAAAACTAGGAGTTTTGTGAGTCACGCATGAAAAGCTGCATTCCGCAGTGTAGTGCAGGTTAGCAAGTGCAGCCGCGTCACAGATTCATCTGCTCATCCTGTTCACAGCATCAAAAATTCCAAACCACGATTGGAAATGGCTCTCATGGGGATGCGCATTACAAGTCTTCCTGTCTTTGCAAATCTGCATTACAACTCTGGTGTGGGGACGTTTTTCCTCAAAATATGTAGTTTCCCGAATCTGGGTGGGTGTCTGGAACGGGTGCCGGCGGTAGATGGTCGCTTGTTCTGGTCCGTTCCGGGCGTCCGCCCGATCATGGCTCCCGGGAGGACGGCGTCTCGCCCGGAGCTCCTCAGTCACCCTGTCCACCTCATACTTGTCGTGGAACCGTCGCGCTATCCTGTGCAAAAGTATCGTAGACTCGTATTGCAGTCATGCATTACAAATTTTTTCCCTAAGGTGAATCCGCATTAGAAGTTTTTATTTTTCATCATGCTGAGGAAATTTGTAATGCATTTTTTTTACGAGTGCGATAATATTGCGGTTCATACGCGCGGCCAAGTTAAAACCCTCAGCGTACTTTTCTTTGATTTCCTTCTGCTCCCGCGGCAGCCGGACTTTCAAGCTGTGCTATCCTGTGCAAAAGTATCGCACTCGTAGTAATTGCAGTCATGCAAGACAAATTTCTTTTTCAAGCTAAATCAGCATGACAAACTCCATTTCTCATGCTGAGCTAATTTGTATTGCAATACTACGATTACGATACTTTTGCACAGGATATGTGCAGAGGATTCACAATGTCCGGGTCAATGGGCGGGCGAAGGGCTTGAAACTCTTCAGTCTCAGCTAGGACACTCGGCGGCCGGACTTTCCAGGCTTATGGAAGCGTCAGGTTTGAAATCGACAAAGTTGAAATGATTCGCCATGCATAAAATGCAAGGCATGAAGTGCCTGTCTTGCCGGGCTGGCAAGCGAGGCCGACTCTCAGCCTGTTTAGGGTTTGGAGTAGAGCTGCTAAAGTAGCATGACAAAAGCAGTCGTCTCTGCCCAAACAGCATGACAAATTGGATTCCGGTGCTCGGAAAATTTGTCATGCACCGCTTGAAAATTGGGCTTCCAAGGGTATCGATTTTATGCATTGCAAGTTATTTCAACTTTGACGATTTCAATCCTGACGCTTCCATAAGGCTTCCATCGCCTGTATCTGAAAAAGGAGCTCGAGAAGGAGGGTCGCCGTTTCTCGACGATTTTTTTCTGTCAAATGCTGTTCCTGCTCGGACGATGCTGAATCTGCTGCGCCTCCGCTTCCTGCTGAACGACGAATCGTTCTGGTACTCGTACTACCAGTCGGGGGCGACTCTACTTGCCCTTGCACAACAGATGATGAAGGGCAAGGGTCAGCGGCTAGTAGCGGTTCCACCTGCGAATGATGAAATTCATCTCCACGGCGAGTGGACGACGACCTCGCTGAGTTTGATGAATTGCGCGGCGATAAAAGGCTAAGTCCACCTCCTTCGGACAGTGGTGTTGCGCCAGCTCCTGCTGCATTGCTTGTTGCGCTTATCAACACGAAGACGAGGCTTGTTGTAATGGCGAACACGTCAAACACACGAAGCAGTAGAAACCTCATGTCGACGCGTCCGCGTGGCAAAGTTAAAGTTTGCATTTTCTCCAAACTACCGGTCGTTTCGAAGCTCGGACTTCGCTTCCTCTTGACGGCGCACAGGAGCTTCGTTCGATTGGTCTAGTACTCAAGTCTTAGTGATGTTGCCGAAAGTTAAATTTTTCACGACTAGCACACCAGAACTACATACGCAAGCGAAAATAATGATAGTAAAATTAGGTCGTAAAATATTTTTTTCGGGTTGAGTCTACACGTAGAAATGCACTTCGCAATCAATAAAAAAAGTGTATATTTGTACACAGAAGGGAAATTGTTAGCAATACCGTTAAGAATCCACGACGAGGAGCGCACGAATTGACTCTAAGGGCAAGAATCTAGGACGCACACAACCACCGTGGTGGATTTTCTTCAGCGAGTAAGTACCAAAATACCTGACAGCCTGAAACAGGGTGGGTTTACATCGTGACCGATCAGGTTCAGTGGGTGAAAGAATGTGCACCGAGCTAGTGTGGTAGTGTCATATGATCGTGGGATTTCAGATCATGGGACTTTTTACCAGCCATTTGCATCATAGGGCCGCGGATTTGGAGCGATCCTCATTTCTTTGTAATTCTGATTTCATTCTCACCTGCAGAAATAAACAATAACAATTTCAAATACTGTAAACTCCTGAATTGAATCAGTAAGAAACGATCACGATGAGATCATTTCTTGAGCTGGCACAGGACCTCTTTTGCCACAGGTTACAGCACATCCAGTCCACAAGGAAAAAGATGAAAATCACATGAGACAAGCGGTTAGTTCGTTGTTACTGTGTCTTTATCCTAGAAGGTGGACATCACTAGTGCTCTTTTCACAACTTCCCTCCAGGAGGTGAAGATGGGGCTTGAAGTCACGACATCTTGTTAGTGTTTTATTTCCTTTCGGGTGCTCATCTTGCGATTCATTTACTAGTACTAGAACTACTTCACATGATTCTACTTTGTTCACATAAAATTCAAACCCTCCTATGGCACAGTTGCGGTCTTAGTTTTTTCATTTTGAACTGGCTATTGTTGTGGTCATCTGAAGGCTTTTCCTCGGAAAGCAGCCTTATTCTTGGTACTAGAAGTTCAATCAATATACACGGATGTTGAGAGCAACCCAGCTGCTACGAGGTTATGGCTTTGACATTGAACCGCAAAAAAAATGGGCATTGAGGCGAGAGATGAGAGTGATGGGCTGTATAATCGTTTGAGCGTGAGCGTCGAGGTCGAGCCATGTACAACTTACATAGATGAAATTGAAAACAACTTTATCTGCAATATTACTGAGGTAAGCGTAAGACTCACCATGCCCACAAGAACTGAATCTTGTCGCAGGGGCTCTTGATTCTACACACGTTTGCTCATGCCTTCTCCACGAGTCACAGTTCGCCGTAAAGAAACTTTTCAGCCCTGAAGTTTTGTTCATTTCTCCGTGACGAAGGCATTTTTGATTTTTTTCAACGTTTCTTCCGTGATACTTTTCTCCTTCTCTTCCTCTTCTTTCGCCTGCTTCGCTGCCGCCTCCGCCGCCCGGCGCGCCCGGGCCTTTGCTGCGAAGGGACAACCCCCGCCTGTGGGTTTGATTTCTTCTTTCTCGGAAGGAGGATCGTCTTTTTCTGAAGTTGATGACGGACACGGACGACGATTCGCTACGCTGCTATTTCCGCCCGCTGTGCTGGTGCCCGCGGAGGTGGCGGCTTCGTTATTGTCGGACGAAGAAGATCCCCCTGCTGCAGAAGTTTCATCAACTTCTTCTTCGCCGTCCTTCGTCCCTTTCGTTGCCGAAACTGACACGGGCGGGGGTGGTACCCGCATCCGCACTGGCGTGCCAAATCCGGCTGGGACGTTACTATCGACCGCTTCTGCCTCATTCAACGTTTGTTCTGCCGTCGGTCCGGCCTGCTGTTCCACGCCCGTTTGGTGAACACCGAAGGCCGACTGTTGTAAAGGGATGATTATGCAGATCGAAAGTATCCACCTATCGCATTTTCTCATTACAACTACTTCTACTTTCTGTTTCTACATCTACTAGCTTTCAATTTGATAGCATTACAAATTTGCTAAAAAGGAGCGGAACCGGAATTTGTCATGCTGATCCAGGTATAGCAAGTGGATTTGTCATGCAGTTTTTTTTCTATCACAATCAGTACGAGAACGACGAGTGCGAGGATACTTTTGCAATTCATACCCGAAGCGCCGAACGATTCGTCGAGTGCTGGGGGCCACTGAAAAGCCTTCAACCCGTATCCAAGAAAAAAAGATTGTAGGTGTAAAGTAACTTTTTTGCAGGAACAGCATTACAAATCTCTGTGGCATGAGAGCAAAACCTGTCATGCGCAGATAGTACCGGAAAACGCGGCCGAATGGACCCTACAACGCATTCCCAGCATGACAGACGCAATCATCTTGCATGTCGCGCATCACAAACTTACAGTAACAACGTTTTTTTCTTGGATAACCCGACGAAAAACGGGCCAAGAGACTCGATGAATTCGGATGTGTGCCGGGTCTTCCGCATGTCCTGGATCACTTTGGCCAGGGGATGGAGCTGCTTTCCCACAAGCCCTATGACAAACTCGTTGTCCTTCTCATCGAGACCTGGTGTTTGATTTGTGTCTTTCAATTTGTTCATCTTCATGCAATTTCAGCATGACAGGGCATGTTTTGTTCTGTGATACCGGAAATTGAAACTGCTCTAACTATGTCTGATGCTGATGCTGATCTTCTTCTTGTTCACACGACTACAAAATAAATGTCAAAATCCAACTTCACCTGTAGCCTGCAGCCTGATATCATGCGCCAAGTTCTTTTCCCCGTAACTTCTGCCAATCAGCGTATCAAATGCAAAAGTGTCTGGGTCTGGAAGGATGCAACTTGTGATGCTACTTTTGGACTCTACATGAAATCTGTATTGCATGAACAGGAAATAAAGAGGCGCAATTTGTGCTACGCGGAGAGGGTATTTCTCATGCGGCATGAGCATTAGAAAGCCCTCGCAGAATCTCTGATGCTGGGGCATGCATCACAGACCTCGTGGGCCCTGCAAAATCTGCACGACAAACTTCTGCACTCTTCCAGACCCAGACATTTTTGCATTTGATACAGCGCGTGCTCCAACAACATCTCGCACTGCGCTTCCGGCTCCTCTAGATAGAATTTTCCGCACCTTCGCAGCGGTATACAGTGCAAAAGTATCGCACACGCACTAGTATAAATTGCATGACAAATTTGATCAGCATTACAAATGAAATTTCTCATGCTGATTCACCTTGAGTAGAAAGAGATTTGTCATGCATAATTGCAATTACTACGAGCACGATACTTTTGCAGTGGATAAGCGGGTACCAGATGCAATACTCGTGCTCCTTTTTCATCGCCATCTTCACCGGCTTTTGCAACAACGCGTAATCCAAATCTTGTTTTTGAGGGTGCACAACTCCCCCTCCCCCTCATTTGTCTGGTATGAACAGCAACACAAGCAACAGCAGGATAGGGGCTTTCGCATGACAAATCTGCGCGCAGATTGTAGTACTATTTGAGGTTCCAAAATTTGTCATGGTAGCAGTGCTTACGAGCAAGGTGTGAGTTTGGTACTTTGCATTACGAATGACGGGGAGGGGCAGTTGTGCACTCTCATATTGTTCGTGGCCGTTGGAGTAGGTTTTGCCGAACATGGTGTGCAGCAACCGCGCTTTCGTGTTATGCAATGCAAAAGCATCGGACGTAGTACAAATTGCAATACGAATTGTATGTTCCAGAGGGAAAGTTGGAATTTGTAATGCCACACCAGATGGAATGCCAAATCTCTCATGGATAATATGCCATTACCACGGGCGCGATGAAGATGCTTTTGCGATGCATACGTGTCCCCGTGTTGCAACAATGGATTTACGTGCTTCACGAAGTACGACGGGTCTTGGGACCAGAAGAGCAGCCCAACTTGCGTCGGGTGGTAAATGTGGGAGTACAGGACGTGCGGGATTTTCTTGCTGGTCAAAATCAGGTGGAATTGACGTAAAGTTTCTTCCGAGGAGAGCTGGTTTGCCGCAGTGAAGTGGTCTGGAGTGCTCGCGCCATGTAGGTCGTAGACCAGCAGCTGCATCCAGAGTCTGGGTTGATAATGATGGTAGTATAAGTTGACGTTGATGAACTTGAAATACATAGACCAATATTAGCTGCGTGGTGAAAGAAAAAAACTTCAAACCAAAGGCTACCACTGAGCGATCATTCAACTACATCTTCAGATCGACGATGATCAGCTACAACGGAAGTAGAACGTACTTCTAGTTCCACCTACTACCTGTAGTCTACCGCATCCCCGTTCCCGCCCCGCTCTTTCACGTCAATCTTGTGCTTTCCCCGCATGATTTCCGCAGCCGTCCTGTGTTTTTTCTGCTGTATCTGCCCCCCTCCTCGCAGCATCAGCGCGTTGGCTAGGCGCTCGTAAAACCGGGCGGGGCCCGCGGGGGCGGTGCTAGTAGCACTTGTTGGTCGGCTCTTTTTGTGGATGACCCAGACGGTTAGTACCATCGTAATGAAGGTGACCGCGAGGAGCTTCGGATTCTTTTCGATCGACGAGTCGAAAAGTTGGAACGGTTCTAGTTGGTTGCCCGACATCTTGATGAAGGAGGTGGTGCTTCTTCCTTTATTCGGTAGGAGGAGGATTTGCTGTGCTAGTGAAAAATCTGCGCCAGTGATAAAATCTTGGGTAGCGACGATGAAAAGCGAAAACATACAACAATGCAGAAGGAAATGAACAACAAAGGATGGACGTGAGCCCTGAGATAGATACGATGAAGTAGAAGACAAACACGGAGGTAGTTCGAGCTTGCAGGGCGGCAATCGGCTCAACTATCTCACAACACCACCGCGACGATTGAAGGCGCAACACGGACAAAAAGCAAAACGGCAACGCTTCTTGCCTCTAGCACTAAGAGTATGAGTAGAGCGATCTCGACGTGTCTCTGGAAAGGCAGCGCCTGTGGATTGTCGGGTCCTTGCACGAACAAGATGAAGATCAAGAAGATGCAGGGCGCCAACGTATAACTGTTTCACCCTGCCCCAATGCGGGCATATGCCGGGTAGACGTGCGGGCTCACTGACGAGGGCAACGGCCCTCGCGGATCGATGCATGGACTGACAAACTAACATACACAAAGCGGCGAGCGGCAGCGGGCTCTGAATCTGTCGCCGCGCCATGCCCAAAAAAGAAAGCGCCGCCCGCGAGGGGGCGTGCGGAGGATCGGTGGGAAGCGAACCAGGGCGGGGGGCACGCCTGCGACAGAGAGGGCGCCCGACCGAACTAGACGAGCCAACCGGGCCGCCGACGGACGGACCAGCCACAGCGGCCAGCCGGCGCGCCAAGGAAGCAAACCCCGAACCCCCAGCCGGGCGCGGGCCTTCTGCGCTAGGTAGAGCCTGCGCTGGCCGGCGGAGCGCGAACAGGCGCGGGGGGCGCTTGCACGGCGGAGAGAACAGCTGCGGCTGCCGAGAGATGCGCGCTGGCGCCGCCCGCCTGTGCCTTACTTAGGGGCGTGCGCCTCGGCGCCCGCGGGCGCCAAAGAACCCCGCGCGGAACTGGTCGGCGCTGTCCAAGTCGATGTCCCGGAGCATCGGGGCCGCCTTGTTTATGTTCCTCATCTGCGTCATCAAGTGCGAGGGCCCGCCGGCCCATTTCCTTGGGCCCGGGCATGGGCGCAGAGAGAAAGATAGAGCCAGGGCCGCCGCGGCCTAGGTTGCGGCTTTTTTGCGCGGGGCCCTGCCCCACTGCCCGCACGACCGAGAATGGAAGCGCCGGCCCGCGCCCGATGACCGCCACAAATGGATACAGAAAAACGAACGCGCGGGCGAAAACACAGCGAGCGGGAGAATGGGAAGCCGGCACGCCAATACATCGCGACCAATGCCTTGGGCCTGAGCGACACATCGGCCGTCAGCTCACACACTGCGCAAACATGCGGCCGGGCCCAATCGCCCAAACAAAGAGCCACGCCCCGGGAAGGCCTGCAGGATGGAAATCGACCGCCCACAGGCGCCACAACCCAAGCAGCTCGCACTTTGCCGGCGCTAAGAACTGCCCCTCTGACTTGTATGCGCGCCGACCCAAATCCCTGGGCAACCTCCTTGGGAACCCTGGGACCCCCTTCCGGTCGTCTCGGCGGAAGCGGATCCACGTCGTTCCATCGTCTACGAACTGGACAGCCCCGCGCCCAGCCATCGCGGGGAGTAAGGTCGCGCCGCCGTTTATCATGGCACACACGTGCCCCGGCGGCAGCATTTCGGCCGGGCCCGGCAAGGCCCAGCGGGCGGCAAACACGCCCGGGACGGCGACAATCCTGGGCCCTCGGTCGCGCCGTCGTATATTTTGGGCGCGGGCGGGCGCCAAACATGTGGCCGCCCCGACCCGGGCCAGCTGGCAACGCAAGGCAACAACGGACGGCACAGGTCTCCTGCGCTAAACCTAGCCGAGTTTTGCCATGGTTCCACAACAAGAACGAACGAAGCCCACACGCAGGACATACAATGGCCGACCAGTACGATGCTGATCCTTCAGGAGAACAACAAACCGTCGAAAGGTCGACGACTTGAGTGTCGTCGCAGGAAGGGTGAAAAACAGTAGCAGTTCCCTCGTCTTGCTTTATTGCTTTATTTCCAATAAAGTCGTGGCAATTATTTCTCGTATTTCGATTCGTGGTTCGGGGGCCTTCAAAGGGTACTTTTTTCGTAGACACAACGGTTATCGGACGACCAGCGCCAAATATGGGAAAATCGGTTGCAAAAAAAGCGGAGCGCGAGACACGAATCTATTTGCAAGAAGGAATACAGCAGAATCTCGGTTGTGCCGCCTTCTGTCATAATACGACAAACAACAACATCTAGCGTACATAACATCTATGCCTCGAAGTCGAATCATATGATCAGAGTTATAATTAATGTCGGTTCGATGTAAACTATCAATTGCAAGGTACAGGTTATTGTTGTATATCAAGATGAAACAAGTTGAAGTTTTTTGCAGCTTCTATATTTCAGTCGAAAACAAGAAGGCCCTGGTGCTCGCTATCCTGTCATCTACTCGTTCTCTGCGTCAGCTGCTGCTTCTAGCCAACTATGTTCTATTCAAACGGGGTGGCCTTCGCCTTTCGCATGACTGCCACTAAAATTTGTACCCGTCTGAAATGTTCGGAAACCACTCGAAAAATACGTCGTAAGATTGGACTGAGGCATGATATCGTCGAGGCGGTCTGTGAACACTCCCTGTGCTGGCAAAACAGAGGTAAAAGAATGTAGGGCTTACTTGGCTAAAATCTAGAAAGTCATGGAGAAAACAGTGGCTACCTAGTTCGAGATATATGCGTGGTTGATATTATCTGTTTCGTTGTCCCGAAGAAGTATAGTAATGGTTGGCCTAATTTCATACTGGTGTGCTCATAGGATTCTGAAAGTCATTTTCTATCTACGGAACGAACCGACTTCGTTCTCTGGATGCGATTTCTCTCGTCTTGCTGCGGTGGTCATGTGGTAGTGTATGAACCGTGAAATTTGAAACAGCAGAAACAGATGCGCTTGAGAAGATGAAACAAGAAAAAGTGACAAAAGAATCTTCGAGAAGGGTTAAAAATTTGAATCATACAAGACAAACTTTTGCGTCGCTCCTTTTCGAGTAAGTATATCAGTTATTTTCAAGTGTCGTGATATTCCGCAAGCGTTGCATTTGTAGCGTCTCCAGCTGCTCGCATCCGCCGCTAGACTTTTCAAAATATCCAATGGGCAGTTCAACAAGATTCAAAAACTCTACTCCTAAATCGGACGCTTTCATTCAACATCGAAGCATATCCATATCTCGCATACACGCGTAACTACTAAAAGCTCACTGGGCAGCTGCACCAGCATCGGCAGCTGTTCTAAGAGCTTCAAATTTATTCCTTGTCATGAAACAGATCGAATGAATCCGTGAAGGTGAATTATGCTAGTATGTGGAGGCGAGAAAAAGTACTTAAAAGTATACACTTGAGCGGATGTTTTGGGTCCCGCATGACCTTGCGATAGAAGCAAAGACGCAGAGACCTGCTATAATTTTCGCCAATGTTTATTGTTATTCAAGATTCATGATCTCAATATAAATGCATACAATGGGAGATAGAGACGCGGCACTCTTTAGCACCGATGAAAAGCTCTATACGTGCGAATAATACATCATGATGTAGTCGAAGGCAATTGTTCATAAGAGGTGAAGGCTTTATTTCATCCGATTGATATTGAAAAAGTCTACTTCATTTGTCGTTGTACCCGTGATTTTGTGGTCCCCACCACCACCACCACCTTTTATCTTATTACAACCTAGTATTTATTCATCTCACAGAAACATCTTCTTGATCGCATCCCAGTTTTCCAGCACCAGTTATGGCGTTCTCAACTGTTACATTCTCAACTGTTACATGAATTTGTGATGCAAGAATGGGAAAAGTGATAGGAGAGATCTTGCGCGTCTTGCATGACAGGTTTGGCGCCGATTATCAGCCTGCTTGGCCCTCTGCGAATTTGTCATGCGAAGCAGCTTGATGGTGTAGATTATGAAGGCAATTCTGCATGACAAACCATGTAACAGTTGAGAATGTAACGTTTGAGAGCCCCATACCAGTGTCATTTTCCGCAGCAGGATGTGGTCCTATCCTGTGCAAAAGTATCGCAGTCGTGTAAGTGCAAGTCTTGCATTACAAATCTTTCTCTGAAGGCAAATCCGCATTACAAATTCTATTCCTCATGCTGAGGAAATTTGTAATGCATGACGTCGCCTCGGTAGTGTCGTGGCCTCGGTACGCCACTACAAGTTGGCGCACCGAGGCTAGAAGAGGGCTCTTTAGGACGCGCATACAAAATGGCGCACCGAGGCCAAAAATGCCCGTTTTTCGGAATGGCCGCCTCGGTGCACCGAGGCGGACGGCCTCGGTGCGCCAAATTGTAGTCGGGAACAAAGCAGCAGACGGGCGGAACACAACAGCAGAAATGGAAAAAAGCGCTCGGGGCGCGGCGGTGCCAAGATTGTTTTTTTTGGGGTGAGACGGTGAGACACGTGAAACAAATTCGATGCTGTTGCCGTGCGTTCGAGGTAGTGCTCGTCGCGCGACGCCGCGAGCAGAAGCTCCCGCGGAAGGCAAGGGGCGACGCAGGCGCGGGCGTGTGCGAAGCGAAAAAACGCACGCGAAATCGCGAAGCACGCGAGCGCAGAGAAAATGGGGGGGGGCGGGGGGGGGGAGGACCGGGGGCCCATCGGCTAATTCGCGAGGTCACGCCGCGGGCCTTGATGGTGGGCAGAAAAACAAAACCCGTACCCTTGCCCGCGTCCGAGGGCAAGGTAAAAATAAAACGCAGGAGGCGAAGGCGCCTGCGCCACCTGGGACAGGTGTGCGATGGGACGTTTTTGCGCGCCGCCTCGGTGCGCCAAAATGTATTGTGAAGGCGCGCCGCTACAATACCAATTTTGTAGGTGGGCAAAAAGACATATTTGGGCGGGCTCGGTGCTGCCATACGTTACAAACCGCACCGGGCTCGGTGCTGCTTTTTGGCGGGTTTTCTCAATGAAAAAAGCGCGAAAATTGTAACGCCCCACATACGATTTGGCGTACCGAGTCGTATGTGCGTACCTAGGCCACGTCATGCATTTATACGAGTACGATACTTTTGCAATGCATAGGTCCGACCGGGAAACCAAATCCACGATCCGCGGCACCTATCAAATGCAAATATCTCTGGGTGTGGAAGATTGCTAGGTTTGTCATGCATATTTTGCATGACCCAAGAAGTAGACGCCTGTAATGCATTATCCAGCATCACAACATTTGAGAGGGCTTCCTGATGCTCATTCCGCATGAGAAATGCCACCTCCGCGTATTACAAACTAGACTGTTCTTGCTGGTCACGCAATACAGATTTTTTCAGAATCCAAAAGCAGCATCACAAGTTGCAACCTTCCAGACCCAGACACATTTGCATTTGATAGCACCCCGTTGCCCGACTCCAGATCGGCGATTGGTAATCGCTTCACCTTCTCACTGACCCAGTACACCAGTGGCGCGCCGATCGTCACCCGAATCACCGTCAACGCATGTTTGTTGTCCCAATTCGGCTGGAGTTGCACCGGCTGCGCGATGTAGCACTTGGAGGCGAGAATGTCGGAAAGGTTTTCGATCACGTGTGAACCGTAGGGGCCGGGTAAAATCACCGTGGTGTCGTTTAGGGTGGATTTCTGCTCGTCGGTCAGGGAAAGCTCGAACTTGGACAAGTCCATCGACATCAGTTTGTGCAATTTTTTCAACTCATCTAACCCCAACCGTTGCTTGTTCGAGACGGAGTTCTTCACGGGACCGCGGCAAATCAACGAAATGATCGTGTTGCACCACATCATGCCCTGATAGAAGTTTAGTATAGCATTTATGCATCACAAACGGGTATCATAGGTTTCTCATCATCTTCATCTTCAGTAGTACTTACTGCAGCATGATCACAAAGTCATGCTCTATTTGCAGCAGATTGCTACTTCTACTCATTCAGACTGGGTGGATACGCAGGCGCAGTAAAGAAAACATAATTACTAAACAATACCGCGTCCTGTTCTTTCGTGGTCTCCGTTCCCTCATTCTCCCCGTTAGTACAAGCAACCCCAGCTGTGCCACTAGTTGCCCCAGCTCCTACCGCCAACTGTCCACTCCTGGGCCTCGGTAGGAACATGTTGTGACCACCACCACTACTGTGAAAATCTCCCCGGGGGGAATTCGACACAAACTCCCTTTCCTCTTCGACGCACTCCAGAAACGGCGATTTCAAACCCTTCACGATTTCGCGGACGGACTCCACCCAGGTTTTCAGGATGTTGTCGCGCAAGGGTTCCGGAATTGCGTGGTACAGTTTGATTTCGTTCAGCGCCATCTTCCACCGCAGCACCACTCCCCAATTCAGCATGCGGGCGACCCCGGTCGTGGTCTTCTTGATGCAAGACCGCATCTTCGGCAAATCAGTATGCAGTGCAAAAGCATCGCACTCGTACCAATCGCGTTTATGCATTACAAATCTTTTTGGAAAGGCAAATCCGCATGACAAATTCAATTTGTAATGCTAAGTCAATTTGTAATGCAATTTATACTAGTACGATAACTTTTGCAATTCATAATCAGTAGATAATAGTGATTCGTCCATGAAGAGCGGGAAGTGCTTCAACTGGAACCGCAAATCTTCGTCGTTTTTTCCGCTGTGCTCACCCCAAATATCCTCGCACGATTCCAATTCCTTGCTGTAGCACAAGGGCAACAGCACCGCACCGGAGAACGGCGGACCGCCGTAGAACTTGCTGCCCGTGGTGAGGACGATGTATTCCTGGTCGAGAAACGCTCTCAACGCGCCCTCCTGCATATGAAAGTGCACAACTACTCCCCGTCCACCTCATTAGTGATGCGAAAACCCAAATCCACACTGTGCCTGCTGTTGCTGTTGGCACTGTTTGCATGACAAGTTCTGGCAGGAGCACAAATGGCACTACAACGCTGTGCAAATTTGTCATGCAAAGCCTGCATTTTTGCTGACGGTTGTATTGCTGTTCATGCCATACAAATGAAGGGGAGGGGGAGCTATGTGCACTCTCATACTGCAACCTCCCCTGGCACGCGTCAATCACCGGGATGATCTTCTCCCGGTATGCAAGAAAAAAACTGCGTAAGTGTAACTTTGTGCTGTAGACGATGCAAGACATTTACAGCTGTCATGCTGGACATGCATCAGAGGCTGTTTTCGTACGTGTTTTCACTGATACTAGCTACGCATGACAGATTTCCTCTGGCATGCAGAGCAAACTTGTGATGCTGTTCCTCCAAGAAAGTTACTTACACTTACTGTTACTATACACAGTTTTTTCTTTGCATACCCGGCCGAACGTCTCGATTAGTTCCTCCACGATGGATATCACAAGAAAAAAGTGCTACAGTTACACATTTGTTGTAAATTCAGCATCACAGAGTTGCTCTGCATGGCGAAGAAAACTTGTAATGCGCAGACTATAAGGGAAAACACGCACGATCACGAAATAATCAGGCTGGCAAGCATTTCCTGAATGACAGAGGTTGTCTGTCTTGCTGGTATTGCATCAGAGTGTGTAACCGTAACACTTTTTTCTCGCGATAATCGACAACGAGGGAATCAAATGGCCGGTTTTCGAGCCAGCGACCACGTGGACGATGACACACTGGAAATTTTGCTCGATCAACGCGTTGGACACACAGTGTTTCACTTCCTCGTCCATTTCCTTCTGCGTGAGCAAATGCCCGCCGCGGTTCCGCATGTAGACCTCCATGGCCTCGACCTTCGGGAAGGATTCCGGCAGCTGAAACACGTTGTTGCCCGTTTTCACGACGGAGACCGACCCTGACTGCTTCGAGGCAGAAGGACTGTTGTTGTTCGCGAAAAGAGCACTGGTCTGTTTCGTGCTGTTCCCACCAAGAGCTGGTAACCGGACTTCTTTTGGACTGATGTTGGAAAAGAATTTCCCCTTCGCGGCGTTCAACGTGCCGGAGCCGACCTCCCCCGCGCCGGACACGATCGTCAGAATTCCGTTGCCGAGGTCGAACTCGTTTTCGTTCTCCTTCTTCTTCTTCAACAACCGGCAGATCGCGATTAACAAGGGAAGGTACTCCGCGTCGGAACCCGAGGGGCAAAGGGTGATACTGTTCGAAAACTTCGGCAACTTCCAGATGGACCGCATTTGGTCCCGAATGGAGTCAATCATTTCCATGTACTTCGTCCTGCCCTCGGAAGAATTCTCGTCCATCTGGGCTTCGAGCATATCAAATGCAAAAGTGTCTGGGTCTGGAAGAATGCAACTTGTCATGCTGTTTTTGGACTCTAAAAAAATTTGTATTGCATGACCAGCAAGACGGGTCCGGTTTGTGCTACACGGACAGGACATTTCTCATGCGGAAGGTGCATCAGAAAGCCCTCTAAAAGTCTGTGACGCTAGGTCATGCATTACAGGCATCATGGATCATGAGAAATATGCATGACAAACCCGGCAATCTCCCAGACCCAGACATTTTTGCACTTGATAGAGCAGCTCCGCGACTAATGATTCCCCGACTTGGAACGTGTAATCCGTGACGCAATTGCTCGTGCACGAGCTCCGGTGAATCCCGCGCGGTTGCGGAATTGCGGGCGTGTTGTACTTGTTCACCCCCTCTTTCGTCAGAATCAGACGATCATCTCCCCCAGACACCAGGAAGTCCAAGGTGATTCGCTTGGACAACGACGGCGTTGTGTTGTTGATGTTGTAACTGGGCGCCCGGTATCCTGTGCAAAAGTATAGTACTCCTCGTAGTCATGCATTACAAATCTCGTTCCCACGGCAAATCAGCATGACAAATTGCATTTGTCATGATGAGGAAATTTGTAATGCAATTCATACTACTAGTATGATGCTTTTGCAGGTCATACCCGGTTCAAGTGCTCCACCAGCAGATTCTCCTGCGGGGGCACAATGGTCAAATGTTCTTGCGGTAGCCTTTGCGGTGCGGGAAGGGAATTCAAGTACCGGTCCAACATTGGGGCGATAGGGACTTGTTGCCCGACATTGTTGTCTTGCTGATCTGCAGGGGTGGTTACTCCCCGTTGAATGTTATTCATCGCCCCCGAAGTGTCGCAGTAGAAGAAGTTGGTTTCTAACGCAGGTGGATTGGCGGCGTTGTTGTTGTTTTTTGAATCAGATAATTCCTGTTTCTCTTTCTCAACCGCCCCACCGCCCGGAGTGGTCACTGTCACATCCGGACTCGAGCTCTGCAGCCGGAGCAACCCTGCTTCCGATGGCATTATGCATTACAAAAGTGCCGTACTAGTATGAATTGCATGAGACATTTTTTCAAGAAGAAAACTGGAATTTGTAATGCCGGTTCAGGTAAAAAGAAACAAGGTTTGTCATGCGTAGCTGCAATCTATACGAGTACGATACTTTTGCATTTCATAGGCGTGGTGTTTTCGCTGTTGCTGAAATTGGAGGAATCTGCCGTGTGGAGCAACGAAGCCGTCTCCAGAGACTGAAACTGATTTACATCCTGCTTCTTCTGCTCTTCCAGAAACCTCCGTCGGAACCAGCTATGCATTCCAAATCTGTCTGGGTCTGGACGGTTGGAACTTGTCATGCTAGCTTTCCATACCTAGGAGACCTGTATTGCATACTTAACCAACAGAAGTCGCAGCCTCTTTTGTACGGGAAGCCACGCAGTTTCTCATGCGGATTGCCAATGAGAAAGCGTTCTGGAAAGTTGTCATGCTAGGTTGTATTCGGAGCGGTTTCCATCATCCACATTTTAGCATCACAAGTTTCCAGACCCAGACAAATTTGCATTTGATACCCGCCCGGGGTTTTCAAATCCGACATTTTGTTGTTCGCGAAGGTGCAGTATGAACTGCAAAAGTACCATCGCACTCGTAGTAATTGCAGTCACGCATTGGAAATCTTTTTTTTAAGGTAAATCCGCATTACAAATTTTATTTCTCATCATGCTGAGGAAATCTGTAATGCATTTCGACGAGTACGATACTTTTGCATTTCATATGCAGCTGCCATCGTTCGCCGTCGTCGTGCCAAAAAGCTCCTGCTGCCGGCCCAGCGAGGGGCAGGAGGGCGACCGCTTCAAAGCCGAGGACTTGCGGATCGTCATTTTTACGAGATCGTGGTTGTGGTTCGGCGTCGTCCACCTATTTATCTAGTGCTCGAAGCCAGAAAAATCTATCCGGCAGCAGGTCGTGCTACAACGAACTTCTATTCTGGGAGTAGTATATCCTATTGAATTTGTCGAGCATGACAGGCGTCCGATGACATCAACATCTAGAAAGACCTTTAATATTAGGTCTAGTGGTCTGTGAAAACCAAAACTGAAACTTGTTGCTTAGGCTAATGCTGTTCCAGAAAATCTTTATGCCTTAAGCTTGCTAGAGATGGAGTAGACACAGCTATCCCCAGCAACGGTACCAATTATTTACAGAGTTGAGGTTTCTCATGAAGATCGTGAACTTCCGCGTGTAGACGACAACAGATGAAAGAAATGCTGCATTCTCTAAACGTAAATCAATACTTGTCGTCGATACACTTACACCACAACACAACACCACCACTAGAAAAGCTGGAAAAAATGTTGCGTGTTGATATCGAGATAAACCACTACCGCAAAGAACAAAATTGAAAGCGGAACAAGCACATGGGAGATCTAGTACGTCTACGTACTCCTACAATGCGCGGGGTAGAAAAAGGGATTGGATAAATATGGCCAGAGGATGTTAGTTATGGATTGGGTAGTGTCAGTGTGTCACTTTCGTAGTTGCAGAAAAATCATGCACAAGTAGAATCTTCCATGGACCACTACAATTCGCTCAATTTCTTTACGTCGATGGACAATGTTCTTCAAGTTCATGCAGCTCGTCTCTCATCGATCCTTATCGAAGCAAAGCGAAAACTACGTAAATAAAAATAGGCCGATCATGATATTGTCTTCCTACTCATGTTCAAATGAAACCGAACAATCAAAGCACGGTAGCTTTTCTTTAATTTCATACACGACAGAATCAACTTGAAGCCTTCCTGCTCCATAACACACGACCGCTGTAGTAAAATTCGTTTTTTTTTCGAAGTCAAGTTCAACTTATTTCCTGTCTGAGGCAAAAAAGAAGCCCTTCGACAAATAGAATCCACCTCAATTATAAAGCTTCACTTTCTTATTTCTCCGCTCGTCGGCCGAATGGCTTACTTGTTCCTCAACACCGATCATGAAAAATACAATTTCCATTTCGAAATTTTTAAAATTACTGAAGCCGAATAGATTGCACTTGCAGAAGATCTAGCAAGGAGTTGTTGGAGGTCTCTACTGTCGAGCGCGTCGCTGACACGAAACTCTGGCGGGGCTCTCGAACAAGAACTACTTACCCTTGCTCACTTCCACATGGAATCATACTTAAAACGCACATGATCTACACAATAAACCGAGTTCACTCATCTACTCGGTTCATGTTTCGTCAATATTCTTTATTGCGGTAGTCCTAGTCGTAGGTAGTGCAGTGTGGTGCGGTAGCCGCGGCAGTCGCAGGCACGACAGGACTAGTACTTACAGAGCGTTTGCTAATGCAAATGCTATCGCTAACGGATAATCAAAACGGAAATCGCTGTCCAAAAGATGTCTATGACTAAGACTTCAGCTCATTTTTAATTAGTATTGGTCTGCATCAAATTCATACTCGCAAAGCGCACAACAAGTATACTTAATTAGTCCCTCAACATTTTTAATATTTTTAATTTTTTCTGAAATTGCGACGCTCGCCATCATCTGGCGCGGCCAACCAAGAAAATTAATTGATGACAGCGATTGTATAAAATTTTTCCCAAAATTTAACATAGGCGTCGTGTAGTCAGAGTTAGACTCGACAAAATTCAAACCACGACTATAAAGCTTGGAGGTGGAGTTATTTTGCAGACTGATGTAGAAAGAGGAGCTACAACACTTATCTAGTGTTTTTACAACGACGAACCGCGCTGGGACCAACACCCGCAAAAACAAAGTGAAGCTATAACACAGTCAGCAGCCCCCAACTAGAATACAATATCCGCTGCCCCCCTGCCGCAAAATCAAAAAGCTGTACCAAACAAGCGGAAAACACAGATGCAAAAGAAGAGAACTAAAACTCCAGACTAGAACAATCCAAAATAGGGGGTAACAACTGCAGCAAAATTTAGAAAGTGAAACTACAGGAAGGCGAGCACGTAGTGAAACTACAGAAAGTAGAACTGCTTCTGCTCCGCCTCAATTTCACTCAGCATTGAGTTTTTTGGTAGATTTTACCTAAAGCAACCCCAAGAATCTTCAAGCGTATTCATTGAGAAGATGATGACCGCTCTATTTTTCCTGTGTTTCAACGTAGAAACTAGTAACCAACAGGACAATAAAGTAGAAAAGAACCTCCAGAGCGGCGCTACAGCAGCACCTACACAGGAAAGTGTTACGTTTTGCTTTTCCCCTATAATTTCAACGCTTTTTTACTATTGCTTTATTATCCTTTTGGTCTTTCATTTCAAGAAGATATCACTACGCAAAAAAACCCATTGTGGTCTGACGGCATTTTTAATCATGATTGGCAGTAAGGTAACATAATTACCCCTCGTCGCCCTATTTCCAAATATTTGTTTCATGTGGCCTACTGCCCAAGTGAAAATAGAAGAACCTTCCACCCAGCTTCATAATCATAGTATTTTTCAGTTTTCATTTTTCCTGTTATGCTATTCAAGACCATGATCCCCAGCCCGTAAAGAATCCGTATAGACTTTTTTTTATTCCTGCTGTGTCGTGTACTTTACAAAACAGGGAAGCCATGATCCTCGCTTAAGGATAATGCTGCTCCCTCGAATATTTTTTTCTGTAGCTACCAAAAGAGTCTCTTTAGTGCGACTCATCGCACACCCTCGTCGCTGATAAAAAAGTAGAGAAGCAGCGTCTCAATGCTACCGATTAAAAAGTAGAGAAGCAGAAGCAGTACATTAGCGTCAATTCTATAGATTGATAGAGATAGTGATAATTATCTTTTACACCCTCCTTGCAAGTCGTTCAATGTTTAAAGACTTTTGTCTTCTGAAGACCTAGTGTCGCGCGGAGTCTGGAAGAAGAACAACCTATTTCTGCTATAAGCATACGTATAAAGAAGAAGAAAAAACAATACAAGAGTAATTCGTATTAGTTGCAATCAGATGTAGTTGTTGAGAACTTACTTAACATTGCCAGTCCTCATTTGATAGAAGCATTTAGTATAAAGATAAACAAAATCCAAGTAGGTTCTAAATAAAAGATTCGAGAATTCATAAATTTCATATTGATTTTTACGGCCAGCATTTGCATTCTTTCAGTTTTTACTGATGAAAGTACGACTGATCCCGATTCTTGTCCCGATTGCTCCCCCGCGGCGTGCAAGCTCCGGATACGTTGCTTCTGGGCATCATGCTGTTTTCGGAGTTGTAATTTTTGCCGTTCCAATTTTGCTCCTGTTGCTGCCTGCTTGTTTCTTGGTAGTACGAGAATTGTGGTCCACCACGACCTCCACCTCCAAACGTAGGGCTATTTTTCGCACGACCTCCTTTATAATTTTTCCCGACACTGTAAAAATTGGAATCCAACTCCGAGGTGCTGCACGATACTCCTTTGTAGTAATGATGTGCAGTAGACGTCGCCCGCCCTACAGCTGGTTGTGGATGTAGTTCTTGTGAAACAAAATTATTCAGGGGCCGCACTCCTGTTGGTCGTGGAGCAGTACTAGTAGAATTAGAAGCCATGTAATTATTCCGATCGTCGTAAAAATTGTCAACATCGCGCGACTGCTGCTTAGAACTCGTCGTCCACGACGGCTGCTGATAGAAGTGGTTGTCCTGGTCATGGTGGTACTGCTGCTGCTTGTTCATCTGGTCATGCCCCTGGTCGTGTCCCTGCCGCCCCCCGAATCCACCTGGATAGTTGTTCACATGATCATCCAACGGCGCCGCCATCGCAACTCCTGCCGCGCTATGTTGGGTATTCTCATTTCCATATGGTGTCGAGGGTACTGCTTGTTGTATGATCGGGTAATTTGAACATACTGGCCCACCACGACCCTTGTTCAACATCTGGGGCCCGACGAGATGGTCGGTTTGCAGCTTGTGCATGTGCAGCCCACCGCGCCAATATTCCGCACTTCCACGTGGCTGTGCCATGACTGCGACACGGTCGGCGAAGGATGGTCGTGCTCTTGGCAGAGATATGGATTCATCAGAGTTGAAATCGACAAAGTTGAAATAATTTGCCATGCATAAAATGGATGCCAGTTGGAACCCAGTTTCCAAGTGGCGCATGACAAATTTCGGCGGTCCCTAAATCCAGTTTGTCATGCTGTTTAGGCAAAGAATAGTGATTTAGATTTTCTCATGCTACTTTAGCAGCTCGAGCTGTAACCCCAAACAGGCTTACAATCGGCCTCACTTGCCTGCTCTGCAACACACGTACCTCGGGTCATGCATTTTATGCATTACAGATTATTTCAACTTTGACGATTTCAAACCTGACAGTTCCATAAGAGAAGGATCAGAAGTATCTGCTGTACCACGAGGACCGTCGTGTATGGAGGTGTCAGAGTTGAAATCCGCAAAGTTGAAATGATTTGTCATGCATAAAATGCGACACAAAGACTGACTCTATTGCTGAAGGCGCAAGGGAGGCAGATTCTAGTGCTGGTAAGGGTCAAGAATTGGGCTGCTGACTAGCATGACAGGGAGCAGCCATCTTGCCCTAAACAGCATGACAGACGTGCTTCAGAGGCCAGGAAAATTTGTCATGCACCGATTGGAAACTGTGGGTCGAACTGGTATAGATTTTATGCATCACAAATTATTTCAACTTTGTCGATTTCAACTCTGACACATCCATATCGTGGTCTTCCCCGCTACAAGTCTGTAGTTGTCCCGGAAGATGATGTTCATGATGCAGTTGTCCCGGATCTTGCTCTTGGTGCACGACCGCGTTTTTGTTTTTGAGCAGGTTGTCGTCCTGTTGGAGGTAAGAAGTACTAGACTGTGGAGCTCCTCCTGCGGCCATCGCCATGTTGTCCCCGCCGCGCGGCACGCCATCTCGTCGCCCAGCATCTTCGCGGACGACGACAGCAGGTCGTGCTGTGGGGGCAGCAGCAGCTCCTGTGCTGGCACAAGAACCGCCTCCTCCACTAGAAGCGGGAGCAGGAGATGAACACACCTTCTTCACTGCGGCGGCCGGAGGTGGACAAGAAGTAGGTGGGGAACAGGAATTCGCATGATCGGCATCCCGGAGCATCCGCTCCACCAAGTTTCTTTTGCTGGAAGAGATATTCTCCGGGTGGGCACCAGTACCAGCCGGTAGTTCCAGCTCGTGAGTTCCCTCAAATAACTGCTTGCTGCCTGATACTTGATTTTCGTTTCCTGGATTATTTTCGAGGTCGATTTTCAGCCTATTTGATGTTCCTCGCGGCCCAGGTCTCCATCTCATCTGCTGGCTCGTCCCGGCACGCACAACCTGCTCCGCATCGTATTCCACCAGCGTTTCGACCCGATCCAGCAGCTCCGTGACCGCTTTGTGCACGGTGAAGCTGAGTAAATGCTGGTTCCTATTCAGTTCTTCAACAGTCCGGGTTGGTGGGGACGACGACGACGAGGTGCTTAAAATTGTTCCAGGAACTCCCGCCGCATTGGGGGTCGACGTCGTCGTAGCCGTGGTGGATGTTGTTGTAATACCCTTGTCTACAACAACTGGCGCAGCAGCAGCAGCGGTTCTAACCGGCTCCCCAAACCGGTCGAATTGCGAAGTCAAAACGACGTCCGACACGGCAACGCGCTTCTTGTTCGAAATCTGCGCGCCCAGCCTGTTTTCGGCCTGCTCCTGCGTGATGTGTATCCAAGAAAAAAACTGCGTATAGTGTAACTTTCTTTGGCTGACAGCATCACAAATTTGCTCTACGTGTTGACAGAGAAAACCTGTCATGCGTGGCTCGAAAGGGAAAACACACACGAAAAGAGGACTTCATGGTTGTCTGGCATGACAGGTGTAACTCTGTTGCATGGTCTGCATTACAGAGTTACACTTACACAGTTTTTTTCTTGCATAATGTGATCCCGTGCCATAATCCGCTCCACCTGCACCTCCCGGTTACAGAAGACCGACCAGATATGAGAGTGCGCAACTACTCCCCCTACAACTGCCCCTCATTTGTCATGCAAAAACCCAAATCCAGTTGTTACCTATACCTCCTTGTGGCACCGCGTGGATGACAAATTCCGCCGATGGAACAAGTTCCAAACAGTACTACACTCGGCGTATGAATTTGTCATGCAGCACCGGGTCCACCTGTACTGGTTTATTCTTTTTGTCATGCTCTTCATGCAATACAACATATCAGGGGGAGCGGGAGCAGTTCTTGTGCACTCTCATACCAGACTTCGTCACAGGGCCACTGGGCCTCCAGCAACACAGCAGCGTCCAGAACCGCGACAACTATGCATTGCAAAACTACTCGTACAAATCGTATTTATGCATCACAAATTTCTTTGTCAAGTTAAACCCGCACTACAAATTCCATTTTTAATGCTGAGAAAATTTGTAATGCAATTTATACTAGTACGATTATAGTACTTTTGCATTGCATAACAATGCGATTGCTGCAAAACTGGAGTGCGGTTTTCCAGTTGCGTTTATTCTTCTTGGTGTTCGCCGATGTTGCAGACGGCTGATTGCTTTCATCATCGACTGTTATTTCCGGCGCAGCGTCCTGTTGCCCTCCTTTGTTAACGGCAACAGTTACATTCCTCGCAAGCGCTTCCGCTTTTCCCAGCGCTGCTTCTGCGACCTGCATATTATCTTTGTTTATCGTGTGCAAAAGTATCGCACTCGTATAAATGCATTACAAATTTCCTCAGCATGAGAAAAAAAATTTGTAATGCGGATCGACCATAAGAAAAGGATTTGTAATGCATGATTGCAATACGAGTACGATACTTTTGCACAGGATATTGTTGCTCTTCGACCGACTCCGTTGCTTGCTGGTGCCACGTATCAAGTGCAAATATGTCTGGCTCTGGAAGATGATTGCGAGATTTGTCATGCTTGTCTAGCATGACCAAAAAGTTTGTGACGCGTGTCAAAGAAGAGACCCTTTTGCCTGTCATGCAAAAACGCAGTTTGTCATGCGAAACACGCAACACAAAGAAGCGCAGATATTTTTCATGCTTGGCTGTGCAACATTACAGAGCGTTCACTATTCCCAACGCAGCATTACAAGTTTCCAGACCCAGACACTTTTGCATTTGATACCACGGTTGCGGTCAGTAACCAGGGAATTCCGTTGGGAAGCGGATTTTTCTTCTTGCAGCTGCCTGTAGGCACACTCAAACTCTTCGACCTGTGGTGAAGTTTTTGAATTTTATCAAGGTCTGTCATGCAGAGCCGGCATTAATATCAAAAAATGCGGTTGGAGGTTGAGGTTGTGATGCAAACATAGCTACTTGATGTACTACTCTCTATGCAGAACATCAAAGCTTTTTCCATCCGTACCTCCTCTGCGATCTGCAGACATATCAAATGCAAAAATGTCTGGGTCTGGAAAGAATGAAATTTGTGATGCTAACTTTCGATGATTCAAAAACCTGTATTGCATGAGGAGCAGCCGGCACTCAGATTTTTGCTATTCCGAGAAGGCATTTCTCATGCAGTATAGGTGTGAAGTTTCCTGTAAATGTGGCGAACAACAAATTTGGAAACTTTCATAGAGGTTACGATCCTCAAGCGTATTGGGGTGTTACCAATTGTGAATTCCAGTATTGCGCGTATATTGGGTTCACAAACAAGCCTGACATCGTTCCATTCAAAAATCCACATCGGTCTTCTTTTCATCTGTATCGTTTCTCATCGTCATTGCATTCAGATTAGCACGCTATGCTAGAAGCTAGTATAGTGTGTACGATACTACAACGATAGGTGTACGATGGTCCGAATAAATATGCTCTGAACGAATACCGATAGTAGTAATGATTTTTGCATTCAGACAGAAACTGGGTGTACGTCAATACCGATGACATTCCCCCGTCTCCATTTGAAATAGCATGTAAAATAGTATAAAATAGTAATTCTAGTAAATATTTTAGGTGCTATTTCGAAGATGAAATTAGAAAATCATAATGGGATACAGGCTCCTGAAATAAAAGTAAATCTGTATTGCGCATGGGATACAGCATGATAAACTTGGAGGTCAAAATAAATCTACCGTGAACAAAAATGGACGCAAAGATAAACAAGGACACTACTACAAAATCAATGGGTTTAACAGATACCCTCTATTGGTTGCGTAATAGCAGCGAGCTTCGCTGCAGACATACAAAAGTGTGCAAATGAAAACCAGAAAAAACAACAGCATGATGCGTGGAAAAACACGAGAAACAAAGGGGGTCTTAGGCAAAAAATTGAAGCAAAAAGTCTCACGGAGGGATGTGCACAAAAGAAAAAAAATCTTCAGGCAAAAAGAGTGCGGGTGAGCTTGCAACAAAAAGTGAAAAATCACAACAAAAATTGCCAAAAAACGAAAAGAAATTGTCTCAAAAAACTTACCCGCATCCGAACCATTCAGCTCAAGGCTTGGATTTAGGTGCTGACTTGGATGCGGCCAGTTGCAAACGCTTTAATGATCATCCTGGGATAGGACGCCATATGCGTGAGCTCGTCAGCAATATTGATTTCGCGCGGAATGTGGCGCACATCAATAAGCTTTTCTTTTTGTTCTTGGCGTAGCATCGCAGCATCAGACATCAAGTTCGTTTCGCGCTTCATCTTGTGCGTAGTGCCGGCTGTGCTAACGTTATCGGATGAATCGGTTAGACACAGGATAGGCGTACTAGCATCAAGAGTTCCGACTTCGACAAGCATACCCTGCAGATACTTTGCATCAGCATGCGCACCGCGCAACGCTAACAACTCAGAACCTGCGGGCGATGACGACCGCCGCGCTTGCTTGATCGATTGCCAACGCATCGGAATAGCGCGCCTAGATGGGCCCGGAGTCATCTCGCTGAGAAAAATGATAAATCCAGTCTGAGACTCGCCATCTGGTCGGCCTTTAAACGAACTGTCGCTGAAAGAGACTAGCTGAAGGGGTCCTTGCAGCTTGAAAAAATTAGTGCTAAAATCCAACCTGTGTGCTACTGTGCGCGCGACTTTGTTCAGCTTGTGGATGTCCGACCAGGTCGGATGCTCCATGACTGAACTCAAAATCGACAATGGGCATGCGATATCAGGGCGCGAACGCGTGGCCCATCGCAAATTGCCGATAAGTGCGCGGTAGGGGCACTTGCCGTCTTTGTTCTTCTGTGTGAACGGCTCACGCGATTCCGCATCAACACCATGCGGAATTGGAATTTCGACGATCTTAGAAGTGTAGTGCTCCTGCGAAAGTCGAAAACTGTGGTCGGTGTTCAGCGCGAGCTTTTGCCCGACGTAGTTCACAGGGTTGGAAAACGTCAAATCCTCTTTGGAACCAAACGAAAAAGTTTCTTCCAGGGGTGCCAGTACTAACTTTTTGAAAAGTTCACCGCCAGAATACAGCAAATCATCAACAAAAACGCACATAGTTCCAATGATACGACCGCCCTGCGGGGGCTCGTGCCGAAAGGTCGGGTCGGATTGGATTTGTGCTGCTGTGTCTTCTGTGTAAACTGGGCGGGGTGGTGGGATTAGATTGTTGTTTTGGTCCACAACAAAATAAAGCAGATTCTGGTCAGCTGTCACAGACCAGGCGCAGAGTTCTTTTAACCGCTTGAACAGAGCTGCCTGCCAGCGTTCGGGTGCGTCGATTAAACCATAGAGTCACTTTTTCAGCCTAATGACAGGCGCCTCAATGATTTTGCACTTGCGAACCGCTGCGGGTACTGTGATGTAGAGCGGCTTTTCGTTGGGGTCGAAATAGAAACCACGCAGAAACGCAGTCTCGATATCGCCACTCCCGATGTCCAATCCATGTTGCTTGGAAAAGACAAGGAACGTCTTCAAGCCTGCTTCGCTGATCATGCTGCTGTCCGTTCTTATGTCCTCAGAACCTTTTCGTGGGTCCTGAAAACCGCGAACAACCCACCTTGCTTTCACACGCTTTAGCGTGCCTTTTATCGTGTCTATTTTTAATGTCCACACGATTCGCGACTCCATGGCTCGACTTTGATCCACATCTCCCTGCGGCAACTCGTAGACATCATTGTCTTTGATGCTACCAGTTTCCTTGTTCAACGCCTTGAACGCTTCGGGCTGTAGACCATGGTCGATCAAGAAGTTGTAGGACACTTCGACATTGCCAGATTTGATCTCCTCCGGCTTAAGGGAAAGAGTCACACTGGGCAAGTCGACGCGGCGTAGACAGGCTAGCGAAAAGACAAAATCATATCCACTAACCTTGTCGCCGTGCTTCTTTCTGCTGAAAAAACCGTCTTTGGTCAAAACAAAGTGAAAAACATCGTAGCGCTTTTTCCAGTTCAAATCACTTTTGACCGTGTAGCAGTTTTTGTTGATTTTCATCAACGCAATCTCCCTGCTGGTTTGCGCTGCGAAAAACTGAAAAACTTCCTGCCCTTTGTCAACTATCACCCGATGCCCTGAGTGGTGTTCGTAGCGCTCTTTTGTCAACCTAGAAAGCAAATCTTTTTGGCTCTCATCAAGTGAAAACGAAATGTCTCCACCTGATTCCGCCGCAAGAAAAGCTTGCGCCCATCGCGCTTCGCGCTCACGGCGCCTACGTTCCGCGCGTAGCGTGCGCGGGTCGGGCTCTTCGTCCTCCTCTTCCTCAGAAGTTGCGGGAGGTGACTCAGGGGCTTGGGGCGGGGCTTTTGCTTTTGCTTTGGGTGGTGCTTGTGCTTTTGCTTTTGGTGCTTCAGCACCTTGCGGAACTGTCAAATTTTTAGTGCTAGTCGTACTGGTAGTAGTGGTAGTAGCATGCTGATCTGCGACATTCGGACTGTTACTTGAACTAGAACTAGAGGCGTTTTTAGAAAAATGAATCGACTGACTTTCGGATTGAAGATTTGCATGAGCATGCGGATTTAGTACTTGCGCATGCGATACGGACTTTGCTTTTGCTACACTGTGAGGGGCTCCCTCTTTTGGTACTGCGCTGCTGTTGGGTAGTGCTTTTGCAGCTTGTTGCCGTGCGTAGTGCTGGTAAATTGGATGCGCTGAAAACTCTAGCGATGGGATGACTCGCAACTGAGAACCACTCTTCCTCACATGATATCCAGTCGATTTCCCGTAAAGCAGGTAGATCGGTCTGCCTGCGTGTCCTTCCTCCAGCCCGATTATTTTGGTCCCTAACCAGGCTCGATCGACTTCGGAATAGTATTCCACTGCTGCTCCCGGAGTTAGTTCATCTTCCTTCGGTTTCCGGCGAATTTCCAAACGCTTCAGAAACTCCTTGTCAACTGCAACTTGTTCCAACATCTGGCGGATTTGCAACCGCTCGCGAAACTCTTCCAGAAAGGACGACTTTTCCGGAATTTGTTCCGTTTGTTGGTCCAGAAACGTGCGAACATTACTAGGCGTCCTACAGAATTCAGCCTCGAAAGGAGAAATCTTGTCGGGTAGAACGCTACTGCTCTGCAGGTTGACTGCGTTTATGACCTTTTTCAGAAGTTCGGTTCCGTTTCTCGTGTTGCCCAGGCGTCTGAGCCGAAACGTAACTTCTCGGAAAACCTTGTGTCTGCGCTCACAGATTCCGTTTTCCCAGTGCTCCTCGCTGGGAAGAAGATGGAGACTGACTCCTTCTTGCTTGCAGAAATCTCGGAGCTCGGTCGAGATGAACTGTCTTCCAGGGTCGGCCATCAAATTGCGCGGAAGAAATCCCTTTTCCTTCAGCTCCTTGAGGAAAGTGATAACATCCGCCGTTTTGACGTTTTTGGAGGGGGGCTTGTGACCTCGGGAATATCTCGAGTGGAGATCGATAGCATGCAACATCTCATTCTCTTTTGGTGCTCCGAGAAATACCGACTGAGAATAGTAATAGATGTCGAGGGCCATCCATTCTCCTACTTTTGTGGAAACGAAGGTGGCTGCTCGTGGTCTACGTGGTGCGTAGCGTGTTCGCGCCATTGTAGTTGCTATCATCCTCGCCATTGCTAGGGCTTCTACGTCTGACAGTATTCTCCAGGATACGATACCGGAACTATCTTTATCTGGAAATCCTTTACTTTCGAGAATTGCGAAACTCGTGGCGAATTTGTCTTGTCTTTGTGGCGTGTCCGGTTTTCCAGTGCTCGACAAATATTTCTTGTAAAGTGATTCCAGAATCCTCGCTCCACTGCCTTAGACGCAAGTCTGGTCGCCCTTGACGACCAGGATTCCTTTTTCCTTTTGCAACTGCTTCGGGGTTTTGCAGTTTTTCAGCTTGCAAGTTTTGTTGACAACATCGACCGCCTCGAGATCGCTGCACCCTAACAGGAACGGGGTCGCTCCCTGAACCACTCGGAAGGTTCTGGATGCTCCGAACACGAAGCAAGCGGCTTTCTGCGTGCTGGTGCTGTTGTTGCCGTCGGCAAACGCAAACTTGACCGGACTAGCCTCCTGCAAGTCGTAAGCCAGCTTGCTAGCATCCAACGTTTCTTGTCCCACCAGGCTGCTAGCGCAGCCCGTATCCACCGCCATAGACTGGGGCGATTCGAACGACAAGAAAGCAGCAGAAACTTTTTCGGTCTCTTGTTCTTCCTTCGGCTGTTCCTGTTCTTCCTCGGGGTAGTAGTCGTAGTCGTCGTTGTGGTCGTACTCACCATCCCACTCTTCGTAGGGATAGTCGTTTTCGTACTCGTCATCTTCGCCGACAGCCCCTGCTGCGTAGCGCGAAGATTTTCCTTTCCACCCGAAACGCGACTTGCCTCCTTTGCCTTTCCCCGGTCCTGGGCGGTTCGGGGTGTACGTTTTTCCTTTGGCCTTGCTGTTGTTCTTGCCGCTCGGCTTCCCGTGGTGGGCGCTCGACGACGGAGAACCTGAACCGTAGGTCAACCCGCGATAATTGGCATAGTTCGGATACCATCGCTGTTTTCCTTTTCCTGCTGCGGCTGTGGCGCTTTCCTCCCGGCCTGCAAACGACGCAAGACACTTGACAACTTGCTTGTCAATGTCCTTGAACGCGTAGGACGCGGAAGCGCCCAAAATTTGTCCCGTCTGCAGCTGAGTTAATCCGAACGATCTTAAGTACAGAAGACCTAAAAACTCTTCTCGTGGAAGATGCGCCAGCGCCTGCGCGCTCTGCTGGAAGCGCGCGCGCGCCGTCACCAGGTCCCCGGTGTCGCTGTTTCTTTCCACCAACCGACACACTTCCGAAAACAGATGCATCTGGAGATCGCCGAACAGAGCCTCCCTAATCTGTTCCAGCATGGTATCGTAGGTTAACGATTCCGCCACTGTTGGCGTAGCCAGATGCGTATGCACTGCCTGCAACGAAATTGCTTGCTTGATTTGTGGAAGGCCTAAGCTTTCCTCGATCCCGTATTTTCGCAAATTAGAAAGATAGCCCACAAGGTCCCGGCTGTAGGCGTTAAACTGCCCGAGTTCTTGCAACTTGGGGGCGGCTTTCTGATAGTCCCAGCGGCTGAGCGGGGGCGAAGCTGTGGCCGGGGCCTGCATGTTCGGCATGGCGTTCCCCGGCTGGGGCGGCGTCGTTCCCGCTGTATTTGCTTGGCCGAGGAGATGCCGCGCGATCGGCTCGATCATTTGGGTCAGCTGTCCGAGTCTTCTCATGGTCTCCCGAAACTCTTCGGGCGTAATCGGCTGCGTTTCGCCTGCCATTGGACTCGGTCCCGCTGCGTGTTGTCCTGTTGGATGTGGCGGAGGAGGGTACTCCGCACCGGAATCGAAAGGATTGAACATTTTTGGGGTTGTTAAGATGGAAAATTTGTAATGTTAAGTAAGGGATTTTTACTTAGAATTAAGGTGATGCGATATAAGAACTTGTAATGCGAAACACGAGCTAACTACTTAAAAATAGGCATGTTTTTCAAAAAAGTTGTATGTGGAAAATTATATGATTTACATGGAGATTAGAAGTATACTATACTTGATTTATGCGTTTTTACTTGTGTTATTTTGAATTTGTGATGCTGCTTCTGTATAAAACTGTTGAGTTATGTATTTTGTTTTTTATGCTATGTAAAAAACTGTAACTATTTATTTTTCGAATTTGTCATGCTACTATAAAAATTTTAAAGTGAAGAAAGAAATAAAATCCGCTACCATGTGAAGTTTCCTGTAAATGTGGTGAACAACAAATTTGGAAACTTTCATAGAGGTTACGATCCTCAATCGTATTGGGGTGTTACCAATTGTGAATTCCAGTATTGCGCGTATATTGGGTTCACAAACAAGCCTGACATCGTTCCATTCAAAAATCCACATCGGTCTTCTTTTCATCTGTATCGTTTCTCATCGTCATTGCATTCAGATTAGCACGCTATGCTAGAAGCTAGTATAGTGTGTACGATACTACAACGATAGGTGTACGATGGTCCGAATAAATATGCTCTGAACGAATACCGATAGTAGTAATGATTTTTGCATTCAGACAGAAACTGGGTGTACGTCAATACCGATGACAATAGGCATGAGAGAGCCTTCACACAACCTGTAATGCTAAAGCATGCATCATCGACATCGTAGGTCATGCAAAATTTGCATGACAAACTTCCCCAATCCTCCAGACCCAGACATATTTGCATTTGATAAGACAAGCGGTTTGCCAAATGCTGGGCCAGACGATGCCGTTCAACTGTTCTCGTTTCGCCTTGTCGCTGAACACAATTTTGCCCAGTTTCCGGCGGTCAATTTGGCGCCCAGCGAGCTCTGGGTAATACTTGTGCAGCTCCCGGACTTGCGGTTGCTCTTGTTGCGCCGAAGAAGCAGATGTTGATAGTGCACCACTTATTGTAGTTGCAAGGGTAATTATCCTTTCTTCCTCCTCGCTGGTCATCGCCACGACGTTCACCTGCCCGAAAGTCTCGATGATCTGCTTGTAACACTCTGACTCTGGGTCTTCGTACGCCTCCCGCCCAATCTTGTCGCAATCGACGTAAATGAAGCCGTATTTTTCCTGCAGCATTTTTCCGATCGTGGTTTTGCCCGACCCAGAAGACCCACAAAGCCCAATCACGTAGACGGGGAGTGGTTTCGCCATTTTCAAACTCTGCGATGCTTTCTTCGTATCCTGTGCAAAAGCATCGCACTCGTACTAATCGCAGTCATGCAAGACAAATTTCATTTTCTAGCTAAATCAGCGTGACAAAATCTTTTTGTCATGCTGAGGAAATTTGTGTTGCAATACTACGAGTACGATTATACTTTTGCAGTTCATACTTCGACAGGAGGTGCAACTTCGGGTCCAATGCGGGACGAGCGGGAGGTCGTGTACTAGTTCTTGGAGGTGGAACTACTACGGAGGTAGAAGATGATGTCGTCTCCAAGTTGCTCGCGCCGTAGTTCTTGATGTAGTTATCTTCCACTTTCAGCATCCGCTTCGTGACCTGGTAAATCGTCTGCGCGAGCAGTTTTTCACACTGTCCGTACAGGGAGAATCGTTTCTCGTAAAGCTTCTGTATCAACAAATTTCGTTCCTGTAGTAGCTGCTCTCCGGCACTCAGGTTGTTTGCGGTGGTCAACATCTGAGCACCACTGCTCGGTACTAGCATAGCAGGAACAAGGTCGAAGCAATCCCCGGGAAACGTGATGTGGGGCAGAAACGCCCCCAGTTTCCGGAAACGCTGCGTGGAGGAAGAGGTCTTGGCTTCCAGAAAGTCCGCAACCGTCTGCTGAGGGTTCATCTTCTGCCTAGAAGTAGGAGCCGAGGAAGATGAGACATGGCCGCTTGTGGCAAATAAAGCAGACACAACTGCTCCTGCTGCCGAGGAGGATGTCCCGGCTCCACCTCCTTGCGAGCTGGCTACACAGGTTTCCGGCTGCACGAGAACGCCGTCGTTGATTACGTGGGTCGCTAAGTTTTTCAAGTACGGTATGGAGTTCTCAAACGTTACATTCTCAACTGCTACACGAATTTGTCATGGAAAAGCACCGTAAGCCGGCAGATGATCGAGCTGCTTCGCATGACAAATTTCGGGAGGGCTAGACAGCATCGAAATCTGCGCCAAACTTGTAATGCAAAAGGCGCAATCTTCCTTCTTTCACTTATGCCAGTCTTGCATTGCAAATTCATGTAACAGTTGAAAGTGTAACACTTGAGAACTCCATATACGGCATTGCGCGGTTGTAACCCATCTGATTCCGCTCCGCGTACCTCTGACTCTCGGCTTCGCGATATGCATTGCAAATATGTCTGGGTCTGGAAGAGTGCGCGATTTGTCCCGCAGCTTTTCCAAATGACCCATGAGGTCTGCAATGCAGGACCTGGCGTGACAGATTCTGTGCGAAGATCTCTCTCATGCCTATCCTGCATGAGAAACTCCCCCCCGACTTGGTCAAAACTGGAGGACTTTTGGCAATCATGCAACACAGATTTTTGCATGCTTGAGATTTAGCATGACAAGTTGCATTCTTCCAGACCCGGACATTTTTACATTTGATACGCGACACCGGTTCACAAAATCCGCACCCGACTTCGTTTCTGCGGAAACCACAATCATTTCCAGCTGCGGGTCCGTGCCCGCCGGGCCCGCGGCGTCTTGCAGAAAAGTGACGAACACCTTCGGGAGCTTCGCCTTCGGCCGCTCCCGGGGGAACTGCCGTTGTTGGGCGGACACCGAATTCGAGGGCTGGTAGATCGGCATCAGCCGCATCTGCTCTTTCAGGAACAGTTCCACCTGCTCACCCCGTTTCTGCTCCAACGCGATCAAGTCGCGGAATTTCTTCTTTTCTAACAAAAGGGAGTCGTCGCCCGAGATCCCCTATCCTGTGCAAAAGTATCGCACTCGTATTGCAGTCATGCATTACAAATCCCTTTGCTAAGATAAATCCGCATTACAAATTTTATTTCTCATGCTGAGGAAATTTGTAATGCTTTTATACGACCGAGTACGACACTTTTGCAATTCATATCCCCACGACGAGCCGCTGCTTGGTCAGGAAAAGAGCCTCGGTGAGTAGTAACTTGTGCCCATTGTGCAGTGGAACGTCGAACGTGCCCCCACAACAGACATGGCCATACGGCATGTCAATCGTCGTTGCAGGTGCTGTACTAGTTGAAGGCGCGGCCGTAAGGTTGTCGTCATCTGCAAAAGAGCCTGCGATTCTTTGGTTAGGATTTCTACTCGAGGAAGGAGGCGTTCTTGCGCTAGTAGTCGGGTTCTTCCCCCCGTGCGGATGCGGAACAACGTCACGATTTTGATTTTCGTCAAAAACACTATTTTCCAACCCAATTATTCTGCTACTCGCGCTGGTATTCAGTTGTGACGTGGGCAGTCGGCCTGCCGCGAGGTCGCGATTGGTTCTGCCGTCCGTGTCGAATTCGTATATTTCCACTTTGCTCGGTTGAAACCGGAAACCGGACCCACGGGCGTCGAGCACCGAGGTGGAGCCGAGAAGAAGCTCCTCCTCGATGATGGACTGTCGCTGGTCGTTGTAAAACGAAGAAGAACTACTGCTCGACGTCAGACCCGAGGATTGCAAACCACCGCTACAACTCTGCGGGTGGTTGTGCGTCGACGAAGCAGGTCCTCCTCCTGCGGACGCCGACGCACTAGTGGCTGCTGTTCCGGCGGACGACGATAAGGGAACTCCAGTGGACATCGATGTTAAAACACTTGTTCCAGCTGCGGGGGCACTTCTTTCGTCTGCTCGTGAGGTGGACGAGGGTTTGTTCTTCAAAAAGTCCTTTTGCTCTTCGTCAAATTTTTCGTAGAAATTTAGTCCGCAGTCGAACTCTTTCGCGATCTTTTCACAGAGGAACTGCAACTTCTCTTCGTTACTCGCGAAATTGTTCTGCAGGCAGTTGGTCGGTGAGGTAAGACCATTTGTTCGTCGACGTCCAGCAGTGGGGGTAGAAGAAGGCGTGTCCGGCAGCTTGATATTCGCTGTCCCTTTGGAGGAAGTTGCATTATCCGGCTTCGTTAGCATATCCAAGAAAAAAAGACTGTAGGCGTAACTTTCTTCGAGGAACAGCATGACAAATCCGTCTGGCATGAGAGCAAAAACCTGTTATGCGCAGATAGCACGCGAATGTGAAAACGCCACTGAATCGTGGGCCCTACAATGCATGCCCAGCATGACAGACGCAATCATCTTGCAAGTTGGGCATCACAAAGTTACGCTAACAAAGTTTTTTTCTTCGATACAGCAACAGTGACTGGTCGCAAACGATCGCGGAAATCAGCTTGTAATTTTCCTCGGTCGGTTTCCCGGCCAGTTCGCGCAGCTGTTTTTTGTCTTCCTCTTTGTCCTTCAAAGCGACGTGCTTGCTGGAGGTCTGCTGCGCGGAAGTTGTAGTACTGGAAGCATTGACCGGGTGGCCGTTGTTTCGCTTCCTGTGCTTGGAACTACTACCTCCCTCCTCCTCTGGGGGGAAGCGGAGCATGAGCTGCTTCCAGAAGTTTCCGAACTGCAAAAACACCTTTTCCTCCTTGTGAATACTGGCATTCGCGGAGGTGGACCCGTTTACCACGTTGGTAGCGGGGTCGTTCATATCGGACGCAGTTGCGGTGTTGGTCCCATTCTTGCCAAAGCTGATCCTTGCGTAGAGCAAACGGACGAAGTTCAGCATTTTCTTGCACCCGTACTGCTTGCAATCCGCCGTGAGCAAGGACGCCGCGTTGAGGACAATCACGTAAATCGAGGTTTGCCGGACTAGCACCGAGAAGAGCAAGTTGTTAAAAATCTTCTCCGCGCTCGCGATCGGCTGGCGCGCGTCTAGCAGGATCAAGGTCGCATTCTCCTTCTGGTGCTGCGCCGGATCTTTGCTCGCGGACAGCAACCCCCCTTGCAAAGCGAGAACCTTCCGGAAAATGAGGCTGTATTCGTGGTCTTCGTCCGCCTCATCGCCGTCATAGTAGTAGCTGAAAGTAGAAGATAAATGCCGCGGCGGCTTGTTGTTATTTTGCCTGTCATCTTTTTTACCACCTTTATCACTATCTTTCCTTGTTGTTCCTGATGCAGCTGTTCTTCTGATGGTTTTCGTCGCTTTATTGCCTACACCTCCGCCCTATCCTGTGCAAAAGTATCGCACTCGTATAAATGCATTAAAAATTGCCTCAGCATGAGAAATAAAATGAGTCATGCATTAAATGCATGACTGCAATTACTACGACTACGATACTTTTGCACAGGATACGCGCGCCCCGGTCGCCGTAGTCGCGCTTCTGTTGATTCCTTGAAAACAGTCAAAATTTTTCTGCAAGCTGGCGGTAATCATGGACATGGTAACCATGGATGGTAGATTATTTGTACTACTTCCGGCGAATGGATTTTTAGCTGCACCATTTATTTGCATGTCATCTGCATTATGTTGATTTTTCATTATCATAGTGCTGATCCCATCCCCCGCCTTCACACCGCCCACTTTTTGTAGCTGTTGTTCCAGTGACCATTTTTTCTTCCGCTGCAAAGCCGCAAACTCGCGCGCCGCGGCCAGGTGCAGCTCCCGGGGCGAAATGTCGAAAGGGATTGTGCTGGATCCTTGTGACTCTGACTGGTCGGTCAGAGTAGACTTAGGGGTTTTTGCGGCGTCATCTGCATCGTGGTCTACGTCTTCGCAGTTGTCAATTACATCATCATCGTCGTGGTCCTGGGGGTTCATATTTTTCGTATTATATCCAAAGTCCAGAAGAAATGGGTCATCATGTTCGACCACATGATCTTCTTTTTTATGCGGCGAGGAAGCCCCCGACTTTTTCCTTCCTGCTGCAAGGGGCCGCTTCTGCGTCGTGGTGTTTTTGTTTTTTTCCACCCCTGCATGAGCCGCGCCAGTGGTGTGTTGAACAAGTGTAGAAATAGCACCAGAACTCGTGGCGGGCTGCAGCTTCGACACAACAACTCCCATAGAGTTCTGCCTAGAAGTGAATCCACCCGCCGACGTCGGTGGTGCTACCGTACTTGCGATTGTGGTTCGCAACGCAAGTACTTCATTTTTACCCAATGGTGGGTCATCAAACGCAGTAGAGGAAGCGGCCGACAGTGGCGCTTTTCTCGTGCTAGGCTGGCGAGTGGAACAAGTAGATTTATTGCATGGTGTTCGAACGACGTCGAATTGGTTCGTTGGTGTAGAAGTTACTGTGCTGTTCAGCATGATCTTCCCATTCACATTCTTGTGCTGGTCGTTCAATTTCACCTCCTTGCTCTTTTTCCTCTTCTTCTTGATTTCTCCCTTACTATTTGTATTTGCTCCTCCCCGTAGTTCGCTTGTACTTGTAGAAGTTGTGCCCTGTAGTTTTTGCTGCTCATCATGCTGGAGGAGCTTGTTCTGCTTCCCTGCCGTGGTCGTGCTGCTCTTCGTGGTTTTAATATTGTTTTTACCAACAGCTGCCACGGGGTTCTGCTCGGAGGTGTAGCTATTTTCGTCCTCATCTTCGCCACAGCTGTCCGACTGCCGGTCACGCGTTATGACAGTGCACAACTCCCCCCCTCATTTGTATAGCATGAACGGCAATACAAACATCAGCAAGAATGCCGGTTTTGCATGACAAACTTACACTGGAGTCGTGTAGTGCTATTTCAGCTACCAGAAGTTGTCATGCAAACAGTGCCATGAAGCAGGGTCTGGATTCGGGGTTTTGCATGACAAATGAGGGGGAGGGGGAGGTGAAGTTGTGCACTTTCATACGCGTGCCAAAGCAACGGCTCTCGCCATCCACTGCCCCGTTGCCGCAACATCTACTATCGCTGTTCCCCATCTTGAAAGATTATCTATCAAGCCAAAATCGCAATTACAACGACCAAAACAATCAACGAAATGTCACTTGTCAACCCAATACGAGTGTTCGCAGTCCTTGCAGGAGAGCTAGAGCGCTGTGCATAAAGATAAATTAAATTCTGTGCTTGTATGATATCGATATGTGATGTCGCCGTTTCCGTTTATCTTTTTTTATTTGTAGTTTTTCTATTTCTACCTGCTGCACAATAAGCTACTATTCTGCTGCTCGTGTCAACGAGAGCGAAGCCTAGTAGTGAAATTCTATGAACTATTCTTCGAGGTCCTCGCAAGTGAGTTAATAATACCTCTCAATTTATTTTCACAGTAGACATCGTGAAAATTGGTGATTTGGATTATTGGAAGAAGGAGTGAAGAAAGAAATCAGATATTGGAGTTTTACGACGCATCAGTAATTACAGAATCAGTTTCAGTTGCTCCAAGCGCCAAGAGGAAACAATAGACCGAGGGGTAATACAAGTACTCGTGGGCAAAAAAATCTTCGTGAACTTCTAGAGTTTATATATATGGTGTCAAAATAGAAGTAGAGCGCTCTCGTTGCTGTCCAAGAGCTACTTGTTAGAGCTAGACATGATAATCCTAATCGTCTACGCAAAAGTGGAATAGAAGATAAACACTGGGGCTGGCGTTAGGAATAAGAAAATTATTGGGTCGGGGTCTTCACCAAAAATCTTCAAAATCTACCTTTCTAAAGCAAATAGTGTCGCTCGTCTCAATTTAAGTTCGTTGTCGCTACTTGTTCTCGCAAATAACATAGCGACACCTAATAAATACAACTAGGCACTACCACCACTACGCCAAAAAATTGCGTCGCTGAGGTTCGCTGCTGCCACGTTTGTGTAGATTAAGAGATGTCGCCGGGTTATGAGGGTGAAAGACATGAAGATGAACGTAGAAAACGGTTATTATCATATACGGAAAACCACGCTGCTGTGCACTGCTCGCGGCGTGTGGTTTAATCGAACTCAGAGTCATATGCACCATGCTTCAAATTGTGTATCGCAATCATCCTTCTGTAGGGGCGGCGCTCTTGTTCCCTATCCTAGCTTAGAACTACGGTTAAGACGAATACGGCCGTTCGTTTAGATCAACGTCTAGTACTACGCCGAAACAAATACCGCATGAGGAAGGCATCAAAAAGAACTTCCCTACTTCTTGCCTCACTAGTGTTACGCTACGAAGGCCGGTTGTGAGTGTAAATACCAGCGTAGCGGTGGTGGAATCTGTCATGATCTTGTGTTTTTGATGTTGCGTCTTTACTTGGCACTGTGAAGTAGAAGTAGATCCTGTCCTTGTGCCTATATCCAGAGGGCTCTCGCACCTGCAGTTTCGGGCCTGGCTCTGTTTGACAAGAAGCACGCAGAGGGAACAACAACAAGTGTGAACAAAATCAAGGAGCCTGTCTACGCTCCTGCTGGTTGCGCGTGTGCTGCCCGGCGCAGCACGTCGACCAGTGTAGCAACAGCAGTAGCTCCTGCTGAATAAATGTTCAATAACGGAATCTTCTGAAACGTTTCCATTGATATTCTTTTTTCTGACGCCTTGATCGCGCAGATGACATCTTGCATTTATTTCATTCTGATGATGATGCTCCGTAAGTGCAGGAGCATACATCTCTCCAATAAAAGGAAACGCCATCAGTTCTTCTAGTTTTTGAAACATCAAACTCAAGGTCGCCGCCACAAAATTTGCGCCCTACACCTTCTCGGAGTATAATTGCTGTGGAAAAATACTAGCTTACAGCTCCTGAACCAGTTAGCGACTCGATGTGGAACTTGTGAGATGGAGTTGAATTAGTTCGCACATCCTCCAATCATTTACAGATCCGGAGAAGACTCCATCACAGACTGCGTACTAGCGGGAAGAACTGCAGGTCCACCACGACCAGCTCCCCCAGGTACGACGGCAACTGCCTCAGTACTAGTACCAACTTGCTGGCTGTTCTGCATCTGTTGTGCCACTGTTCCTTGCTGTCCAGTGCCTACAACAACTCCTGCAGTTGGTAGCTGCGCCTGCTGCTGCTGTTGAGCGGCCAACTGCATCGGTTGCGAGAGCTGCTGCAAGACAGCTTGCTGCTGCGCGGGCTGCAGGATTTGTGCGGATCCACCTGGAGCAGTTGCCATTGAAACCACCGCCCCGCCATAATTCCCATTGCGGGGGCCACCACCTGCGCCAACGGGCAGTGAAGGGGCGGGGGCCTGCTGCCCGTAGTTACTACTCCTGTAATTCCAATTCCCGACTCCAAAACTACCGAAAGAACCGCCACCGCCCTCGAACCCCTTCGGCGTCATGACACAGAGCAGCAACGCACACATTGCGATGAAGAGGAGAATGAGCAGAATCAGCAAGTTTTTGTTGTTCTGCAGTGCAAAACTTGTCGCGTCGTACTAGCATAAATCGCAACACAAATTGACTTAGCATCACAAATGAAATTTGTAGTGCGGATTTACCTAACTAACTCGATTTGTAATGCATAACTGCGATTAATACTACGAGTACGATACTTTTGCACAGGATAGTTCTTCACGAGGTACCCGAGGAAACTGTTTGATTCCCCGGTAGAGTCCTGAATTAGCAGGTCCGACTCCCTTGTCTCCGTTAACTTCATGTAGGCCTGCGACATTTCCGTGTTAGACCAGTCCGCGCTGGTAGAGACGTCAATCACCTTATCCTTTGCAAAACCAGAACCACGACCACCACCAGGATCCTCGCCAGCTGTAATGCAAAATGCGCAAAGGCAAAATTGTCATGAATGTGGTTTTATTTCGCATCACAAATTATAGCGATCGGGACAAGGTCGTCGTGGTCGTGAAAGATTTTTACGATTTCATACAGCTCTTGGTGTATCCCGACCAGATCTTCCTGCTCCACCCTGGTCAGTTGCTCCTCTGTTTTTGAAATGACTTGCAAAAGTCTATCGCACTAGTAGAAATCGCATGACAAATTTCCTGACCATGAGAAGTAAAGTTTGTAATGCAGATTTGCCTTGGAAAAGAGATTTGTAGTGCATGACTGCAATTTATTACTACGAGTACGATACTTTGCAGTTCATATTTGACACGGCAATGTCGAAGCTGTCACTGTCCAGCGTCGGGGTCATTTGCAGAGTCTTGCACTGTCCCGCGAGCGACTCCACTCGGTCAATCACGTCCCGCTGCAGTTTCCGCTATTGTGTCGAAAAACGTCCAAACCCCATAGTCAAGATGGAAAACCTGCTACACAAATCCCTAAGCTTTGGCTGTCGCGCATGACAACTTTGGGCTCGTCGCAATAGTGGCCTTTAGCTAGTGCATCAGCATCACAGATCCAGTTTGTCATGCTGAATCGAGCATGACAAGTCCCAATAAATGACCACTAGAAAACGCCTCTGATGTGTCCTCTCCGCATGAGAAACATTTTAAGCATGCAGATTTGCAAAACAACTCTGGGGTTGGGACGTTTTTACACAGGATATCCGCAGCCAGGAATTTATCGCCTCCGATTTTCGCCTGCAGCACTTATCCTGTGCAACAGTATCGTATTCGTAGTGCAGTCATGCATTACAAATCTTGTTCTTAAAGAAAATCCGCATTACAAATTTTATTTCTCATGCTGAGGAAATTTGTAATGCATTTATACGAGTACGATACTTTTGCAGTTCATAGCACTGCAAGTAGGACAACAACTCCTCCTCCCACAAATTTAAATCCTGCTTGGTGAAAGGCTTCCCGGACAGCGCATCCTCGGCGTTGGTGCCGGACAGATATGCAGTGCAAAAGCATCGCACTCGTATTGCAATCATGCATTACAAATCTTTTTCTTAAGGTAAAGCAGCATTACAAATTTTATTTCTCATCCTGAGGAAATTTGTTCAATTTGTAATGCATTTATACGAGTCGTGCGGTACTTTTGCACTGCATAACAGAGATTCGGGAGCCAATCTGGAACACTCCTGCTGGTCGATACTGGCGACTCCGGATAGCACGTCGTATATAACCTGCTCAGCTGTTACATCAATCTCAAGCGTTACAATAGAATCTGGAATTTGTGTTGCAAGAAGTGCACGATCTAGCCTACTCTCATAGGATTGCGCATGACAAGTTCTGGAGTCCCGATCCGCACTACAATGATCTGGCGAAATTTGTATTGCAGAAAGTCGAACGCTGTCCGAGTCTGTGTCTGTCATGCTCATCATGCATTACAAAACACAGTAGATTCTGTTGTAAGGTTTGAGATTGTAACGTTTGAGCAGGTCATATCGTACTTCATTTTCGTCTGGATTTGTGACTGCGGATGAAGATGATGCTGGTTGTGGTGGTGATGGTGATGTTCTTCGGATTTCATGATCTCTTTGTTGTGTACTAGTTGTTGACCTTGCAGATGCGAAGCAGTTGAGCTGGCGTGTAGTTCCAGTTCCTGTAGCTGCTTCTCCTTTTCCGCTAGCCCCAGTTGCAGTAGTGAAAACAATGAGGTACTAGACGACGCACTCGAGTTTTTACCATCTTGCTCGACCTGCAGATGATCGCTATTGAACTCGTCCTCCGGCCCTGCTTCTTTGAAGACGCCTTTAGCAGGTTGTAGTACAGGTGACCACGTCGAGATCAAATCCAGATCTAGCAGCGAAGAAGGCGAGTTTTCACTTCTAGATGAAAGAGCCCGCGGCCGCGATGAATACTTGTTGTAGTCCACCTTCCCGTTCTCCAGAAACACCACCGCGCCCGCGCCCAGCTGCAGCCTTGTCCCGGCCGGAAGGTGAATCAAAGCGCGATATTGCAAGGAAAAATGCCCCCTCCCCATAATATTGGAAGCGCGTGATCCGTCTGAAAATTTGCGACACAGATTTATTGCGGTCACGAATCGGGTCTGTCTTGCAAGGAGGCCCATTCAGGCTTCCTTTCCGCCACGTTATGCAGGCGATTTGTAATGCTGTAAGGCCTACAGGGGCCCAGCCGTCTAGTACCATGCTTGCTAGTCCCCTACAACTACACCAAAAGGCCCGTAGTGCCTAGGTTTAGGATCTGCGTGCAGAAGTACTCTCCTGCAACACAAATTTGATTTGTGTATCCAAATCCAGCATCAGAAATTTCGTTTTGATATGGGGAGAGGGGATTTTTCCTTGTGATACGCGAATCAATGCGTCGATCATGGATTTCTCCTGCTCCCCCGCACGCAGCAGATTCGCGGCCAGCACGAGCACTTTGATAACGCGGTCCGCGATGTCGTTCCGCAGGACTTGGACACACTTCTGGTTGTTTATGGAAGCGTCAGGATCGAAATCAGCAAAATCGAAATAATTTGTGATGCATAAAATCGATACCACTTGGATCCTCAGTTGCCAAGTGGCGCATGACAGATTTCGGGAGCACCAAAATCCATTTTGTAATGCTGTTTGGGCAAAGAAGACTGCTCCTGTCATGCTACTCTGGCAGCGCATCTCCTTCCCCTAAACAGGCTCGCAGTCGCTTTCTTTTGCCTGCTCCCCAACACAGGCCATACGTGCCCTACATTTTATTTCGACTTTGACGATTTCAATCATGACACTTCCATATTGTTCTTTCTGGATGAAGTAGAGAAAGAAGACGTCTTCTTCGCTGCCGTCGTTGCAAGTGAGGTAAAACTTGTACTACTTGCCGGTCGCGCGGCGGCACTATGTTGAGCTGCACCAGTCGATGTGGCTCCTTTGGCTTTACTTTCACTCAGCGTCTGCTCCTCGTGTCGTGAAATCTTGTTCTGGGGTAGAAGCCCGAGAGTCGTAGACTCATCTCGATGGTCCTCGTACTTCTCCTCGTGCACCACAGCCAACGCGGAGGTCCTCGCCACTTCTACCTTTTGCGACGATGCCCGGTGGACGACGTCGAGAAGGGACACCAATAGAGCGGCGAACAGGCAGAAGTCAAAAGGCTTCATTTTCTTCATCCAGCCGGACATCTTGATTTTATCAGATGAAATTGTGATCAAGATGGAGCGAGAACGCTGCACAGGCTCGACAACAAAACCTTTTTCAAAGTGTTGATTCCTTATCCTTTTCCATACTAGCTGCGCCGGGGTGTAAATAAATCATTCACCTCCTGATTGATGTTCCATTTGCACACAAGACATGATATTATCCGCGACGGCAAAACCAACCCCGCTGAGGTCAACGACTTTCCTAGACTGCGCACTGCCACTGACTTTTTGTTTTCTTGCCCCGACTGTTCCTCGGTCCTGTCGGATGATCGCAGGGCCAGCACAAGAGGAACATCGAATCTTCACTCAGCATGACCACGACGATAACAGCTCAACAACAAGTCACACGAAACTAGGACCGGTGTAGTTCACTCGTCGATAGACTTCCTTTAGATAAAATTCATCTCTCGGTGATTCAAATTCTAGCGAAAACATCGAAATCGAAACTAAGTACTGCACAATAACAACCAAGCGACATCAGATCAGATATGTCGGCCCACACAGACCCGACACGAGTAGACGCGCTGAGAACAACAACCCTGCTGGCTGCACGCACAACAGCAATTCAGCACACACTTGTCACAGATAGAAGAATTTCTATTTTTCTTACAAAATAGTACCTTTCATACACGACGTCCCGTCAACGCCAGCACATGGTTAATTTCATGAGCGTCGGGTCACCATGAAACAGACGCCTTAAACATGGATCGCCTCTTTTTTCTTCAGCATCTTTCTCAAGAAGAAGAAACTACAGTACGACAACAGCCGCATGATTCTAATTTCTACTTTTTATTTCTATCGCCCTCTTTGGCCCAAAACAAATCAGGCCCTGGAGCTGGATGCGGCGCACCGACTCCCCCCGGCTGCTGCAGAAAGCTGCTCTGCAAATCGTAACTTTGGCCTTGAAACCCCTGGGCGACCTGGTTCGTATGGAGGCGTCAAGATTGAAATCGACAAATTTGAAACAACTTGTAATGCATAAAATCGATACCAGTTGGAGGCCCTATTTCTAAGCCGCGCATGACAAATTTGGGTAGAGCCGAAATTCAGTTTGTAATGCTGTTTGGGTAAGGAAGAGGCCTTTTGTTATGCTACTTTAGCAGCTCTATTTCTACCCCGCAACAGGCTTACAATCTGCCTCCCTTGCCTACTCTGCAAGACAGGCACTTTGAGGGTTGCACTTTATGCATGACAAACCATCTCAACCTTGACGATTTCGATTCTGACGCTTCCATAGTTCGAGTCCGGGAAGTTTTCCGGATTGTAGTTGAATTTACTCGCCCAGTAGTCCAAGCGCAGCTTTTATCCTGTGCAAAAGTATCGCACTCGTATTGTAATCATGCATTACAAATCTTTTCTTTAAGGTAAATCAGCATCACAAATTTCATTTCTCATGCTGAGGAAGTTTGTAATGCATTTGTTCGAGTACGATACTTTTGCACAGGATAGCTTTTTCTCAGTCTTGGCATTAATATTTTTTCCACCAATGTTATCAAAGGTTGGGATTGGGTGATTTATTTTAGGCGGGGTTCTTGTTCCGCCACCTGGGCCTGCTGTCGTCGCGCGTTTATTTCTATTTGATGTCTTCCTGCTGCCAATGTTCACGTTATTTCTGCCGGATGTTGGTGTAGAAGTTCTTGAGCCCCCGCTAGAAGTACCCCGGTCATAATTACCAGACGTGGTCTCGGCGTTGGTCTCGGCGGAGCCGCGGGCGCGGCCTCTGCCTCTTTCATCTTCATCACAGCTACTGCCCCCGCTCGTCCGAAAATCATCCCTAATATCTGGCTCTTCGTTTGTTGATATTGATATTCTCTTCCCAAAGCTTAAACTGTAGCCAAACCCGAAGTAAAGAACGGCGTAAACGATGCCAAGGGAGCAGAGTAAAATAAACACGACCGTGAACCCGAGCAAGATCAGTTCGGTGAACGAAAGCGTGACGTGGCTTGGATCATTTTTCTCCTGGTAGTTGTCAAGATACTGCTGGTCCTCGTCGTCGTTGTGGCCGGCCTTGGTTTTGTTCGACGACGTACTATAGTCTTCATGCTGACTATGTTCTTGTCCCGAAAGGCTCCTGTCCACCTCGGAGCTGCTCATCTGCATTGACCCCGAATTTATCATGTTTCTAATCGTTCTTTCATCATGAAGATCTCCTCCCTCTGTAGTACTGCTGCTCAACGGACTGTAGCTGTGGCCCCAGCCGGTCGTGTGATTATTCACGAGCGGCGGATGGTGCGTGGTGGCGGGATCATGATGTCGGATACGGAAGCCTCGCGTCGTCGCATTAGCCCCGCTGAAAAGACCTTTCGAGTCGGCAGAAGTAGCGTTGCTCTTCCTGTCACCGCGGTGTAAATAAATGCCATCAAGATCTTCATCCGCCTCTGGTTCATCCTCTTCAATTACCGGGGAGGTATCAAAGGAAAAAGCCGTTGGGTCCTCGAAATACCGGTGCCAACTTGTCCATTCCGAGTCAAACCACGTCTGCTGGTTCTTCAACAGCTCAAGAACCCTGGAATTCCCAACCTTTTGACCCTTCTCCTGCACGACTATGCTCTGCAAACACAATATGGAGGAGGTGTCAGGATCGAAATCGAAAAAATCGAAAGGATCATTTGTGAAGATGCATAAAATCGATACCACCAGTTACTTACATTTAGATTTAGAAGCTCAGTTTCTTGTTCTTCTAAGTGGCGCATGACGAATTTCGGGAGCTGCACCATCAAAATCCAGTCTGTCGTGCTGTTTCTTGGGCACAGAAGTAGAAGCCTGTCCCTGTCATGCTACTCTGGCAGCGCATCGTCCTCTTCCCCTAAACAGGCTTGCAATCGGTCCCATTTATTGCCTACTCCCCAAAACAGGCCTTCCGTGCCCTACATTTTACGCACTGCAAATTTTTCGATTTATTTGTCGATTTCGATCCTGACACCCCCATAAACAACTCGTCGTGCGCCTTTCTGTGGTCGATTTTTACCTCTTTCAAAAACCGCCCGCCCAGGTTTCGCCTCCTGTTTTTGCTTTCGGTCTTGACGAACTTTTGCGTCCCGAAAACCGACGCACGCCCAAAAAGGAGCTCGTCTTCGAAAGATTCCCCCGTGTCACTCTCGACCCGGACAAAAAGTGGGTCTTTTGACGGGTAGGCGCCGGCAAACTCGCCCGTGCACAGTTCCACAATGATCCGGACGGGAAGGTGAAGTCGTGGGAGCTATGAAAGCCTCAGAATGGAAATCCTCAAACTGGAAATGATTTGTGATGCATGAAATGCAACGCAAAAAAGACTGTATTGCAGAGGACGCAATGGAGGCCGACTATTATCCTGCTAAGGTTGAGGAATTGGAATGCTGCTTAGCACGACAGAAGGGCACCCCTTTCCCTTAGCCTGCATGACAGACATGCTTTAAGTGCCCGGGAAATTTGTCATGCGCAGACTATAAATGCCGCTTCAACTGGAGTCGTTTTTCTTTTTTTGCGTCACAAATTATTTCCACTTTGAAGATTTCCAACCTGAGGCTTTTATAGGAGCTGGAGCAACGAGGAGGTGGTGGCTCCTGGGTCGTCCAAGCTTCTGAGTGTTAATATCGATGTCCCTCTATCGCGGACGATCGGATACGGATTCACTTCTCTTTCGTGTTCATCATCATCATCATCATCATCATCATCATCATCATGATGAAAGTCAGCTCCTTCTCCTTCACCATCCGTAGGTTGTCGTTGTTCCGGCGAGGGTGGTGGCCGTACTATGACCGGCGCGGCCGGCGGCTCATCGTCCGAAGTTGTCTTCATCCCGTGTTCGGTTTGAACACCGGCGGGGGCAGTGGAAATAGTCCCAGTTTCATTCAACATCTTCCTCGTCGTCCCATGATTGTTCACAGGATCTTGTTCTAATAATTCCTCGTCCCATAATTCAACACTCGGACTACGTATGAACTGCAAAAGTATCGCACTCGTATAAATGCATTACAAATTTCCTCAGCATGAGAAATAAAATTTGTAATGCGAATTTACCTTACGAAAATAATTTGTAATGCAAGACTTGCATTTATAGGAGTACGATACTTTTGCACAGGATACTACGACCGTGGACTTCTACGTCGTCCCACGATCGTAGTCGTCCACCTGAAGATGTTCTCAAATGCAAAAGTGTCTGGGTCTGGAAGATTGGTAGGTTTGTCATGCAGGTTTCCCATGACCCACGCGGTCTGTGCCATGCACGGCCTAGCATGACAGGTTCTGTGAGATCTCTATCATGCCGTTCTTGCATGAGAAATTGCCTCTAAACTTGTTCAAAAGTGGGCCTCTTTTGGTAATCATGCAACACAAATTTTTCCACAATCCAGATGTAGCATGAGAAGTTACACTCTTCCAGACCCAGACATATTTGCAATGCATAGGTGCCGACCGACGAGCAGCGCCACGCGCGATATGAAAGTGCACAAATCCAGCCAATCTCCCTCATTTGTAATGCAAAATCCCCAATGATCCAGCTGCTGCCTCATAGCACTGTTTGCATGACAAATCCTGGAGGCCCAAACAGTACTTCTACAGTGGGGTCGTCACAAATTTGTCATGCGTACCTCGTCTACGTGCGCTTGTGTTTGTATTGCTCTGTTCATGCTCTAGTACAAATGAGGGGGAGGGGGAGTTGTGCACTGTCATATGCGAGAAGTGTGAGATAGGAGGAACGGCGCGGCCGCACGCCCGGACTGGTACTTCTGCTAGAAGTTCTTGCGCTTCTTCTGTGAAGTAGAGGACGAGAGATAAGAAGATTTTTAACAGCGGGAGGACGAGGATCAACACCCAATTTGATCCTTCCAGGAGGTGTTACAATCTCAAACGTTACAATAGAATCTGGAATTTGTGTTGCAAGAAGTGCATTATCTAGCTTACTCCCATAGGATTGCGCATGACAAGTTCTGGAGTCCCAATCCGCACCACAATCTGGCGAAATTTGTATTGCAGAAAGTGGAATGCTGTCCGAGTCTGTCATGCTCATCATGCAATACAAAACCCAGATTCTATTGTAACGTTTGAGATTGTAACGTTTGAGCGGGTCATATTTTCCGTTGCTCCAGGGGGGTAGGGAAACGTTACGCAAGTCCCCGCTTCATCAACTGCAAATGTCGTCTGGGTCTGGAAGAGTCATGCTGTTTTTGCATGACGCGCAAGGTCTGGCATGGCAGCTCTAGCATCACAGGTTTCGAGAAGCTGCCGCAATGCCGAATCCGCATGACAAATCCCCCATTTTGGTGACAAAAAGTGGGCAGCTTTTGCTACCTATCTATGCATGAGAGATTTTTCTGTGTTCTGAAATGCGCATCGCAAGTTTGTACTCTTCCAGACGACCCAGACATATTTGCAATCCATACCTCTTGCGTGGATATGTTGAGGTAGTTTTCGAGAAAAGTTGTTTGGGCGTCTTTATTGCTCGTTGGTAGAACAAAAAACTCCGGTAGCAATTCCATCAAAACCGCGGAGCCGTCTTGCGTCGCGCGGTAAGTGGTTTCCATGGAGTGAAATAGCCGGTTCCAGGAGTCAAAGGAGCCTGAGCATGCACTCTGGCAGTTCCCTGACAAGGAAGTACAGAACGTAAGCGGGCGTGGAGTAGTGGGTGCCTGTGACAATTTGTGTTTGTTTGTCCTGTTTTTTTGCTGGAGGTGGTGATGATTATAAGGACTATGCATGCCAAACAAAGAAACTGCCTCATCGGAGGTGAAACAGGATGACAACATGAAACAAGATCCTTCTTATACCGTACAAAAACTTCTGTCCCGCTGGCATTTCGCGCATCCGTTCCCGAAATTGCCTCAACTATCGAAAGAAAAAACTGCTTCACTGTAAACTTGTGATGCATAAAATGGAACAAAAACGCGTTTGTCTTGCTACGCATGCAAGACATTGGCAGATTTGCCATGACCGGAATATTTGTGATGCGCAACCCCATGACAGGCATTTTCAGTCGTGTTTGAGAACTTGTAATGCTGTAAACAGGGTCAGCAGATCGATTTGTAATGCGGCTTTCCTTGCTAACTTGCACTACAACCTTACGGACTGCAAGAACTTGTCACGCGTGACTCCCAAAACTCCTAGCTTTGTGTTGCAAAGTCCCCATCTTGACTCTGGGGTGGGGACGTTTTTGCTTAGGATAAGAAGTTCTTGCACTTCTTCTGTGAGCAGCACGAGAACTAAGAAGATTTTTAACAGCGGGAGGACGAGGATCAACACAAATTAAATTTGTAATGCGGATTTGCCTTTAAAAAAAAGATTTGTAATGCATAGAAGCAATTAGTACGAGTACGATACTTTTGCACAGGATAGAAACAGCTGGTCTGCCATGCTGCGCTCCTGGTAAGGCCTCTCATCAATCATATGCAAGGAAAAACAGAGTGTTACAGTTACACACTTGCACGTGAATTCAGCATCACAAATTTTCTTCGCATGACGGAACTTGTAATGCAGAAATCATAAGGCAAAACACACACGAAACGAGACTCGCAAGCCTTTTGCGCATGACAGAGGTCGTCTGCCTTGCATGTCTTGCAACACTGTGTGTAAATATTGTAACACTTTTTATTTTGCATAAATCACCTTCATCGCGTAGTACACCGGCTCGGACAACGAGTGGCTGTCTTTCTCCCCCTATCCTGTGCAAAAGTATCGCACTCGTATTGCAATGAATCATGTATTACAAATTTTTTTCTTAAGGTAAATCCGCATTACAAATTTTTTTTCTCATGCTGAGGAAATCTGTAATGCATTTATACGACGAGTACGATACTTTTGCAGTGCATACCCCCAGTACTACTTCCCGCGCGCCCACCTGGGTCCTCCCTTGTGGTTCTTGGTCTTGACGGACGATCCCGCCCCCGAGATTCTTGTACCAGTTCACGTCCCGGGGGCCCCGTGCCGACACCGGCCGCATGGTGCTCCGTCGCTGCTTATCAAATGCAAAAATGTTGTCTGGGTCGTCTGGGAGGCTCCGAGATTTGTCATGCAGTTTTTCGAAGCTCTCCCACGCCTGGAATGCACGGCCTAACGTCGCAGGTTCTGCAGCCCCAGCCCCCTGGTGATGCGTATTTTGCAGGAGAAATGCCCTGTCAGCATGGCGAGAAGTGGGCACCCTTTGCAGATTTTTAACAGCGGGAGGACGAGGACCAACACCCAATTTGAAGAGCCCCGCTGGCGTCGTTGGTTTTGTAGGGCGCGGCATGGTGTTGGAACCATCGCCAGGGATACCACTCCAGAAGCGGGTGATTAAATCCCGGAGAGCCAACGCAGGAAGGGTGCTGGAGAAAATCAAGCTGGAGCGGGCTCGGGCTAGCCTCAGAATCACTAGGAGGCGGCCCTGGGAGAAGGTGGAAATACTGCGCGAATGGTTTCAAACAGGCCGGGCACGACTGCTCTATATTCTCGTTGGGGTTGAGCCTTGTGAAGATGGTTTGCACCTGCTTACTGCTGATGGACCGCCAATGAACACCTGGGTCTGAATTTGGATCACGTCCGAGCATGACGCTCCCTGTCATGAGGGTGGCGCTTTCGCCCTCTACGGTGGCCCCGGCGTCCTTCACGGCGATAAAACTGCTCATGTCGAAGTCAAACACCCTCACCGAAGCCTCCGCTTGCCAGGCTTCGTCTCCCGTGTAGCCAATATTGTTAGGCTTTACGTCGTTGTGCGCAAGCCCGAGGTCTGCAAAAGTGTCGGCGTAACACGCGAATAATGCCCGGGTCAGCCTCTCCTTTCCGAGATCACTCGCCGGAGGCGGGATCATTCCTGCATTCGGGCTGGTGGTGGCGAGCATTTCTACCTTTTCAAGAAAAAAGAAAAGGCGCGTCTTCAGCTCTCCCTCGCTATTCAGATCAGAGCTTACAACAAGACGGGACATTCTTGCCACACAATCTTGCGCAGTACGGCTGAGGATTACGTTGAAGATGACCTCGGGAACGTGTTCATCCAGACACTGTTCTGCATTCGGAGAATTTTTATTCGGACACTCTACTACTTTGACGACTTGGTGGTCGGGCATCGTTTGCTGATCCGGAAAAAAAAAAGGGCGTGGTGGATTATTGGACACCTCCGTCACGGTTCCGAAGCTACCAGAAGACAAGCTTCGCGCGTCCCAGCTTATCTCGATGCCGCTGTCAGTTTCGGTTTCCGTTCCTTCGACTAATCGTTCCTCGGGCGTCTTGTTCTTTTCGTGCGGAAAGATCCTCATCACGGTTGACACATTCCTATCCGGCTCGGCGCGCCCGCGAACCACAGCCAAATCTATCTGATCTTTCCAGTAGCCCATCGCGTCCTTCTTTACGTGCTCGTCTGGGAGGATGAAGATTGCGCATAACAGGAAAAGTTGATAGCAGAGTCAAATGCACGATTTTTAACAGCGGGAGGACGAGGATCAACACCCAATTTGCTTCTACCGTTATTGTTCTTCCGAAGAAAATTTCCTAGAAGTCCACCTTTAATATTTCTTGGCGCGGTCGAGGAAAAACTCCTTGAAGTGGTCCTTCTCCTTCGTCCCAGGAAAACATCATCCTCTTCATCCACTACACGCAGGGCAAGAACGACCCCCGCTGAGATCATATCAGGGCTGTTGCACTCCTCCTGAACACCAAGACGAACATCAAGCGGGCTCGACGTCTTGGAGGTGTTGTAAGACGGGGACCACGACCACCTCGACCAGGACGAGGTCGTTGTGTTTAATAGTATCAACACCCTCACCACAAGCAGATGCACCACCCATCTCGCGACGCCGGCCATTTTTGAACAAGAAGCTAGTTGTATAGATACTACTAGGTGGTCATGGCCAAACAGTCGGAGTCGCACTCCTCCTTGTCTTTCCCGTGGAGGAGGTGGTCCACGTTGTTCCCCGGCAAATGAAGAAACTGAAACTCGGCTTGTTTCTACGAAATAAAAGTATTAAAACGGCGCGCTGCACGTAGGAAAAGCAAAGAAATCGACTTCGACGATTACTTCATGAAAATGAAAAATCTTCACTATCAAATGTAAAAATGTCTGGGTCTGGAAGAATGCGCGATTTGTCATGCTGCTTTTCCATGACCCATGAGGTCTGGAATGCAGGACCTAGCATGACCGATTCTGTGCGATCTCTCTCATGCCTATACTGCATGAGAAACTCCCTCCCGACTTGGTCAAAACTGGACGACTTTTGGTAATCATGCAGCACAGATTTTTGCATGCTTCAGATTTAGCATGACAAGTTGCATTCTTCCAGACCCAGACATTTTTACATTTGATCTTCACGAGAAGAGGCCAACGGGAGTACGAGTAACGCACGAGTAAGGAACGATGACGATCATGACCACACGAGTGACGCCAAAACGGGATTTAGTTAGTAGTCAAAAGGACGAGCAGGAAGAGGTGGAGAATGAACAAATAAGAATAACCTCCTTGACCATAGATACCAGGGCGCAGTTGTGCTGGTTTTCGAACGAAGTTGTGCTGGTTTTCCTGAAAAACAAACTCAAACTTCACCGCGCCCAGTGGTCACGAGAATTCTTCTACCGTTCATCAAGATCGAATTTCTATTTGTGCATCACTTTAATCGATTCACAACCAAGTCAAATTGTTCATCCACTGAAGCACTCACTATTCATCTTCCAGATTATTTATATCTTCAATCCTCCACTCGCAATCGCAAGAAAAAACTGCGTCACTGTGATGATTTTGCAGGATCTGCATCACAAATTTGATAATACACATGGTAGAGAAAATTTGCTATGTGCACTTCCCAAGGGAAAACACCCTTGGAAACTCAATGTCTTGCATGTGTAGCAAGACAAAAAGCTTTGTGTTCCATTCCATGCATTACAAATTCACAGTGAAACAGTTTTTTCGTGGGATACTCGCAATAAAATTCACAGCCCGATCAAGCTGAATCGGCGTGGCTTTGGCTTGTACTGCACGGTTGCTGCTGATGAAGGAGTTGCAGTTCCAGATGTATTATGCATTGCAAAAGTACCGCACTCGTAGTAATTGCAGTTACGCATTACAAATCTACGTAGTTAAGGCAAATCAGCATTACAAATTCACTTTCGTAATGCTGAGCCACATTGTATTGCGATTTAAAGATACTACTGCGATACTTTTGCACAGGATATGTAGTTGCAGTACTTGTCGTCCCAGCCCCTGCTTCTCGCGTTTCGCCTCCCCGCGGCCCGGCGCCTGTAGCAGTAGCGCCACCACTATCCAGGAAAAAAAACCCATCCGCACCCATTTTTTGCATCACAAACACTGGCACTTATGCATGTTTTGCATGACAAATTGGATGGGGATGGGTTATTTTTCCTGGATAGCCACCTCCTTTGTTGATGAAGTTCAAGGCTTTCAAAGGTTGCAGGCCCACGTATCCTGTGTAAAAACGTCCCCACTCCAGCGCTGTCATGCAGATTTTCGATTACAGGAACATTTGTAATGCGCATCTCCACGACAGGCATCTTCAGTCGCGTTTTGGAATTTGTAATGCTGTAAACAGGATAAACAGATGGATTTTTAATTCGGTTCTCCTCGTGAACATGCACTATACTACTAACTACAACTTGTCATGCTGGGCTCCCAAAACTTCTGGATTTGTGATGCTAAGTTCGCAACTTGACTATGGGGTGGGGACGTTTTTGCATATGATACCACGACCACGGGAGGTGCGCCGGCAGCTGGACGATTTTGATGTTGTCCCCCGGCGGTTTTTATGAACTGCAAAAGTATCGCACTCGTATAAATGCATTACAAATTTCCTCAGCATGAGAGAAAATTTGTAATGCGGATTTACCTTAAGAAAAAGATTTGTAATGCATGATTGCAATACGAGTGCGATACTTTTGCGCAGGATAGTTTTGTGTTCTTGTTCATCTCCTGCAGCTGTGGTAGTTGTAGCTAGCGCGGCCTGAACACCTCCTTCCAGTTGTACCCCCGGACGACCTCCACCTGGAGCAGTGTGTAGCTCTGCATCCCCCCTGTCCTCTCCTCCCGGAGCTGCAAACATGTAGTTGCTTCTACCCTGAAGATCTCCTGCACCGCCCCGTCTCGGTGACGCTGGCGCGACCATCTTCAAAACCTATGGGTGCGTCAGGTTTGAAATCGTCAAAGTTGAAATAATTGTAATGCATAAAATCGAAACCACTTGGAGGCCCAATTACAAATTCCAAGCGGTGCATGACAAATTTCGGCGCCGTCTAAATCCAATTTGTCATGCTGTTTAGGGAGAGAAGGCGTCTTTTGTCATGCTACCTTAGCAGCTCTACCGCAGACCCGAAACAGGCTGACAGTCGGCCTCGCTTGCCGTTCCTGCAAGAGAGGCACCCCATGCCTTGCAATTTATGCATGAGAAATTATTTCAACTTTGACAATTTCAATCCTGACGCTTCCATAAAGCCGCGCCTGCCCGTAACGCGCTGCTGCTTCGCGGAAACAAAGTCGCTGGGTCGGCGAGCTCTGCAAGATTGATGGTTTGGTTCAGCCGGTTGTTAGGGTTCGTCGCGTGGTTTATTTGCTGAAGATGTAGTTGATGGCCTCCTCCTCGTTCTCCACCCTCTGTACACGTCGAGGTCGCACCAGGAGGCCCTCCTGCTTGTCGTGTGGAACAGTACATATCGACCGTATTGGCCCGCTGCAGTTGGTGCTGGTCGTGATGAACAACATTTGAATTTTTGTCCTTACCGTTTGAAGGTGTTGGTGCAGTGGAAGCAATGCAACTGCTGGTCCTGTATTGACAGGAAAAATCCCCCCTCCCCATATTGAAAAGGTATGTTTCCAAGAATTTGTATTGCGGATTTGAGGTCACAAATCACGTCTGTCTTGCAAGAAGACAAGGGCAGAAGCTTCCGCCCCATTATGGAAGCGGTTTGTCATGCTGTTGGGCCTAAAGGGGGGCCGTTTGCCATGCTGAACTACTAGACCCATACGCCCCTACCTAGCCTGGGGATCTGGCCGCAGTGCCTCTCTGCAGTACAAAGCTGATTTGTGCTGGTCACAAATCAGCATCACAAATTTCCGTTTTGATATGGGGAGGGGGGATTTTTCATTTTGATATCCTGTATCCAAAATTCATTCCACATCCACTGGTTGTAGTGCTGCCACTTGATGCACCGCCTCCAGGGTTGTTGTTCACCATCGGAAAGAAATTCGCGGAGCGCTGTATAACTTGCTCAAACGCCGGTACAGTCTCAAACGTTACAACAAAATCTGCTGGAATTTGTGCTGCATGATGGGCATGACAGACTCGCACAGCGTTCCACCTTTTGCAATACAAATTTCGCCAGATTTTAGTGAGGTTTGAAGCTCCGGAACTTTTCATGCGCAACCCTATGAGAGTTGGCTAGATCATGCTCATCATGCAAGACAAATCTCGGATTCTAGATTCTATTGTAACTACGCTTGAGATTGTAACACCTGAGCGGGTTATACGTTGCTGTTGCAGCGCTCGTCCAGGTGGTCCTCTGCTGGTAGCTAACCCACCACCGAGGGGAGCAGGAGCGCCAAAAAAGTTGTTCCCACCGGTCGCGATTTTTGATGTTGGAGTCAACATTTGATAATTTCTGCCATTACCTGCTATCCTGTGCAAAAGCTGCACTATCGTAGTCGCATGAATCGCAATCATGCATGCCAGATAGCTCCTACGTCTACCTGCTTCCCTGAATCTTCTCCACGACAAACTCATTTTTTCTTCTTCACGAGGAAAAGACCATGATTCATTAATTAAGTATACAACTTTTGCAATGCATAGCAGCAATGGCACATGCAGAACTACTTGTCCCCACGGAGGTGACAAATTTCAGAATCGCGCGGACACGCTTCACCCCCGACACACCCTGTTTGACCAGCCGCAAGATCTCCTTCTGCTCTTTTACGTACTCGTACAGCCATTCGGATTTTTTCGCCAAGTTTTCGGTTGTACACCTGGTGAAGGGCGAAGGTTGCAGGCAGAGAGTCAGGGTTTGCTGCTTATTCGGACCACCACCTCCACCGGGGATGATCGAACATGCTGGGCTGGTAGAAGTTGTGCCCGGGGGACCAACTGGTGCAGTTGAACCGACATCAGTAGCACTACCACAGTTGGAAGTATTATTCGCCGCGTGCTGGTCGACGGCATCTAATGGTATGCATTGCAAAAGCATCGCACTCGTATAAATGCATTACAAGTTTTCTCAGTATGAGAAATAAAATTTGTAATGCGGATTTATCTTGAGAAAAAATTTGTAATGCACGAGTGCAATACGAGTACGATACTTTTGCAATTCATAAATGGCTTGTACAAGCGATTCTCCATCGCATGAAGGAATCTATCAAATGTAAAAGTGTCTGGGTCTGGAAGAATGCAATTTGTGATGCTGCATTTGGATTCCAGAAAAATCTGTATTGCATGAGCAGCAAAGGGAATGCAATTTTTGCTACGCGGAGAGGGAATTTGTCATGCGGAATAGGCATCGCGAAGCCCTCAGAAAATCTGTGATGCTAGGGCATGCATCACAGACATCATGGCCAATGCAAAACATGCATGACAAGTCTCAGAATCTTCCAGACCCAGACATTTTTACATTTGATAGAAGCTTTCTTCGTCCAAAACAAGGTGGACTTCACCTGATGTTGGCCTCCGCTTTCGAGTAGTAGATGAGTTGTCCTGCTGAGCATCGCCGCCACTGCTGGTGCTGTTTTGGTCGAAAACATGCTCTGCTTCTACAGGTGGTCGACGTCCGGTAGCAACCACAGCCGCGTGGTCCTGTAGAAGTGCTGGCCCGTCTTCTTCATCCGGAACGGTCTCCGTTTCCGTGTCAACTTGTTCTTGGCGGTACAGGTAGCCGCTGAAGGGGGTGCAATTCTCCAGAATTTGGTACAGAACCACGCCTATGCTCCACACATCGACCTGCCCGTTGATTTGCGGCTCCTGTTTCGATATGCATTTTTGCAAAAGTATATTATACAGTTTTTGCATCACAAATTTTCTCAGCATGCGATGAAATGGAATCTGTCATGCTGATTTAGCTAAGGAAGGAGATTTGTCATGCCAGTCCGCAAGTTGTACGTACGACAGTACACGATACTTTTGTAGCGGATAGTCAAAATCTCGGGCGCCATGTACTCCAGGGTGCCGCATTTGTCGTTCACAACGTAGGGATATGCATTGCAAAAGTTTATCGTATTGCATTTATGCATTACAAATCTTTTTCTTGAGACAGATCCGCATTACAAATTGAATTTGTATAAAAAACAAATGCTGGTGACTGAGCAAATTTGTAATGCAGTTTTACCAGTACGAAGATACTTTTGCACTTCATAAGGGACCAACCACGTCGTCGCGTAAAGTGGTGGCCCAACCGAAATCTGCCACTTTCAGTCTCCACTTCCGGTCGAACAAAATGTTGTCCGGCTTGAGATCTCGATGCACGATTTTCTTCTGCAGGTGGAGATAGTTCAGCACATCCACAAGGGACTCGAAGATTTCAATCGCCACTTGGTCAAGGAGGGAAGAGGAAGTCGAGGCAGAAAACTCGTTGCTCGAAGTAGATGCGGTGCTTCTCACCATCTCGGCCGCGGAGCCGGTCGACGTGTTCTGGGCTCCTGCTGCAACATTTTTCCCGCTCGACGTTGCGAAATTGGTCAAGAACGGATTTAGCTTTGATGTAGTTCCACCTCCGCCTGCATGATGCAGGAGCTGCTGCTCCGAAGAGGACGTAGTGCCAGTATTCATCCCAGCACCTCGTGGAGGCGGCGGTCCAGGAGCTGTTGACCTTGACCATGCAGCTCTGGAAGTACTAGTACCCAGAGCGCTTGCAGAGTCGGTTCTGTGTAATACGCTGGTGTTGATGGGACCACGAGGACGATCACGAATAGTTGTACTTCTGCTGCTGTGCAGCCTCTGGATCAGCATGGCCAGGTTGCCGTTGGGGCAGTATTCAAAAACGAGGTAGTGCCGAAGGTCCTGCTCAGAGGGCGAGGTAAAATGCTCCAGAAGTTTCAGCACCAAATTATTCGACTGCGAGGTAGTTGTAGTGGTAGCACTAGTGCTACCCGCTTGCGCATCCCCTCCTTTGCTGGACGTTGTCGGAGCACCGACGCCGCTCCCGATACTACACGAACTAGTACTACAATTGCTGGAACTACTACAGGCTTCTTCGTGCAAACTGATCTCCCGAAACTATGAACTGCGAAAGCATCGTACTAGTATGAATTGCAATACAAATTAGCTCAGCATTACAAATTAAATTTGTAATGCGGATTTGCCTTTAAAAAAAAGATTTGTAATGCATAGAAGCAATTAGTACGAGTACGATACTTTTGCACAGGATAGAAACAGCTGGTCTGCCATGCTGCGCTCCTGGTAAGGCCTCTCATCAATCATATGCAAGGAAAAACAGAGTGTTACAGTTACACACTTGCACGTGAATTCAGCATCACAAATTTTCTTCGCATGACGGAACTTGTAATGCAGAAATCATAAGGCAAAACACACACGAAACGAGACTCGCAAGCCTTTTGCGCATGACAGAGGTCGTCTGCCTTGCATGTCTTGCAACACTGTGTGTAAATATTGTAACACTTTTTATTTTGCATAAATCACCTTCATCGCGTAGTACACCGGCTCGGACAACGAGTGGCTGTCTTTCTCCCCCTATCCTGTGCAAAAGTATCGCACTCGTATTGCAATGAATCATGTATTACAAATTTTTTTCTTAAGGTAAATCCGCATTACAAATTTTTTTTCTCATGCTGAGGAAATCTGTAATGCATTTATACGACGAGTACGATACTTTTGCAGTGCATACCCCCAGTACTACTTCCCGCGCGCCCACCTGGGTCCTCCCTTGTGGTTCTTGGTCTTGACGGACGATCCCGCCCCCGAGATTCTTGTACCAGTTCACGTCCCGGGGGCCCCGTGCCGACACCGGCCGCATGGTGCTCCGTCGCTGCTTATCAAATGCAAAAATGTTGTCTGGGTCGTCTGGGAGGCTCCGAGATTTGTCATGCAGTTTTTCGAAGCTCTCCCACGCCTGGAATGCACGGCCTAACGTCGCAGGTTCTGCAGCCCCAGCCCCCTGGTGATGCGTATTTTGCAGGAGAAATGCCCTGTCAGCATGGCGAGAAGTGGGCACCTTTTGCACGTTATGCATCACAGATCTCTGCAGGATCCGAAACACGCATCACGAGTTCGGATCCTTCCAGAGGACTCGGACATATTTGCATTTGATACTGCTTCCTGTCGCGGAAATTTTTGGAGGCGGGAGGACCCGCTCCTGTTTGAGCAGCGGCTGTGTAGCTGTCGTCCGCGGCGCCGCCAGAATTGTTTAGTGCGCCACAACCGGCGTTGGCTTTCACCACCTTGCACACTACCGCATACGCGCCTTCGGCCAACACGCACACCACATCGTATTTTCTCGTGACTTATCCTGTGCAAAAGTATCGTACTCGTAGTACTTGCAATCACGCATTACAAATCTCTCTCTTAAGGCAAATCAGCATTACAAATTTCATTTTTCATGCTGAGGAAATTTGTAATGCATTTATACGAGTACGATACTCATACTTTTGCAATTCATATGACTTCCGGAGGAAACACGGTGGAGGAAGTGACTTGCGTTAGGGAGGCGCAGGGAAGGGGCTGTTGCTCTTGGTGTGGCAGGTTGTCTGAGGCAGAAGGATAGTACATGGACGAGGACCAGGACGGGTACGCACCGTTCTGCTGCGAAGAACTCGTTGGCTGTTGAAACGTCAGAAGTTGCGGCCCGCCGATGAAGTTGTTGCAGCTGCCGCCGCGCAAAGACGTCGGGGAGACGGGGGGCATGACCCCTCTGTAGTACGTCCCCGAGGTGGTTCTTGCCTGCGCCGTTACGGCCGCGGCCCCCCAGGGCGGTTGGGCGGTAGTAGCCGTTGTTCCTGCGTATCCACAGTAAATGATTTCCCGTACACGTACCAATGTGGTTTCTGCATGACAAACTTTTCTTCCAATCCTATTCAGCATGAAGATAAGCGGCATGCTCCAACTTGGTAAAATTTGTCATGCATTTTGTGCATGTACAGGAAATTTGTATTGCATACTGCGGACGACGGGGTCAACATCCCGGCGCCCTGGAACTGCAGCTGTTTCTCCGGTGAAGAGCCCAACATGATGTTGAAGAGGACGAACCACGAAGGCCTGTGCAACTCCTGCTCCTGGATCTGCTTTGTTCTACTTCGGAGTAGTAGTTGTGCAGCAGCCTACTACAGCTGCTCCAGCAGCTGCTCTTCTGGATCTGGTGGCAAGACGAGGACCAAGAGGCTCAACATAATACCGCGCAGATGTTCTTTGTTGCTGAGTTCCACCTGAGCCTGGTCGTGCTCATGATCTCGTCCCAGCACAAGGAAAGGTGCTGCTACTCTGAACTACATCAGCCCATGGTGGGCAGCTGCTCCTGCCGCTGCAGCACCTGCACCCCCTGCACCTCCTTTCACCACAGCCGGGTCCGCGCTCGGCGGCGGTTCGCCCGTATTGCCTGCTCCGCGTACACAAACACCAGGGAAAATCCGAGGAAACAGGACAGCAGAACGAAGGGCCAGGTCGTCGGAAGGAGCAACATGGTGCCTGCTGTTTCCTGCTGATAGATGTTGCTGTTTTGCTGGTTGTGGCAAAATATACGACCAGCTGCTCCTGCACCGCCCAGCAACTCAGCAAAAATCTGTCAGTAGACGCCCACCGACGTCTGCTCTAAGACAGGAAGTTGCGAGGACATCTTCAAACCAAAAGGGAGGTGGAGCCATACACGATTCTGTTTTTTAATTTCAATTTCTTACCGTCTTCAATTCTCTAATTCTCAGTTCAAAAAGAGCAGTGAAGTGAACAGCGGAGAGGTAGAGGAGCAGTGGACGCACTAGTGCTCCACTGATTTTCAAATTTCTGCGATATTTATGTCCCTCTCGCTCAGCAAACCGTGAAGTTCAAAAAACACGAGCCTTCTATTACTTGCCTCGTCATAGTCAAAATCCTTTACGTATTTCAGCATGTGAAAAAAACACTTCTATACCTCGTCGTTGCAACATGGCAAAAAACTAACAACAACTAAGCCTTCAGTCAATAGCTCTAGTAGTGCAGTGCGAATAACATTGGAACAGAAGCGGCACCAGATTCGGGGAAACGAGGACAGGTAGCAGGGTTGTACAACTCCTCTAACGTTTGTTTATCATCTACATCTTCTTCATCTTCCGTCGGCTTCTACCAGCTGAAACAAATCAATGAGCCTTGTAAATCAGAAACATCAAGAGAAACAGCATTTTCTTTATTTTCTTCAGCGCTGCATCGTAACGCTGTCCGCGGGCGGTAGATGAAGTACGGCAGTCGCCGCTGTTGGTCCCGGAACTGCCACCAAAATCTGCTCCTGTACGTACCAACTACTACCTCCCTTCCCAGCGCAGCTGGCGAGCCTGCAACTCCTTCTGTCCATACCAACTGTCTGTGTGGCCATGATGTCGCCCGGCTATCACCATATGCATATCACATTCACAACCCACAGTGATGACGTAGTCACAATTACAGCCGATACTCCCGTCTACTTCACAGGATGTTGCATTGACTCTCCACGGTGAGACTACTGTCGTCGCGGTCTAAGTAGCCGCCGCAACAGGTAGGTGCGGCGCTTCACATTTCACAGCGACGTCGTCACAGTCCCAATCACGGCGATGGTGGTGGTAGTGCAACGTTACGACTTTTCGTCCCGGAACATCATATTTGGGTCCTGGGCATAAACAAGCCGTTGGCGAATGCTGCTGCAGTCCACAGTACAGTACAAGACACCATCTCCAACTGCATCATCCTTCCTCGTTTCAGTCCACGTCAACAGCATCGAACCGCGGTGCTTCCGGTCAGCGAGAAACTTACCAATCGCAGCTCCAACTGTCCACTACACGATGCTTACCAGTCGCAAGCAGGAGCGGCAAACATGATGGATCAACCACCGCTGAACCAAGAGCAGCGCGGGTCGTCCAGTAGCTGCTGTTCACCACGGCGCAGCTGGCGTCACTTGAACTTGTCGGAGGGGGACGCAGCAGTCCTTGTCCCCGCCACCCCCTGCGGAATTCCCGCTATCCATAGCAGCGCATCAAGGACCCGCTTCATCGCTCGTTTTTCTATGTTGGCCTGTGCGCCTGCACGAGGACCAGGTTTCGCGGGCCAATCCACAGCCATCGCCTAATCGACGCCATTGCAGCCTCCACTATGAGGCAACACTATGCCTTTGCATCCGTCGCCCAGCGGCGAGCACAATCCACAACAACCGCAGCTACGACGCGGTTGTCACTCCTATTCGCATCCACCACGTGATGGCCGCTTCCACCCACATCAGGAGCCACCGCTATCCGTACTAGCCGGGAGGGTTGGTATACAACACGCGACGTTCACGGATTGTTCTCATGGCAGGCCAGACCGCCATCCAACATATCCAAATGCGCAACTTTGAATACTACCGTGGCGGCAGCCGAAGCTGCTGTCTCATGGTCACTGCGAAGACTTGTAGTCCAGACCGCGTCCTCGGTGGTCATCACTACAAGCAGATGCTGGACGATGAGTTGAAGCTGCAGCAGCTACCGGCCCGTGCGTCGTCGGTCAATCGTGGGAAGATCGAAGGCTGATGCTCCCACCATGAGCGCCAGCGTTTATCGGTTCGATTCCGAAGTGCTGTCGCATCCAGATCGTGCTTCTCGGCAAATCAGCACATCGCTGCTCGCGAAGATCCGTAGTCGAAGCTCCGTAAAATCTACCAGAAAGCGTTGTTTCCTGCAGTCCCCGTGTTTAGGCCAGATGTACTGGTGTCCACCATCCGTCCATCCTCTGTACGCAGCACAGTGGTGCGAAGCGCAAAGTCCACTACAAATAAGTCCGCTCATCTTCGGATCAGCGCGCAGACTTCACTGTCCGCAGTGGGAGCTGCAGACGGAAACGCCCGCATCTGCGGTCACCTGGCGGCACCAGACGCGCCTCTAACTCGCTAGTTTTCAAAACGCGAGGAGTCGTGATATCTTCGCTTCGCACAGACACAATCATGGTGAACAAGGGCAACGAAGCATCGATCCTTCCTCCACAGATCAGCAGAGATGACCGGTATCCGTACCAGCCGGCACGCTTCGTATCCATCAGGAGATGCTGGCGGCTTTTTCCACAGCCGCCCGTATCCAAATTCGCAACTTGTAGTGCCACCAGTGACGACACGCGCACTTGCCGGACCGTCGACGCGATAGCCCCCGGTGGTCCGGACCACCGCGGCCATTGGCGCGGCAACAGCAGATGCTGGATTTTTAGATGAAGTAGCTGCAGCAGCTACACGTCCGTCTCCGTACATCGTCTACCGTGTTGAAGACCACGTAGAAAATGGTCCACGAGAGGCAGTTTCAGCTACTGGACGGCCGCGTACGAAACAGCGCCACTGCCACCTCTACTTTACTTCGCGCGGAATCACATCGCAGCACGTGATCAGTAGTTACAGCTCCGTAGTTGTATCTCTTCCAAGCCACTGTGTCCACAAAGGGAACATCTGCCTGCGCAACATCCGCACCAACGGCAGCTATGACGACGAATGATCCACCACAGCAAACGTTCAGCTCCATATCAACACGTAGATGACGCTCTATTCCTTAGCAGGAGGGGTTGGACTTGCGCATCTGCCCGCGGACGAAGCACGACCCGTGGTTGCAACAACCTGCCGGAAAAACCAGCTTCACCCCGGTGGCATCGTAGGTCGTAGTGTTATCGCTCCGCGCAGACAAAATCATGCTCGACAAGCACGACTAAGTATCGTTCCTCCGCAGCGCAGCGGTCCACGACGCAGAATCCACGGCTGTCCCGTAGCAGAAGAGTTCCACAATTGCCGCAGTTGCTCACATTGCCGTCCGCATTGGAATATAGTGCGGACGCCAAGATCTCTCTTCATCTGCTCCTGTCACGCGGCCGACAGCCGCGCTTTGTCCTCGGCGCCGTAGTCGCACTTTCCGGCTGCAACAGACAGCGGCCGCTCACCACAGAAGTGAACAGCGCATCTCCGTACAGACAATCGTAGTACGGTGCGCTGTACCACACGATGCGGCTGTCGGGTGCAGTAATATTGAACTACGCCAATCTCACCGGCGCTTCTTTCAACAAGGACAGTTGTCAAAGCCGTATCAGAACCAGGCAACACCCTTAGGTTGCGCTTCTACGACTGTATTTCTATTCGCCACAACAAGGGGAGCACGACACAAACAAGAAATCAACAACTAGTTGATGTAGCCTCAACGTAAACCAAAGGTGAATACAGCGCTTCTAGAAAGTGCATTTAGATTTAGCACCGCGACGCATCCGTACCAACGCGTCCGATTAATCTCGAACAACATTTCCCCATCTCAGCTATCGCCCGCAGTGATAGGTACTACTGCTGTTTCATTCAGCGTGTGTAGCGCTAGCACTACTTCTCCTCGCTATCTTTTTGATATCGCAGACCTGCTTTGGACTGAGATTTAATTCACAATTCTCAACAAAAGTTCAGCAGTTCTATTACTCACATAACCTCCAGGTGGTGCTACTTATGGTCCGCACCAGTAGAAGTAGTTCTTGCACTTCTTTGCAGACTGCGGCTGAATAAGCAACTCATTCACTCATTCACAACAAGCTTATCCGTTTAGTAGAGATCATCATCTTCTCTTTCGTCTTTTTGGATGTGCTTACAAGTGTATCTCTCAAGCGTTTTCGCACTGTTGCCTCATCTTCGTGCGACGTATGTCCCATTACTCATCTTTTGGAACCATACGCCGCACACTCTATATTCCTCTCGGCCCGATCCTTCGCAAAAATCTTCGGACTCGATTTCGAACTGCACCGGGGGGGAATTCACTGCTTCTTCCTTCGTCTGCCAGTAGTTGCCAGCGGCGCTGGGAAATCTTTCCCAGCGCCTGCCGCTTATGCTGGCGATGAAATTCGCCTGCCTCAGTTCCGCCTCCGCTTTTTGTTGCTGGATGTTTTCTCTCTGCTTGTTAGTTTTCTCTCGGCATTTTTCGGTCTTTCCCCGCCTGTCGCCCCTCCTTTGCTTTGGCAGTGGTTTTGTTGGCCGCTTGGCTACTAGGTGAGCCTTGATGGCCCGAGCGGCTGGGGGGGCTTCGAGGTCTAGGAACTGGTCGATTGGTAGCCCGACCTCGTCAAAGTCGTCGCGGATTAGCCTGCCCCACGGCGTGCCTTTGCGCACTTCCTCTCTTGCAAGATAGTGACATGCCTCTTTCTTGTTGCGCAATGCATGCGCCATCCACGCCACGCGCCTCTCCCTGAGGATCGTCTCCACCGGTGGAACCCCTACCCGCTGGCAGAGTTCCAGCCTTCCGGCGTATTCTGCCTCCCCTTCGTCTGCGTCGTTTTCTTGGGCCATTTGCCAGCCGCGTTTTTCTCCTTCTAGCGTCCGAAGCGTGCTGTGCTGGAACCATCTGAGGGCTTTCAGGTCGTTTTCGCGGGGCCGCCATGTTTCTGCGTTGTACAAGGCGACGGAGTTGACCAAGCTCCGATATAGTGCGGCCTTCAGGTTTTTGGAAATGTCCGGGTCTCTCCAGATGCAGTTTAGGGCCTGCACCGTTGCCCGCGCTATGCCCGTTCGCCGGGCCACTTCCTTGCTGGTTCCTGCGTTTCCTTCGACCTGTGTTCCTAGGTATTTAAAGACCCCGACGGTCTTTATTTCGCTGCCGTCGAAGTTTCGCAGGTCTGCGGGAACCACTTCGCGCCCGCGCTCTGCTTTCTTTTTCTCGAGTATCTGTCTTCCTACCCGCAGCTGCCGCTCTTCTTCCTCCGTCTTTACTGGCCTGCAGAAGCCTGTCGCCTGATGGTACAGGAGGGCCTTCCTGTCGCCAAGGATGTCCCCACAGCGACTACACACAAACTTATTTCGTTCCGGATTTATGTGTCTGACCCGCCCCATGCGGTTGAGCCGCACGGGGGCCTCGTGCCATCGCCACCGCACGGTGACCCAGCCGTTTTTTTTGTAGATGCACCGGCTGAAGGTGCCGTTGTCCCAGGCAATCAGGTGTGTGGGCCTAATTCCCAGGTCCATCTTCGGCGCCTTGCGTGCGCCTTCCCGTAGTTCCGGCCGCAGGCCGGTGCCATTCCATTCGACGAGCCAACCGGACCACCGCGCGCCGCTTGCGTCGTCGTAGTAGCATCGTTCTTCTTTCGCCTCGTCGTCTTTTCTTTCGGGTGGCTCTAGGTTGAAGGTCATGGCCTCCGTTTTTTCCGCGTTCAGCGTCAAGCCCACGAACGCGCACGCGGCCGTGAGCTCTTTCAGGGCGGTGGCCGCGTCCTCCTTGCTGTCTGCGCGGAGGACCAGATCATCGACGTACCCCAACCAGGACAAGATTGATCGCTCAACCTGCTCGGCCGACTTTCCCCAAATGCCCTTGCGTGTGAGCACTTTGGTTGTGACGCGCATCGCCCAGTCTAGTACCAGGATGAAGAGGAGCGGGCTCAGGCTCGACCCCTGCCTGATTCCGCACTTCTGGTCGATTTTGTCCGACAGCCCCTGCGCGCCCGTCTTTAGGCGGATGCTTGACCCGTCGTAAATTTCTTCCACTATCCTGGCAAGCCCTGGCGGCATGCCCTGCAGAAGAAGAATTTGCCGCATCTTGTCCCACGCGAGTGAGTCATACGCTTTGCAGAAGTCGACGAAGATGAGGACCATGTCCTCGTCGTCTCGTATCGCCTGCTCCAATCTGCGCAGCAGAATGAACACGCCGTTGCGGCAGGATAGCCCGGCCACCGACCCCTTTTGCCGCTCGTCTACAGCTGCGTAGGCTGTTTCCTTGATGCGGTTCAAGATCAGGAGGCTGAGGACTTTTTCGCCGACTGTTAAGAGGGCGACGGGGCGATAATTCTTTGGCGCGTTTTTGGGCCCGGATTTGTACAGGAGTGCTACTGCCGCCTCGAGCCAGCTTGGGGGGATTTTTTCGCCAGCAAATATTTTCTTCACCACAGTGCGAAGGACCCGCCGGCCCAGCTCACTGTTGGCGAAGAACTCGGCCGGCATACTTCCGGCATAAGATTTGCGCGACTTTAACTCGTTGATACCTGCGCTGATTTCGTCATCCGAGATTTCCCCCTCGAAAGCTTGGGCCCACTCCGGCCGCGCGGCGTTCCTGTTCAGCTCCTCCATGCACTCCCGCCAGGCGTCTGTTTGTTGTAGCTCTGCCGCAGGCTCCGGTCGTGGTTGTCCGAGGATGCCACGCCAAAACTCCACACGCTTCGCATTCCCGCCTGGTAGGCTGGTCGGCTGCCCTTTCCTGGCTTTTCCGGCAAGCTGCCGCACTACCTCGGATGTAGCACGCGCGTCTCCCCGGTGTTCCGCCTTCTGCAGGTCCTCTATCTTCCCCTTCACCCATTCTTGTTTGTCCGCCCGCACCGCCTGTTTAATCGCCTTCGCCATGCGCTTCTGCTCTGCTTTCGTCATCTTTCCATCGGCCTGCACCCTGCTACGATCCTGGATTAGCTTCCATGTCCGGTCTGTGATCCATGGTTTCTTCGGGCCCCTCTTTTCTGCCGGCCACTCGCGGTCGAGAGTGCCGCGGAGGATCCTTTCGAACTCCGTCCACACTTGCTCGGCTGTCATCGTGTCCCCTTCCATTGCTTCCAGTTTCTCTTCTGTGAGCGTAGCAGCCATTTTCTCGTCCACCACACTTGCAAACTCCTTCGTCCGTTCCAGCTGTCTCCACGGCTCTTTTTTCGTTCTTTGCTTTCGCATCAGGCCGGGCTGGAAGGAGAAGGTGGCCATCCTGTGGTCCGAGAGTGTAAGTGTCCGCGCTTCGACGTTCTGGTCGCTAAATAAGCCCCGATCCCGGAACTTGGCCAGGGCGCGGTCGTACTCCCGGAGCTTCCTCCCCTGTGGAAAGCTGCCCCGGAAAGTCCACCGCCTGCGCCAGGGTTTGCGGTTTATCGTGGAGAGGTCAAGGAGTTCGCTTCTGGCCGCGAACTCCAGGTGCCTTCTGTTATTGTCACTGCCCAGGGCCCAGTCCGCGCTGAGCCCCGCCTTCCCGATCGTGTATGGCAAGCCGGCATCGGCGAGCTCACACTGCGGGCCACCAATCTCGCAGTTCCAATCACCAGCGAAAGCCTGAACGTCGTAGGCTGAGTGCGACTCGAGGTCGCGCTGGAGGGCTTGGTAAAAATTGATCTTCTTCGCCGCCTCCGCGCCCTCGGTGGGCGCGTACACCGAATGCAGATGCACCTTCTTGCTGTATTTCGTGCAGACCGTCACCCGCACGTGCCGGCTGCACTCACGCGCACTTACTCCCTCGACATGGATGGAGCGGTGGATCAGGATCATAGTGCCATAAATAAGCCCGCCTGATTTGCTCCGCTCCGCTCCCCCCCCGTACGCGAGATACTCGCTTTCCGCAATCTGCTCGCCGACGAGCCACCGCTCTTCACCACCAACAGGCCCTTGCTTCGGGCGTCCTCCACCAGTGCGCGGCGCTCTTTGCTGTCTCCGTGTCGCGAGTCCTTGCCGAGTGTTCGCGCGTTTATGGTGCCCATCCTCAACGCTGGTATCTTTTTCCAGTCTCGGCGGGGTATCTCCCCACCGGCCACCGCGGTGTCGCTCCGCATTGTGGCAGCTGCCCGCGATCGATATCTTCGATCACGAGGAGTTATTCGTCTTTTCGCAAAAGTGTAATGCTCTGTCCGGGGACGAGGCCCGCGGACAGAAGAGTTCCGCTCTGTAGAAGTCAGGGGGCGCGCGCCCTTCTCACCAGGAGGTCCTGGTGTGGCCGGGGTCTTTCTTTTTTTTTTTTGATTTTTTTTGGCTCTTGTTTTTTTTTTTTTTGCGCCCTCCTGCTTCTTCCCTTCAAGACTTCCTAAGTGCTTGCGGTGCTTTAATAATTTTGATTGTGCGAGGCTGTAGTGCTAGTCTGCGTCGCTCGTTTGAGATAAAGCTACACTTGCTAAATATGCCAGCAAAAGAGCACTGCGATTGGCGGTCGCAGGTCTATAGATGGGCCTCGTTTTTCCGGTGGTTCAACTAAACCATATGCGAGTGCGGCCCATCAATCCGTCGATCCTGTGCGAGATCGTGCGCGTGCACTTTAATTAGGTGTCGTCGTGCAGTGCGTTTAAACTTTAGGAATAAATATGTCGCTATGCAGTTGGCTCAGAAACTTTAGTAGTTTTTCAAAAGATGTCGCGAAAGAGAAACAAAGTCAATTCCTAGCGCGGACCGTTTACGCCTAGAATCCATCGATTCTGTTCTGCAAAGTTGTGCGAAAAGGTGGAAAAACAAGAGAAAAACAACAAAAAAAAAAACAAAAAAAAAGTAAAAAAAGTTGAATAAGCAAAAAGAAGTAAAAGATGACATTGTCGTGAAACAGCATCTATCACCTCCTCTGAAGGTCGACTGTCGAAGTCCAGGTTGTAGAGTAATCCTCCCAAGAGCAATAAAACAATGTCTTTCATTGAAATTGTTTTTGTAAAGCTGAAATTTAGAAATAGCAGTAGGTTGAGCAATAATCTCATCAGCAAGTATTGCCGAATTTTCGCACGAAGAGTACTATCTCGAAATAATCAGCTTATAGTTTTTCAAAACCGTCTTCTTGGGTAAGTGAAGAATCAAACGTTTCTGAGCCGCGTCTCAACGACTTTAGAATTCGTCACCATAGCCTTCCTCCTCACCTTCACCCTCGGCGGTCTCGATGCCGACCTCCTCGTAATCCTTCTCCAGGGCGGCCAAATCCTCACGGGCCTCGGAGAACTCGCCCTCCTCCATACCCTCACCGACGTACCAGTGGACGAAGGCGCGCTTGGAGTACATCAAATCGAACTTGTGGTCGATGCGGGAGAACACCTCCGCGATGGCGGTGGAGTTGGAGATCATGCACACGGCGCGCATCACCTTGGCCAGGTCGCCACCCGGCACGACGGTGGGCGGCTCGTTATCCACAGTAAATTTCTCGTAGACGCACAAATGCGGTCTCCGCATGACAAAACTTGGCTTCGATTCTAGTGTAGCACGACAAGTTTTACGCATCAAATTGGTAGAATTTGTGATGCATCTTGTACATGTACGGGAAATTTGTATTGCATACTGGTAGTTGATACCGCACTTGAAGCCGGTCGGGGACCAGTCGACAAACTGGATGGTGTATGGGATGCAAACATGTCTTGTTCTGGAGAATTGTGACGCTAGTTTGTGACTGGTGGCGACACTGCGATATGCAGTCACGCATGACAAGCTTTGCACGAGCAACTATCTGTTCCGGTTTCCACATGACATTAGGGAAGAATCTATTCTCCTCATCATGCATTACAGATTTCAGCATTGCAAACTATAGTACATGTGCGATAAGCATGGCAAACTATACACTTTTCCAGACGCAGACATATTTGTATTGCGTATGGTGCGCTTGGTCTTGATGGTGGCGACGGAGGCGTTCACGTCCTTCGGGACGACGTCACCACGGTACATGAGGCAGCAGGCCATGTACTTACCGTGACGCGGGTCGCACTTGACCATCATGGAGGCCGGCTCGAACACGGAGTTGGTCAGCTCGGCCACGGACAGCTGCTCGTGGTAGGCCTTCTCCGCGGAGATGATCGGCGCGTACGAGGTCAACATAAAGTGGATACGCGGGTACGGCACCAGGTTGGTCTGGAACTCGGTCACATCCACGTTCAGCGCACCTGGGATAGGAAGATGTTGAGGATATCACAAAGTCTGGATGATCGATTTCCCGTGACTAGAAACAGACGCGTATTAATTATACCATTCCTCGAGGTTTCCTTGCATGACAAACTTTCAATTCTAAAACATGAGAAAGCGAATCAGCAACTCGCATCTACCAAAGAGGAACGATGAGCACTTGTCCATCATACAAGTCATGAAGATTTCCCTCAAGACAAGCATTTTTGTGTGCGCACACTCTCAAACTAGTATAGCTTCAGAAGTGTCAAAAACCTGTATACCATCGAAGCGCAGAGACGCGGTCAAGGACGAGATGATCTGGGCGACCAGGCGGTTCAAGTTGGTGTAGGTCGGGCGCTCAATGTCCAAGTTGCGGCGACAGATGTCGTACAGAGCCTCGTTGTCGACCTGGTTGGTGACGTCGGTGTGCTCCAACAGGGAGTGGACGCACAGCACGGTGTTGTACGGCTCGACCACGGCGGTGGACACCTGGGGGCAGCACCACACGGTGAAGGAGATCTTGGACTTCTTACCGTAATCGACGGACAGACGCTCCATCATCAGGCAGCCCAAACCGGAACCGGTACCACCACCGACGGCGTGGTAGATCAGGAAGCCCTGCAGACCGGTACAGTTGTCGGCCAACTTACGGATGCGGTCCAAGCACAAGTCGACGATCTCCTTACCGATGGTGTAGTGACCGCGGGCGAAGTTGTTCGCGGCGTCCTCCTTACCGGAGATCAGCTGTTCCGGGTGGAACAACTGACGGTAGGTACCGGTGCGGACCTCATCGATCACGGTGGGCTCCAGATCGACGAACACGCAGCGGGGGACGTGCTTGCCGGCACCAGTCTCGGAAAAGAAGGTGTTGAAGGCGTCGTCACCACCGCCGATGGTCTTGTCAGACGGCATCTGACCATCCGGCTGGATACCTGGGAAGGTGTTTGTGAGTAGATCATCATTACATCGTGATATTTTTCCAAACTAAAAAACAAAATTTGAATCACGCTGGAAACGCAATGAAAACCAACTACTTAAGTAGCTTCTACTTCATCTTTCGATACGGTGACGAAACTGAAATTTATTACGAAGTGCAAAATTAAAATACCGTGCTCCAAGCAAAACAGCTCCCAGCAGGCGTTACCGATCTGGACACCGGCCTGACCGATGTGAATGCAGATAGCTTCACGCATCTTGTGATAGATTTGTGCCGCTAAAGCGCAAGAAAAAAGATTAGTACTTCGTTTCCGCTAAGGAGTTTTGGGTTGAGAGAAGAATTGATGTTTCGAAGTCAATTTGCAATCTAAATGTGCGATTTACGAAAGTGAAAGTGTATCGTCCAGCTTACAAGTTATAATGCGTGACTTCGAGTTGACCTCTCAATTGACGTTTGATGCGTTAAGCGAGCTAGCCATGAGCTGGGGAAGGACGCAAAACAACAGCACGCATTTGATGTAGAAACGGGCTTGGTGAGGGGGAGTAAACAACGTTAAAACGTAGTCTCGATAAGGACGAAATCTTAGTGTAGATAACCGACTCGGCATCTACGACTCCGTGTGCCTGCAAGGACGAGGAGCTCCCGTAAGTTGAGTTCCAACCAACGCACAGCTCATCTGTCACGCAAAATAAAAGTCACTTGTGCTTAGTTAGAAAAGAACACCTAGTACATGACTGATTCAACTACGGACAAAACCTCTCATCGGTGAAACATTGCTATAAAGTGCTCTGAAGTGGATTTGAGTTTTCATTTCCGTCATCGGAAAGCTGCACTCGCTAGGTAGGGCGCGCCGCGACTGTGTCAGGTACGCGAAGTGAAAAAGCCCCTACACAAAATAGACCTTCCTTTCTATTCTGCTTGTTAGACGGCAGTTTCAACTACTTACAGAACGCAGTGGATCATGCATTGACTCCACCGACCTGCATTGAGCACGATCTGTCATCTCCATCAAGACATCTCCTTCTTGGCCGCCATCTTGCAAAATTATAAATATGTCCTTGCAAGAAAACAAAAATAAACGTCCCTCAATTCCCCTACGGTTTCCGAGATGTAGTTCGGAATGATGAAAACGCAAAGTAGAAAACTGCTATAGAAGTACATCATGAAAGTAATCACCTGTTGCAATGAAAACTATCTCGCTCATGAATATCTATATAATCATAGCAGAGCACTGATATCTGATCACTTCTACCAAGAATAATACCACTGGAGTACCAGCACCAAGTGTTTCATCGTGATGTAACCGATGCGGAAATGCAGGCAGCTTGAAATTAAAAACGCTTTCTCTTGGAAGTCTGCCAGTTGCCTCTCGTGAAAGCGCAATGATGATGATGTTACCCCGTAAAGCGGTTAAGGTGTTGAAGAACTAAAGCGCTCACGCCGTGCTTTCCGGTGCGTCCTGGGAAATACTCGCGCGCAAAATCCCCACTCGTGTTTTTGCTCTCCCAGCACATCAGCTCATCTCTCGCACTCTGCTCCCCTGAGCAACAAGCTCTGTAATCACAAGAGGCCCGCAAGACACTCGGCCGATGGGCGGCCGCCAGCAGCTACGCCGCGTGGAAATCATTGGACAACTAAGAGAAGTCGCGTAGCGTACCTACGAGCAATGACTTCTCGCAAGAGTCCGCCGACAAAAACAATCATTACAGGACTTTAGCTACAAACCGCAGTGGAGTTGACACCACAAGCAGGAGCGTCCTGGACCTGGCGAGAATGAAGATCATTATAACTTCGTGCGCGCGCTCTCTGGGCAGGTCAGACCCTCCGCCACAAACTCGCCAACGCAGGCGCCATTGGGGTCAGAGGAGACGCAGCGCGCCATTAGAAATCCGCCAGCGGCCGGCTTGCACACACACCCTTCAACGGAGCGCACCCGGGCACAGACATGCAAGTTCACATCAAGGCCACCGAAGCGGGGATTGTTCGCGTAGAGGCCCTCGATCCTGGGACCGCTACGTGGCTGAAACGAAAAGTCAAAAAACCCTTCGTTTTGCGGCAATAGTCCGCGGGAGAGTTCCAACGCACTCACCGTCTTTTCGCCTTCGTCGTTACGGCCCTCCGGAGCGGAGCCGCGCAGGCTGCCGGCCTTGGAATCCCCGTTCGACAGGGTTTCCACCTCCGTGGTGCCCGCCACGCTGGAGGGGTCAATCGCCTTCGACAAGGCGATCGGACCCCCCCCCGCCGCCGCAAACAAGCTGATCTTCTTCATCATCTGCGTCATTTTGGAACGCGAAGGACAATAGGAGTGCGGTACACGAGACAGCTTCCCTGCGGTTTGGAATGGAACAAAAAACTTCAAAAGCACCAACACACAGTTACAATTTTTAAGTCGCTGGGAAATAGTATCATTGGTTGCTCACGGTTTATAAATTATACCTTCGGCTCGTCTGAACTCCACTCCAACACAAAAAACTCATCTCAATACTCTCGCTGAGCTACTTCTTTAGTAAGTAGGAATGCAATAAAAACCCGGAGGAAGTCGCCAAGTTACGCTACTTTAGAATTTTCATTTTGTTTCTCAACCTGGCCAATGCTCTCCTCCAGCTCAGGAATGTCGCTCGTCGTGTCTTCTTGTAGACAAAGATTATCTCGGTCTAATGTGTCCTGAGGAACGACCCGAACACGATCTTATCGAACAATCTCTACGCAAGAAAGACTCGAAAAATCACGAGCCTCGCACGACCAATAATTGATTGATAAAATCGAAGGCGCGGTGGTGAGACGTCTACAGACACTACCTCCTTGTGGTAGAAGGAGGAGCAGTCTAAAGTTGTCACACTCACATAGCACAAGCAACAATCTAGATGATCTTCATCTTGTCGAATCGACGGTGGCAAGCGCCAAGCTACATATGATGTTCGCATTCCTTCGGGCTTCCAAATGAGAGTTGTAGATCTACTTGCGTATCACAAGAAATACGAATTGCCATGATGATGATGATGATGATGTTACGGCCACCTTTACATTCTTCCGTTCAGAATCACAGCTCATCCCCCGGTTGTTCAACATCGTCGTCCCAATCATCATCGAGGTCCTTCTCCTCCGTGTCCTTCCGCTATGACAGTGCACAGCTCCCCCTCCCCCTCATTTGTATAGCATGAGCGGCAATACAAGCATCACCAAGCGTGCCGGATTTGCATGACAGGTTTGCTCTGGAGTGTAGTGCTATTTCGGCTACCAGAACTTGTCATGCAAACAGTGCCAAGAGACAAACGGCGGATTGGGTATTTTGCATGACAAATGAGGGGGGGGGAGTTCTGCATTGTCATATCCGCATGACCTGCTTTCGGCTCTTTAAATCCGTGGACAGAAACCGCAACGCCTTGGCCACCGCCTCGAAGGACTATGAGAGTGCACAACTCGTCCCTCTCCCCCTCATTTGAATTTGAATTTGCAATGCAAAAACTAAAACCCAAATCCAAGGGCTTTCCTGTGGCACTGTTTGCATGACAGATTCCGGAAGATGAGGCCCGAACAATACTACTACATGGGCGCGTGAATTTGTCATGCGCCACAGGCTCCACGTGTGCTGGTCCTGGTGTTTGTATTGCTGTCCACGCAATACAAATGAGGAGCAGGGGGAGTTGTGCACTCACTCATAAGGACTCGTTATCCCCCGTTGACGCCAACACGGCCGCCAGCGATTCTTTCGTCTTGGACACCGTGGCATGCATTGCAAAAGTGTCTGGGTCTGAAAGGATGCAACTTGTGATGCTGCATTAGCATTTGGATTCTACAAAAATCTGTAATGCATGAACAGCAAAAGAGGCCCAGTTTTTGCCACGACGAGAGGGCATTTCTCATGCGGTATGAGCATCAGAAAGCCCTCGCAGAATCGCTGATGCTAGGGCATACATCACCGACCTCATGGGTCATGCAAAATCTGCATGACAAACTGCTGCACTCTTCCAGACCCAGACATTTTTGCAATGCATACGCGGCAGTCGTCATTTGGTGCAGGTCCTTAAAGAGCTGCCGCAAGGCGCCGTCTTCGGAAAAGACACGCAGACATCCTGTGTAAAAGCCTTCCCACCCACACAGAGTTGTAATGCTAAAGGAATTGGCATTTGTAATGCTGTAAACAGGATGAAAAAGCGGCTTTCTCATGCGACTTCCCTTGCTAGCCAGCACTACACTATTTCGAAGCTTGTCATGCAGAACTCCCAAAACTTGAGGATTTGTGTTGCCGACTTCCCATCTTGACTATAGTGTGGGGACGTAGTTTTTGCACACGATAGCAGGCCCTCCGAGGTTAGTTCCTTCAGGGCCTTGGGAAATTTCGTCTTCCGTTCTTCGTGCAGGATCGCAGTCGCGCAGAACCTCACCGAATTGATCAACGGGCCGTTCCGGTCGTGGAAAAAGGCGCGTCCGAAGTAGGTCATCACAAAATCCTTCACCGACCTATGGCGTTCTCAAGCGTTACATTATCAACTGTTACCCGAATTTGTACTGCGAGAATAGCAAAAATCAAAGGGGGGAGGCTGCACCTGTAGCATTACAAATTCCGCACAGATTTACGCGCTGTTTGGCCCTTCACAAATTTGTCATGCGAAGCAGCTCCATAGTGTGGATGATCATCATCATGATGAGGGTAGTTCTGCATAACAAATTCATGTAACAGCTAAGAATGTATCAGTTGAGAACGCGATACAACCCCGTTATCCCGGTGCTCCACCCGATCAACGACCATCCTGAGTAAAAAGGCCCCCACACCAGACGAATCAAGATAGGAATTTTGCAACACAAACCTAGGAGCTCTGGGAGTCACGCATGACAAGTTGCGCTCCGTAGTGTAGTGCAGGTTAGCAAGTGCAACCGCATCACAGCTCCATCTGCTTATCCTGTTCACAGCATCACAAATTCCAAAACACGATTGGAAAAGTCTACAATGGGTAAGCGCATCACAAATGTGCTCCTTGTCATAGCAAATCTGCATGACAGCTCTGGGGTGGGGAAGGTTTTCTTCAGGATAGCGACAGCCAGTTGTTCGTGAATTCCCGCACCTTCTCTGCCAGCTCCGGTATCATATGTAAAAACGTCCCCACCCCATGCTCAAGATGGGGGATCTGCTACACAAATCCACAAGTTTTGGCTGTCGAGCATGACAAGTTCATCTGGCTCGCGTTGTAAAAATCCTGTTTAACTAGTGCCACCGCATGTTAAATTGAGTATCTTATCCTGATTCTAGCATGACAAACTCTCAGATAGCATAATTAGAAAATGGCTCTCATGGGGCTGCGCATGAGAGACAGTTTAGGCTTGCGGATTTGCATGACAACTCTGGAGTGGGGACGTTTTTACAAAGGATATCCGGCTGGTTCAGGTTATCCACTTCTCGCGCTACGTTGCCAAAATGGGCGATCAACCCGTCCTATCAAGTGCAAATGAGTCTGGGTCTGGGAGACTGCGAGAATTGTCATGCTAGTCTGGCATGACACTGGAATATGTGTTGCGTGGCCGCATAGAACTCCTCTTGCTTGTCATGCAAAGAAAACGCAGTTTCTCATGCGGGGTACGCAATTCACAACCACGAAAAAACTTGTCATGCTTGGCAGCGCATCACTGCCTGCTCGCTATTCCTCTCCTTGCATCACAAGTTTAACATTCCAGACCCAGGGATATTTGCAATCCATACGTCTCGAAATTCGCGCACCCCGTTCAGAATTTCCAGGTAAGATATCAAATGTAAAAATGTCTGGGTCTGGAAGATTGCTAGGTCTGTCATGCATATTTTGCATGACCTGTGATGTCTGCGATGTATGCCCCAGCATCACAAATTGTTTGCGGGTATGTTGATGCCTATCCCGCATGACAAATGCCCTCTCCGCGGGGCAAAAACTGGACGCCTTTTGCTGCTCATGCAATACAGATTTTGATTTTTGTAGATTCCAAAAATAGCATTACAAGTTGCATTCTTCCAGACCCAAGCAGTTTTGCAATTCATATAAGAAGCATCTTCCTGCACCCCATCATTCTGATCCTGGTCCGCTTCCTTCGCAAGCACCAATCCAACTGGAAAAAATGTGGTTGTCGTTGCAATCATACAGATTGTGGTCACCCCGACTAGGGCCACACGGCAACCAACGCGCTGCAGCATGCTGGTTCTTGTAATTGGCCGAAGATTTTATTTACGATGAATCGGGTTCACGTTCAGAACGACAAATAAGGTGATGATAATGAACGGAGTCCTTGCGAGAAGTGATGAAATTTCTCGAGATTTCAGTTGCCCTTCTAAGAAAGTAGGGGTGTCGTGTAGATTTGCCTAGCGACGAGAGGAAAACAAAACCTCTGTCTGATCAAGCTCCTCGTCCGAAATAAATGATCTCTTTGTGGGAAATGTGCCTGTGTTATCGTACGAGGTTCTTCGCGTATCTTGATTATAAAGAACTTTTCTTTGTCTGCACCTAGAAGTGGTTCCAATTCCGAACCGAGGTAGAAAAAGCGGAAATCAAAAATAAACATTGAAGATCACCAATACCATCGTCATCTAGACTCGTTCAGGACACAAGAAAAGTGTATTAAAAGAGCCGTACAATTCAACAATCGGTGAAAAAGTTGTGCGTGAAAGTTGGCCTGCTTCTGCGGCGAAGAAGAATGATCACCGATTACTCATCACGATCTTTGTTGCTCAAGAAAGTACTTCCGCGCCAAAAGCTACCTGTAGCGAGGCTACGGCATCGGCGTCAAGTGTAGTGCCAAAAAAAATAAAAATTTTCGTCATTTCAGAAAAGCAGAACAAGCCGGCAGCTGGACGTGGTGTGCTCAGGCGAGGAAATTATATTTCTACATGTACTTCCGGAAGACCGGACTACTGGCGAATTTGTTGTTCTTCGCGCTTCATTCTTGACACTCACTCCCCGGTCGATCTCCATCTACTTGTTTCTCCGCCAGCGCGTAGAACTCCTCTACTTTTTTTTCAAGAAAAATACGTCCTTGCAGTATGGTTTTCTTTTCGTCCACGGAAAAATCAAAATAAGTAATCAAATTAGATACCTCAAAAAGAAAAAACTAGGATTAAATTGCAAATATTTGAAAGCAGCAGCTGCGGTCTTCAGTAGAAGTTGCTTAACTTGTTCTGCGATATGAAATTCAGACGAAAGCGGGCGAAGAGGGTCAGAACGGTTTGCACTGCGCTAAAAATCTTCTGAATCACAGTAAAACAAACGATGTTCCGCGTGTTCCTCTGCGTGCGGGAGATTGATAAATGATGTCGCGAGGGCAAACCAAAATCAGGATGCTCCTACAACGACAACGTCTGGGCGGGAAACAATCATCAGAGCAAAACCAAAATCGTTTCTCTTTCTGTTGCGATCAACCACCCGCAGAGACAATCCCAAAGGAACTGCACGTCGTGAAAGACCGCACGACCTGCTTCAGCACACCGGACCACTGCAGATGCAACTTCCGCATCTATATCAACGCGCCAACACCGTTTCCAGACTCTGACTCGCGAAATGCGCGACATCCGGATCGGAGTCCGATTTTGCCAGGTTTTCCAGCGTATCAAATGTAAAAATGTCTGGGTCTGGAAACTTCTGATGCTGTGTGGCGTTACATGAGAAGGCCACAATTGCTGGCTCAGCATGACAAGTTTCTGAGCTTCTAGGTGTTGCCTATTCTGCATGACAAACTACGTTTCTGCATGACACAAAAGTGGGGCTCTTTGGTAATGTGCATGACAGATTTAAGAGTCATGCCAGACAAGCATGACAAACTTGCATTCTTCCAGACGCAGACATTTTTACATTTGATACAGCGTTTCCACGGCCCGCCGCTGCAGAAAATCACTCTCCATTGCTAGCGCTTGGAGTAACTGCGGTAAGGCGCTTGTCCAAGGAAAGAGATCCTGCGTCAGTGTACTTCTACTTCTCAAGTCAAATCTTGTTTTCATGATTAGCAACACAAATTTAAATCGCATGTCAGAGAAAAGGAAAACCGATGCGCCATCATATACGTGAAGTTATTCATGTAAACAACTGCCTCTTCTCTAAATGGAGTTTCAGCATGTTGACAGGCGCCTCTATCTTCCATGTACTTTTGCAGCACATAGTAGTGAGTTACACTGACACAGCTTTGTTATTATCTTGGATAACTCTAGCGACGTTGAAACGTACGTTCGGAACGGGATCCTCGGCGAGGGACAGAATTTTGTCGGCGATGCGGAACTGGAATGTAAATGGTGAGCAATTGTTACTACATCCATAAAAAAGGCATCTGTCATGCGGAAACCGCATCGGTGTAATTGTTTGTCATGCGATGCACGCATCAAAACCAGTACCTGCACTTCCTCCACGTCTTTCTCGCCGTAATTCGCGGGATCGATCTGAATCATCTTTGCCATCGCATTATGCATTTTTGCAAATTATGTGTCATCTCAGTCTGGATTTGTTATTGTAGATCCAAACGACGCAGATGCAGAAGATTTGTAATGCTTGGAGAGGAGTGCACGTCGACCAGGGGGGCACTTTGTCATGTATTAGTGTTGTTTATTGGACCTCCAATAACCTACCACCTCGAAAACCTCCTTGCCATTTCCTCGTGTCGTATCAAAGAGACCACTCTGGCATGTTCATGTTGCAAGTATCAGCATACAAGTCGCGGCAACAAATGATCAGCTGCATGTTTAATATTCGTAGTCCAGACCCAGATTTTTCATAATTCACAATTGATACGCTTGTATCGCCGTCACGCGAAGTATGCAACACAAATTTACCACATCAGAGTAGACATCTCCGCGTACGTACATCAAAGTGTGATCAACAGAGATAATAATTTCATCGAAAACTAACAGCTAGCAATGTCAGAAGAGGCAAGGGCGGCTCTCATGATGCTGTTCTGTATTTTATAACAACTAACGCACTACGAGAACAAGAGCCCGGTGGTGTGTTGAACAGGCTTGGTCAGCGTGAGCGTCGTGGTGCTAGTGCGGTAAATTTCCAGCGTGGATACGAAGCAGGTAGTTTTCGTGCGAGATCAGGTCCTTCTTATGAATCGCAAAAGTAAATCGTACTCGTGCAAATGCATTACAAATTTCCGCAGCATTTCAGTTCATTATCATTTCATTGAGAAATGAAAATTTCCTCAGCATGAGAAATGAAATTTGTAATGCGGGCTTGCCTGACGAAAAGGATTTGTAGTGCATGACTGCAATTACTACGAGTGCGATACTTTTGCACAGGATACTTCTCGATCTCCGGCAACACGTTCTCCTTGGTCCAGGTGGTACCCAGAATGTTGCCGAGCTTCTTTAGTTATGAATCGCAAAAATATCGTACTACGTATGAATTGCATTACAAATTTCCTTAGCATTACAAGTTTGAATTTGTAATGCGGATATGCCTTAACAGAAAGACTTGTAATGCGTAAATGCAATCACTACGAGTACGATACTTTTGCACAGGATATTAGTGAGTCGCAGGCTGCTTCTCGCACGAGGTAGACCGGGTCGCCCAGCCAGGTCTTTGTGGTACTCGAGGAGGCGGCAGTGTTGGGGTTTGGTGGCATCGTGTTGTTGGACGTTGTCATGCCTTGCTGGCTCATCATCGTCGTGCTAGTATTCACATCGCCCGATGAAGTGGCTGCTGTTGATCCTGCTTGGGTACTAGCAGCTATCAAACAAAAAAGTGTTAACGTTAACGGTTTTCACAGATGGCAGCTATGCATTACAAATTGTGCCTTCCATGCATGTTGCGCAATACAAATTTGGGCACCTTTTCTGATGCGTTACTGCATCACAAATTCCATTAACGTTAACACTTTTTCTTGTGATAGCAGCTGTTCCTGCCGCAACGGCCTGCGCGCTGTTTTTCAGTGCGTACCAAATGTGCTTATGCAATGTAAATTTCCCGTACATGTACAAAATGTATGACAAATTTCGCTAACTTGCAGTGTGCAACTTGTCATGCTAGACTAGGACTGAAGGCAAGTGTTTTGTCATGCAGAGACTGCATTTGTACGTGTTGTACAGGAAATTTACTGTGGGTAATGCTCGGTAAAAACATCCTCCCCCAGCACCTTGGCCAGAATATCCACAGAAAAAGATCCATCTTCCCCATGATCCGTATTTTGCATCACAAACGCAGACCTTACTGCATGTTTTGCATGAGAAATTGCATGTGGACAGATGTGTCTTTTTTTGTGGACACAGAACGGGGCAGCACTCCAAGACCGCGAGCCGCACCCGCCACTGCTTGTCGCACGACAGATATCCCACGAAAAAACTGCTTCACTGTGAACTTGTGATGCAGAGAATGGAGCACAGAACGATTTGTCTTGCTACACCTGCAAGACATTGGATTTTTTAGCGTTTTTTCCCTTGGGAAGCGCGCATGGCAAATTTTCTGTGTCATGTGTAACAAACTTGTGATGCAGATCTTGCAAAGCCATCACAGTGAAACAGTTTTTTCGTGGGATAACAGAGCTTGTAGTGCTGGCAGTAAGGATTCGTTCAGGAGGGACACTCGGATTACCTTGGCCAGGTGCGGGAGATGCTGGATCAGCTGTAGCCGCACATCCGACGACTCGTCGCGAATCAGCTCCAGGATGATTTTCGTGAGAATGGTGACCGTGACGTGTTTCCCGACGTAGGGAGAGAGTTTTAGCACCGCCTTCGAAAGTTCCTGTCGCACCTGTTGACTCGGATCCTTGGTCAGTTTCTGCAGGTGCTGTTGGATCAGCGTCGTCAACTGCGACGCTTGGGGAAACTGGTTATCGGAACCACCTGGTATGCAATGCGCAAACGCATCGCGCGAGCAACTTCTAGATTCGTATAACAACAATTTGAGTTCTGGAGCAACATCATATAATCTCCAAACCGTAGATGAAGGATGTTGTGTCGCGCAGATGAATCAACCACAGACAGCAAAACAGATCTACTGCCTTCATGCACCGGGTAGCTTTTGCTATTTTTAGTCCGAGCACGACGATGCTTTTGCACTGCCTACCTGCGGCCAATTCGCTGGTGTCCAGGGAGATGGGAGAAGGTGTGATCTCCCCATTATTCTGCTTATTTGCCGCATCGCTGTCAGCGAGAACCTGGTTTTGATTTTTATACTCCCCTTCGTTCCTGACATTTTTTCTTCTGGCGTGGTACTAGCTGTAATAAATGGTCGCCGTTCATTCACAACCGGGGGCTTGGTGGGTTAGGATTTGGACACAACTACAACTTGGTATGAATCAATAAAACAGAAAGTAGTGGCAAATGAAAATGTAAAAAAAATCTTCATCTTGAACTACATTACAACGTATAGTGTGTACCTTCGCGACGCTTGGCAATTTGAAGACGGCCAAGCTCCTGACTTCCGGCTCGTTGTCTGTGAGTAGTTTCTCTAAAATCTTGCCGACATAGTCTGTTTATGCATTGCAAGAGTACAACCGCACCACTACGTAGGAATAATTGCACCTCCACAAACTTGAATTTATTTTTACTCAGTGTAAAAAATACACTCAGGTTTGTCATGCTGATTGGATTCAGCTCGATAAAGGTGCGTAGATTTGTCATGCGTATCTGCAATCCGTACGACTACGAATGCCGTACGACTACGAATGCCGTACGACTACGAAGGCCTCACGTACCCGCACAAAGGCAGCGGAGTTTGTCTACCAGCCTGCTCCGTCGGCCCTGGGCGAGGAAATACGAAAGCAGGGTCGAACAAGTGTGTTCCACGTAAGGAACCGGCTCGACACATGGAGCCGATCATAAAAACACACACACGCCCAACTCGCTTCGGCAGGCGGGCGCGCGATAGGCCTTGTTCCCTAGCAGCTTCCGTCCTTGCACAGAGCGGGCCACCCGCTTGCCTGGCCTAGAGCACCAACGTGGCGGGTGGCAGGTGTCTCGGTCGTGGGGGCTCTAGAGCCTGTGGGGCGCCCCCTACCAAACGGCTAGCAGGCTATGCGGATCCCGTATCTGGTAGCGACCCAAGTTGTGCGATAGCGGGCTAATAGCAGTTTGTGTCTGCCTTCGCTACAATATGACCAACTCGGCTATGTGTCGTGTGACCTACTTGCAGTAGGTCGCTTTGCGAAGGTACGTAACATTTTTGAAAGTTTTATTGGATTTAATCGTTGGGCGCGTTATATTTGTCATGCGTATCTGCAATCCGTACGACTACGAATGCCGTGCGGAGCCAGGAATGGGGCGTAGAAATGCCCTACCATCCTGAACACGAAGTCTCCGATCTGTATTGCACAAAAGCAATGCTGCAATCGAGTTTCTTTTTCGGCGGCGGCTTCGAATTTCTACGCCATCGCCTTGGCTCCTGCAGGAGGCGGCGTAGAAATTCCATACCGCCATGAGAGGGAAGTCTCCGACCTGTGATGCACAAAGGCAACTGTGACTTTGAGACCGGACTGCTTTTCCCGGGGTGGTTTCGAATTGTCCGCCCCGTTGCCGAAGGAACACCCTGCGCCCGGCTGTAGCGCTTCGCGCACTAAGCCACTATGCGCGCGCCTGATGCGAGGCGAGGCCGAGGGGCGGACACTGTCCGCACTGATGCCGAACACCCTTCCCCCACTACCGCTTTGCGAACTAAGCCACTGCGCGCGCGCCTGATGTGAGGCGAGGGGCGGACTCTGTCCGCCGCGATGCCGAGCAATGTTCCTCCACTCGCGCCACTAGGGATGCGCACAAGGCCCCAGCGTGGGGACCCTGTCCCCACGCGTGGACCTTGTTTGTCATGCATATTTTCCATGACCAATGATGTCTGTGATGCATGCCGTAGCATCACAGATTTTTCATGCGTATCTGCAATTCGTACGACTACGAATGCCGTACCGTACTTTTGCATGTGATACCGCCTCCAGTGCGTTCGAGGCTGTTCGATCCTGTTGGTCCTCTTCAAGCTGCAGGTCGTTGTCTTTATGCAATACAAATTTCCCGTACATGTACAAGGTGCATCACAAACTTCACCGAACTTGGAATGTAACGCCTGTCATGCTAAACTAGGATCGGAGCCAAGTTTTGTCATGCAGAAACCGCATTGGTACGTCGTCGTGTACGGGAAATTTACTGTGGATAGTCTTCAATTTCCTTCAACAAACCTGGGACGAAGAGCTTCAGCAAAATTTCCGGGAGAAAGTCCGCCATCATGTACCGCACTCGCCAGGACTTGTCCCCTATGCATTGCAAATGTGTCTGGGTCTGGAATGGTGCAACTTGTAATGCGCATTTTTCAACACACAAAAAATCTCTTATGCCTAGACAGCAAAACAGGCTGCTCACTTTGTCACCGGATTAGGTATCGAGGCACCTGCTCAAAACCTGTAATGCTGGGCCTTGCATGCCAGACCTCCTTGGTTATGGAAAAACAGCATGACAAAAATCTGCATCCTTCCTGACCCAGACATGTTTGCACTGCATATCCGCGACGGACTTGAGGAGGACCTGCTTATCCTTGCAGTAGATCGCGTTTTGTATTGCCAAAACCCGCACAGAGTCCTGCTCGTCCTCGGCTAGAAGCTGCATCAGCTGATTCAATTGCTCATGAATCGCCGGCGGAGTGGTGCTTATCCCAGCGCCGGTGTTGATGCTATCGCTTTGTCCACCTCTGGACATCCCTTGTGAAGTCAGCAGAACGTCGGCGACCTGGTTGGTTTACTGGAATTTGAAAATTTGTCATGCACAGGACTTGTTCGCACACAGAATACAGGTTCTTTTGTTCATCTCATGCAGATCTGATATGCTTTATGGATTCGTGACACAAGGAACCCGCCCCGGTCACTTACCTATGTAAGTAAAATTTTTTATGATAATCATAATTTCTTATTCTTATACTGTGACAAACTGCGCCGCGGCAGCTCTCCTGACCATGGGAGTGTCATCGCGGCATAGCCTGGCGTACGCCGCCAGGTATTCAAACTCAGGCGGATCGGGTGGCTGCAGCTGCTCCCCAGCACCGTTACTATCCACTCCTCCACTGGCCGCGCTAGACGCCGTCGGGCCGAAATTTTGGTTCCACCACCGACTTATGGGTATAATCGTCGGTAGCAACGCTAGCGCGCTCATTCTGCTCGTAAACCAGTCGTGCTGGGCCAAGCGGTGGGTCAGGGACGCGAACTCCTCAAATAGCGAGGTAGACGACGTTTGATGCTGAGATCCTGGGTCCATCGCTGCCTGCTGCTTGTAAAACTCGGGAATCAAGTTCATGATTTTTTGCAAACCCGCCGTGGCCTGAAAATAGATTGCATTTGATTTTCATTTGTATTTCATGCTTATGGGGTGGGGTCACATAATTCATTCCCACTCGTTCGTCACAAGAAAAACACACAAGAAGTTGTTGTTGACAACTCTATGGTCTCTCTACTGATCTGACAACAAACATTTTATACCTTCCCCCTCACTATTGCTTCTTCCTTGTTGGCCAATTCTTCCAAGACTGGTATCAAGCAGTATGGGAGTGTCAGGATCGAAATTGACAAAATTGAAATGATCTGTAATGCATATTATGCATTACAGATCATTTCAATTTTCTTGCTTTTTGCGTAGCATTTTATGCCATAAAATGCTACGCAAAAAGCGACTCTATTGCAGAGGATGCAAGGAAGGCGGATTGTAGTCCTGGTAAGGCTTAGGTGTTGGGCTGCTGACTAGCATGACAGAAGGCAGCTCTTTTTCCCTAAACCGCATGACAGATTCGCTTCCAGGACGGGGAGAATTTGCCATGCGCCGACTACAAACTGTGGCTCTAAGGGGCATCGATTTTGTGCATCACAAGTTTTTCGATTTTGTCGATTTCGATTCTGACACTTCCATAAGCAGCTCCCATACTGTATCCCCCCACAGAATTCCAACACAAAATATCACGTTCTCAAACTTTACATTCACAACTGTTACACGAATTAGTAAAAATGCAAGAACAGCAACAGGCAAAGGGGCAAGCTTGCTGCTTTCGCATCACAGATTTACATGCTGTTTACCCCTTCGGAGATTTGTCATGCGAAGCAGCTTGGACGTCTGGTGGCGTAAGGTAGTTCTGCATGACAAATTCATGTATACAATTGAGAATGTAACCACGTTTGAGAACGCCATACAAAACGGCTATCTGAGACCTGGTCCGCCAGTTCCACGAGCAATTCCTCTTCATCGTCAGCAGCCACTTCCGCGGTAAGAAACGGAATCAGTTCTTCTCGTACCCGCTCTGGGCCCAGAGCAAGGGAAATGGTCGCCAGGTTCTCGATCGCATTTTTTCGCTGAAACAAGTGGTCCGATCGGAGCTCGTCGATCAGGATAGCAATGGGGTACAGATCGTCCATAGTCAGGTTTTTCGTCTTCACAGGGTGAATATCAAATGCAAAAATGTCTGGGTCTGGAACAGTGGAACTTGTGATGCGTGTCTTGCATTCCTGGAAAATGAAAATCTGTGTTGCATGAGCAGCAAAAGAGGAGCTTGTTTTGTCGTGCAAAAACGCAGTTTGTGATGCGTGGTAGGCATCAGCAGGCGTCTCCAAAACTTGTCATGCCTGGCTGCCATTGCAAGCGTTTCAATCATGCTCAATTCAGCATCACAGATTTCCAGACCCAGACATATTTGCAGTGCATAGTGAAACTGCCCAGCCGCAAACTCCCCCGAGGCGGCGGAGGAGGACGAGCTAGACGGGTGGTGACCTGATACCATGGTCGTCCTGGTCGTGTCGCTTGCGCTAGCAAGATGAATTATGGAAAAGGAACAGCGCGTCGTCCTTTTCGCGAAAAAATCTTCCTCCTGTGGTACCGTGGAATAAACGTATTCCACGTGGTCTTCACTTAAGTCGTTCTTGTTCCGGCTGCATCTTCCTGATGCGCGTCGTCATAATTGTGATGTGCCATTCAACTGCTTGCGGAGCTGCACATGATTCACGACGGCGTCATCTTCGCATCATCGTGGTCTTTTGGTTCTAAATAAAAACCTTTCCACGCCACTATATGTTCTTGCTCTTCTTCTTTATTTTTCTGCCGTCCAATAAATACAGACTCAGTTCCTTTTTTGCATCTCACGAAGAGACAAAGACAGTTGACTTAAGAGACGACAATAGCTGTAATAAAAGAACGGGAAGAGGAAGATGCGACCTTGTGATCATCGCACCTCTTGATAGGGCCGTTGGCGTTGGTGAAGTCGTTTACTTACTTGCCATCGTCTACTTGTACTTCTGTAATCTCCTGATTCATTTTTTGAAGCCAGAGCCGCACCACAACTATCGGTACCACTTTCATGGACAAATGTTACACTTACAAATTGCACGACATTCTGGCACCAACTCCGAAAGGAGGACGAAAATAATCGGCCCGCAGAGAGATGAGGATGACCACCCCGAGCAGTGACAGACACTAGAGCCACCAAGAACAAACGCAAGACTAGAAAAGAGTTGAAGTTGTTTTTTGATGTGACGACCAAAAACATTTCGTCCTCGTCGAAATTTATTTTTGGTACAACATCGTACAATATTCAAACTGCTGTTTTTTCTTTTTTGGTACAGGTACTACTTTCAGGGCGAATTTCGTTCGATTTTTCTTCTGCTTGAGAGGTTGGTACGCAGAAGCACTTCGAGCGTATATAACTCAAGTAGGTACATATAAAGTTCTTTTTCAATCACCGGCCTAGTACTACTACTAGTTCCGGTGTACGGACAAATTTTTTTAGGTCGTTTTGTTCGTAAGTTATTTTTCGGGTTCGGGTCCTTGTCCTAGACGCGGAGGTGAAACTAGAACTACAGAAGTAAGGCGCACCTGATTTGATGAGTAGCAGAATCTTCTGTACTCAAATTTCATCAAACTGCAGGATATCTTCTGGGTCGTTTGTCTCTACAACTGTCGAGAAGAGGAGGCACTAGATATGATGTAAAGACCACACTGAGCTTATTTTTGGTGGTGAAACTCGATAGGTTTAGGTGGTGGAAAGAGGACATACAGATAGTATTTTCCGTATTAATCCGTAAATTTTGCATTTTATTTTTTTTCGTCTCAATAATACAACTTGACTTCACAGTGCGGTCCTCCTCGTCCTGCTGAGCACTTATCCTGAGTAAAAACGTACCCACGCCAGAGTTGTAATGCAAATCTGCATGCTGAAAATGTTTCTCATGCGGAGCTCCATGAGAAGCATTTTCTAGTCGTGTTTTGCAATTTGTCATGCTCCAATCAGCATGGTATTCTAGATCTGTGATGCTGCTGAGCTAGCTGAAACAGCACTATACTACGAATCCAAATTTGTCATGCAAAAAAGCCAAAACTCGTGGATTTGTCTAGCCGATTCCCCATCTTGACTCTGGTGTGGGTACGTTTTTACTCAGGATAGCACTGACTCTTTGTTCATTTTACATGCGCGATTTCCGCATTGTTGGTTTGCTTCAGGCCCTCCACTTGGAACGAAAACGCCTATGAACTGCAAAAGTATCGCACTCGTATAAAAGCATTACAAATTTCCTCAGCATGAGAAATGAAATTTGTGATGCGAATGCACCTTAAGGAAAAGATTTGCAATGCATGACTGCAATACGAGTACGAAACTTTCGCACAGGATAACGCCATCCCCTCGTCAATGAACTCGCCGATCTGTAATATGTTTTGGAGGTTTTTCGATTTGAAAATCTGTCATGCAGAACTTGGATATCAAACTGCATGCGCAATTCATGTCATGCATGAGAAAAAAAATTTTCTTTTCTATAGTACCTCGTCGTCCACATCTTGCTCTGTGTAGTCCCCCGTGCCGACTACGCGTTTGCTATTCTTCGAAAAAGTATCGTGTTTGTACTGATGATGTTGCAGGTTTTTACTTTTTCTTTTTGCTGCATGACAGAGAGATTTGGTCTCTTTCCTCATGAACTACCTGCTGAAACACATTGCATCATCAAAATTTCTTGTGATGTTCTTAGGGTTATAGGACCACGAACAACTCCGTACTCGTACGTTACTTTTGCAATGCATATTTGAAATACAGCACCCATTCGTCCTTACTTATCCTTCCATCGTTGTTCTCGTCCATATCGGAAAGCATCTTTTTCGCCGCAGCCCCGGAAAACCTTTGGAAGATATTGTTGGGTAGTTCAGCATGACAGGCCTTTTATTTCTGTATCCGAGCCTTGCATGACAAATTGTTCTTCATCGCGTCCAGCAAATTGTACCTTTTGAACACTTTCACTGCTTCGTCGATTTCTACTTCGCCACTGCCGTTTTCTATCCAACAGAAAAGCCGCTTCTTGATCTTGCCTACCAATAGCAATACCAACCTCCCGTCGTCAGAATTCAGATACTAGTTGTAGTTGTGCTTGCCTATGTATTATAATACAGAAATCATGACGAAACATCGAACAGCAGCGGCTTCTGATGTAGTTAGTGTTTGCGTTTGTCTTTGTTTCCCCTGAGCAGGGGCAAATGTATTTTGTCCTGGTGTAGTTCTTGGAGGTTGATGCAAGCAGAACCAGGTCGACGACGAGCATGGTAAGACTAAGATGTATGTAGCAATCAAGCGACTTATCTGAAAATCTGTTGTGGATATCCTTGTCGATTTTTTTGAAGCTTTCTTCAATCTTCGCGACCAGTGCCGCGGGCTATGAGAGCGCACAACTCCCGTCCCTCTTTGCATCACAAATTGAAATTCTAGAACAACAAGGCCAAACAGTACTAGAGTCAACCACGCATGATGAAGTTGTCATGCACAACATCCATCTGTATTGGTGTTTGTATTGCTCCCCATGATGCCCTCCAAATGAGGGGGTGGGCGAGTACGGGTTGTGCACTCTCATACGGACAGCTCGGTTTGCTTGATTGTCGACCGGTCGACTTCCGTATCCTGTGCAAAAGTATCGTACTCGTACTCGTAGTAATTGCAACCATGCATTACAAATCTCCATCGCAAGGTAAAACAGCATGACAAATTCTCTTTGTCGTGCTGAGCTAACTTGTATTGCAATAACTACTAGTACGATACAACTTTTGGAGTTCATATTCCGAAGCGCGCAAAGCTGGCTTGGAGCTACCGCAACAGCGCAACAACAAGGCCATATTGGACGCAGCTTCTACAACTACTTCAAATTAGCGTTAACACGGTTAGGTCCTCTGGTGAATTTGAAGGATCTTCGCTAAGATGGTACTCCACGTCGACAACTACAATGCTCTCATACATAAGTAGTACCACAACTACCGCAGCTCTCCATTCTTCTCTACAACTCCTTCCACTCACTACTTGCTCGTTGCAGGAAAAGTCGTCGCTGCTTCGTCTCGCCTCACCCGATTCGACTCTCGTCGAGAAAAATAAGCAGCGATCACGCTCGAAAAGAAGGAGTGCCATAATTGCACTTCGATCGGAATCGAATCTTCCAAATTACGCGAAATAAACACGAACTCTCAACAAGATCGAACGATTGGCCCAAGAATTGAGACACGCAGCCTGCTCATGCCCTTTGATAGTTTATTTCAGCACCTTTGTTTTTTTTCAAAATCTCGTCGTGTCGACCGGTGTGTAACTGTAGCCTGGTCTGCAAAATGTTGATGCTTTTATTTTTACGCGGGGGCAAGCTACAAATTCTGTGCTTCTTTTTGGTCGTGGTCGAGCCTACTTGAACTTGATGTTCTGGGATTACTATATTGGCACTGTCTACTGTTATCGTTCTTAGAGATTTAATTATGTAGCCCTTCTTCTTGATGCAACTGATGACATCTTTTCTATGGGGGGAGAAATTTGACTGCTTCTCTAATGTATGAGACACCAAAGCTGCCACGCTTATTGGATAAACAAGCGCTAGGACGACAGCTATGCGCGCCGCTCAGATGCGTTTTTATGTAGTAGAGCAAATCGTCTACGTCTTTTCTTATTGATGAAGCTGATAAACGTAAAGAAAAAGATTAAGGTTTTTTCATATAGTACAAGAAATTTGAAATACAGGAAAATAAACATGCAGTAACGAATGTAGATGAGCCTTGCTCACCTCATCAAGGCTTTGATACGAGTGCAACGACTAGACTACTGACTCTGCTCCCCACTAGAAGTTGTCGTTGTTTCCATCTTCAGCCGTGGTCTCTTCACACCATTTCCTCGCCTCCGCTGGTGGAGAATCCTTGGTCTTCTTCCGTGTCGCTGGCAACAAGCGCGCTGGGTCCCCGCCTGCCAGCTTATGATAAGGCACAACCCCCCCTCCCCCTCATTCGTATAGCATGAACGGCAGTAGAAGCTTCAGAAAGAGTGCCGGTTTTGCATGACAAATTTGTCCAGGAGTGCAGTTTGGGCTTCCGGAGTTTGTCATGCAAGCAGTGCCAAGAGGCAAAGCCTGGATTTGGTATTTTGCATGACAAATGAGGGGGACGAGGGGAAGTTGTCCACTGTCATACAGCAACGTAATTGTTCAGAATGTGGGAGTCGTCGTAAAACTGCATGATGTTCTATGACGGGAGAAAGTGTTACCGTTAACGGAATCTAGCATGCAGAAATGCATGAGAAACGGCGGCCAAGCGACCAAATTTGTATTGCATAGCACGCACGATAGCAAAAATGTGTCATGCATCACTGCGATGCCTCAAGAACAAAACCGCTAGCGTTAACACTTTTTTGCTTGATATGTTCGACTTCTTCTGCGCAGGAGTCGCACCCGTTGCATCCCCAGCAGTGGTCCCAGCTTGTCCTACCGATTTCTTGCCCGCCATTGCGTTCGTGGCCCTGCTAGTACTAGAGGCAGCAGCCGGCGCAAAACCCTGCAGCACGGCCGCGCTCTCACCACCTCCTGCGCCAGGGGGCGCTGCGTTGGCGGCGGAAGCCCGAAGGGCGACGGTCTGCTGCTTGGTGGTGCGGGTGCCGGGCTTATCAAAATGAAAAATCCCCCCTCCCCATATCGAAACGAAGTCTGTGATGCTGGATTTGCGTACACAAATCAGATTTGTTTTGCTGAAGAAGACTGCAGGCCCGCGCCAAGCCTAAGTAGAGCGGTTTTGGTCTAGGCGCTCAGCATGGGAAACGTCTGCGCTGGAGGCCTAACAGCATCACAAACCGCCTGCATAATGTATGCGGCGGTTGTCTGTGGAGTTGCCTTTTTGCAAGACAGAGATGATTTGTGACCCCAAAAAATCAGCATTGCAAATTCTCTGCGACGTACTACTTTTTCGATATGGGGACGTCGGGGGATTTTTCCTCACAATAGGGTTCCTGCACGTTCGACTTGTAGATCGCAGCCAGTTATCAAATGTAAAAATGTCTGGGGCTGGAAGATATTGAAACTTGTCATGCACGTTTTGCCTGGGCCACGATGTCTGTGATGCATGCCCTAGCATCACAGACTTTTTGAGGGCTTCGTGATACCTATTCCGCATGACAAATGCCCTCTCCGCGTAGCCAAAATTGCATTCCCTTTGCTGCTCATGCAATGCAGATTTTTTTAGAATCCAAATGCAGCATCACAAGTTCGCACTCTTCCAGACCCAGTAGACATTTTTACGTTTGATACCAGTCCTCCCGCTTCCTCCCCGACCGGGTACTGCTGTGCTTCTGCAGCGTATCCAAGAAAAAAACTGTGTGAGTGATGTAGTAGGTGTTCTGCATGACAGAGAAGTCCTGTCATGCACAGCTAGTACGTGAAATATAAAAAATCGCTCGGAATAACAGGACACTATGGCTGGCCAGCATCACATGTGAAAGTTGTGTTACGTACTTATGCATTACAGATACAGACTTACACTTTACACAATTTTGCTTCTTGGATACAGCGGAGGGGTTTGCCGGGTAGGCCGCTGCGTAGTTGTCGTACCCCTGATCCTGACTCAGATGCTCGTTGATGTTGTAAAAGTTCGGCTGCGGAGGCTGAGGTCCACCCTTGCCCATGGCGCCGTAGGCGTTCATGTTCATCATGTTCACGTTACCTCCGGGCATTTGCTGCATCTCGCCGGCCATTTTTTGCTTTTTGTACCATTCATACTTGGCCTTCTCCTTCAGAAAAAGCTTCTTGCTCTCGGCCTCGTCGTCCGCCGCGGCTTTGCCGCCCGTCGCGACATAGATGCCGTACCCAATCACACCAATGATCAGAGCGACCTGATAAGGTAGGTAGGTTTTCGATGCTATTCATACTCTGCATTACAAATGCTATAATTCGCAACAAGGCAAATCCGCATTACAAACGGTTGCATCTTTCATGCTAAGAAAATTATTTGTCATGCGATTTATACTTAGTACGATACAACTACTTCTTTTGCGATGCATAGATGAGTTTGTCATGCGGTTTGAGGAATTATGTCGTGAAATAAAAAAGCCTAGTAAAAATATTATTACCTCACCCACCACCGCGGAGTACACCAAAAAAGTGATTGCCCAAACCCACTCCTGGTTCCCCACCTTCACTTCCATGGGAGCGACGATCCGAATGTCCATCCCGTTGAGAATTTTCTCCTTGTTCGCGGCATTTTGGTTTTCCCCGATCCTCCCGACCTTGCCGTGCTCATCAACCCCCTCGACCACGCCCGGAGCGAGCGCGAGGAGGAGAAAAGTTAGGGGGAGAGCTAGGGCGTAGAGGTTGGTCATCACGACCCGGACCTGCTGTTTTGATGTTGACAGGCAGATTAACATCCTGCTTGTTTTCTCTTGCTAAATTTTTAAAGCAGAGAGCTCTAGTTGTACTGCGTTTATTTCAGAGTGGAAAATGATGTATAAAGTGATGTACTAAAATTTCGAATAGTAAGGACGACCAGTAGTCTTGTGCGGGGCATAAGATAAGGAAGTTATGTCTTATTATTTCAAGTGGTTTTTACGCTATGTTTTTCTTTGCGGTATCAAAACTGTTCGGCATTTTGAAACACCACCGGGGAAGGCGGCATTATAATTCCTGGAAGGATGAGGGAGAAAGAAGCCGAGTGAGTGAAGAAGTTGTAATGCAGATGCAGAAGAAGACGCGTTGTCGTGCGTCGTGTGCCGGAGCACAGCACCACGATAAACATAGTACAGCGACCATATGAAATAAACAGAGAAGCAGGACGATGAAGTAGAACGAAGGTGCTTTTATTTGCGCTGGCCGTTCTGGAGGAAGCACGAGGACTAGATTGATGTTGTACGGCCGCTGCGGCTCTTGCGAGAGAACGAGAAATACGACAGGTACGACCAACCGACAAGAACCACGACACAGTAATTAATACGAGGACACGACGACAGAGAAGCCGACTTCGGAATGAACGAACGAAGAGCTAACAAACCGACTGCGATTACATTCTAAAAGCTCATGTTGGACGAGAACCGATACATTTATCCAAAAATCTTCCGAAATAGAAAGGTGATGTGGTGGACGCCTTATAATAGAGGGACAGGGGTAGGCTACAGCAAGCAGATTTAGTCCTCTTTTCAGGCTAGACGAAGTAGACAAAAGGAAAGCTTCACGCTGCACAACATGCTGAGTGTGATGTCAGGCACCAGTGATCTTCAATCGCCGACGACTGTGGAAAAGCCCTTCTTTTTCGTGCAACACTTAATGTTTTTTCGTGCGGGGAAGAGGTGTTCGTTGCAAGAGGGATGATAATTATATCAAGCAGATCCTAGTACTCCCGGGGGGCGTTACAGATGAAGACATAAACAAACAGCATGTCCTTGCTCAGTTCTAGTTCGGATGTCGGCGAGAGGGGGCTGCTGATTGCACACATGCGACAAGTGCAAGGCCGCGGGGATGGCAAATTTAAAAATGCACAGGAGATGGATAAAATAGCAGGGGCAGTAGAAAGAGAATAGTGAAAACATGTAACAAACCGCAAATAAATGGGTGTGAAGTGAACTCGAGCAACTTCTAGAAAAAGGGCAACATTGAAAAACGAATAGCAACAAGGGGGCTGCTCGACTGAAAGGCTATTTCAGATCGTGACTTCATTTCTTCAACAAGCATCAGTCGGAGTAGAAGTTCGATTTCATCGGCGATACTAGGACGAGGGCCGTCGAAAAACAAATCCCCTGTTGAAAACGTCCCTAGTACCACTCTGTGACATGTGCAATTTGGAAAAATTATGTCGCGCCAGTACCTTCCTGGGTTGTAAAAGCAAAATGCCTACACTCCAAAGCAGAGTCAGGCAGTACAACCGCTTCACATCTTCATTCGTCCACCCACTCTCCGACCTCGTGGAGGCTTGGCCGCTGCGTCTGGATTATGAAACGGAAAAAATTCTTGTCTAGTTCTTGTTCACTAGGAGGCTCTATTAAACTACAGGGAGGGGAAGCTGGAATACAAATTCAATGTTGTAGTCGATGTTGATGCTGCACGAGGAAGATCACGACTTTATTAATCATGACAGAACCACAGACATGACAAGAAAGCCTCCCCGTGTTCAACTTCGCCTGGCGACGATTCAAGAATTCGAAAAATTTTGCTCTATCGTACTCCCAACCAGGGCAGAGTGGGTCATCGAGACGGGTGAGGGAGTTCTTGACCGCGATTTCGGCACTACAGTAGATTGCATTTGCGACAGCTTCGTCCCGTATCCTGTGCAAAAGTATCGCACTCGTCGTAATTGCATTTATGCATTACAAATCTCCGTCGCAAGGTAGATCAGCATGACAAATTCCATTTCTAATGCTAAGCGAATTTGTAATGCATGCTATACTAGTGCGATGCTTTTGCATTGCATATCCCGGCAGCAGGCACCATAGAAGCGTTGTACGTACTCACCGGAGCGGCGGCAGAAGACGGCGGCTGTGCGTGCTGTGGCGCTCCTGATCGGCGGCCCCTCTGTTGCAGCCGCTGCTCGGGACCACCAGTACCCGACTGCGGCTTCTTGTTCGACGCAGAGGGGGCGGCTGTTGTGGTGCCGGCACCTCCAGAAGGTAAATTGTAGTAAAGCTCCGGTTCTTCTTTTTGTAGTGCCTCGACCGAAAAGAAATTGGTTGCCATGGTGGTGGTTGGTAACAAGTTCTTGTGTTGTTCTTGCTGTTCTTCAAGCACAGTGGGCGGCCCTGCTCCGCCGACCGACATCAAGATCAAGTTGGTTTCTTGCGAGGTCGTGGGCAGAATCGTTTTGGTCTGCATCTGCAAGGCAGCGCTAGACCGAGGAAGGTGGTCCTGTTGTTGAGATGATGGCGCGACAAGTGTGATCCTGAGTAAAAACGTACCCACCCCAGAGTTGTCATGCAGACTTGCCATGACAGGAACATTTGTGATGCGCAACCCCATGACAGGCATTTTCAATCGTGTTTGGGAACTTGTAATGCTGTAAACAGGATCAGAAGGCCGATTTGTGACGCGGCTTTCCTTCCTAACTTGCACTACCTTACGGACTGAAACTTGTCATGCGTGACTCACAAAACTCCTAGGTTTGTGTTGCAAAATCCCCATGCTGACTCTGGTGTGGGTACGTTTTTACTCAGGATAAGTGTCCTTGGTGGCGAGCGAGGCGGTGGACCAGCGGGGTCTTGTGCGTTCTCTTTGCGGAATGTTTCTACGTCCTCCGATATCAGATGTAAAAATGTTTGGGTCTGGAAATTTGTAAATCTAAATGCTAAAAGTGAATGGGACGAGTTCCACTGCAATACGGAGCCAAGCATGACAAATTTTTGGGCTCCTACGTGTTGCGTGTTCCGCATGGCAAACTGCGTTTTTGCATGACAGGTAAGAGGACAGCTTTGTGCCCATGCATCACAGATTCTTGAGCCATGTCGGACATGCATGACAAATGTAGCAATCTTCCAGACCCAGACATTTTTACATTTGATATCCGAAGTGAAACGCTTCGTCTTCATCGGGGCCTGTCGCGGCTCGAGTTTTATTACGTCGAGACTTGATGTCGTTTCCACGTGGTCCTGCGGACTTGTTCTTCGAAACGGTGTTGCATAAAAATTTTTGTCCTCGCCCGCATTTGACGCCGCAGAACCAGGATGGTGGAGGTCGTGGTCTCTTTTCAGTATGTGCGTACGGTCTACACCCGCGGCCTCAGTAATAGACGATCTCATGCTATCAACTGTGCAAATGTCTGGGTCTGGAAGAATCCAACTTGTCATGCTGATTTTGGATTCTAAAAAAATCTGTATTGCATGAGCAGCAAAGAGAGTCCAAGTTTTGCTACACGGAAAGAGCATTTGTCATGCGGTTTAGGCATCGGGAAGCCCTCGCAAATCTGTGATGCTAGGGCATGCATCACAGACATCAGGAGTCATGCAAAATGTGCATGGCAAACCTGGCAATCTTCCAGACCCAGACATTTTTACATTTGATACATGCCCGCCCCAAAGGACGCACTGATGTTGGCGTTTTGATTCTTATGCTCAGGAGGTGGGGAAGATCCACCCGCAAGAACCGGCGATCCAGCGATGTTGTTGGCGATTCTGGGTGCAGCATTCAGGCCTGCTCCCGGATAGGCATAGTCACCTCCTGCAGCTTCGTAAAACAGCGGCACTGCAGCTGCACCGGCGGCTGTGGCAGGAGCTTCCTCTGTCGTTGTCGCACCACCAGGTTGCTGTGATCCTGATCCTGCGACTGTTCTTCCTGCTGCGACAGGAGCGCCTTCTTCAATCGGTTTTTCCGCCCACGTTCGTTTTTCCATCTTCTGCGCCACCCGCTTGTTTTCCATCTGCGCCACATATGGTGTTCTCAAACGTTACATTCTCAACTGTTACATGATTTGTCATGCAAAATGATCATCAAGATCCACACGATCAAGCTGCTTCGCATGACAAATTTGCGAATGGCTAAACAGCACCCGAATCTGTTCGGAATTTGTAATGCTACAGATGCAACCTCCCCCCTCTCACTTTTCCCATTCTCGCATGACAAATCCATGTAACACTTGAGAATGTAACAGTTGAGAACGCCATACCACATGGGAAAAACTTTTGTTCCCTGCCACGTTAGCGCAACAGCCGCCCGGGGCGAAACTGCCGCAGAAATAGAGCAGCGCGAAAACCAACAATAAGATTTCGGACAAGACGATGGACCACAGGACGATCGTTAGGGAAAGCGACATATGAATTGCAAAAGTTGTATCCTCGTGCTCGTATAAACGCATTACAAATTTCCTCAGCATGAGAAATAAAATTTGTAATGCTGATTTTGCTTAAGAAAAAGATTTGTGATGCATGATTGCAATACGAGCACGATTTACTTTTGCACAGGATACGACAACATGAAGGAAAAATTTTCCACCTGGACGTGCGCGATTTTGTCGATCGATTTAATGGAGTTGATGGTGTATGCATTGCAAATATGTCTGGGTCTGGAAGAATGCCAGGTTTGTCGTCCACAGTGTGCATGACTCCTGAAGTCTGTGCTGCATGCCCTAGCATCACAGATTTTGTGAGGGCCTCGTCATACCTATACCGCATGAGAAATACCCCCTCGTCGTGACAAAAACTGGACCTCTTTTGCGGTTCACGCAATACAGATTTTTGTAGTATCCAGATGCAGCATGACAAGTTGCAACCTTCGAGACGCAGACATTTTTGCATTTGATATGGTGCTGATAGTGCCGCTCGGGATAGAAGTCAAGGAAAACTCATCCTGCGCGGCATGATTTTCATCGGGGCTCAGGCTCCGCCTCTGAGCAGACGACGTTCGGCTCATGGTTTCTTGTGGATCATGTCCTCGTCCTCCGCTTTCGAGGTCGTTCATGTTGCGCGAGAACATCTTGCGCCACCATCTCGGCTTGTGGGTTTGCGGATCGTTGTTTTTCACCTTCTCTGCTTCGATAAAAGAAGAAGTGCTGGAGGAACTACTGCTGCTTCCACTGAGTTGTAGTTCCTGCAGATCATGATAGTCCTTCTCCTCGGGGGGTACAGCAATCGAACTACTGCTCAGGGCGTTTGGGATTAGCCCAGCATCATGAGCAGAATGATCTTCCCCCTCTAGTTCATCTCCTTCGGGCGCGAAAATCTCGTGTAAAATTTCCTCCTTCAAGTCTTTGATCAAACCCGCCAAGTCTGCTTTCGACAGGGTAATCAGTGTGTTTTCTGTTGCGATGTCACTTGCAGTTGAAGTTCTTCCTCTGGTCGCTCCTGCAGGTCGTGCTGTTTCTTGTTGCAAAAAAGTGTCGCTCTCGCTTTTGCTTTCCTCTACTTGATCTAAAGTTGTGGATCTTCCCGGAGAAACTTCGCCAGCTGGAGGTTGTGGAGATTCAGATTCTGGGGTTGTAGCCGTTGATACTACAATTTCTGCAGCTGTAGCTCTCGTCGCGGCCCCGCCCGACGTCGAGGACCCCATCTTCCCCAGGCTTCTCGCTGTTTTCACGACCGTGGCAGTTCTTGATCTTGAAGCGGAGGCATTCACCTTCTTTTTGCTCCTCTTCACGTCGTTGGTCTGTGATGATGTCGTCGCGAAGACCCTGTAGCCGTACACATTTTTAAGGGCCGCAACAGCGGCGGCATAGCGAATAAAAGCTGCGGGGCCACCACTTCTCCTTGTCATTGTCCGGGCAGAGCTTGTTCTTCCCCTGTAGTTTCTGTCCAATCGTGAAACTGCTGGAAGTGCTGCAACTCCACCCCCGCGGGAAGTAGAAAGTGACAACATGGATTTCTTCCACAAGCAAGTATACGGTGTTTATGTGGTTGTACAGGTAGCACTAGTAGAAGTACCGCCACACGTAATCGCAACACACGGAATTTTTAACCCGAGCGCTCAATACGGGGAGAATAAAAATAAATCGGGATGTATTGGTAAAACTGGTGTCTTCATCGTGACCTGCACCTGCTGCCAATAAGCAGTACTAAATTTCTGATCGGAGATTAAGACAGGTTTATTTGCAACTTCTCAACGACAGATGAAAACAGATGGAGGCTCTTATTTAACGTAGGACTCAAGGACAACGACGTGAAAACGATGCACGATGCTGGGATTAGCGTCTGGACGATGAGAGCAGGTACGACCGATAGCAGCTACGTTTGCTTCTTGCGAGGTGGACGAAATGGAAGAGAACTAAACCGAAATATTGAGAGAACGAAATCAACATTAGCATTACCTTGTTTGCATCGCAGAACTTCTAAAGAGCGACCAACAGTTAGCAAAGTACGAGAAACCTGCTAAGGGCGACCGAAGAACAGATCAGGAAGTACAACAACTGACGCAACGGACGAAAACAAAACGACTCTTGACTTGTTCTGAAAACTAGACCACTGCAAAGAGAAACCAAACGACTTCTTTATCAGAACACTTTCCGCAACATCTTGCAGCCACGACCTTCTCAACTCGAAAGGCAATTTTTTGTCTGCCAGTTATAAACGGCTACTTTCATAATTGTAATTCCGTATTCTATCCCATAGAAGATGTCGCCATTGTTGATGTTGAGCTCAAAAGCAAAAGCTCGGAGTTCATTTTTTCGTTTTCCCGCTGCGTTTTTTGTGCTGATAGATATAGTACGGAAAGAAGTTTTTCGCTGTATTCTTGTTTTATCCGACAAACCTCTCGTACTCCTCACACTCGCGTACTTTCATACCAAATGTGAAAGCGCCCGGGAGCAGCTCTTGGAAACGCTCGCCGCACCGGCCACAGTTCTTCTGATCCTCTTCTCGGTCGGCGTTACCTGAAGTGGTTGATGTTGTGTTCTTCGGAACAATCATCTTATGCATAAAAAGCATGACAGACACAGACTGTACGTAATGTTTTTCCTACATGAGAAATCAACCACGACCGGATGAACCAAGTTGTATTAATTAGTAGTACACAATCCCGCTTTTCCGTTCCTACACGGGCACTTTTCCCTTCGCAGCAGCGCATCTAGTAGCCCGTCGTCCTCTAACCCTTGCAGGTCGTCTGCGTCTCCCACATAAAGCCCGTCGATGAAAATCTATGAAATGCAAATATCCCGGGATGTCTGGAAGATTGCAACTTGAACTTCTCATGCTAAATCTGAATAGTGAAAAAATCTGTCTTGCATGAGCACCAAAAGCTGTCCTTTTTTGACCAGGTTGAGAGGGAGTTTCTCATGCAGCATAGGCATGGGAGAGACCTCAAAGAATCTGTCATGCTGGGTCCCGCACTCCAGACCTCATGGGTTATGGAAAATCTACATGACAAATCTTGCAACTACCTTCCAGACCCAGACATATTTGCATTTGATAAAATCTGGGGTAGTATCAAATCGTCATCGTCGTCGGTGTGGAGCCTCCTCCATTTCGACTGCTCCGGTTTTGAAAACGAAAAATTCTTCGATCGGTGCAGATTTTTAGATGCAAGAATAAAGCGATGGTTTTGTTGTATCCGGTTCGTTGTTCTCCTGATTTTGTGTAAGTCACTATCCTGCTCGTCTCCTCGTCAGAATGCAAAGTTGACTCGTCCTTCTCCTTACCCTCGAGCGATGTTGATTCGCGTTGAATAAACAAACACTTTACGCAAACTCTGATGCGAAGATGCCGAACCAAGTTTTTTTCGTTTTCGTATGCTGGAAAGTTTCGCTATTGCCTTGCCCTGGACGACGGTAGCTGTGATTTTATTTTTCATGAATTTGTTGGATCATGATTCGGGTGTTGAATTATTTTATGCTGTGGTGCGGTGCTGGTGAAGCATGTTCACACGTATGACAACAACTAACCACGACGACCATACACTCCTATCCACTACGCTTTCTTCACCAGGCACAGAGAGCATACTTGTAACGCCCCGCAAACTACTCGCTACAAAAGATGGATTTCGATAATTATATACTTTGTGCCCTCGCGTCCCGGTTGAAGTCGATGATTTTAAAGTGCGCTCGTTTTATTTCCAGCAAATCCCGGGCGCGCTGTCCCGCGTTGAACTCCGTTCGTTTTGTTCCCAGTGTCGTTATCAGGACCACCACTTCCGCCGTATACGCGGCGGAGGGCTTCACGCGGACCTCGGGGAGAGACATGCCTCGGTAGAACAGGGAATTCTGGTAATAGCGGGAGCTGAACTTCTGCTGCTCGTCTTGTTGAGCTGTAGATCTAGCCCCTTCTGGTGTAGTCCCTCCTTCTGCAAGAAGTTCTTCTCCGTCCTCTGAGCTAGTACAAGAACTGGCTGCTGTGCTAGTAGGACTTCTTGTTGCACTGATGTAGTTTTTGTCGTTACAGTTGTTCTCTCTTTCCGATCCGTGGTCCACCCCGGAGGACTCCTCGTGGTCTTCTTCTTCAAGTTCTTCTAGCCGATCTTCACCGCGGTCTACCGAATCTTCCTCACTATTGCGCCTCGGCCTAGCCCCCGGAGTGGTGCTGGTGTCTCCAACTGCGCCAAATAGTACCGCTGTAGCAGCAGAACGGCTGGAGGTTTTGATTCGAGGGGAGGTTGTTCGTAGTTTTGAAGTCGTGTTGGATGAAAGGAGTGGTTCTACTTCAGGGTCGACGTCATGTTGATCTTCTTCGGGTGTGGAGGTCGTCGCAGCCGCCGGAGACGATGAAGTAGTTATTTTTGGGTCTGTTAACTCTACTTGCTGCGTAAAATTTTGTGTGAATGATGAACAGGGTGCAGAAGATAAGACCTCGTCGCGGGGGCGGCGGGACAAAGACGAAATATTTTCTTCAGAGCGATCTTTGTCTTCTTCACAAGAGTTCTCCGCGACTGCGGAACCGCTGGTGACGTGGACGTGCTCCGGATAATTACGAATGTTTTTCTTGTCGCTGGAATTATACAAATTGCCGAAGCTTGTTCTTTCCGGAGGTTCGGTGGAAGAAGTAGAAGAAGTACAAGCAGTCACAGGCAGCTCTTCGTGGTCTATTTGGTCCTGTTCCTCTACGTCTACTTCCAGTTCCTCTATAATTGAGTCGTCGACTGGAGGCTCAGCAGCTGCAGCAGACGACGGGGCGGGGGTGAAAGTGAAACAACTTTCTCTTCCTTCGTGAAGATCGTGGTGGTGGTCCTCCTCCCCGATACCAAATTCGTCACCTCTTTCGACGACGTCGTGATCCTCAGAACTGCTACTTCTACTGCTACCGGAGCTCACAGTGGTTCTGGGGGTAGGGTCCGGAGGTGTAGTAGAGACTCTTTCTACAACATCTACTCTGGGGCCGCCGTTCACGTTCTTAGGGTCCTCGTCAACGCTCCAGCTCAAGCTCTTGGTCGTGCTTATATTTTTTCGCGGCAATACAGATGATCTGTCGACGTCGAAAACCTCTTCTGCAGCAAGTAGTGGCTTCACACCTACTTCTTCAGTGGATGTTGAGGTCGACGTGCGCGTGGTTTCATTTAGTATCTTCGGAAAAATAAACTCCTCGTCCTGCACGAAAACCTCAGGCACTTCTAGATCATGACGGGGTTCGTCGACGCTCTCGCCCTGCTGAGCCGCCGCAGAGGACGCGGTTCTTTCGCTTAAACGAGCTGAAGGCCACGAGTTATCTTTGTTCGTGGCATCGAGAAGTGCAGCTCCTTCGTGGCCGGTACTACTATAATTCGCACGTAGTTCATTCGGGAAGTAGCTGTTCTTTAGGTGGTCCTTTTTTTGCTCTTGTGAAAAAACTACGGTATTTGAAACTTCTGAATTCTCTAATAAAAAGCAGCTACTTGTTGTTCTACTTCTATGTAGAGGTCCACCAGTACTAGTACCACCAACGTCTCGTCTTTCAGCTATGAATTTCGTTTTTTCGGAGACAAAATCATAGCACGGACCACGTCGCCCTGGTTGGCGAGGCCGCTCGTCCACTTGTGCAGCAGCAGCAGCTTCTGGCCCTCGTACAACAACACTGTCCACTTCATCTAAAAGTACGTCTCGACTGCGACTGCGTGTGTAGTCTACGTGACCACAATGAGAACGAACAGCATAACTTCTCTCAGAACAAGTTTCAATATTATTGTAGTCCTTATAAAAAAAAGTAGAAGCACAGCTCCAGGTGGGAGACGATGGAGGGGAAATATGAAACCGCCGTGGGACGGGCGGGGGCACCGTGTTGTTGGTTAATAACATAGTAGGTTTATTCTTGTAGCTGTCCTTCGGATTAGCGCTAGGAGTAGAACTGGTGTTTACTTCACCAGCAGTGGTAATTGTTGATGACGAAAAAACCTCCATAGAGACTTCTATGCTAGAACCTGAATGAAGCTCCATCGTCGGCGCGGTAGTCAACGTTTTCGTATAATCAGCACCAGCTGCACGAGGTGGACCTGGTGAAGGAGGTCCTCGTGTGGCCTCTACAGCTGGTGGAAGAGCATCAGGAAGAGCCCCCACCTCTGCATCCTCATCATCTTGCGCAAAATCGAAGAAATTCAAGTGAATCTTTTTGTTCACACGACTGAAATTTCTGCGAGCAGGAGTTGCTGAGCTCATCTTCGATATAGTGCGTATTAAACGGTATAATAATTTTTTTTGAAAAATTTAAGATACCGGCTCGAAAGGTGAAACGAAAAAAAATCTATGACAAAGGCTGCAGAAGAACTAGCTACAGCTATCAAACTAGAATAATAAGAACGACCAAAAATCTTAACTCGATCTCCTCGCAGAGGTAAATTTACTCGAAGCGCAATGGTAATAGTTCCTCTCTCCATCCAAAAACGGTGCCTTATTTAAAATCTAAATTTCAACTTCTACCTTATAGTCGCTGAAGAGCTTTTGTTTGGCCAAAAATATAATAAAATGGCTGCGACCGCCGGACAACTACTGGTGACTTACCGTATTCTAAAATTTCGCGCACAGGAGCGAATAACAGCGCGCTTAAGCGTATTTATCTTCGACCGAATTATGAATATGTCAGAACAATCAATGTTCTACTTGAGGTAGTTCTTGCATTTTTTATAAGGACCTTGACATCAATTTGGTGGTGTAGTGCCTGAACCGATCGCTATCTGAGAACAAGTTTTTGCACGACCTCGATCATCGCATTTGTTGTTTTCCCATTCACACGTCGGGGGCTCTTTCATGATGGATAGCGATAGAGTGAGTTTTTCTGTCCTTGACATTGTCTCAGTCGCATTAGGTCTTCTTGCGTCGGATTGTAGAAAGAGGGGAATGAGTCTCGTCATGATATTCTTTGCATTGGACCAATTTGCAATGACACTGAGTCAACAGTAGATTCAACATCGTCATTACGGTCAGAAATTCGTGCATTGAAGTAGTTGTACTGTTCGTGCATTGAAGTATAGTTGAACTTCTGCGATGAGCTAGTACCGTTGATTGATCGCGGACCTCGATCTGCTTGCACCTATCCTATTCGTTAGATGTAGATTTATCCGAATGCCCTTGTAGCAATGAAACACCGGAAGCGGAACAAGCAGGAGAAAATAAAACTGTCTGTGCACAGTAAGAGCATCGTGATCCGGAGCAAGAATTTTTATTCCCCGTAGGTCACCACCTGCAACGCCTCCGTGAGACAAACCACATCCACATCACAATAACCTCCGTAGCTTCTCGTGGTCTATCAACTGTAAAAATGTCCGGGTCTGGAAGAATTCATGTTTGTCATGCTTGTCCGGCATGACTCTTAAATCTGTCACGCACGTTACCCAAGAGCTCCGCTTTTCTGTGATGCAGAAGCGCAGTTTGTCATGCAGAATAGGCAACACCTAGGAGCTCAGAAACTTGTCATGCTGAGCCAGCATTTGTAGCCTCATCATGAGACGCCACCCAGCATCACAAGTTCCCAGACCCAGACATTTTTACATTTGATATGGTCGCCGTTTTCGTCCCAATCCCGTCCTTTGTAATCATCGCTCCGGCGTGCAAACTCCCCGCGTTGTGGAAGTATTCGAAATCACCTGTGGAAACTTGTGCTGCTGCAGAAGAAGAAGAAGCAGTAGAAAACGACGCCCCACTGCTTGTTGTTGTCGCGCCACCATTGTTGAAACTTGGCTTCTGTCGGAACAGGCAGTCAATCGCGGCTTTCCCGTTCATCAGCTTCTCTGCAAACGTTAGAAACGCATCTCGGTCCTGCCTCTTTTCTTCATCAGTTTTGTTCTTTCGCTCTGCTAAGATACCGTCGCAAGTGAAGTCAGCATGATTCTCGCCCGAGCCATCATCCTCAGTGCAGCCCCGAAATGCGGTGAAAATGGCTGCGTTGTTGAGGACTTTCGGGCTCAACTCTGCGGGGTGGATGTCGAAGTTGTTTTTCTCTTTACCGTTGTAAAAATCATCGATGCCCTTCTTTCCGTCAAACGCGAAATAGGTGATCGCCAATTTGCCCGCACAAAGAAACATCTTTTTCTTCACTGTGAAAGTGTCGGTCTCGATCAAATATGCATTGCAAAAGTGTCGTACTCGTATAAATGCATGACAAATTTCCTGAGCAAGAGAAATGGAATTTGTCATGCTGATTTGCCTTGGCAACAAGATTTGTAAATGCAAGACTTGCATTTATACGAGTACGATGCTTTTGCACAGGATATCAAATTCGAATCCGGCACCGGCTCTCCGAGTTTCTCCTCTAATTCCTCTTGCTGTATTTTCTCCTGTTTCCAGACCCGATACTCTTCGCTGTCGCCCGCGTGCACCACGACAAAAAGCATGTTGCGCCGGCGTGGTCGAACTCGTACTCGACCCACCATTTCTTGCCCGTTCGCATCAAAAATTTTATATTCGTCTCTCACGTCAAATCGGATCTGTTGCGGCGAGTGCGCCACCTTGAAGAGTATCTCGTGCTTCGTGACCAGCAGTTTTGTCTCGAAACAATTGTACACCATCCAGCTGTGGTTTACTTGCAGCCAGTGCTTGCCGGCGCCGGGGATATTAGTGGCCGCGTTGTTTATGCTACTAGATCCAGTCGCATTCAAATTCATAGGGTAGATCCAGTTTGCCGCTTTCGACCGGACGCGGGAGTTGTTAGTCCTGTCTCGACCGGAGAAGGTGATGTAGTTTTTCTGGTCCTCTATAATTCCATTTCCAAGGAGCTGCTTGCCAGAAGTTGCGCCCCGTTCAATGGACGTCGAACTAGTACCGCAGGATGTTGTCCTGGTCAGCGAATCTTTGTCTTCGAGCAGCGTTGCGTTCGTAGTTCCTGCGGATGCTGTACAAGACGACGTGCTAGTAGATTTGTCGTGCTCATCAACACTATGCTGGTGCAGCTCTCCTGCTTCTTTGTTAGTACTATCCGGCGGAGCTACCAACCCCAATTCCACGCACTGCTGGAACACCTCGAACCACTTAAAGTTATGAACTGCAAAAGTATCGCAATCGTATGAATGCTTGACAAATTATCCCAGCATGAGAAATAAAATTTGTAATGGTGATTTACGTTGAGAAAAAAATTTGTAATGCATGATTGCAATACGAGTCGGATACTTTTCCACAGGATAAAAATGTGCTTCGTCGTAAAGGCGCTTGGCAAACTTGACCAAATCGTGCTTCCTGTATCCACAAAAAAAGAACCATCCCCATCCAATTTGTCAAGCAAAACGCGCATAAATTCCACTACTTGTCATGCAAAAAATGGATGGGGATGGCTGTGTTTTTCTTTTTGTGGATATCCTGCCGCTCTTGTCCACGACGAAGGGTAGCCTCGCGATCGGGAGTCTCTCCCTACGCTCCTCCGGAAAAAATGAAGGGTCGGTAGAGTTCATGTTGATGTTGTCCTCGGACTTTATCTTTAGTTCATGACGACTTTGGAGCTGAAGATTTTTCTCTTCGAAAGGGGAATTTTTCCGCAGGACCGGAAGAGTTGTCTCCTCGCCGGGAGGCTGTTGTTCTCCTGCTTCGGTTTCTGCAGCGGTCGTCTTTGTTGATTCGGACTTTTGCAACAAGAGGAAGTCCTCGCATTCGTGTTCCTTTTCGTCCTGGCCGGATTTGTCTCTGTCGGTTTTAGTTTTTTGTAGCTCGCGGTCTCTATTTCCTTCGTCGGTATTGATGGGAAGATTGGCTGGAAGGTTATTTGGTTTCGTCTGGGTGTCATTTTCTGATTCTGATTTCGTATTTGCCGCGAAGTCGTTGTCAGAGTCATCATCTTCGCCGCAATCTGCCCGAAGAACATCCTCGCCGCAATCTGTCCGAAGAAGGCCAATAACTCCAGCTGTTCCTACAACTTGCTTGGTAGAGCTACTAGTTGTACCTGCTTCATTCGCAGTACTTGCGAATGCGGTGGGCTCGTCGCTTTTGTTGTTTGTGATGGGTGTATCTCTTTCATTGGCAATGTCCTCTCGCTTACCATCTCCATTCCCATTGTTGGGTAATACACTTGCGCTACTTCCGTTAGAAGAAGAAGTACTAGATTATCCCACGAAAAAACTGTTTCACTGTGATGGTTTTGCAAGATCTGCATCACAAGTTTGTATACACATGACACAGAGAATTTGCCATGCGCGTTTCCCAAGAGAAAACACGTTTAAGAAGCCATTGTGTTGCAGGTGTAGCAACACAAACACTTTGGTGTTTCGTTGTCTGCATCACAGGTTCACAGTGAAACAGTTTTTTCTTGCGATATAGATGTTTTACTCTTCACAACCTGCTCCCCGAACTCGGTCTCCCCGTATTCCACGTTGTCGCTGTTAAAACCTTATGCAATGCAAAAGCATCGCACGCGTAGTGATTGCAGTCATGCATTAGAAATTTTTTTCCTAAGGCAAATCCGCGTGACAAATTTCATTTCTCATGCTGAGGAAATCTGTAATGCATTTGTACGAGTACGATTATACTTTTGCACTTCATAACCCCTCTTTCTCCACATCCGGTAGGTGCACATTTCCCTCAACTCCGCCCTTGAACAGCAATATCACCAGAAAAAGTGTTAGCAAAGCTAACGAGAAGATCTAGCATGCAGTCGTTCATGAGAACAACAACAAACCTATTGCACCACATGACAAAGAAACAGAAAGATCATTGTCATGCATCATGACTGAAATGTTGCCTCAAAGCCGTTCAAACCTCAAACACTCTTCTGGCTGATACGCATCTCCCTTTTCTCAAAGTCGAACGCGTAGGGCTCTATCGTCCAATGCTGGCGTCGGAACATGTCTTCCCACTGGGATTTGGATTTCTGCCCGAAGAGCAGCCACGCCTCGTAGTCCTCCAGGTTCAAACCAGGATGGAATTCCGCAAAGTCCCATGGTTTTTTGTCCCCAGAATAGTGAATCACCTTGAAGGTCTTCAGGGACGCATAGGTCGACGTTTTATTATTTGTACCGGACGAGGTCGGGTGGTTCTTGTTGGCGTCGCCTGTCGTGCTTGTTCGTGTAGTCTCTGCATGACAAGTTTCCGGCTCAACATCCTCGTCCTCCTCTTCTTCCAGATTCAAAATCGCGTTTTTCAAAAAGTTCATCCGCCGCGACAAACCCCACTGCGTGTTCAGATGCGGCGCGAGTTCGTTGAACATTTGGTGAATCTGCCAGTTAAATATGCAATACAGATTTCCCGTACATGTACAAGATGCATCACAAATAATTTCACCAGTTTGGAGCCTAAAACTTGTCATGCTGAACTAGGATCGAAGCCAAGTTTTGTCATGCGGAGACCGCATTTGTACGTGTGCGGGAAATTTACTGTGGATATTATAGGCGGGCGAGATGGCCACCCAGCGGTCGGCAAAAAACCGCGCCAAGTAGTCCTGTTCCGGACCGTTGCCCTTGATGTGTTCCGGGTGATTCTTATCCTGGATCTGCGACAGCATCGCCTCAAAGTGCTCTTGCGAAGGGGCAAGAAGCATCAGACCGGCGTTGATCCCTCTCGACCGGCCCCAGGAGGAAAGCTGGCCGAACGGCGTCGGGGTGGAGCTTTTGTTGTATGCCCAGTAGGTCGTCTGGGTTGATGCCGAAGAGGACGTTGCTGTGCCTGTGGTGCCGTTTTCTTGCAGATGAAGATGATCATGCGGGCCCTCCTGATCAACATCCGCCTGACCAGGACAGCACGAAGTTATGCCGTTTATTTCTTCTTTTTTCCTATCAAAATCCATTTCGAAATTCTGTGCGTCGTCGGAAATATCGGACAGTTCGTCGATCTCCCGCTCATACATTGCAAAAGTATCGTACCGGTATAGATTGCAATACAAATTTCCTTAGCATGAGAAATGGAATTTCAATTTGTCATGCGGATTTGCTTTAACAAAAAGATTTGCAATGCAAGACTTGCATTCATACGAGTACGATACTTTTGCAGAGGATACCGCTGCCTCTGTTGCCACGTTCTTTCCCTGCCACCGTAAAACAACTGCGCGCCGTCTACCCATTCGCCATGGGCCCAATCTGCGTGC